GGGGGGGGGGGAGGAATTCGGTGCGGAGAGCGGGGAGCCTCTGGTATACGGAGCTGAGTCCCCTTCACGGAGAGCCATTCAGGACATTTGACGCTCACGGTTGGACCGTGATTGTCGCCAGCGCCTTGTTCTGGAACGGAACGATATACCCAGCCGTTGAGCGGCTCAGGCCCATTTGTGACGGTACGCTCAACACAAGTTCTTCGTCACTGCAGGTGCAAGTGAGACTGAAATGACTGAGCTTGCGCCGCTTTGCTGCGACTCGAATCAGCAGCGCTGCGACCTTCGCAGATTCACGCAGGGCTTCCATAAGTTGAACAGCCAGCTTCCGGATACCTCGCCGGATTCGGCATGGTCTCACCTTATCTAGAGGCTTAGGGTTCGAGCCGAGTCGTCGCGGACATCTCTTCACTTCGAATTCACCGCGCCTTCGCAACGTTGTGAACGATGTACATGACGTCCTGCCAATTGATATAGAACCCGCGACGGCGTTCATGCGAGGGCGGGCCAAGCTTTTGGATGTCAAGCTACGACGGTCCTATGAGTACGGCTTCTGGTGGATCCGCCGTGGATCTAACTTCAGCATCTACTGCATAAAGCGCCCCGGAACCAGCCGTCCTCTCGAGTGAGCCTGCATCTGGATGCTTCGCGTCATACTTCGAAGACACGCGCACACAAAAATAGACAAGGGACGGGAACGTGTTATGCATTAGTTCCGGCAGCCGGTGGGTCCCGCAATTCGTAGCCCACGCACTTGTGATATCGTACGGGTTCGTACCTCCGCTTGGACGCGCCCACGTTCGATCCCCTCTGCACCGCCTTTCTACCAGAGAAAATATGAGAGTGAGTCCGTCGGTGTTTGCGGCCAAGCCCCGACTGCATTCGAGTTGTGCGATCGCTGACAAGGCCAAGGCGCGCTTGAATGGGCCAAGGCTCGGTAAGCCATGACGGAAGCACCGTCGTCTGGCGGGTTTCTATCACAGCCCGTGCTAACCGGGTATGCGGGGTACCCTCCCGGATCGGGTCTGTATAAGCAGCGCGTAGTCATGTTCTTTGGCTCTCGGAGCATACGTACACTTCCTCTGATAACGGCGACGTGATTTGGGCGTGATGTAGCGAACGTGAACGTGATATATCTATCTACGCTGCGGCGGATCTTGGTCTATTTCTCCCGTCATACCGAGGTTCACTAAGCTCTCGCCGGTCGACGTTAGAGCGGCCGAGACGCGTGTTCTTGCGCCCAGAGCTGCCGTGGCTCCGTCCATCTCCTCCACCACCGTACTTAAGCCATGGCCGGCCCTCTAGGCCTCCAATTATCCCCCGCAAACGCGAATCCCCCACTTGGCAGCAGGAGGAACAAGATGCCGTTCGCGTTCCTGCCCATCCTGGACCCGGCGGAGAGCACTCAGGGGGTGTTACCCTTTTCGGCACGCCATTGCGAGCCCAGGTGCGTGATGCGATAACGACGCGCTCGTGGGCCGGTCCCGCGTTCTGACTGTGTGGCTTGCTGACTTACCCGCCTTGCCTCTGATCCACCAGCCTACAAAGTCCGTTCAACGTTGGGACCGCGTTCTGGGAGGATATCATCCAGAAGAAACCAGCCGCACCAACGCCGGCGCCCGCGATCTCGTCCACGCCGAGCACGGAGAGCAGCATGAGCGTTAGCAGCCGCAATGTCTCGCCCGACGCACGGTCTAGCGCTTCTGTTGAGCACTGGGCCGCGGCGGCCGCGCACGAAGAGCCCGAGGTGGTTGAGTGGGACTGGGACGCGGAACATGAAGACCGCCGGCGGGAGGCCAAGGCGGATGTTGACTTTGCGCGCAACGGGCAGCTCGAGCAGGTGCCTTTCCAGGTCGATCGTAAGCTGCTCAAAGACATTGTCAAGGATAAAATGGAAAAAGACGTTGGCAGGATCAACTTCATCAGTTCAGGTTCGTTTTGTGGTTCGTCCTTCGGTAGCTGCCAGAGCTAATTCCCCGATTCAGGTACTTTCCACAAGGCGTATCTCATTACCCTTGTGGACGGAGAAGAAGTAGTGGCACGTGTGGCGCGGAAGTTCATGCCTCGAATCAAGACCGAGTCCGAAGTCGCAACCATGCAATACCTGCGCAAGTACACTTCGGTGCCAGTGCCCGAGGTATACCATTACGACGCGAACCAATACAACCGGCTCGGAGGCGAGTTTATCATCATGTCCAAGGTAAGCGTCTTCTTCAACTTGCGAGTACAGTCCATTGACACGGATTGCGACAGGCTCGAGGCATTCCGCTATCGCAAGTATACTACTCCCTCGGACATAACGAACTACTCGCCCTATTAGACAACACGGCCAAGCTATTGATACCCCTCTTCGGTCACCGATTCCCCAAGCTCGGCTCGCTTCAGTTCGCGCCCGAGGCCCCGCTGCCGTCTGTTCAGCAACTAAGCAGTCGCACATCATCCGCAGCGACCATCACACCTGCGATGCTTAACAGCAAGACCAGGCCCACTTCGCTCCTGACTCCGCAACTCAGCATGTCGTCAACTCTCGTGCCTCCAACACCTACGGCCAGCGATCCACCCAAGGGCTTTGGGGATCTCTCTTTCCCCACGCTGCCTCCCTCTACGTCCCCGCCTCCAGTAGACGACATCATTGTCGGTCCTATCATCTCTTGGCCCTTCTTCGGCTCTAACCGGGGCCTCCTCTCGCACCCCCAAGAGCTCGACCGCGGGCCGTGGTCGAGCACGCACGCCTACCTCGAGTCCTGCGCCCAGCGCGAGATCACGGGCGTGATCCGCGAGAACGAGGGCAAGGCCGTGCCGCACAAACTCCACCTTGACCCGGATGAGGTGCAGTCCTCCCGCCATCCGCACCACCTCGCCGCGCTCGAGAACGAGGACGAGAGCGAGGCGAGCACGGAGTGGGATTGGGAAGAGAGCGAGCAGGAATGGGATGGTCCTGGCGATAACATGTACCGCGATTATCGTCGGATGCAGCGCGGCACGTTCTTGCTCAGCCACATGCAGGAGCGAGAGCAGAAGGTGAGGGAGGAGATGGAGAGGTTCATGAGGGTGATGCAGAAGCTCGGCGTCAAGAAGGCGGAGGCGACTGCTGAAGGTGCTGAATCTGGCGCTGAAGAAGAGTTCGCGCTCGACTGCCACGATCTCAGTCTCGAGAACGTATTCGTCGACGAGAATGACCATTCGAAAATCGTGAGACCTTTCTTCGTATTACATGCCGTTGGGCCGCGAACTCATATATTTGTTCCTTATTCCAGACTTGCATCATTGACTGGGAATCGACCACAACGAGGCCCCTCTGGGCATCGGCTCACCTTCCCGCGTACCTACAATCGTCGCCATTCACTGCCAAGCTCTTCCGACGTGCGGTGCACAAACTTGCTCACGGGCGCACTTACGATCCTGCCTCTCCTCGCCGCGTCCGCAACCTGCGACCGCGCGCCCTGGAGGACTTGGAGTCAGAAGATGTAGAAGCACTTGCCGCAGAATGGCTTTACTACGAGGCGTCCGGCGCCAAGCTCCGCTCCGTGCATCGCTGTATCGAATGGGACGGATGGGAGGAAGGCTTGATCGACAGTATCCTCGGACCACCGGAACAGGAGGAGGAGCTGGTCGCGCCGTGGGAACAGGTCGACGAAATCGACGAGGAGGACGACGAGATGGACGGCGTCAGCAGCCGCTCAGGCTCGGACTCCCCCATATCGGACTCGATCGTCACCGAGGAGAGCAGCAAGGGCACCGGGCAGGGGTCGAACAAGAAGAAGAAGCGGCCGCCGTTCGCGACGTCCGAGGAGCGCGAGAAGGAGAAGCTGCTGAACGCGACTGGCGACATCTGTGGTGGCCGCGGGGGCGAGCTTGGGCGAAGGCTCGAACATTGGCTGCACGAAACGTCGCACGGCGAGGAGGACGACACGCTTCGCAAGTGGGCCGGGGAAGATCCTGCCAGCGAGGAGGTGCAGTGATGTGCCAAATCGGCGCCTCGCTGTGGACATTTGTTCTGGTTACGTCCGTGCATGCAGCCATGCATTAATTTTTGCCATTTTGGCTTGGTGTTGATTAATGTACATTACAAATCCTTCCTAGAGTCACGAACTGATACGGTAACAGGGTGGAAGGGATCCGTTCAGTAGCTAATGAGACACCATGTGCATTCTGTACTCTAGCAATAATTTATGTCGCTTGGTCAGTGAAACGAGACCCGCCCAGGGAACTGAATGTCAATAGGTCGTTAGTAGTATGTGTTCTGTCGGTGCGTTGATGGTGATGCATTCGTGATGCATTCGTCTCTTCTCTATAGCGTCTGCCTGGGTGAAGCCAGCTGGGCCGTCAATATGCAGGACTGAGACCGATCTCGGACAAATCGAGGACTTGGCATAGTCGAAGACGATTGCCACTTGTTTTAGGTGCTGATGGAGGAGCTGGACGGGGCGATGCCAGCACGTCGCCCTTCGTCACGAACAGAGTACATGCCGCACGAGTGTATGCCAGAAATGACCTGAAGTCGAACTCACGAACGAAAGACCTAGCAGATCCTCCACGCCGCCTGCCACCGCCAGGTAACCACATAATAGCCCATATACAAGAATATGCTCGGACAAGGAAGTTCCGGTGGAGCATGTCGTCTCTATTCGTGGATATAGTAAGCGCAGAGACCGCCAGCTGTCGAATCTCGATGCCAGAATAACGCTCGGCGCTGAGCAGTGAGAGCGCGCGCTCGGCGGTCGATATCGCACTTGATGTGAGCGGGAGAGGGGTAATCTGTGCGTGCGTTGTGCAGCATGATACGAGCTTGAGTGCACGGCTGGATCATGCCCAAGATCACGACCTGGTTCACAGTTCTCGAGTCAACAAGTCGATCTTGGGCACCGTAATCCAAGAATTGAGCACCACTATAGGTTCAGCTTAATTGTGTACAAGAAATGAGCACTGAGTAGGATGATAGCCCATCAATGTCCCACGCAACTCTCCTATGAATACGATGATGAACTATCAAAGTGACCCTTCCTGCTGATCCTGTCGTCAAGTGCGCAGCATGTACGCCCAGCTGATCGGCTCCTACCAATCTGTGAGGTAGGGCCGGAGTCTTTGCATGCCGAGGAGAGATAGCATATCGAATCCGACGGCACGGTGTCGGCGGCGCATCAGGGACCTGGCGCACCTACTAGTAGTCCAGCGCACCCCTTGGCCGGCATTGTGACTTGCTCGACGCAATCATCTCCTCCCCAACTGGGAGCTCTCTATGACTTTCGAACCCTTGTCTTCAAGAAATTTATAGAACTCGGCGATTTCTTAACATGCTTCCGGAACCCCGGGCGATGTGAGCATATTCACCTTCAAATTTATCCCCATGTCACCGATGAGCATCGCGACCTGATGTTCGGTGGCCACGGGAAGTCGGTTTCTGACAGAATTCATCTAGTTTCATACACAACTGTCTGCAAGTCCTGGGTTTGACTATACTCTATTATGACCACTATCTCAGTGAGCAGCCTTGCAACCCGACTCCGTATGAAGGGTGCTAACGCCCTATCTAAGCATTTCCTCAAGAGTTCAAGCACATCTGGCGGCACCCTCGATACGCATCCGCATCTACATTCTGGTTCCTCTTGAATCGCTATGTCAACTTCTTTGGAGACATCGTAGTTGCTGTCTTCGTCTTCATGAACCTGAACTCTAAGGTACGCCCGGGACAATGCAGTCGATTCGGCCTTATCGTCCACTATACTGATACCATAATTGCAGAGGTACTGCACCAGCTGCTGAAGAGACCCGTGTCATGTGCCTCAGTGCTGACTCTCCGTCGTCCCGGCGCAGTTGCTCGGCCTATAATCTATTTCGACAATGTTTACTGGTAGTAAGCCAAGTAATTGTATCAAGTATGTCCGCTTCTCTTCGCGACTGCAATATAATCGTTGACCCATTCCAGTAATCATGGCTCAAAGAACATACGCCCTTTACGAGCGGTCAAAGAAAATCCTCGTCCTCATCCTATGCTGTGCCAGTGCTCTCTTTTCCCTAGCATGCGTGCGTACTATATATTAGAGGGACTGTATTATTCTCATCTCTCGTTTTCAATCCAGTGGGGTCTCCTAAACCAGCATTCAACCGTCCTCCCTAACTCTGGTTGTCATGTTACCCTGGCGCGTGTGACGTGAGCTGCGATTATTGTTGCGTGTTGTTGAACGCCTCAGACACATTTGCATATGCTCATACACAGCGGTATCCGGATAGCGATAGCGTGGGAGGCGCTCTTCGCTCTGGATACTCTTATATTCGCCTTGACAATATTTCGCACCTGGAAACTGTCCGAGGGAGGAAGAGTAAATTCGCGCTCAAGGCATGACATCGTCCTTCTCATAACCCGCGACGGAGCTCTCTACTTCGGGTACGCATCCTAGCTGGTGATTCTACCTTCGAGTCGTCTGATGAGTGTACCAGGGTTATGGCATTGGCAAACCTGTCCAACCTAGTAACGTTCTACGTGAGTGCGCACCTTTGCGATTACCAGGGAGTGCAACTGACATACGCCTATAGTCGGATGAAGTGAGAACTTTCGTCACTGTCAGGCCGCGCATGCTTTACTGACCGCCAAACGTAGCCTGCCTTACGCGGGTCTCTCTCAACTTTCGCCAGCGCGTATGTCACTCTGATATCTGCTCGTTCCTCGAGCTAGGTTCTGATTCATGCATCCGATTCAGCATCTCCGTTTCGATGTGCTCACGTGTCATTCTCAACCTTCACGAGAGCGCATACCGCAATGCTCATCTCCCCACGACGACCTTCGCGGACAGGATGTTGACGTCGCCTACTGGCTTAGACGGCTCGCATGGTCAGCAGTTGACGACTTTCTTCGACGCTCGGGCCGAATTGTCTATTATGGCTCGAGACAACACCAAAGATATTCAAATGGATGAGTTCAGCATCGCGCGCGCGACATCCCCATGCAACAGGCCGTCGTATACACTCTCGGACAGCGATCGCACATGGACATCGTGGGAGGGACCGTTTGAACGCTAGATCTGTAGCCGTCAATATCGCCGATTTATGTAACAATATCGCTTGTATAATACCACATCTACTTAAGCTACTTTATATACATCGGTATTTTGATGTTCCATTTCCTAGAGATCCATGTCAATGGTCTATAGGCGAGTGGGAGTCCATTTCCAGGCGCCCCCGAAAGCATTTCCCCGATTAGCTCCAACTCGTCTACGGCGGCGTAGTTGCACGTCCTCGTTCCACACTGGGACGATCAACGAGCTCGATCGATCGGTGAGTGCGGATTGTAGGCATTGGCAAGGAAAGATCGGATGGCGATACGGGTACGTCTTGGTACGTCGCGTGCGAGGCCCGGACGTTGAGCATTAAACGAGAGCTCATGATGCAAGGCACGGCAATCACGAATCCTGTTGCGAGATCCAACGAGTCGGGCTGGACGACAGTCATGAGCGAAGGTTGGTGAGGTTCAGGTGAGATGCATACAAGGAATGAACTCCACAGATATACGTTGAGCCCGTACGTAAAGATGATTCTAGTCACTTCAGTCATTTGTGGAAGCTGTGACAGTTGAAGGGACTCACGCGATATAATATCCGATCGAGTCCCTCAGCAGAATGTTAACCAGATGTCGTGGAACGAGGATCAGCACGATGACATTGCTCTTGATCAGGGTGTACGCTTTTCTCAGCGCCAAGACGCATAGCACAGTGTCGTATGCAATTGGCGTGATGAAGAAGAAAACCATCCACCAAGGCACGACATAGCAATGGCAGCGAGAGAAGCGGCCAATACGCTCCGGACGGACTAAGGGAGCATCAAGAATACGATCAGTGACATGGGTCTTCAGACCTGGCGCAGTGAACAAGATCACCTACCTCTTATCCATTTTACGGACCTCGCGATAATGGTCATCATGACAATCGATTGCACCACAAATCCGGTAGCCAAAAGCCACATGAGTCGTCTTGAGCGATTGTAGAGCGCATAAATACGGAGCTGTAGTATGACTTGAAGCGGACATCGGCACGCACACCGACTAGAGCTGCGGAGGACATACTTTCGATACATAGAATGCTCAAGATCGCCCCAAAGCCTTCAGTTCGGAGCCATATTCGACCTATAACAATCGCTCAACAATCACGCATTCGAGATATCAAAGACAACATACATCTGAGAAGAAAGTTGGCAACCCTTCATTGAGCGTGCCGCCAACATACAGACAGAACTACAAACATCTGTGGTGGTATCAGAAGTGGTAAATGCGATTTCATTGGAAACCCAACCCGTTCATCTGTCCCAGGAAGCATAACCACTTCAGGAGTTGTTCAGAGATTGCGCAGGACATGGATATCGAGGTCATACCGACAAGACCGAACCTAGAGGGAATGTTATAGGGTCGCTCTGGTCGCAGTGAAGAGACTTACTTACAGTGTTATCGCGAAGCCAACATAGCGATTCTACCGAGATAAACCCCTGTCATCAGCATCTCGGTCTTGGGAAGCGATTGTATGACGCGTTCACCCAATAGAAGAGGAAGCTGGCCATAGTAAAGGGTTGTTTCTGTAGGAAATGAATATGAAGGACCAACGAGGATCTTCCATAAATAACGCTGACCCAGAATAACCGACGCTGTGAAAGCACAGAACTATATCGTCAGGGACAAAGCTCGACCAGTAGCGCTTCGACGCACCTCGTCCTCGAGCGTCAGTACTGGCTCGATGTCAGAGGAGATTGGGCATGGTACCAAAAAAACACGCACGGAAATCCCAGAGCATCAGCACGACGGCACCGACTAGAGATAGGAGGTTTTCAGACATTACGCACGCGAAACATCGGCGAATGAAACAAGCTCGCCTCTGTTGCAACGAGCTATGTACGTCATTTCCCAACTACGCTGGAAGTCAGGAGCCATTCCGTGCCACACCGCACTTGCATCCCAAGGTCGAGACAGCTGGGTCCGCCTGCGGTACGCAAGTGAACGACGTGTGAGTAGTGTGGTTTGGAACGAAACTGAGGGTCTCATATCCTCGTGTGCTCGTGGCATTAGCCTCCCGCTTTGTGCATATTAAGTACCGTGAGGCCGATAAGAGACGTCCTCGATCATCTTCTGTTTTACCCATTCAGCCAAGTTGGTCTTTCAGGCACTCCCTCCCCTGAGGCCCCTCGTCGGACCCCCTACTGTATGTCAAGGTGCACCGCTTGGCCCGTGGAAAATGGCTGCCTGCCGATGTGCTTGCGGTGTGCTCTGGATTTCGGGTTTGAACTCAGTTGAGAAACGATGGAATAACTTCGTCGAGCCGATGCTGCGCATGCTAAACATGCAGAGATCTGTCACCTCTTGTTCGCCGGGCATGTGGTGCACCTCGGAACGTTCGCATCGTTTTGTGTTCGTCGCCGGCGGCGCCCCAGAACTCGCCCCAGAATTCGCCAGCACAGCACTCCAATGGTGTCACCTTGGTGTCACCGTTTCCGGCGCCGGCTTCTCCGCCGGTCCCGTGACCGACGCCGAATTCAGCCTTGGGGCGGAGTGAGCCCGGCCGGTGCCACTCGGTGCCCCCGGATCCGATAGGTCATCGCCGGTCAAAGTGTACACATATAAAGATCAGCCCTCCCGTTTCAACCATCATCCTCAGTTTTCTCGTTCCATCTCTCTCTCACTCCTTCCGCCATGTCTAACGTATTTGTACGTCTCACATCGTCAGCCGTGGGCCTGCGCTCGTGCTAACGCGATCTGTCCGATCGCCCCAGTTTGACATCGATATCAACGGGCAGCATGCTGGCCGGATCGTATTCAAGCTCTACGACGACGTTGTCCCCAGAACCACTCGCAACTTCCGCGAGCTGGCCACCGGCCAGAATGGTTTCGGCTATGCGGGCTCCTCCTTCCACCGCATCATCCCCAATTTCATGCTCCAGGGTGGTGACTTCACCAAGGGCAACGGCACCGGTGGCAAGTCGATCTATGGCGAGAAGTTCGCTGGTGAGTCTCGCAATCACATCCAGGTAGTCTATCGCTTCATTCCTGATCACGATCGGTGTAGATGAGAACTTCCAGCTGAAGCACACCAAGCCCGGTATTCTCTCCATGGCTAATGCTGGAAAGAACACCAACGGCTCGCAGTTCTTCATCACCACCGTCGTCACGTCGTGGCTCGATGGCGCCCACGTCGTTTTCGGTACGTGGAGGATCACCAGGTTCGCATAGACTTGGTTGACTGATACCTACTTCTTAGGCGAGGTTGCTGAGGGTTTGGACCTCGTCAAGAAGATCGAGAGCTACGGATCTGCCTCTGGCACGCCCAAGGCCAAGATCACCATCGCTCAGTCCGGCACCGTCTAATATGCTTGCCGAAGATTGTAGTGCGGGGTGACTAGTGGAAGCAAACTCGATAAATAAATGTAGCTGTATGAGGGCATCGATATATGTACGCATTGCGCGTGTGGTGTTCGAGCAAGTTTCGTTCGCGATATGCTTTGCGATGCCCTGCCTGGACCCATTTGATGTGAATTTGAATCAGGCGTGTCGTTCTATCAGCGTGGGACATATCATCCCCGGTTTGGCAGGGACCATATCATCCTGGATGGTTAAGACGCATTCTGGCAATGAACTGAGGAGTTGATCATCCTTACCGTTCACAGCTGTCTGAGATATGCCAGTCGTCGTGCGAAGGCAATCTCCACTTCCCCGCGATCCGTGATGACGGTCACATCGTCCCCTGACCATTGATCGCCTGCGGCGGCTTGCTCCTGAGATTGATTGCCAACGAAATAGCACCCCACATTGTCACGTTGAGACAGCAGGGTCGCTCGGCTTTGCACACCACTGGCGAGTCGAATTTCGTGAGGCGTGCGGATGTACAGAAATCCTTGGAAATCTCGCGGTAGGGATAGCGCTATCGGTCCACCCTTGGTTTGCAATAATATTCGGCAACGTCCGCTGCGAATCCTCCACTGTTAATTGCATTTCGGCGTAAATTCCGAAGGTTGAATTGAGCGAGTGAATCTCAACGCACCAACTGAGCATCTACTGGCCTCCCTTCATTATGGATATTCAGCACGAGTTTGGGTTTACTGGCGTTTGGAAGCGCCATGTAGCTATGGGGACCGCCCGTGATGACGACCTTGCAGCTATCATTCCACCAATGACACTCCCGGTTGGTGACAGACGTTTGGCCGTAGCTGTAGCTGACCTCGTCAGTGATGATGCTGTTGGGCATTGAGGCACGATGGAAGAACGTCTGTTTGTCAGGGCTGACACGGCGGAAGATTTGACCTGAAGCTCAACGGCATCGAAAACCGAGGCGTCGGTGTGCAATCCTGCGTGGCTGCCACGAGGTGAGGAAGGGCGCCATCCGAAGCGAGAGAAGTGAGATAATTCTATCCACGTGTGCGAGGAACGGCACGATCTTCCCGAGATTATGTCTTCGAGTGCGCGTGGCATGTACGAGTGTCCGGCCGGTGTGATGGGCTGGGATAACTTCCATGATCAAGAACTGCGAGAGTCATGATCAGGGAAAACTCAAGTATGCCCCTTCTCATGCTCAGCAAGCTCGCATGCATACAGTCGAGAGAGAATGTTGCACAGATGCGCGCCCCAGACGTACCCTGCCAACCGTTCCAGAATGTCTCGTGAGCAAACATCGCATCGGCACGAGAAGGATGACGCTCGGTGGCGGGCATATCACTACCCGGGTTCACTGCTCAGCCTTGCGGTGAGAGCGGGCTTAGAGCGACGAACGATGAATAATAGCATATCAAGTGGTGTTACAAAGCAAGCTGTTCAATCGTTGGTCAGTTAAGCCGAGGAGGGCGTTCGCTGCCGAATTCTCACATTTTACAGCTGCCGGAGAAAGGCACATCTCTCAACCAGTGAGACCGTGATACCCCACCGACCGGCGTCAGCGATGATCTCGTCACCAGGCCACGCTCGATCCCCGTCACCTCCCTGTTGAGTCGATTGTTTGCCGATAAAATAGCGACTGACGCCGAGATCTTCCGAGAGAAGCGTAACGTGTTTCCTGAGTGGTCGTGAAAATTGTGCGGGATGTTGAGAGTACAGGGTGAGGTATCCGCAAAAGTTGCGAGGTAATGACAGAGAGATTGATCCATCTCCGGTACGGCAATAGAATGAGCACCGAGCGCGTCGTTTCCGCCACTAGGCATGTGTAGTCATCAGCAGAAGGTCAGATCAGACATGTATCGGTAATCCTCACCACCTGTAGTAATAGCTTCTCGTCGGGACAGACCAATTCCATCCTGCCAGAGTCTGTCCATGAGGCTTGAACGCGCGCGTCGTGCCGGAGGATGACTTTCAAGTCAGCGGTTTCGAAGAAGCGACGCTTGGTCACGGCCGTCTTGGGCACTGCTCCTTTCTTCATCGCGGGCATGCTTGAACAGAGTACCTTGCCCAGCAAGAGCATGCCCAGCAGAGAAGGAGCCTCCGAGCACGCAAGGCGGGGAACGACCAGAGACTAGTCGGGCCTCATGATACCTGGTTAAGACCCGCCAGCTGATACACGTGTTGGCCTCGCCGCAAAGGGTCGGTAAGCCTTGGGATATCCAATGTGCCTTTTCCCCCTTCATGGCGGTGCGTCCCGTTCTAGAATCCGCCGATTGGACGGAAAGCCTCCTGCTCGGCCGAGTAAACTTGGTTGCCGGTTGGCCCTCCGATCGAGCACAATCAAGTGCCCAAGGCGAGTTAATGAAGTTTATCGAGTATCCAACATAGGCCGGGTTGGACGTGGAGACATGTTAGAACGTGCAGCCATCTTCAAGTTGTGAAGAGAAGAGACAAGAGCAATCTCTACTTTAGAAGTTCAGCTGGAGCTAAGTTACTGGAGACGGTTGCGGTCACGGCGGTGGGAGACTCGAGAGCTGTCGATTACGTTATCGAAGAACTTAACTCCTGCGGCCAGCCATTGTCTATTCCGCCTCACAAATACGTATTCAACAACATGCTATACATGGGTTTCAAGTCTCTGAAAATACGATACGGAATGTCTGGGCGAGACACAGGTAGCTACATGGTGCATTCGCGCCATGCAGTCTATGCATCTGGGAATAGCGGGAAGGCGTAAGAATACTCCGTGGTGAGGAACTCCTGGTCGCCGTGGCGAACACAATGGTGGTAACAAGTTATGAACGGTGTGAACGACTCGCAAAAAATGTATCGCAGGGCGCCAGGGTGCACGCCAAGTCCATAACGACGAGCGTCCAGGCGCAGAGTCGTGAACGGAGACGCCAGAAAAGGAGGATGCAATATATCCGAAAAGTGCGAGAATCGACGTGATTCTACGCAAAGGTTATCTTCGCAAGGCACGTCGGTCCAGTGCCGCCGCCCCACCGGGCCGCATGACGATGCTCAGCATCCTGGTCAGCAGCGCGTTGAGCAGCGTCTTGGCCGCGAGCGACGTCGTCATAGTGCCGTCCTCGTCGAAGAACGCGATCCGCACGCCGCCATTGATTGCCTCGATCTGCGCCTCGTCGCCGGACCACGGCCGGTCGTCCGCGAAGACGGCCGCCTCCGCCTCTTGCACGGGCGACATAGATGCGTTGAGGAAGAACTGGTGCCGAGACGTCCAGTTCATGAGACTGCGTGACGAGGGGAAAGGAGTGGCTGTCAGTGGCAGTTGAAAGGGTGATTTGGCGTTGTTCGGAACGTTACCTTTTTGGGATCTCGGTGATTGTGGTGGAACGCGCCTGGACATCCTCCGAGAGCGAGACGACGCCGTTTCGGGAGAAGATATCAATGAGCCCTCGAAACGAGCGAGGGAGAAACATCGATACGGGCCCGTTTTGCGACTTTGCGGAGACCCATATCGGAGCACGGACGGCATCTTCCTCCGTTCGCTACATCCGCAAGACTTAGCATGGCATTTCGCACTGAACGTATATCAGGCCTCACCAGCCGCACAGTGACAGCCCCATTGACACTAAGCATGCTTATCGTTGTCCTGGTTCGCTCGCTCTGCGCGACGCTCGTCCGATCGCTCGGAGTGCCCTCCCGGACGGTGACATGAATGTCGATACACCCGTTTCGCGTCTCCAGCTCAAGGTTCCGCCTCCGCCTCCCAGGTACAAAATGCGGAGATAACGGTAACGTTGGATCGACTGTGTAGTGGCCACGGATATCCGAGTTGTGCCGTAAATCAGATACGCTATTGACGGCGACATGATTTGGATGGATAGGAGGGGTCGCGGAGTTGAGAGACGATTGGGACCTGTGAGTTGACAGCCCTGGACTGTGGTTCGCACTCAAGTAACTGAGAGTGCGCGGAGGTGTTGGAGGCGGTACGGGACTGTGCGTCGGCTGCGGTGATGATAGCTGGCCCAATGCTGTCTGGTCCTGCTCTGACTCCGTTATGGCCCCCAGCGAAGGTTGCGGCACAGTGATAGTAGGTACGGCAGAATACGGGGGCAAATTCGACATGACCGAGTCATGGCGCCTCTGTATGCCCGACGGCGCCCTATGAGCTGCGCAGTTCAAGAACAAAAATCGACACTTACCAGACTTCCTCCCGGAGACCGAGCGTCAATCTGGGACAGACGCCTCGCATCCTCTTCTGTCTTGATGATCATATCTCCGTTTTGGACGAGATCCAGCGTCAGGGCTGCCGTCCCAGCGTGCTTGCTTTTGTCTCTTTGTACAGACCTGGGGCTACTGCGGCACGAGTGATTGCAATGCGCAGCAAGTCACCACAGGTTTGAAGAGGTTCCAGCGCAGCCCTATCTTCAACAGCTCGAGCCTCGATATTCACCGCCTGTGGCCAACTTTAACTGACTGGAAGATGGTACAAGCGATTAGCGAGGCGGTGTTGTCGTCCAAACTTCACGGGAACGTGCTGGACAAGAAGACCGGTGCGTTGCCGGGTCGATCATCCGGCGTCTTCATCGGAGGTATGAACGGTAAAGGTGTGTGTTTCTTGAGCGCGTTGGCTGGAATGACGCGCAGGACCATCCAACAGTACCACCCACCGTGTCTCGGAGGACGACCTCGGCGTTGGTCGACGTGCTCTGGCCGTGCCGGTGTGATGCCGAAGCGAGGATCGTGTCTCCGCCCGAAATGCCGTGTGCCTTCCCCGGATCCCCTTGTTAGTTTCACGCTCACGCGGTCACCTCCGTCGATCTTAGCCTGGTCTCAGTCCCCCGTCGCTCTTTGACCCCCCACGCTCCTTCCGCTATACCCAGCAATGTTCGCTCGCCTCCTCGTCGCCTCTGCTGTTGCAGCCCTCGCTGGTGTCGCGTCTGCCGACCTCCAGGTCCTCGCTCCCGGTGGACCTGACCTGTGGTGGGGTAAGCTCGTCTGCGTTCGTTGCTGACGTCGTTCGCTGAGGATGTCGTTCTCGACTTTTAGTCGCTCAGTCGGTCAACACGATCCTCTGGAATTGCCAGGAATCTCAGTTCCAGAACTTCACCATCCTGTGAGTGCCCAGATGACTTTTTCAACGTGTGTTGTGTGACCGACGAACCCTGTCGTTCAGCATTGCGAACAGCAACCCAACGATCCTCGTCCAGCCGCAGGCGATTATTGCTATCGAAGAAAACTTCGACTGCTCCAAGACAATCACCGAGCAGCAGGCTAATTTCACCGTCGCCAGCGGTTACACCATTCAGCTTGCCAACACGTTGAACACCACCGACGTATGTTTCGTCCCGCGTCTGTCCCACATATGTGTCTAACCCATCCTCTCCCCCAAGATCTACGCCGAGTCTCAGCCCTTCGAGATCAAGTCCCTCGGCTCTACCTACCCTGCCAGCAGCGCGACGCCTACCGCCACCGGTACCTCTACCGCGTCTGGCTCCAACTCGGCCTCCGCCTCTGGCTCTCCCACTTCCGGCTCGGATTCTTCAGCGACCAGCAAGGCGTCCTCTGCCTCGTCCATCCAGTTCAGCGGCGTCTTAGCCCTCGCGGCTGCTGCTCTCGGCCTTGTGGTCGCCTAATTACGGCGTCCAACCTCACGGAGGTATGCCTAATTCGAGCCTTATCTAAGCGAAAATAGCTACACGCTTCCTTCGTTCACAAGGAGCTTGGATGGTGGCATCCGTTCTTGGTTCTTTTGACTTTCCGGGCATTGGTCGGGGCTTCCGCCCGTTGTTACTCGATACATCTACCCCTGTATCCTGTCTCAGTCTCAATTGAATTGTCTTGGGTTGACTTTCCATGACTACAATAATGAACTAGCCTCTCTTATCAGCCTCGCCTCCGCATCAAGAACGACCCGACTCGGAAGACCGTCTCTGGCTTTGATACCCTCTATACGGTTCCTCGTCACCTCCAGCCACTCTTTGCTGTGCCCGACTACCTCTCGGACTTCTTGCTCTTTGCCCAATCGCTTCGCTTCGCCGTTTAGCCATGCGACCAGTTCCGCGACCACAGCGATCTCCCCCGGACCGCCGAGGGTGTGCATCCTCCGTCCCTCGCCCGTGACCGCGATCCGCTTCAGGTAGATATCCCGCATTTCTGCGCGGGAGGGGAGCTCGGCGTATCCGGCGAACACGCGAGCGATGGCGATCGCGGAGTATTCGTGAAAGGAAAACGTCGCCGTGTTCAAGGGAACGCCTAAGAACGCTAACGAGGGGTTCGCTGGAGGGATGGTGCACGTGAGCGTGGCTACGACGATGCATATGAGACCGATGGCTTACGGATGTAGAAGATATCGCGGTGGAGGTTCAGAGTCGCATCTCCTCGCGTGACGATCACGTTCTCCGGCGAGGGCGATGAGGTGTCCCCAGGACGCTCAAGATGCGATAAAAACGGGTAGGAGAACTGCCGAAATCGCGTGAGTCGTGCTCGGTAGAAATCCTGAGGGTCGATGATAAAGTCATACGTGGTAACCAGTGGCGAAGATCACTGTGTCCACCTCCAAGACGGATCCATCAAGGAACTCCACGATACCAGGTCGACCATGTTCGTCCGCAACGATGAAGCGGGTAACGCCGTTCTTCCTGATATTGGACGCCGGTAAGCCAGCGCGGAAGGCTTCCCTGACATCCTAGCCTTGCTTAGCATTTGTCCACGACTGAAGGGCAAGGGTCGGTCCTACTCTCTCTTGCTGGGGTACCTCCGGAGCGAAGTCCCTGATGACATGAATGAGGGCCGGTACGCTGCCTCCCAGTTCCCTGGCGATATCAATCCCGGATGCATTGGCTCCAATGACCAAAACACTCTGCGTGGATCTTCTTAAGTATGATTGCGGTATCAGACGAAGATGAGTCACCTGGGCGCTGGCAAATTGAGAAGGGTGGCGATAGTCTTTGGCATGCCATCTTGAGCGAATCAGCTTCGTTGTGGCTGGGCGATCCGAGAAGAGTTTCGGGAGCTTACATGCTCTCCGGATACGCTGTCGCCCATTCCCTCAAACCTTCAAAGGCAGGGATATGCGGCTCGGCATAGTGACCAGACGCAACGACGACCGCGTCAAAATGCTATCAAACAATGTCAACTATATCGAGCAGCGCCGTCACTGCGAGGAACGGACGTGTCTATTCCAGGTGAATGCCGCTTCTTGCCAGCCATCCTCGCGAACGACGGTGGTCAAGGTCTTAGTGATGACCTCCCATCCTTTTCGGAGTTCGCCTTGTGTGACTTCCTTGACCCTTTCCACCCTTGTGTTATATTGCACAAGCTCCTCCAGGTTGAAGCGGCGAGCATAGCTCCGGACAAAGTCGCCTATCACGGACTGATTTGCGTACCAAGGGCCATCTTGGGTCCAAGGACTATGATCTGGTCAGACTTTGCAACTTTTAAGATGGAGCAGAATACATACTAGTCTTGAAATCCCATAGTTGGCAGAGGCACCTGACAAACTGGGTGAGCTGCGGAAAATTCTGAGTTCGCCGTTGTATCACAGACATTGTTCTGTAGCCGCTCGTACGTCGGCGTAGGAGGCGAATGCCGCAGCTTCGTGGTTTGGGCTTTCGCGTTGTCCACGACAAATTGTTCAGTGCGGGGCCATTCCTCGTGCGATTCCTGAACATTGGGCACGTCAGCACAATGTCCTGCAAGAACCATAGCCAGTCATGCCTCTATTTGTGACAGTCCCTTGGCGACAGGAAGCGGAAGTGGTCCGGATGGCCGTTCCCCAACGTCTGAGGTATAGCGCCATATTCCGCCCGCTGTGTCGGCCTGTTCGAACACGACCACGTCCAAGCCGGATTCCTTCAAGTGACGCGCTGCAGGAAGCTGATCCACGTTAGCAGATGTTTCCGAGAAGTGGTCCAATAACATACTCCGCTTGGGCCAGCACCGATTACGGCGACACTGCGTATGCCGGATGCGTTGAACTCATTATCAGAGGTTCCATCATAAACGGCCATCTTTGGGCACGTCTCAGACTCAGAAAATGTCCAGTTGGTAACGACATGTCTATAAGTACGCCTTGTTATCAATGATTCTGCTTAGAGAAGGCGCCTAGGCGGCAGCTGTGCGCCATTTTCCAAGCGATGGTGCAATGTGGTCCATATCTCGGCCAGGCATCCATAGTCGTTTATCAGACCTCGACCATGAAGTTACAAAGCAAATGCAGATTGAACCGAGAGTCGGAGTCGCTCGCGGAACCTACACCATGACCCCTTCATCCTTGTAGTGCAAGTCACGTGTAGTGATACATCCGTTAAAAATACGATTGTGTTCTCTGGAATGCACGACCCGGGGTCCTTATTTCGCCGTAGATACAATGAATTCCTCTGGAGCTTTGCCTTGCGACACCGTCAACTTCGCACCCGGACTCTCAGCGCCTCCCTCTTCGTCCTCAATTCGGATAGTCGATCCGTACCCGATGGCCGGGTTCGTCGCCGCCTTGCGATTCTTTCTCAGCTCGAGCTGATGCAGCTCTCTCGTAAGCAGCGTCCAAGCCACTTCAGAATGTACGATTTCAGCGATAGGTGAGGTCCAAATTCAACGGACACCCACCATGAGCGAGCGACAGTGCAAAGCTGTAGTATAAGCCCTTTGTGGACTTAGGATAGTCCGTTTGCTTCCAGACGAAGTTGGGAACAATGGCTTGTCTGCAGGGACAAAATGACTAATCAGCTTTTAAGAGGGGTGAACGAGAACGTTCAGAGCTTACACCACGTATGCGAAGTCCTGCAATGAGGCTAAGCATCGTCAAGAGATAAATTTACAGATCACTCACGTTCATGCTTGCCACGACGAGCGCTCGCTCTTCGTTGTCCGCGGTACATATCTAACGTTTCAAGCTATTGTTCAGCATGGAGCCAAGGCGTAGTCGGACGATCTTACTTCGTTAGCCCATGCGAAATGAAGCCCGCTCATTCCTCCTCCGATGTTCGTCATATCTGTCCAGGAAACGTCGTATTTTCTTACTCGGCAGAAGGAGAGAAACCACGCACAATATAAAACGAAATGAGAAGGGATCTTCGAGTGCACCGGAAGGTTCGCGAGTGAGATGCAGACGCATGCGTTGAGAAGGCTAGTGAATGCCAACCAGATCCATCGCCTCCCGCGCAGGATGCCGTCACTGGTCCAAGCGAAGAAGTAGGCCGTGATGATGTACACACCCTGATCATAGCACGCGGTCAGTTCTCACAACCCGACCAAGGAGGTATCACCGTACAGTGATTGCCATGGGGAGGTGGTTGATCTGCGGTACAGTATACACCGTCTTCTCCTTCGTGTTGAAGCTCTTGAGCCAGAGCGGCATGATCGACGACGCGTTCAGAGAGTTGTTCCACAGGACGTATAGCAGGGTGAGGACCGGAAGATGCCAGCTCTTGAGGAAGCCGCGAAGTCGCTCTTTGGTTATCGGCGCCTTGGGCTTGCGACCAATGGCAGCCATCCTCCGATCCGTCAGGTCTAACTCTGCCTGACTGAGCCAGAAGGTGGGCTTGTTTCCGCTCTGCCCAGGAAGAGCCGGCAGGAACACGTAGCCTAGTGCAGCGATCGGGATAGTGATTACAGCGTCGATGATGAAGACTTCAGAGGTAATGAGTAAGACAGCGTCAGTAGGCCGAGGGCTTGACTTACGCCATCTCCATCCCGCCAAACCATTATGGCCGTTGAGATTGGAGTATGCTGCGGCCTATGCATTCCGCCATGAGCGGAGGCGATGACTACCAGCAGGCCAGTGACTCACTTGCAACACGCTCGACAGTAATGTGCCCATACCTCCGGCGGTATGGAAGATGACTGCACGCTGCGAAGTGGTTAGGTACCTTCGTTTATCGGTGATATAATCATATCTACCTTGCCTAACTCGCGAGGCGTATAGAAGTTCCCGATTATGTATTGCATACCGGGATCTATGTAAAGGGGGTTAACATTGAGGGTGATCTGTAGTAAAGGACAACGCACAAAACCCAGCCTCGAATAGCCCGACAAGGAACCTGATACCATACAACTGCAAGCGGTCAGTGTCGGGATAGCAGCGTCAAAGTAAGCCGCACGTACCGCCTGATAGCTCTTCACCTTGTAGCTGAACAGGGTACATATACCCCAGCCCAGTTCCAAGGTCGGTATCCACCACCGTGGGCTGACCCTCGTGAGTAACCTGAAACGTCGTCTTCGGCAGTGTTCCGTTGTGAAGGGCGATGTAACGCTTACAAGTTCGATGGTATCTGGCCTATTAACGCAGACGATCAGTCGTTGGAAGTCGTTGACTGGTAGCAATACGCGACCTATCACATAGCCGATTGTCCACATTGTGATAGCTGTGGTGAGCTGATTACCGAACATGCCGACTAATCCAGGTAATCAGCGAGCAGTATATCATGAATTCACTCGTGCACTCACGGTCCTCTTTCATTCCAGACACAAATGCAGAATTGATATTCGATTGATCCAGATTTTTGAGGAAATAACTACGATGGTCAGAGCATTGGAACCAGATCTGCTAGTTGACCAGAGAAGCACGACCAACCCAAGGCTAGCAAATGTGAGAAGAACAGCATCGAGCTTGAACAGTAGCCGACGTTCTTCCGTTGACGAGTCGAAGGTATCCCATAGCGCGCCTTTCCAAGTGGACTTGGGCTTCGTTATCGAGTTGAGCGAGATGTCTCCGTCCTTGGAAGCAAGAGACGAGGAGTCGTTGTCGTACGCCATGGTCGCCAAGGGAAGATACTGACTTCTGTCGGGCCTCCGAGAGCTAGAACCGAGAGCCGAGGAGTCCTCAAAGGCCCGCATATTGAGCCAGTCTTCGTTTATCTAACCGTATCGCGGCAGGTACGTCGAGAGCCGAGGCACGCTTTGGAGCACCACCGCGCTATCGCCAAGGAGTCTCGCGCCTTCAGGAAGCGCTATGATGTGCTTAATATGGAGTTGGCTGCCCGAGGACCGAAAGCAAACTCGAACAGAGAGCTTGTACGTGCACGACATCCGCACGTCTTTCCCAGGAGACATTGCAAGTAATCATGGGTGGCAGCTTTATAATTCCGCAGATAAGATGCGAGCTGGAGCCGCGCACTCGCGAGAAGTTCAAGTCAAAGCTCGAGCTCGGCTTGTGGTCATCGCGTCCTCCACGTGACCGTGCTCGCCGTTGCGCTCTTGTTAGGCCGATGCTTGGACTCGAGCACAATCCCCTTGTATCTTTACGCAAGAACTTCAACGATATTCTTCAAAAACCGTCCACCGCCAGCGCTATCTTGAGAGCCTCAAACTATGATATTGATTTGCTTCGCCGCTGGGAATGCTATTCGCCATCGTGCTCATGCCTTGCGTGGAGCACCTCATCCATGCTCTGAATAGCATCTCGCGCTTCGCGAAGCTCCAAGCCCGGTTGCCGGCCTCTTGGAGAAACCTATTCGTGCTTCATATGTGCTCGCGTCCGCTCAGTCATACGCAAGTCATACGCGACGGATTGATCAGCTGGACTTGGGCTCATCATACCGTCTTCGTCAAACATGGCCGCCTCGGCTTCCAGTCTTTGCTTGAGCATAAAATGGCTCGTGCCGGACAATCTTATCTATCCCTCTTCCTGACGTCTCGGAGTACTCTCGCATTCTCGACCTACAGACATGCCCGTCCCTGTTGCGAACCACGTTGAGAAGCTGCCTCCGGCGTCGCGCGAGCGGTTGGTCCGAGCTGGTATCGACCTGACAAACTACCCTGAGTGGCCTCCAAAGCCGAAGAGCTTGACGCTCGCCGCTAAGGTCAGGGAGGAAGAGCGCCCTCATATCGAGAGGGGCAAGAATGCGGATCCGGAGAAGAAGGTGAGATCATCATACCCTCTGATTGACTCGCAGCTGATGTCTCACGACCTATCTATCAGGCACTCCTCAAGGCCGCTAAGGAGGTCATTCACCTCAGCAAGCATATCGGGACGGAAATTGTCGGTCTTCAGCTGTCGCAGCTAACGGACCAGCAGGTTCGCTCATTATTATCTTGTTAAACCACTTCTTGATGTGCAGAGGGTCACCTGATATGTGATGCTTTCACAGAAAGACGAACTCGCTCTTCTCATCGCCGAGAGGACGGTCGTTTTCTTCCGCGACCAAGATCTGACCCCGCAGCAGCAACGCGACCTGGGCGCTTACTTCGGTGAAGTCGAGGTCCACCCTACTGCTCCTCGCGTGCCTGGTCTCCCGGGTGTCTCCATCATCTGTGCGTGTTCAAACGTATTCAACCGACGTGATTCTCTGAGACAAGGTCCATTCAGGGCCCGAGCTTGCAAGGCAAGAGAGGGTTGGTTTTAGGAACCCCTTCGGGTGAGTGACTGTTTAGTCCAATGCATGGCCTACCGTCATTGATTGCGCCTCGCAGAACTCAAGATTGGGTTGGTCTCCGTCGATCATGACTGCCGCAGCGCAACTGACCTTGAACTGCGCCGTAGCACACGGATCTTACTCATGAGAAGCAGCCGCCGGGCATCAGTACGCAGTCTCCTCGCGTCAATTCCACAATGAAACTCATGACCATTTGCACCTCTAGCACACCTTCACAACGACACGTGAGCAGTTGCCAGTTCGTCAGCCTCAAATTAGACCTTAACCTTGCACCAGTATTCCGTCCATCGGCGGCGACACATATTGGGCTTCGGGTTACTCCGCTTATGACAAGTTGTCCCCTGCATTCCGTGCAAAGATAGACGGCCTTCAGGCCGTCTACCGCTCAGCCCATGTGTACAAGAACCCTGAGGACCCTGATGGTCCTCTCGTTCCGATAGAGCGTGTGCACCCGCTTGTGCGCACCCACCCGGCGACAGGCTGGAAGAGCTTGTATGTTCAATGTTGACATTGTAAACTGACGAGTTCTCTGATCCGCCTTTGAGATAGGTTCGTGAACCGCAAATACACACTGCGGATCGTCGGTTTCGAGCCAGCCGAGAGCAAAATCATCCTGGATTAGTGAGACGAGTAATCTCGTTTCTCATGGCGTTGCTTGACCACCTTTATCGTTAGCCTCTTTGACGTGTACGAGCGTTCTTTGGACATCCAAGTGCGTTTCAAGTGGACTCCGGGGACGTCCGCTCTCTGGGACAAGTAGGGGTATTCTTTGCCAAACAACAACAACCCCTGACGATTGATATTTCGCAGCCGTATTTCCATTCACGCAGCCGTATTTGACTACGAAGGCCACGAGCCTCGCCATGGTACTCGTGTGTCCTCGCTGGCCGAGGTTCCTTACTTTGACCCGCAATCGAAGTCGCGTCGTGAGGCTCTCGGGCTGGACAAGCCAGAGGATTTCTTGCCCAAGAAGGAGATTATCTACTGAGGCGCTGTAATCAATATGAATGTACGATGATGTATTCAATTGAATGAGATTTTTTTGACGGCTCTACCATACCCCTGGCATGCAGTGGGATTCGCGGGTCGGCACATAGCTTGCTTACATTCGTACGTGCATTGGCTCTCATGCAGCATGCGCATCGAGCATGTGTCCCATTGTACGACTATACCTTGGCCACGCTATGCATGCGACGTTCGTGAAGCTATAATGATGTGGAAAACCACAGCGCAACCAAACACGACGATTCCGATGTCCGTAGAACACAATATGGATATGAGAGATTGATGTATAGAGGAGGAATGCATAATGTGATAATAAGAAACATTGTCCTACACCTCGTATGCTATAGTTCTCTAGATAACACATGCCCCATCGCAAGAGGTCAGTTTGCCTTAAACTGAGCAAACGTACCCGCGCGAGCTGGTGCAGCTCAACCGCCACGCGCAATACGATTAAGGGCCGTCCCTGCGGCTGCCTCCCGAGCGTCTCCCACGCTACGACCGCTGCCTTGTCCGTATGTCTGATTAGATACTGATACATGGTTAGTATGAAACGATGATTGCGATATATATATGAAGATTTACAGTACACCGTAGAGTACCATACGCATTTGTTGTCCGGGCCGACTTTCTGGTCAATATATCGAACGATGTTGGCGGGGTCACCGAAGTTCTGTTGAACCCAATTATTGAGGTTCATGCGGTTATCTGCAACAACCAATCGATCAATGCGTATGCGTGCTAATGGGTGCTTTGCACGTACTTGACATAGTACTCCAAGCCCTTGTAGAGATTGGTTGCCCTCGATTGATGGATACAATGAGTCCTCGTTCATTTATAGCTAGTCGAACGGGAGATAGCAATGGAATGGACCCGAGGCAGGCCAAGTCAGCCTGATGGATGCAAGAGTGGAATCGGGCATTATGCCTCCGCAGTTGGATACCAATGCATTTCGTACGATGGAAAACGCGGAGCATGGCGGCTATCGAGGTATTAGGCACCCCCAAATCTCCGGAGATTGTGCAGATGAATTCGACCCGGCGCGGAGACGGATAGCCCAGCCCTGTTCCTGCCAGGGAACGCAGTAGGACGTCGCGAGTCATGGCCGAAACGTCCAATCCGGAGCTTAATGGTTTGAGACGATGCACTGCTAAGGAGCGATAGCGATAGCTAAATGTTATGCCCTCAGCAGGAAAGGGAACACGAATGGATACGGAATTGGGGCAGAAGCTGCCGATGAAACGCGGGACCAGGCATTCGAATCGGCCACAAAGATCGGAACAATTTTTCCAGAGTGTTGACGACCTAGGATAGCAAGTTAATCCATAGCAGTGCACAGGAATCAACGAGCAGCGGGCGATGCTCTCACTTGTGCAACTCTTCCAACCACGATGGCGGTCGTGTAATACATTCAACATGTAGGTTAACGAACGCTGCATTAACATGCGAGAGGCCGTCGCGATACAGAGAAGCAGTGTAACGGGCGTAAGACTCCAGAATGGAACACGGTAACTCCCGGAGGACGCCGCCATGCTCACGATACCCGTCTACCTGGACCGCATGATTAGCACCGGATTCTCATCTACTGCTAGCAAGATACGAGAAGCAAAACTCGCCGCTGTTACAAAACTTCTTGATCGCCTGTAATTTGGCATTCACCCTATTATTCAGGGGACAGACTGTTCAGTCACTCTGCGTGAAACTATAGGCCAACCCTGTCAAAATTTCCAATGACTTCGTCGATGGCAGTAGGTGTCTGTTTGAGAACTGCTGGGGAGTCAGGGCCTGCAAAGATGGAATGAATCGAAGGGTCGGTGAGACACATAGCACAGCTCGACCAGGCCGAGGGCGCGCATTGATACGATGGGGCAAGGCCAAACAGCAGGATCCGATAGGTGTGCTGAACGCCTTCCGTAGGCGCCCGCAGTGATGGTCCCGTCGGTAGGCCACTGCAACAGCTGGTCCGGAGGAGAGAAGCCTGACCCCGACGCTTTGCGATCGAGTTACGGCGGAGTTGATCTATGATGACCGACATGCATTCTATCACCCTATCATCCGCGTCAAGCATCGTACGCTTCGAGATCCGCCTGGCACATATCGGGCGGCCTCGTTTTCGTAAGCCTCTATCGCGTAGATGCAACGTGGTCGAAAGCCATCACAACGAGCCCGGCACCGAGCGCCTAAACGTAGGTCAACCCCCGTACTTCGCGGATGTATATTCGATACGAAACGCGGAATGCCGATGTAGCACCCTCAGTCCTATATGGCATGTTCATGAGACACAAGATGTCCGAATCCTCGGATTAGAACGAGCAAGGTTCGCCGGATTGTCGAGACGAGTCATTTCACACAAGCTGCCAAGTTCTGGGCGCTTCAGGGGTGACCTAGTCATTGGCACTGAATGGCGGTAGCGTAGTCCTCGCAAGTCCACAAAGGCCGTCCGTACTGCGGGTCGCGACTCGCTTTCAGGTGTCTACCGATGGCTGTTGCGTCGCTACGCCCTACTGGGATGTGGTTGAGATAAGTGAGCACCATTGCACGGCGAATCACTCCTTGATTAGGCATGGCTTTGATGGCGGGTGTCGACTCTGCAACAATTGTTCGGTTGGAAGGCGCGGGCCAAAATCAGTTTGATCATCCGTGAAGCAGCTTGCAGTCACTTGACGAGTTCGACGCCCGTCAGCTGCAGACCTTTCCCACGCTTACCATTTCATTCCCTCTCCGCTTGAAATATTCTAGGCTACCTCCGGATGGTCAAAACACCGCAGGAAAGTATAAAGAGAAGGATAAATGTGTAAATGTTCTAAAACTAGTGTCCCTACCAGGGTTCGAGCCTGGGTCTTCACGGTTTGCAGCGAGGAAGGCGCCTACCACAACGTGATGATCTAACCACTAATCGATGGGGACCGAAAGTCAAAGCCCCAATGTCTATACATATTCAGTTTTGTTTCCCATACCCTCAACACCTTCAAGTAAACACGGTTGCAATCCTGAGGCTGGAACATTGCTGATCTGCACTCGCGATGAGTCCGGCGAGGACCCATCCGCGATTCATCATACCCGATGCTACCGGAGCTTCATGATGCCGCTACTCTTTCTTTTCGATCCCTCTGCCTTAGTGCTCCAGCCTGAACCATGATCGCGAACGCGGTTGTGCTCCTCGGTGCGCTTCTCGCCGGAATCAATCTTGCATTTGGTTGAGTGCGTGCCGCCAGATCTCGATACCATTGTCACTGACCGGCTCTGGACACCGTAACGCAGCATCTCGGTGAGCTGCTTTGCCGCGTTACAAGGACTGGTTTCGAACGAGGATGCGTCCTCATGCTTGAACGCGGTCACGCTGGTCAGGCTTCTGACAAACACCACCGAATCGTTCGTTGGTCCCATTGACTCACGGGTGACCGGCATGTGTCAAGATGCGCAGGGCAGCAACAGCACGCTCAGTTCGATCGTCGCGAATGTCACGAGCGGATGCTGGGGGGACCTTGAAGGTCTTGGTTTATCCGGCTTGAATAGCTCCAGCTTTGTGAGCATCATGCAAGATGCGTACCCCACCGTTAGACAGATCGCCTGCCTCGAAGAGTACGTTCCTTCAGAACTTACTTTGCCTGTGACGTTGGCGTTGACCAGGTGGTCATCGTCGTAGTACTCAAAACGACATCATGTGTCTCACCGAGGAGCTCACAAATATCCAGGTAGTTCTAGGTACGTTCAGCCTCAGTAACCTAGTCTTCAACGCTAGTGGTCTCGCGGCCACACCACCGTCACCAACATCCCCATGAACGACAACTGCACACAATACACCAAGGCAGCATACCTCGTCGCGAGCACTCTTGGGCAGCGCGGGGGCCTCTTTACAGCAACAGTATGGCTCCGACTTTACAGGTACGCCTTTCTCGCTCGCGCGATCTGTGCTGAGGTATCTCATGCGACGCTCTATGTGAGCGCACATACAGATGGACCAATACACACAGACGTCGTGCCCATTGCATCCAGTGCGAGTGCCAAGAGCGCAGCGTCACCAGTCATGCTTAAGGGCGGGCTTCTGAACATTTTCCGGTCTGTTGTCCTGGCTGCTTTCGCCGTCGCCACCCTCAGTTAAGATCTACCGTGTAACCCTCATTGCTGACACAACCAGTGAGGTTGAATCGAGTATAATCATAACTCAGGATAGTCTCTTCTAGCGATGTGGGTATATCTACGGTAGAGCTGCGTGGTGTAGTGCCCTCGCGCGTATCGGAGCACTGATCCTGAGAACCGCGTTACACGTCCTTGTCTCGTGCACGTCCACACGTCTTGCTTCTGCTATCGCGGTCGTCGTCGGCCCGGCTTTCGGGCCCAACAATGTATCGTGCTTGCGCTCACTCGATGTGCCCACCGCGTCTCGCACTGGGACAGTCATATGCCGACTCAGATCAGCGACTACCTTCTTCACCTGGCTGTTCTATTCGCGAGCGGATGGCTTCTTGCACGGAGGAAGCCTGACCCTGTTCTCCTCCTCGGTATCACGAGATGGCAGACCATACGACGGCATGCTCTGGCAGCTGGTGCGATGATGTCGTGATATAGGGCTATGTGCACCGAGCGAATATTCGCCGCACTGTCCAGTCCGGATCGCTCGCCTGACGCAACCGCTTCTCGAGGACAGGGATGGGCGGCCCGGAGGGAGTATAAGTCCGTGAGGTGAGCAGGCGTCGCCGCTCTAATCAACTTTGATTTCGCGTGCTGATCGACGTATTCTGAGATGACTAGAGGGCTGCATGCGCTTATACCCTTGCTTGCGTTAGCTGCACAAGCATGGGCTGCGACTGTCGTGGTGGTCAATGGGACCGCGAGCCATCCTATCCCATCCACCCTCTGTTCGTAAATGTCGAAACTATCGTCACCACATCTGACGGCTCTTATCCCACAGACGGCCAAATGTTCGAGGTCTGTATATCAATGTGCGCACATGTACTACGTCACTAACAATTGGATGGACCTTCGACAGGATATAAACGTGAGTCACGCTCGGAGCATTCTACCCAATTTTGCGCTAAGGAACTCTTCTGCCGCACATCTAGCACGTACGCTGGATCTGCCTCGCACTCATCCCCCTAACCATTGAACACCTGCTTATAGAGCGGCGACGGAGGCTTATATGCGGAACGTGGGTAGCAATGCTCGCGTCCGTCGCACATGTAGCTCATGCCTCATTCAGTCCTACAAAATCGAGCCTTCCAGCAGGTCACGGCTGGTGCGTGTATATATCGCGTGATAGCTGTTCGCAAGTTCATCGTAACTGCCGCAGGCACATCTGCCGCATTGACTGCATGGTCGGCGGTCGGCGACGCAACCATCGCCGTCCTCGCCGATTCCGACCCGGTTTCCTCAGCCCTTCCTAACTCGTTGCAATTAACAATCCCCTCGGCATCGTCTGGTTCAGTAGGGTTTGCTAACTCCGGATACTTTGGTTGGTGCTTTCTCACTTGTCCTCGGCCGCGCTTCCTCATGCTCTTGCTTCTATCACAGGAATCAAGGTTGACTCCAGGTCCGATCGACGCATTCGTTCCTACATATCAAATACACTGACAAACAGCGCACAGTTGGACGTACAACGCCTCATTCTTCTTCAAGGTTCCGACTGTCCTGGACACGGACCTCGTAGCCACAGTCGCCCTGCAAACATCGTCTGGTTCCGTCCTGGCTGCATCCAATGTCACCATCCCCGCGAACCAGACCTCTTGGACGCAAGCGTTCACGACCCTCGCGCCGGCCTCGTCTGCCAGTGATGCGTCCAACCTGTTCACGGTCACGGTCGACGGTGCGAGTGCAGCGGGCGCAGCGGTTAACTTCGCGATGTTTAGCTTGATGCCGCCGACGTTCAAGGGACGGGCGAACGGCATGCGAATCGACGTTGCGGAGGTAAGAATCAATAATTGACATGAACTTGCGGTCTGATGCACGATCAGGCACTTGCAGCGATGGGTCCTACGTTCTTCCGCCTTCCTGGAGGTAACAATCTTGTATGTGCTCCATATTTCAAGCCGTATAGCTCAGCTAATCATTCACCAGGAGGTGTGATGCACTTTCCCCTGTCCACTCGTTGATTTGACAACGGTATATATGGACCAGGGTGAGACCATCGCGACAAGGTGGCAATGGAATGCCACCGTTGGCCCGCTCGTGGATCGGCCGGGTCGTGTCGGTGACTGGGGCTACGTCAATACCGATGGCCTTGGTTTGTACGAGCCTATCTTGTTTCCTGAAGAGTGTTCTGCTGTACTCATAGTGGTGACAGGCTCGAGTATCTGCTCTGGTGCGAGGATGTCGGCATGGAACCCATCCTGGCAGTATGGTCCGGTAAGACGACGCTCGTCTTCCATCTTTTAGCAATCCTGTGATAACCTTTTACAGGCTACGCACTCGGAGGCGAGGCTGTGTCGGAGGGCGACCTCGCGCCTTACATTCAACAGGCCATCGACCAAGCAAGCCTTCGGATCCGTTGCGCCACGTACACCCGCTGATCGCCTTTCTTCAGATCAACTTCGTCATCGGCGATCCTTCCACATCTGCTGCTGGTATATCTTGGTACCCGATCTCAAAAGCCATTTCACTAACTACTTCCTGCGCAGCTGCTCAGCGTTCTTCCCTCGGCCATCCTGAGCCCTTCATCTTACACCACGTCGAGATCGGAAACGAGGTATATTCTTGTTCCTCCGAGAATGCAGACGCAGGCTAAACTGCACGCAGGACTTCGTTGGGTCTGCGTCTAGCACGTGAGTAAATAGCAACCCGCGGGCTGTTCCGATTTCTGACGTACTCATGTTAATCAGGTACGCGTCCTATCGTTGGAGAGATTTCTTCGGCAATTTGAGCGCAACGTTCCCACAACTCCGTAGGTCTTCGGTCATACTAGAACGTAACCGGTGGCTAAAATGGAGGTTGTAGGATTCCTTGCCACCACTCGAACGACTGGTCCTGTGCTCACCCCGAAACCAGAGGAGTACGACGTTCATGTTCGTGTGCTTGCATTCGGATCGGGAGACAATCCGTAATGAGCCTTTCGTAGGTATACCAAACCCCTTCGTGGTTCGCAACCAACGCGTTCATCTACGATAGCTTTGCTGTAGGTCTTCGAGTCGCTTCCTATGCGATGCCGCTTATGAAAACTCTCCAGCGAGACGGGACGTTGTACTTCGAGGTGAAATATAGGTTCAATGCCCGTCTCTCGGCCGCCTAACCGACTTGCAGGGCGAATACGCAGCCACCTCCACCAATTCCAGCAATCTCTTCGGGTCAGCTGACCAAGGTCGTCTCCTGTTCCCTACCATGCAGGGTGCCGCGGGAGAAGCAGGTGCGCTCGATCGCCTCGATGCTTGATCTCGCTCTCAACGTGCCGTAGCGTTCATGACCGGCCTCGAAAGAAATAGTGATATCGTTTTCGCCGCATCATATGCGCCCCTGCTACAAGTAGGCACTTTGGGTGAGCGGTGTAGGAGGGAGGCTGACCAGGTTCATCTTTTAGAACGTAGCTAGCACTCAATGGACCCCCGATCTCGTCAGCTACGAGTATGTTCTCCATGGATTTGACCGAGGTGAACCTGGCTGATATTGACCTCTCCAGCGCCTTGAACGTCTATTTGTCGACCAGTTACTACGTCCAGAAGGTTCCTATCTTCCGGTCAATATGACAATGTGGTGTAGAAACTAATCACACCTCCGTAGTTGTTCAGCTTGAACCGCGGAGATGAGTATCTCCCGAGCACCTTACCAAGCAGCACCGGCACACTGCATTGGAGTGTTACCCGACGCGTTTCGACCTCGGAGATCTTGTTCAAGGTGAGTTATGAGCGTGATCCGCCCGCGGAATTGTACCGAAGGTCCCGACGCTGCTCAGATATCGAACGCTGGTCCTACAGCCCAAGATCTCAGCTTCCAGCTACCCTTCAGAAAAGTCGCGAGATGGGGCACCGCCGAAGTACTCACCGGCCCGGCCACGGGCAGCAACACGCCGACGACTGCTGTATCCGACCTCATCGTGCCTGTGAAGAGAATCTTCGCTGTCGAGGGGAAGACGGTCAACTTCACTGCCCCGGCATTCAGTGTAAGCATTCTGACGGTAGTTGCCCACTGATTCTGTATGTGTTCGGACCTCTGGGACAACGAACGTTATCATCAACTGGTTCTTTGAGGCTTCTGTGTGACAGAGTAGAGCTGCGTCGCTCGCTAACATAACGCAGCTTCACATCGCCGCCGAACGATTGGATTTGTCTGCAGCGCCATTATCAAGCTGTCACTTGAAATCTCCAGTCCATCGGAGTCTAGGAATCAGCTTGGGTCCGATCTGGACTGTTCTCGACGCGCAGACGCTAGTTGTCATACCATATCCTCAGCATGATCGAAAAGCTCAGGTTCATCAGAGCGAAACACTTCCATGATGCGTTCGGTGATGCAATGAACACAATTCCTTTCTATATTTGTCTAGCGTACAGTAGTCATTACGATGATTGTTTTGCAAAACACGACGATGAAGCAGCACAGAAATCAGTCCCAATCCGGATGTGTGTGAGAGAAAGACAAGCCAAGAAAAGCACGCGAAGAACAACCCCCCGACTCTCCCTTACGCCATCTTGCCCAACACGCGGGGTTGCGACATGTCCTGCAAGTTGATGAAGATGTCGTCGGCGGGGTGGCGGTATAGAGGCGCGCGGAGGCGCTTCTGGTCGAGGTGGTGGCCGATGAAGCCGATGCTGCGGCCGAGCACGAAGAGGCCGTTGAGCGTACCAATCTTAATGTACTCGTCCGCCTCCTCGGGCGAAAAGGCACCCGAGTCTCGGAGGAGGTCGACGAAGCAGACGGCAATACAACCGTCGACGTTGAGGATGAGCGTGTCCTTCTTCGAGGTGGTGACCTTCTCGACGGCGAGAGCGTAGTCGAGGAGGCTGTGGCTGGGGAAGTGCTTCTTCACGTAGTCTTTCACGAGCTCGACACGAAGATCGGGGTTGTTGACGCTCTTGATCTTGTGGCCAATACCGGAGATGAGCTTGTTGTTCTTGCGGCATTGGTCGACGAACTCGCGAGGAGTCAGGCCGGTGTCGCGCGCCTGCGAGAACATGCTGGCCGCCTCGTCGAGGGCACCGCCGAAGCGGCTACCAATGGTGAGGAGACCAGACGCGAGGGACGAGATGAGGTCCTTGCCCGCTCGTGTGGTGACGATGGTGTTCATAGCACTGCATGGAAAGTCAGCCACGGTTGCAAGACAGAGTGAGAGAGAACATACCCTGAGACGGCCGGGCCGTGGTCGGCAGTAAGCATGAGCACCATCTCGATGAACTTGGTCGCCCACGGCGGAAGACGACGCTTGAACCACAGCAAGCTGACGACACCGCCGATACCAATCTCCTCCTTGAACACTTGCGAGATGGGCATGCCGGAGTACAGGAGCTCCTGGCCACGCTCGTCGGAGATGGTGGAGATGAACGCAGCAGGCTTGCGGATGAGGCCGAGCTCCTGCGCCCACTTGTAGTCCATGGGGATGACGGGCGGGTCGCGCTCAGGCTTGGGCACGATGGCGCCGGCGCTAACGAGCTTCTCGTAGGTCGACTTGAGGGCGATGGGGAGGTCCTCGAACGTCTCGGGGACGATGAATCCGGCGGCGCGCATGGCGCTGTTCTTCGCGTCGGCGGTCTCCAAGTCCGAGTTCGCCATAGAGCCGGCGTGGCCGAACTGCACCTCGGTGCTGAACATCTTCGCGCAGGTACCGATGGCCCAGGCGACGATAGGCTTCTTGATCTTGCCGGACTTGACGGCCTCGATGACGCGGTACTCCTCGATACCACCGACCTCGCCGAGGAGGACGAGCATCTTGCACTCGGGGTCGGCTTCGTAGCGAAGCAAGTGGTCGATGAAGGTCGAGCCAGGGTAGCGGTCACCACCGATGGCGATACCCTCGTAAGTACCGTTGGTAACGAGCGAGAGGATGTTGTTGAGCTCGTTGGACATGCCTCCAGACTTGGAGACGTAACCGACCGAGCCAGCGCGGTAGAGCTTCGAGGAGATGATGTTGTCCATCATACTGAAAATCACGTCAGCGAACGTTCATCGAGAACGGTATATAATATGCATACCCTCCGGAGTTACCGATCCTGAAGCAGCCGGGCTTGATACCACCAACGGTGGCCGGGCCGATAATGAGGACGCCCTTCGCCTTCGCGAGGTGAAGGATCTCGCGGGCGTGGCGCTCAGGCACACCCTCGGCGATGATAGCGACGGCCTTGATCTGCGAGTAGCGGAGAACCTCGAGGGTCGAGGAGTACACGGAACGCGACGAGGCGAAGTTGACCATGACGTCAACATCGGGGTGCTTGTGCACGGCCTCCTCCACACTGGTGTAAACGGGAAGGAGGGTCTCCTTGGTGCCCCAGTAGAACTTCTGGATGTGGTGACCACCGAAGGGGTAAATCATCGCCGCGACGGAGGGGGTGTCACGGCCGCACGAGTAGTCAAAGTCGAGCATGCCCTGGATGGCGCGGGGCTGGAGACCGTACACGAAGGAGCGGGTCGAGGCATCGAAGGGACGGAACCAGGGACGGCCACCGGCGGCAGCCTGGAGGTTGTCGAAGCGAGCGATATTGTCGTTCGCCTGCGTGCGCTCGCCGTCCGCATGGATCTCGCCCACAGTCGCCTCTGCAGACGCAGCGCCATCTACGGTTTGCTCGACGGTCTCGTTTGCAGGGGTACCAGGGATAGAGCCGAGGCCAGCGGCGCTCTTGACGCCAGTCTTGATGCCCAGCGCAAGGGGGACAATCTCGGTGATGTGCGTCTCGGGGCCATAGACCTTGATGGGGACGCCGAGCGACTCGCCGAGGAGGCGCATCGCCTTGAGACCCTCCTGGTAGTTGGGGCCACCACGGCGGACGTAAATCTTGACCTGATGGTTGATGAGGGGTGTCCTGTACTCCTTCAGAGCGCGGATGATGCCCTTGAAGGTGGCAGCGACGTTGGTGAAGTTGGCAATACCACCGCCGATGATGAGGATCTTGCCGTCTGGACGGGGCTTGCCGCGGGTGATGAGGTCGATGATCGTCTTGGCGTACTCGTAGGTCTGACCCTCGGTCGGGGCACCGGAGTATTCACCGTAGTTGGCGAGTTCGTGCGCGAAGCCGTGCGCGGCGATGGCATCGGAGTAGACGACGGAGGCACCACCACCGGCGACCATGGTCCAGATGCGGCCCTCAGGGTTGAGCACGGTAAGCTTGAGGGAAGCACCGGTCGACGCATCGAGCTTCTGGATGTAAGCTTCCTCCTTGGTCAGGTCACGACCGAAGGGAGCGGGCCAGACCTTTTATGGAATCAGCATCTGCTCCACAGTCGATCAGTAAAAAGCACTCACCATGGGTGGGCCGCGGTCAGCGGTGACCTTGCCCTTGGTCGTGGTCGCAGACGGGCCAGTCTCAGCGTAGACGGACAGGTCGCGCGCAATCGCCCACTTGGGGCCGCATATGCTCTCAGCAGTTTGGTCGAGCTTGGCGGCCATGTCGAGGTAGTGGATGGTCGGGGGCGCGCCGTTGACGCCATCGAGGCAGATGAGAGGGTTGATCTCGAGGTAGGCGAAGTGGAGGTCGACGTAGACAGAGTATAGGCGGACGAGGAAGTCGACGAGGGTCTCCTTTTTGTCAGCGGGCACGTGGGCGAGGAGCTTAGAGGCGATCTCGTCGCGCGAGGGGAAGGGCGCGTTAACGGGGATGAGGAGGGTGAGCGCCTTGGCATCGACATCGCCAATGTCGACACCACCTTCGTGGGTGAAGAGGATGAGGTCGCCCTCACGCTGGGAGGTGATGCAGACGTAATATTCGGTGTTGGAGGGGTGCGGGAGGAACGGCTCGAGGATGAAGTTGTTGAGGGTGCCGGTCACGGACTCGACCTAGCAAGGGAAATAGAGCGCGTCAGTTACCATTTCCGGGGGGTGGATGGAGACGTAAGAGAATGCGGCAGAAAATCACGTGTGGGGCATTTTACGAGACGCGTAAAGCAGCATCGCGGAAAACGCGTAGGGTGCATGTATGCGCGATGTACGACATTGTGCACGAGGCAAGTGATAACAAAGATGCGCGTGTAGATAGCGCAGATCGAAAGATCGCAAGAAGCGAGAAGTAGATGGAATGCACGAGACGAAAAAAACTGCTCACCTTCTGAGGCTTGCCCGCGCGTTGCGCGATCCATTCCTTGGCCTCACTCCAGTCCTTGTTCAGGCACAGGAGACCAGCCTTGCCGCGACGCTTGATGAGCTGGTCGGGCTTTGCGACGAGCTTGGTGGTGAAGACCCAACTGGGGAGCTGAGAGTCGGGGGTGATCGAGTTGGTCTCGGGATCCCAGGCGACCTGGGCGACCTTTGGCGAGGGGTAGACGAAGTTGGTCGACACCGTCGCGGTCTTGTCGACGGGCGGGGCGCGCTCGAGCCAGTAGGCCAGCAGCAGCTTGGCGTCGTACTCCCGGATGGCTGTTCCAGATCGTTTCACGTGTTAGCATACAATGTCGCGTCGAATATCATGAGCGCCGCGCGCGACGGCGGACGTACCCTTGGAGGACATGATGGGCGGAGGAGGAAGGGATTGGCCGGCTTGCCGTGGTCGGTGCTGGTTTTAACCACAGGCCGCTCCCCATTTTCGGTCTGAGCTTGCGCCCCAATGGTTTCGGGCGTTCCCACGGTGGTAAGTCGGACGATAATGAGCGACCGTCGGCCAATCGACTCGTCCCTCGCGCCATACCATGCAGAGAAGAACGTAAATCCAGGCAAGTGGTCGACATAACACGCCTGCCGTCCACCAGCCGCGTGTCTGATCTCGGCGCGACGTTCTGTGAGGTGCCCCAAGTCGATGCGGCCGTCTCTCTCTCTCTCACACGTCCGCGATCAGCCTCAATCTAATCTCGAACCCGGCGAATTGGGACCTGCGCTCCGCTCTGTGCGGGTCGCGGGCCCATTTTCGTCGACGACACCCCCGTTCCTCTGGCCCTCGTATCTCTCCGTGCAGCGAACAGAACGCACGTCGCCCACGCGTTCGCACTCCATGGTCTTGGACGACGCATGGCGAGCCCGACCGAGAGAGCGTGATTGTCAAGCAATACCATGTGCCGTGAAAACCGGTGTCGTGACCTGCATAAGCCTGCACGGCGTGTCCGGTCGCTATCTGCAAGATCTCTACCGCATCGGTATTCTGTCTGGCCAGCCGGCGGTCACTCGAGGCTCTCGACGCTCGTCCAATCATAGACGCTGCGGTAGTGCGTATACGCTTACGGCCGTCACATACGGCCAGTAGACATGTCCTCTCTGGTTACAACTTCCTAAAAAGGCTATTCTTCGGCGCGGCTATTATGATCCTCTGACGTGCCAACCATGGAGCGCCGGGCTCGAGCAACGGAACAGGAGCTCGAGGGTGTCCGGAATCCAGAGCGCTGCCAGGACCGTCAAGACGCAAACATCGTGCGATACTGGCTCTTGGCTATGGCATCCGTCGTCCGGTCTCGTGCTAGGTGGAACCATTCCTTACCAAGCGTTCGCACCGGGAGCGTCGCCAAGGTGGAGAGTTGTAAACATATCCCCTCGTCTATCCCCACCAAGCATCCCGATAAATCAAAAGCACCAGGCGTCTTCTATCGCCGAGACATGTCTGGGAGCGGAACAAAGCTGTGTTCCAGGCTCCGAGACATGGCCCTGGCGCGGTCCTGTCTGGTCCTATCCGGAGGACAAAATGGGGACGTCCATCACGATATATTAGGAGCGCACCCTTCTCTCCCTGCAAGAATCCGATTGCCTACCTGCTCGAGATGATCCATATTTGACGATTCCGCCATTATCACTCGCCTCTGTCCTCGCGACGATCCCGCACCAAACCGGGCCTGACCACGTTTCTATCCACCGAAGCCAGCATCTCGAAGCCAGGGATCTCCGATCGAGGTCGCTCATTTTGTCTGATTAACTTCTCTTTGAATTTCAACCGCGTTCAGGTCCGAGGTGTATCGACCTCGGTCGGTACCGGCGGGAGGCCGTCGGAACAAGCCTCACCCAGCCGCTGCCGCCAGCCAACCCGAAGCTGATGCGGGCCCTGGCACTCAATGGCTTTAGATCGCCGGAGCCATAAGTATCTGATCGCGCGATGGCTCCCCGCCGCTCAACTGAGGGCGTCGGAAGTCCCCGACGAGCCAGAGCGGTACGGCGCCCCTCTGACAGTTGCACACTGACCGAATCTGAAGCAGCGATGCCAAGGTCGTCGGAACGATCGCGGAGAGAGTGGACAATTTCGTGTTTCCGACTCGACGTCCCGGACGCCCATACATTGACACCGACTTCCTGGTTCCCGACAGTACTGGTGTAATCGTTTTGTTTCCATAAAATGTCAGGAACACGTCTTTTCTATGATCGTCGCACATTCAAACATGGCTCGGCACGGCTTCGAGGAGTGATACACCAATGCAAACATTTTCCACTACGAGATCGTGCGCTGATTGCAAATTTGCCCTCTTCTTCGAAGGTAGAGACCCATTCACGACCATTCACTACCAGCCGATAAGTGGATCATGTCAAGCGCGTTCAAGAACGACAGCCATCGGCGACAACAAATAGCTAGCTGCTGGGGCGGCAATCTCAATCTCGCATGCGATAATGGCGAGATGATCGGCCTCACCAGGTTGACGTGTACGGGAGCGATAACTGGCGCAAAGTTGCACCGAATAAAGCACTATGAGTTTCGCGAGGTTTTCGGAGATGATGTAGCCAGGAGATCGAGATGCGTGTTTGGGAACCCGGTCGCTTTTGATGCGCTGGAAGAGCCACAGGAAGGGGCGTGGCGTAGGGTCCAATCGCACGTCGCGCCCTGGGCGGAACCGCCTGTAGACATGCCGCCGATACGACCACGTATGATGATGGAGCCAAAATCGCCCGGGCCCCAAACCGCTTCAGACGAGCGATCGTACTTGATAATGCCCGGTTCCAAGGAGGTGCGGTGAGCCGACATGACGATGAAGTATTCGCGGACGATGGAGAAGACGCCGTTGGCACCGCCGATGATGCCGCCGGGTCCTTCGCCGTTCTTGACGAGCGATAAGCACGGGTCGCTGCCCGCGGTCCATATATCAGGAGAGCATATGAGATCGTCAGTGATAGTGCCCTTGAGCGGAAGTAGACGACCATAGGGGTACTAGAACTCCCAGCCAGCGTCTCTCCCAGTAGAGCATTTGTCCTCGAATTCTCCAGGCGTCAGCTCCGTTACTATCGAACCAGTAGGTTGATTATATAGTGGCTTGATCGACGGTATGAACACAACGTACCATGGTCCACCTTGGTACCCTGGAAACTAACGCCGGGGTTAAACCAATCGACCTGAAAGATTCCCCAGTCCTCCGTGAAACGGTGTCCACCGATGCCGAGGCTGGGGAGCGAGGGACGTGAACGAGGACACGGTCGTCCATTCCACTCAGTCTCAACGCATCTCAGCAATTTCGCAAGCGCCTCCGCACGCTCCGGGGATAGGAGTGACTGACGGCATCGACCAGGAATTGAATATGTCGACACGGGGGATAAGTTGAGGTCCTGCTTGGCGCATGTATTTGGATTCCGTCGAGAACTGCGATGCTGTAGTCTTTGAGAAGAGCAACGATGTCCTGAGCCGCGTTGTGGGCAGCCGTAGCGGAAGTAGTCCCGGGGAAGACTCCTATCCATGAAGCTACAGGGCCGAGCTCCATTTGCTTAGGCTTCGCCGTGTCTTCAATATCGTCATCCTCTTCGTCCGCGCGCTCTTCAGTATCATCGGCGTCTTCCTCGTCCTCGCCCACGACCCGTCTGAAACGGACCATCTACTGTCGTAAAGCAGATCTAGGCAGGTAAGTGAGTCAATCCTGCTCGATGATACACCGAGACTGCGACCCACCGCATGAGTGTCCAAGATGCCGACAACCTTCCAAGCGGGGCGTGTCCCAATCCGCAGCGATGTGATGGTTGAAGACCTCTCATAGTTCTTTCGGACGGTGTAGGGTCCGAGGCCCCCTTGGCGGAGGAGACTCCTGTTTTCCCGTGCAGTATAGTAGGTTGGGCCTGCAAAGTACGATTGAGCTGACACAGCGTGCTGATCGGGGATGCATAGCCCGGAAGCAGCGCCGGATGCGGTAGAGTGGCCGCTAAAGCCTGGAGAGAAGAAAATTCTTGTGATGGTGAGGAGGAGAGAGTACCGCCGAAGATCCTGCCGAGAATGCTCGCCCTCGACACCTTGAATGTAGGTGGGGATGTCCTTCATACCTGAAGTCGCTGGGTACGGAGAACGAAATGAAGGCAATCAGTGGGTGAGATACCAAAAGAAACCTGACGATTCCGGAGGTACGTCTCGAGTGGATTGTTCGCATCGTGTAGAAGAGAGAGAGATACTCTGGGTGAAGCCTTGTAGCCCCTGACTGACAGCCCGGCGCCGTCGTAGTCTCCCCAGGCAGCTTGTAGAGCCAGAAGACAATCGTTCCGAACTCACAATCGACGCCGTCGGTAATCCGCTACAAAGAGCGTCGACGCCATCCCGCAGAGAGTATCATTTCTTCGGGCAATATGTATCATAGCGACCGCGTGGACCTCGCTGGGAGCCCTGCCTGTGTGCAGACGTACGCTAACCACGGTGCACCGAACGGAGTACGGGCGAAGCGCTGTCAGAGACGCAGTTGCCCACGCCGCAGGTTAAGGTTCGGAGTTACTTGCCGTTTCGGAAGACCTGCCTCCTAATAAGCTCTGCCTCAACTTCCACCTTCTGTGGTCTTCCGTCGACGTCGGAGTCCACCGATTGTTGTCGAGACCACGAAAAAGCAGGATCACGGCGCGAAACGTCTTCTCGCAGTCTTCTGCCAAGTTTTTTTAGCGATGCACCCAGGTTCTTCCCGATGCCACGGTCAATATCGCGACCGACCGGCTGCTGGCAGACGGAGGCGCTTACGCCGGTCATTTTGCACAGGATCTACGTCGTTGCTGAACGAGTTGGGGAGCCCTGTAGCCTGATATACGACAAGCCACGGAGTCACTGCTTATAACTACGGTTTCTATTGACTTGGCGATGGGAACACCTCGCCGCACGTCGAGGTACCCGCACGTCACGCAACCGGCCGCGCAATCCTGCTTCCTTCGCAGTTCACGTCAAGCCACAGGCTTGCGCGGCTTTTTGCCCGAGCATGCAGCGCAGCGCCTTCGGACGGACCCATATGGGGTAAAGGGCTAGGAAGAAGTAACGAAACCCAGCGATGAAAGATCATGACCTTTGCCCGATATCAACAAGTCCTTTCTATAGCTCTCTCGTATTTACTGGTCAACGCCACACAAGTGCAGTCGCTCATCCTACGGAAGCTGTTGGCACCGGACTTCGCGCTGATTGGCTCTCCGGAGCTATCTCGTAAACGATGCCCGATAGAAGGTCTAGATGGACTCGATCATCGAAGGTGCCTGCGATCGACCCATCCTTCTCTGAGAACCGAGAGCACGTTAGCGTGCAAGATGAAATGCCGACCATATAGGCCGGGACTCGTAGGGTTGTACGACGGATTTTCTCCTGCCCTCCATGGAAAACGACACCAGCCTACCAGGAACCCTGGACGATTCAGAACGGGCGGGTTTGGCGGTATGTGCGCTTTGCTGACCGCGAAAATGCACCTAATCGTTTTCGTTCTGTGGCAGATCATAGGTGTCGCCGGCCTCTGCTCCGCCATATGCTCGTTCTCGTTGTTGAGCTACCTGCTGGTGAGTGTGTCGTGGCGTAGCTTGTGACGAGCGCGAAATTTTGCTAATGTGTGTTCAGTTCATCAATGGACATTACCCGTCCAGCTGGCGAATACAGCGGAGCCCACTGGCGACGGGCATTCGCGAGTTTTGCGCCAATGCGATGGGTCGATACCTCATGTCATTGATGGTCTCCGACTTCATCCAAGGTACCGCGTTCGCCGCCAATGTCCGGTGGGCCCAGAGGCGCGGCGTAGTGCAAGACTCGGTATGCAAGTTCCAAGGTAGGACGATAAGTCGTCGTCGCGGTGTGTTCCGGTGCTGACGACCATGCAAGGCATTCTATCGCAGGTTGGCGACATGGGAATACCTCTATGGTGCGTCTACTTCTTCTTCGAACTGCACACTGCTCATCCCCGAACAATAGGTCGTTGGTCATAGCTGTCCACACGTTCTGGTATGTTCCAGATGTTGAGTATGTTTTCCACCTCTGAGCTTCTCTTGCAGCCTCCTCTATATGAAACGGAAACCTGCGCCTTGGATTGCAATTGTTGTTCTGCCCGTCGTGTGGGCATTTGACATTGCGATGCCGCTCATCGGAACTATCGGACTCGAAGGACGTTTGAAGCGAGGGTCTTTCTGGGGCCCATCCGGTACGAGAGACCGACCTTTGGGAATAGGAACCTCGCTTCTGACGTTGGCACCCAAACAGGAGCATGGTGCTGGGTAGCCGATAATTATCGGTTTTACCGTATAGCGTTCTTCTATGTGAGATATCGTCGGTGGCGGTCGTCCATTAGTTTAAGCTGATATTCAGTATAGGCATGGGTCTTCCTCACACTCTCCTTCTCCGTCATCATCTATAGTGAGTTGGCGGTGAAGGTCGAACGTTTTGATGCTCATCATTGTTATCTTTACGCAGCTTTGATTTACCTCAAGTTCACTGGCATTTTCCACGGCACTCCTATACGTTCAGTACCTTCCAGCGTGAGCGAACAGACAATAATCACGCATCGCATGGTCAAGATCGCCCGGCGGCTGATGTGGTATCCGATCAGTTAGTGCTCCACACATGAGATAGCTGGCGTGAAATCAAAAGTACTAACGGAGAACCAAGTGTACATGGTCATTGTTGTTCCTGTGACTATCTGTCGTCTCGGAAGTCTTGCAGGCTGGGATGCACCGTTTGGTCTTTACGTATTCGCAGGTGTATGTTTCGCCAGCTCCGGTACGCCACATCACCTCCATGTACTTCGTCGACATAACTGACCTAAACCATCCCTCACAGGCACGATTAACTCCTTCCTGTTCCTGTTCACCCGACACTCTTTCATTCTGGATCGGGTCCGCCCCCGCATCCAGATTTCGACGCATCAAGTGACCGTGGTAGACGACGGCGAAGGCAACACGCGGACAAAACACTCCCAGGAATATACCGATCTCGATATGTCCTCTCTCTCCACCTCCACCACGGCCTGTAGATACGAGCTCAATTTCGACGGACATTCGGGGCATCAGTCGAAGTAAACTTGACACGTGCGTCCCAGCTTCTAGCCAAAAAGAATTGTTCGATGCAGTAGCCCCCGAAACTGTCTTTCCGCTCTCATATCGCACGTCGCTCTTGCTTTGCTATCGAATCTTACTTTATAAACGTAGTATTACTACATTACACTCGTTTATGTACCACCACAAGCTGTATAGCACACGATACAGTATATATCGATGGCAATGGACATGGGCTTCTGTCGCTGCATGCATTCGCCCATAGCCAGACGTTATCGGAAGGTAAAAGGCATTGGCTGATCTTCGTCGCATAAGGTTCGAGTACAGCAGCGAAGAGATAAGTCTTGCTCTATGTGGTCAGATGCCATACGGCAGTCCCATCTGGCTGCGGCTGCGTTCGTGGTGGTAACTGCGTAGAAGAAGACCTGAGGGCAACTGGTCAATGAAATCCGCAGCTTGGGAAACGGCAACTGCGAAGGGGGCCTGGATCATGAAGGTAGCTTGATCGGCGCTGTCGCACGACTCTGGGATGAGAAAGGGCTCTGATGGATACTTTACCACAGCCTTCCAGTATCTAACAGGACTGCCCAGCGTAGCCTTCGCCTTTGCGATGATCGTTGCACGCAATGATGATATGATTAAGCATGATAACACGGCTGCATCGGACTAGGAAAATGACTATATTCTGCTTGTAGCCAGTCACTCGCTGAAGAAACCTGTCGAAAGCTCGTGCAGGGACTCACACTACCATAATTTTAACTGCTTTGCTCGACAGGCTGTTCCGTTTCTCTCGATTGAGGCTGCCCGCCCATCTTCACTGAAACCTCGTTTGCATGACGCAAGAGATCTGCGGAGACGGGAACACGTTGAGCGGCCAAAATACGAGGGAGAATGCGTGTATGAAAGACATGGCGAGCTGCCGTTCCACCCTGCACAGGAAGCAAAGGTGAGGGTTGATACAAACAACCTTGTGGGTGACACGTACGTGTTGGTGGAATATGCCGCCGATGATTGCCTCTACGGTCGTCCCCGTCACTTTGTAAAAGCCGACGGTGCCTCTCCACACCTTCTTCCCATCTTCACCGAACTGTGGCCTCCTCCGGTCGTCGAACTCGTCTCCCGGCTCTCGATGCGCACCCGCACCTGCTTCCGGAGGCGTCCACCGCACGACGCGGCCAAGCTGCCAGTCGACACCCACGAATTCGCCGAGGCAGTAGGTGTTCAAGACGCGTTCCGCAACCTCTTCAGCGTTGACGTGTTTGCCTTCCGGTCGAGGGGCGGAGGCGAGAAAGGTGTGCATATATGCCGCAAGAACCCGTCTGCCTTTGCATCACGAGTGATGAGAGGAGAAAATAGCAGCACGAGGAGCGTTCGCATACCTATGAAGCTAAACCGGGCGTTATGCCCATTCACCGCATCTCGATGACTCGCGTGCGTGAGCACCCGCCGCGCCAACTCCTGAGGAAACTGAAGTGGAGAGAACAGTGACTCCAAATGTTGGACGAGGAGAGGAGCGCGCGATGGTGCGTCCGGTCGCGGGTATTGCTGGTTTACGGAATGGGTCGCCGTGCGCGGATATGAGTCGGCGTGTTGAACGTATGCACGTTGCCTCTCCGGAACCTGTTCAGGTTTGTGCGCGAGCTGCGCTTGCGCTTGCTGTACGGTACATGATGAATGGATACACCGCCGGGTAAAACCTAGAGAGCAACGTTGCACCCAGCTCAGCACCAAGGTCCGGCGAGGAATGCGAGAACGACTCACCGGAAGCTGTCCGAGGCGGCGCAAGTGCGTTCACGACCGGTGCCTTCTCAATGGCCCTCAGCGAAACATTCAAGCAGCGAAAGCTTTGGGCCATTGGAGACAACTATACGGTGAAGTCGGGACACGACGAGAGCGGACAGCAGCAAAAATCCAGGCCCTTACGGCAGACTCCGACTCCGACACGCGACGCGAACTCCGACTACCTGTTCTCCGACGACGAACATGTTACTTATTCTCATTCCTGTGGTCCACTGTACATCTATGCAAGAACAAGCCTTACGAAAGTTCGATGCAAGATAGAAGGTCATGCATGGAATTCCTCCTCGGCAGGGGGCGGAGCATCCACCTATCTAGCATCGCGCCATGTCTGAGCGTACAGTAGTGATGAACGCTCACGACTCAGTCGTGAACGTGGGGAGCGGCGGCAAAGGTCGCATGTGTCGCAGCATGTATATCGGCGTCGCAATATCGGCATGGCGATTTTTCTCATCAATCGGTCGCTGTACGCGGCGCATGAATATTCGTGTGAGTAAACATGCATTTTGATGGGACGTCATTGCCAGAAGACGAACCTCGGGCCCACGAGACTTTCCGTCTGCCGGGCTGGTATTCCACGTAGAAGTCGTCGCAGGAGACCTCATTCGACTCTTCCCGCCGAGATCCGGTGATCCACGCTCGCTGAAACGTGGAAGAGTCAATGATCCTTGTTCTTGCCTAAGAGAGTTCCGGTAGTTCATCCTGTTTCCTCGTTAGTCATGCTGCATTGAACCACAGATGCGTATCTCAGTAGCTTACATGGCTAGCATGCTGTTAATGTAGATTTTAGACGTCATCACCTGCAATGCTAGGAAAGCGGAGTAATGGTCGGTAACGAGTAGCTGAGAGAAGTTAGCGAGCTTCAACTAATGAGCACTAAGATTATTTGGCAGCGTACGATGAGTGCGGAGAAATGGAAGACGCTAAAGCAAGCGATACACTCAACCGGTTGATATGAAACAAGCGGATAAGTTAAAGGCGACTTACCTTGTGAACAGGCCAGAAACAATGGCATAGATTATCAAAGTATGGATGAATGATTCGTTGCTGGGAAAGAGCCGTGCGATGAGTACTGCTTCCAGGCACGAAGATAGACCGAGTGTGTCATACCCCAGCTCCCTTACTCGCGCCTGCCGAAGGAACAGGCATATCGCGGTTGTGAGAAGAATGTCGGTTACGGGCTGTACGACGGTGGCGGCCAGCAATGCATCCTTAGAGGATGAAACCACTTCACTGGCTGGATCATACGTGTGAAGAATGCGTGCGTACTGTGAGACCGATTGACCGTATGTTCAACACGTATACATTGGCACTAATGTTAGTGGGAGCATGATCAGCTCTGATCGCTACGGCCAAGACATCACATATGCTTACACTCTGGCCGCTGAGACTGGTGTCAACGTGCACGGCACGGGTCAAAACCATGTTTGATGATATGCTGCCTCGAGGACGTACACAAGGAAGCAACTACGGGCACCGAGTTAGGGAAGAATGCTGATTAAGATCGAATGACTTACCCCATGACCCCGCTACGGCAGCAGCCTGATGGAACGACCTCAACTTAGTGATAGTCGACCAATCATACCTGTAGGACTCACTGCCGCAGCTAGCCAGATGCGCCTGTGTATGAAGACTTGCAACATATCATAGTCAGCTCAGTGTGAGACTCGCGGCCAACATCAATCATTAGTACCTTTCCACATTTGTAGAGCGTAGACCGTCTGCACAGCAGGTATCAGAATCAACTAAAGCCAGAATCAGGCCATGCTCTAAGGTAGTGAATAGCGCCCTACAGTTAAAACAAATTCGAGCTAGAAATATTATTGTTAAGACAATTGTTAATAGTGCATCTTGACAGGTAAGAAGACGGTACCTTTAGACTCCTGTATTTGTTCGTGAGTGAAATGCGACATCTTCGATTCAATCTCATGCGTACCACACATCAATGTCAAGAGCGTCGTGATGGTTGTGCCATAGGGTTTCAATGGTGTAGAATTGGGTCGCGTGTGCCACCAAGATGAAGATGACAATATCCAAAGCGCCCAGCACTAGTAACTGAGATTGAAGATGTCCATGGTCAGATTGCCCGAACGAAGATACGGGAGGCTTACCTTGGCTCGAGTAAACAGATGATCGTGTGTAAACCGGGTCATGTACACGCACAGCTGTACGATGGTCAAACCGGCGAGCACCGCGGCAAACAAGAGTCCGATGAACAAGGCCGTTAGCGCGTCCTTGTCAAAAGCGCCGATGTAGTCCGCAAACGCGTCCATATGCTTGGAAGAATGTTTCATGGTTCCAGCCGGGTAATCGCAACTGCCGCCCGCGGTCGAGAAGAGGAATAGGGCGAGGCGGGTAGTGGCTTCATCGCCGCAGGTACACGGGACTCGTCTAGTACTGCTCTGCGTCTGCCAATATTAGCCCGTGTCGGTACACTGGTGACTAGCCCTGATGCAATCGTCCGGCGACCTCATCACGGAGATTACCCGATGGCGAGTGAGCGCTGACTGCAGCAGGCTATATTTGCGGTCCAGTGAGAGGCCCGAGGAAATAAGGGTCGGAGTTTGCCAGTTCAAGGCCAGTGATGCACGGTCTATTGGCCATATCGACTACCGAGTGGAGGAGACGTTACTCTCGGTCGTTACGAATAGCCCGCAAATTCTCGCAGACGTCAGTTTCTGAGAGTGTATAACATCACGAGCTTTGTCAATAGCTGCAGCGTGGATTCAGATATGGGATACCGATGTCTACCATTTTGCTCCGCAAAGGCCGAGTATTTGAAGAGAAGCATCCAATTTGCGATCAAGCGTAGTGACGCACAGAACGGGGGCGCGGAACAGGGCTGCGCGCATGGACACACACCGTCCGAAGCGGAAGTTTCTGTGGGATCAAGAAGAGTTCGGAGCGCGCAGGAGCGCGCGCCCGCGGATTTCTCACGATCGCAGGACAGCGTTCTTGTTACTACCGTGGCAGTAGCGGGCACTCCAGGCGATAAGCATGGTCTTTGTCAAACCACCTACCTACCTACCTACCACCACCACCTCAACGCTCTCAACACACGAGCATTCTTCCTAACAATGAACTGGTGGTTGAATAGCTCACTGTGCCCGTTGAGACTCGTTGGTTCGCGATGATTTCATTCCTCGTCGTCTGTGCAAGTAGTGACGCCCACCGTGTAGCCGATTTCTCTTTGGTGTTCTCATTCCCGGCGCTGTTCTACCACATTCACAAGCATGGAGTTGATAGTACGTCTTGCGCTGATGCCGAACCTATGCACGAGTCTCACCGCGCCGTTATTTCTTTCAGACGTCTCTTTCGAGACGCAGGTGTTGCAATTCATCACATTCCTGCTGCGCTACTGGGATATCTTCTACTTCGAGCAGACCAACTACAACGGTGTTTACAAGACACTCTACCTGTTCTGGGCGTACGCCACCATTATGATACTATTCGGTCAGCGCCGTAGATGCCAGACTCTGGACGGTGTCAAACCCACTCCTTTTCAAACCCGTCGCGTTCTCCCTCTTCTCGCCCCATGCCTTCTGTTAGGCTTTGTCAACAACTACGGTCCTACCATGTCGTTGAACGACTTCTTCCGCGAGAGTTCCCGGCGCTTCGTCTTCCTCAGCGAAACCGCCTGGGCCATGTCGATCTACCTGCACGTTGTCGCATTCATACCCCAGTTCCAGCAGCTCGTCATCGCAGCGCGCACAACTCGGATTGAAACTACAATGATGGTGTACCTGGTCTCGGTTTTCCTGTTCAGGGCGCTGTATCTCCCGCACTGGTTCATCCGGTGAGCAGCTACACTTGTATCGTGTAGGCTTGGCTAACAAAAGTTTTGGTCACGTACAGTTATCTGGATCAAGGCATGCTCGACCCTCTTGCACTCTCTGCTGGTGTCGTCCAAACAGTAGTGTTCATGGTAGGAGGCCTCCTTATAGTTACCAACAACAGACGTGCTCTCCCTGGATCCGACTCAGAGCTGGGCACGCCGCTCCTCGATGAGGGAGAGACGCTGTCCAAGGGCTCAATCGACATTGCTCTCTCGGAGAAGACTCCTGTTGTCCCTGAAGATTCTCCACGGACGCCGAGCCTTACCGATGCCCTGGCCTACCTCGACCAGGTCAAGGCCGAGCTCAACAACCCAGTGGAATACAACAAGTTCCTCATTCTCATGCAGAAATTCAGGAGCGGGAAGTGAGTTTCAGCCCGCGACATTCGTCAGTGTTTGCTTGCTCACATTTCGTCGTGCACAGTTTGGACACCTCGGGCATGATCGACGAGATCATCGTGCTTTTCAACAGCCATCCTTCCCTCATCCTGGCCTTCAACACGTTCCTGCCCTCCGGCTACTACATTGTCCTCGCAGTGGGTGGTCTGCATGTTGTAGTCAACACACCACAGGGCACTTCCACGTTCGCCATTGGTGCTGCCTTGATCACTGGCGACCACCAGTGCCAATGCGCCGCTTGCGTGTAAACAGGTGCGGACATGACTCTGGTCTCCTGTCTATGTGCGCTCTCGTTCTCTGAAGGCTGTTCGGTGACTTTCTTGTCGTGTTGTGTTCTGTGTCTCAGTTCGTCGGAATTGCTAATGTGATACAGATCCGAAGTGGAGTGTACATGTACTAGTTCTATGCGATAAGATCGTGGATGTACGGTATTCAGAAGGGGTATAAATAGTTACGGCATCTCTCGCGGTTCCCCACCCCGAGGTCTACGGAAGTCTACCATAGGTATGACCTCTTCTTCGTCACGACGGGTATATATCTCCGTATTCCTCTGTATAGCAGCGAAGCCTGCCGGAGTACGGGGCCGATATCGATCCCTGCCATCGTTGAGCTGCTCATTCGTTCGCGCGTGCCCTGTTGGATAAGCACGGCCGCTCCATGAGATTCGTCGGCTTTCACGGGCTTTACCGAGGTCGTGCGGAACCGAGGGATGGCTGGTGCTGGACGCCTGCGGATCGCTGGCATGGAAATTACGAAGATTCAGGACGACCCTGTGCATAATTCAGAACTCTATTGCTAGAGATATCGATCAATGGGTACACTCACCGATTAATCATGATTGATGTCATAATTTCTGAGAATGGGGCGAAGAACGGTTTCAAAGATTCTTCGGATACACTCTGATGATCATTGTGAGTACAGCAGCGAGGCGGTAGCAAGAACACGTACCAAATAGACAACCACGTTAAGAAGGTTCGCAGAGAAAATTGCGAAGAAGTACACAATGCCATCCTATGGACAAGTTGCTTAGAACAAGATTAGAGGGCATTCATAGTGGATCATTACGCGAAGGAAAAGCTGCATAAAACTACGAATGATCAGTGCGCCAATTCGATACGCGGTAGATCAGACGCGGGTGACGTACGGCATCTTTGAACCCCGACTAACGTGCGTTTTTGCCCACCATAAAGTCAGGATGAAGATAACACTATCGGTCACTAAAGGCGCAATCCATAGTCCTGAGAATAGTTGTGTTTGCCCCACAAGGATGCATCCCGGAGCACCAGGGATGACGGCCTGTACCGCTGTAGCGCTGATTAGCAGAAGATAGCGAGAGAATGCGTTGAATTCACTTACCGAAGCTCTTCGCAAGGACGTAGGACTGTACTGCTATCTGCGAGCAAAACACGAGTGATAGTAGCCCCAGTGCGATGCGACTGCCTCCATAAAGCGCATAGACGCGGAGTATCATGATGACTGGACAACGGGAGACCTTCAGCCGTCCATTGCTTGATCCTTGGCTATCCACTCACGCTCGCAAACAGCAGTAACAGTGACGAGGCCAGCACCCTCGTACCGCACAAAGCGTTTACACCTATGAGCGAGTCAAATCTTGCATCTTCCGATGATACTTGATACACGCACGTCTATGAATAGGCATTGGTGATTATTGAACAGACCTTTCCGGCGCGCATGAAAGCTCACCTCCAGAGGCCATTCGGCAGGGAATCCTACCATGACGACGATGAGCTCAAGGGGCGTGAGATATCGGTTGATCATAAAGAAGACAGTTGCGGAAGTCCATGGTCGATTCCATATGGTTTCGATCTGTGATGTATCACGGGATGAGTGAGCAAAACATACCTGCTCATGAGGGTGTCATACCTCTTGATTAAGCGTTAGCACTTGCCAATGGAGGGTGTTAAATGGACCTGAATGCAAGATCGGTATCAGACTCATACTTACGATGATCATATATCAAGACTGTGTAAAGTCCGGCTTGAAACCTGCTTGCGGTCTGCCTATGAAATGACGTGAATGAAGGTAGCCCAGACATCCTTTGGTGAGAGGACGCACAGATTCTCCTGAAACGCCAGTAAAAGCGCGGACATGGCCGACGAGTTCAGTCCATCCATAGTGAATCGTTATCTAGGAGCCTGCGGGCCAGCTCGCAGTACTGCAGGACGGGCAGGGAAGCCAAAGAGGAATAAGGCAACACCCTCATGGCGCTGAAGCGAGCTGCAATATGTACTGTCTGCAGCGTCCCATAGATGCGAGCAACTCTGATACACTCGCAGAAGATCACAAGGCACTGCCCAATACGGATCATTTTATCACCGGAAGGAGGGACGAGAGCAATGCTCACCAGTGGTAAAGTTGATGCGGCACACAAAGCTTGAAACGACGAGAAGCGCGTCTTCACCGTAACTTAGCGCGCCCGCAGTGCTTCATGAGCGGAAGAAGTTGCTCTTGCAGCGCGTTCATCAAACCCACATCCCACACCGAGCTCCTCAACCCACTGCTAGCCGTCCGGCGACAGAACCTAAGTTCGGATCAAAATCCTTGAAGGAGTGGGAGTGATGTCAGCTTCATTCAAGCAATGGCTTCAATTCAGTCCAGCATACGCACGCGCCTATGATCAAGGGCACAGTCATGATGCCGTGGTCTGTGGTTATTTTCTCACAAAAATTCTCACGAATTTGCTTCGAGATGTTTGCGAGTTGAAGATGCATACTTATCCGAGGCAACCGCGAATCCAGCTACTGGCCACGGAGCTAGCGATCGTGTTTAGCCCAAGATTCGGAGAGGTTTATGCAGGGTATGACTCGATGGAACTTTGGAAGGCAAACGTGGGCGGATGGAGACTTGCGAATAGATAGTGGGGGATAAACCGGCGGATCCTGCATTTGGCTAGGAACGGTTCAGTCCATGATCTTCGAAGTATATGATGCGCCGGCCAGTCATGATTCTCGGATCAGGACTTCGGGTGTATGGACAAATCGTGGCCATCGTTTGCGTGCAGCCGCTCAGCGGGAGCATCTTCGAACCACCGACACGAAGAGTTCCATCGAACACCCCGAGTGGATCGAAAGCCTATTTTGTAGTCCGAAGTCCATCACAAAAGGTTTTCAAACTTCAGGATCCGGAGTTCTGCGCCGCAGATGTAATCAGAATAGGGCAAGTGGATGGATCTCGCAAGTAGTAGTCATCGGCGGATGAACACGGGAGTTTTCTATGAAGGTGTTTATTGGACAAAATTACATTATCAGCAAATTTGCATTTTGGGCATTCTGTTGCACTGTCGCGCACTCATTCTCATCGATGCGCTGCAGTTCACATTGGTACTAGCAAATGCTCTTCAGTTCTACTCGATGTCACTGCAGTGCTGGTCAGTGCTAGCCTGTGCTGTGATAGATATTCTCACGCTGCTTTAGCACTGCCACCTGATAAACTATTGAGAGGGCCGCCGGTGCCGCATCAATGCCCATCCAGTGCCTGGCTAGTGCAGCATCTTTAGCACCAGGCAGCATCGTCCTGAACTCGATCACCTCCGAAGACCTCAGCATGACCCAGCATCACATTGCACAAATGCTGAGTCAGGATTTTCTGTCTGGTTCTAGCGGTCCCCAACCACTGGCATGGATCGCACACGTCGCATGTCCCCTGGTGACCCAGCACAAGGTGGTTCTGCGCATAGTAATGGCATGTAAGTGCATATATGCTATCAGTGTGTTACATAGGATCTTATGTACTGTTTTAGGGACACCAATACAGCTGCATTCTTAGGGCTTGGTTGACACGATCCATCAAAACATGATATGCAGCAATAAAGTTTTGCTGGATTGTTGACTGATTCATGGTGGCAAGAAGATCATACAGTGAACGTGCACTTGCATGGTACTGCAGTGTATGAGCAGGGGAGAGCTGGGTCACGTGCTCACAGTGACGATGGTGCAGACAGATGCTCACAGTGCCGAGGCTAATCCATCGGAGAGTCTTGCGTAACAGTGACATTAGTGCTGAACAAGTGCTGAACCAATGCTAAACCAATGCTAGTTCACTTGTGGCTACTAACACCAAGCCTACGAGTTTCAATGCCACTGATGCACCCAATGCCACCAGTGACATCACCACTGATGGGCATGCATGAGCACTGATCAGCATTGGTTGGGAACATCACCGAACCTCTCCGCACTAATGCACAACTGCCCTGCACTGCACCGCACCAGGGAGCACTAGTGAGCACTGGTGAGCACTGCCAGGCACCGACTGATGTGCCATGAGTTAGGTGTTTTGTCCGAAAAACACCCTCAAAGTTTTCGTCACCACGTTTGCCTCGTCGCGCGTATGTCTGGCCAGAGGTGCTTCATATGCTACATATATGCGTACGATATGCTGAGCCGCAGCGGGTCCATGCCGCACATGTCTATAGAGTCAAGTGTTCTTCCATCCTTTCGTGGGCACCCGTGATAACTACCCGAACCGTCCTTTCAACCCGTCGTATATCAAGAATATGATCGCGCTGCTGGGTATACTTCGCGCGATGGTGACCCCGCATCCGGCGTACATCCCGCGGATCCCCTGCTTGCTCCACATTTCTTTTGCCATGCCTGCGGAGCCGGTAGATCAGTTTGTCCAGTTCAGGCAGCGAGGGGAGAGCTCGCACGCACCAAGGTAACCGAGCCTGGCTTGATGTGAATTGGGGTGCAGCTCTTGCGCGGTCTGAAGCGCAGACTTGACGGTGTCGGCGGGGAAGAGCGCAATGTTGTATGCTGCGCCTGCGAACGCTCCCGAGATCGCACTTTCGTACGCGAGCGGCTCCGCTTCACGTCCTTTGCCTGATGATCAATGATTGGAAATGAGAAAATTGATTGGTGATGGGCAGGTGCTACCTTTTGTTAATGTACCAGGGGAAGTTTTGGATAGGCGGTAGGATATCAGTTTGCCGGCGACGAACTCCTTGGTGCAGAACCATGCCGCGCCACCGCCGATCTCGCGCAAGAGCGTGCCCGTATGCCCGAGCCATAAGCCGCGCACACCGTGTTCGCGTATGACACTCATGAGCACGGATATGGGCCCGGGCAATTTCGCAATCGTGCTACTGTTCACGGGCATGGAAGCGGACAATGGCAAGCCCGCCACCGCCGCCACTGCCGAGGGAGCGACGTGGGGCGAGGCGGCGAGCATCTGAACTTGCATCTTACACTTTACTAGCTCGATCGGAGTCCTACGGAGTGTTTCTGGTTGTTAGTGGCAACGAAGGAAAGTAACAGTGTCACCAACAGCACAGTCGCGGTTATGCCGCCCGCGCCCGCGGCTGCGAGCGCTATTTGCGGGAGGGTCGTGGGCGCATCGGTGGTCTGACCGGAGATGCGGCGGATCAAGCTCTGCAATTCGTTATAGGAGAGGAAGAGCGTGGCGTTCTCGGCCATGGCGCCAACTATAGGAGCTGGTAATCCCTGCGCAGAAAAAGCCCGATGAGAACAGGTTCACCAGTTGAGGGTACAGATGAAAGTGTACCCTGTAGAGCCCTCGGATGCCTTCCTTTCTCCACGTTTGCCTTAGGCAGTCGATGGGACCATTGAACCGCGCGGTCGGGTCGAGTACCTGGGCTTGCAACCGGACCTTGGTCAGGTCGAACGGGTGTTCGAAGACTTTTGACACCATGCCAGCAACCTGCACATCCGTTGTAGGGACGAAAGAAATGCTCATCATAGCGAGCTCACGCTGCCGTATGTTATGTCCCTCAATGCCCTTGCGGCGCCAGACTGGGACAGTGCCTCTTGGGGGAGCTCGTCGGGGAGATCCGGGGGAGCCTGCATCGTCGCAGTTCTAGTTTGCGTACCACACACAGGCAGGTGTATGTTCGTGAGGCAAGACGTGAGTGTAAGACGTGGCCTTGCGGTGGAATCGCTATAGCATGGCGCGAGCTACGTTGTTTTATGGGACCGGGGAGACGCCGGCGGGCTGTAGGCTATGTCTGGACGTATGTAGCTTCGTCGCCGCGCGGCACAGCCAAATATTTAGTCGACACGGACAATGAGGAGGACAACAAAGATGTCTAGATGGAGTATGTAACCGGGCTTGTGCAGGCATGGTGTGATAGTCTCAAAATTTCCCAATCGGTCGACGCGAGCTCCGTCCATGTTGTCGCTCTCGTTGTCCGCCCGCGCAGTTCGCGCGTCCTCCCTTCGCGCCGTCCATCCACCATGTTCTACCGCCTCGCTTGGTCTCATAACCAGAAGATACGCCTCCAAAAAGCCCAAGGGCAAAGGCAAGGGTAAAGAAGAGCCCTCCAAGGCATCGAAGTCGCGTGAAGGGGGCGGCGACAAGTACATGCGCTCGACCGCGTCTCTCATCCCCGCCTCGCAAAAGGCTGTCTCGGACGCGGCGCAGGCCGAGTATGACAAGTGCAAGGAGCGGATGGACGCCGCTATCCAATGGTTTCGCAAGGAATGCGCGACGTTAGAGGGTCGCGCGACCGGCCGCGTAACGCCCGCATTGTTGGCGCCCATTCGGGTGAAGATACCAGGTGTCGGTGAGGGGCTGAAGATGGAAGAAGTGGCCACCGTCGGCGTGAAGGACGGAAGCATGCTTGTGGTCACCTTGTTTGAGGAAGGCGTGAGTATAATAAACTGCCTGTAGAATAGACGGGAGACGGGAGCTGGAAGGCTGATTGCGTGGCCCTGGCCAGTAGAGCTACAAACACGTCGAAGACGCCATCCTCTCAGCTAGACTGCCTGGCATTACCCCACAGAAGTACGATACCCGGACTATACGCATCCCCATACCCAAGTGCGTTCTGTCCGCTCTTTCTCTCTCTTTCGTTCTCCTGACGCAAGACCTCCGACAGACCTACAGTGGAGGCCCGCGCTGCGCTGTATACTACCGCTGCCACTCAGGCCGAGGACGTGCGCAATCAGATACGCAAGCATCGCATCACCGCTGTCAAGCACGGCGAGTATGACAAACATTCTGAGGAATTCGAAGCTGTGGGTTCTGATGCTCATGCCCAATGTTGGTACAAATTACTGAATATCGTGCTCTCCTCATGCAGTTCCAGAAGTTGGCGGATAAATCTATCGAGGAGGTTGACAAGATCCTTGCCAATCTGAAGAAGGTGACGTCGCCCAAGTAGCCGGTCGGCCTTCTGGCTAGTTCTTTCGCGACGATTGCACCACTAAGACGCTGGTGAATTCGTACTACTGTATATACTAAGTGGCAGACCCTACTTCTGTGATGCAACTAATCATATTAATCTCTCAAATCACTACGACTTGTTTGAAGTGAGCGTGGACGCCGAATTGAATGTTCCGAAACTGACACGCACTCCAGTGTATTCCGGCAGCAGCCGACAACCGACCTTTCTTCATGGGGCGTTACCGTCCACGAACGCGGCGCAAGGTTGGACCTGCCCAGTGCCCAATGCGTTATTCCAGCGGTAAGCGGCCCAAAATCCTCTTGCACGAACGCGCATATAGCCTTCCCGTTCCATCGTGATGATATTTCGAAGACATTTGCACGTCAGTCGGATCGTTCTGGATCTCTCCGGACCGAATGGACGACATTCTCGCTTTTAACCTGATTCTGCTTCCGCGTCCTTCATGCTTTCTGTTCTACCGCGCAATGTGTGCTAACACGCATCACAGACCAGCGGCTTGGGTCATTACGTCTCCTTGCGCAAGCCTCGCGTTCAGCTCGCGTTGTCGTCCCAGAGCGCGATCTTCATTTCGGTCCGGGTCTCCGCAGGCAAAATTCCAGACGCGGTCACGTGAGAGACCATATGACGGCCCAGGGTGACACTGATTGGGCGTGCGGAGGACGTATGAGAGAGCTTCGGCTTGACGTCCCAGCGACTTCCCGTTATCTGTTCGCTGGGCATATATTCGCATCGGTCCCCCCAGACTTCCTCTATCCCACCTGAACTTGATCGTCCCTCCAGAACGATCGACTGCAGACAGCCATCATGTCGCATTCGTCCCTGCTCGAAGACATCCGCACAAAGATCACCATCGACGTCGACTCGATGGACCCCACGGTCGCAGCTCGCCACAGCCCTGCCGTCGGGGGCAAATTCTGTGACATGACGTCCAATCAGGCGATCGTGTACTCTGAGGCTGCGAGGCCGGAGCGTGCCGACATCCTCAAGACGGCCGTCGCGAAAGCTAAGGCGAAAGGCGGAAGCGAGGAAGACATCGTGGAGAATGCCTTGGATATCTTGGTATGTCATCGTGGTGCGGGCTCAATGCAAATGTTGACGCATGAAAACGTATTTCGTAGACCGTTTTGTTTGCCAAGGAAGTCTATCCGTTCCTGACTGGTCGCGTGCACGCGCAAGCCTCGCCTCCCGCCGCGTACGATACCCCAAAGACAATCGCGCACGCAGAACGACTTGTCGCTCTGTTCGAGGCGGAAGGAATTCCCAAGTGAGCTATCTTCAGCCCAGTCTCCTGCATTTATCGTGAACGGTGGTGGTTGACGACATGGCTTCGTAGGTCTCGTGTGTGTATCAAGATCCCTGCTACGCCTGAAAGCATTGTTGCTATGGCCCATCTTGAGAAAGAAGGTATACGCACCCTTGCAACCTGCCTGTTCTCAGTGCAGCAAGCCGTCGCCGCTAGTCAGGCCGGATGCTTGTACGTGGCGCCGTACTTCAACGGTACGACCTATTTGCACGTAGAGATGACTTGCCTGACACCGTTGATACCGGTAGAATTGAGAGTTCATTTCGAGCCCTCTGTGTGGAAGTCGTACACGGATACTGCGAAGGAGCACCCGATGAGTCCCGTCATCGGCAACATCGTGAAGACCTTCCGCAGATTATCTTCAAAGACTCTTGTCATGCCCGCCAGGTATAAGTCGATTTCCTCGCGAGCCTACAACTGTCGCTAATAGAGGCGATCAGTATTGTGACATCCGCCGAAGTCGTTGCTCTCGCTTCTCTTCATCCCGATCATCTCACTTTGGCTGGTGGCGTTCTCGATCAACTGGCATCCGAGCCGCCGTCGCAGAATGCAAGCGAAGCTGCGGATGACCCGAAGCCTCATCACCCGGACCTTGACGCCCCTTCCGCCGTCCCTGTAGACTCGGACACTCCATCGGGTACGCCCAAACTATATTCAAGTCCGGTACATCATACTGACATGCAATTTCCAGTACTTTCACCTCAGTCCACCGATTTCCTGACCAACGGAGCCGATGCTCTCCGCCAGGCTCTCGCTGCCGACAGCGAAGCTACTCGGAAGCTCGCAGACGCCCTCAAGATTTTCGGGGAGATGGAAGATAAGACAAGGTTACTCATACGGGACCAGCTTCATACGATACATTAGTGGACGTCGCCGCGGATATTACTAGATGAAAGAGTGGTAGCAATGCTGTACTCTATACCGGGTATAATCTCTATCAGGATTGCAGAGCAGAATCGAAGGAGGTAAGCATGGAAAACGGAATGATTGGATAAAAGAATGTGCGAAGCATGCCAATCTGTGCCTCCAGCGTAGCTCGATCACTGCAACAGGCGTCCACGGGTGTCCAGGCCGAATACTACGCGAAAGTCAGTAAGACAAACCGTACATCTATCCATGACTCACAGTTAGCAAGTTCCTTTACAGATAAACCTATCCGGAAGGCATGAGTGATGGACTACAAGAAACATGAAGTTTCCTTACGGATTCTCTTCGCGGTGCCTTCGCCCAGAGAGCCATCAGCCAAATTGCGCTTGCGCTCTTGTAAAGCAAGAATACGATCTTCTACGGTATCTTTGATAACCAGGCGCTGTATGTTAACGTGCCTAGTTTGACCGAGACGATGCACACGATCGAAAGCCTGCCAGACAACGTTATTAAGAGCAAGAAGCTGAGCAGCGAGAACCCACCTGTGCCTCCACGGCCTCTGACCATCCGAGATCGAGAGAAATGACACCTGAGAAACCAGTCGAAACTCAGTCCTGGCACCGATCTAATGGAGACATTACCCACGATTTGCCCTTGTCAGGTTCAGACCCACACCTCCACACTTCAGGCTCATAAGCATGATCGGGACGTGGTCCTTCGTCATGAATGCGCGAACGGATGCCTCGCGATCCCCGATCTTCATATCTCCCTGGTATCTGCAAGCATTGCTCATGAGATTATTGAATAGCGTGTGGGTAGAGGGGAACAACAGACTTGACATGCTTGATTCCTTCCTGGTTGAGATAATCGGAAACGAGCGCCAGGCAGGAAGTCCACTGCGAAACGACCATAGTCTAGAGGATCTCAGCATGAGCAAGTGCACGAGTATGATTGTAGGATCGCAAACCTTTTCCTCGGGGTGTTCCAGTGCGCATCGTTTGATATTCGCCATCATTGCCTTCAAACCGACTTTAGATGGTGCATCTAGGACATGATGCCGTCAATGCATACCTTCATCTTGGTCGAGGGCAAGAAGCGACTCATTGTCTTGATCTTTCCATTAGAAGCCATCGACTTCCTGGATCCATGTACGACCTTCGCAATCTCTTCCTCTTCGCTGTCTGAGTCGTGGATGATGTTGCGAGCCCGAGACTTAGCCCCGCTCTGTCTCCTTGGCGGCCCTGCTCGGAAGTCGCCGTCTTGATCATCGTCGCTGGGCACGATGAAGTCAGACATGTTATCGTCATCCACATCCATGGGGTCTTCATCGTCTGAAAGATTGAGATCAGCCTCTTCCGGGGCGAAGGCTTCCCGAGTGAAGATCTCCGCTGAACGTATGGGAGCGCGGCATGAAGGGCCTGTCATTGATGCTCATGAGTCGAAAACGGGAACGAATGGCACAGATCAGACGCACAGGGACGCTCCTCGGATCTGTCATTCATGGGATCATCTGCGATGCCTCGCAAAGGGTTGTTCAGCACCTCGGTAACACAGGGACGACAGAAGACATGGCCGCAACCCGTAACCACCGCGTCAGATAGAACGTCCATGCAGATAGGGCATTCTTCGTCTTCTAACGTGGCGTCGGCAGATTCTTCTTTTTCGAGGCGTATGCGACGGAGGGCCGCCTCTTTCAACTTAAATTGGATCCGAGAGACAAAGTTGGCTCCCATGATTGTAGTGGCACGTGCTAACTCTGCGCTGAGATGACTGGTGGCGTTGTCAGAGCTGACGTATGCCGGGCTAGTCTCCGCGATCAGGCAGGGATGCGAGCAGACTTGGCGAAGTCGTCTGCGAATCTTTTGTCAGAAGCGCTTCAATCCAAATTTTTGGGACGTACAAGAGCATGACGAGAACTGGCCCCACCATATTGATCAGCAACCCAAAGACAGTTCATTGATTGTGAAAACATGCATACCGTGGGCGTAGTTCCTGTTAGATGACAGTCAGTGACGCGTCCAGCCCGTATGGGAGTAATACTTACTTCAGCACGGTTCCGGCTTGGAGGTATCTTCAAGGCAATGTGAATCGACCATAGCTAGAAGCGTTGAACGTGACATACCTGTTGAACACGGCCTGCGACCGGGATTCTACGAATTTGTAGATGTCTCGTTCTTCCTGCAGAGTGACGATGCTTTTAGTGGGACTCCATAACAACATGGGAAACAAGTACCTGCGAAAACTCGAGCCGCTCCAACAGCACCTCTTTCGGAGGAAGCTCTATGAGTCGTTTTCCGTCCAGCATCGACGTCTTCGTGCCTATGAGACAAGTGCAGATCAGCGGTGACTTCTTACATGACGGTGGCGGACGTACGCCTCAAGAGCGTGGCTCGGAAAATACCTTGCAGACGAGAAGAAGCCAATGTCGGATTTCTGCAGAATGATCAGTTGGCACGCCATGGGACTCATCATGACGAACCTCTTCTCTAGAATTGCTACGTGTGAATTGAACTCCGACCAGTCATACCTAAATCAGATCAGTAATGTTGTGTTGAATGCCTGTACGATTGATATTCGTACCATGGTCGGATTCTGCAACATGAATCAGCAATGGCAAGAGTCTGACACTTGGCATTCACTCACCTCAAGAACTGTAAATAGCCGAACGCGTCCGCGAGGGTATTGATAATCGGGGTCCTAACGAACACCGGTCAGAGACAGAGAACGAAAGAACAGTACCAAGCTTACCCTGTAAGGCACCACCGACGCTCAGCTTGCAAGCTTGTGACGGCACGAGAAACCCCTTCATGCAGGGTATTAGTTATTGCGTGTACGACTTTCTTCAAGACTCACGCGTTCGTCGGTTGCGAATTGTCTGAGCCTCATCGACAACGATTCGATACCACTGCATGGATGACCGTCAGCGGCGTCAACCCAATGTAGGAAAATGGCCGCAAACCCGCATGCGAACGAGAGGTCCCTCTAGATCGGTGCAAGTTCAGGGTAGGGCACATGGAAATAGAGGGAAAGCCTCGCACCAGTTTTCTTCGTTTTCCTCTGATCGCGGCAGAAGGAGTCTGATTCAGAATCATCCTCTATGAAATCATTTCTCTTTCTCTTCTTCTCCTTGGCCTTCTGTTCGGCCTCGTAATCTGGCCATTCCAAGGCCATTGTCTGTAAATGTATTGAGTGCGGGGGTTGCACGGTAAAGAAATAGTTTCAATACCTGACCGGTTGTCAATACAACATCGTATTTTTCTAATTCCCTGACCGTCTTGACTTTCCTCGATCCTACAAGCAGAGCTGAGTTTGCTACCACGAGGAAGTCACATCATCGCCATACCGTGATAAATAAGACATTTCATGCCACAGTTCGTCTTCGAGTCTATCTCGGCTACCCATTGCTCTAGCAACGCCAGCGGTGCGATGACGAGGGTAGTCTTGCACTTCGGATCCGTGGACCGGTTGATACAGAGAGTCGCAATCCTGTTTGCAATAGAGCAGTGAAAGTCAGTGGCGAGCTGAAATTTCTGTTGAGGCACTGACATTTGCACAGTCTTTCCAAGACCCATCTCATCCGCTAGAATGCCGCCTTTGTCTCGTATGCGTTCCCTGACGGTCATCAGCTTATGCGTCTCCAGAACGACTGTTTTACGCACTTCCCAAGCATCCACGCAACACCTAGATGTATTTGTGGACATTAGTGCCGTGAAAGCCGCGGCACGAAACAGACCACGTACCAATGATTTGATGTGGCATCAGGCGAATGTTCATGCCCGGTAGCAACTCGTGCTGGTCATTCAAACCGAGTTTCTTCAATGCCTTGTCTATGCTTTCGTTGCCGTCGAACTGCTCCGCGTTGCCTGCATTCAAGATGAATTGTTCGATCCTGAAATTAGCGAAGTCCACCGAGTTAAGTCAGGCGGCCATCGATGAAACGTTGGGTAGACCTACGCTGACTCCGAGGAACGGTGGACGGCAAAGGCACTTGGGCGGAATGCCATCGGTCCTGCGTGCGGGTCATCGAATTCTGAATCGTCAGACCCGATATCCAGCATCCTGACGTCCGACGCGAGTCTGGGAACCGGAGGAAGCTCCGCACTTAGGCCGAGCCCGGGAAGACGTGGTTTGGCGTCCAAAGCAGCCAACAATTGGGAGCTAGGTTTGTCCTCGTCGGATTTCTTCACGGCTCCGTTACTGTTGTTCTCGATGCGTGGACCAGCGGAGGACCACAACAAATGTGAGGGAGGTGGTGACTCCTCCTTCTTCACCCGGTTCAGCCCGTACGGCGTGAAGGCCGGTTGAGCGCCGAGCGCACCTGCCAACGACGAAGTACCGGGCCGCGATCCTGAGGCATACGGCCAGGACGAACGGCCGCTTCCACTTGCAACCGCATTGTGACGCGTAATCTCCATCCGGACTGGTTGCTGAAGCGGGCTGGAAGAAGGCGGAGGGGACGACGATCGGAGGGCCGGTTCGATCCGCGGCCTTTTATGGCTGACGGAACGCGAGGGCGAGGATTGGGCTTCGCGGCGGGCAGTGGACGGTTTGCGCTGCGAGCCGTTGAGGTTGTTGATCGCGAGATCCAACTTTGCCAATAGCGATGAACCGCCAGTCGCATGCGCATTATGACTGGCACCGGTTTGCGCGCCTGTTGGCGTCGACGAGGGCTGTGCAAAAACCCGGCCGGTTGATCCTCTGTGGACCTGCGACTCCTGCGATCCCAGTCCGTAATTCTGATTTCCAGATGCGGAAAACGAAGGGGTACGGCCAGGAAGGCTCGAGCGCGAGGCAGCTTTAGTCTTGCCCGTGTTCTGAGTTCGGGAGCCTCCCAACGGCTTCACACGTGACGCTGAGTTCGATTTAGGTTCTTCGAAGACTGGCGTCTGGAATTCGGTGATCAGCATACGCCTCAAGCTATTCATGTTTCATAACTCACGTGTCCTCGCCTCGCCGTCTCGACGCCAGATGGGCGCGATGCGGCACTGTCCAACGGCGCATGACCCATCCCCGCGGCTCTGACGCGGGCCTGGCGTTCGCGTTGGTGCGTAGGGTGACTGGCAATGTGCACCTTCGGACCTCATCTCAGATTGTGCGGTGCAAACTTTCGGGACGGAGCTTACCCTGTATGCGCCGAGGGTTCCGACGCCAGCCGTCGCGCCACCATCTCCGGATTCAAGAGGCGCCAACTGGATAGTCGAATTCTCACAGCCTTGTTCAAGGCAAGTGAGGATGCCGGCTGTTGGGATGTTAGCACGGCCGGCTATATGCATGCCTCTAACTAAGATGGGCGCGCTCACAGCTTACTCCGGGTTGGGTCTCGATTCGGAACTGTCACACGTTGGTCAGCATTCACTTTTCCAGCTAAGATGATCCACGACGCGTACATTGATATCATCTGGGCAAGACAGGATGTGCAGCTTCAACTCCTGTAGGTACGCCGGCGGCACCTGCGATAGTCACAAAACAGCATATCAGTATATAGACCACTTAGGAGCGCATATACAAGAAGGACGTCAAAGAAGCGCGACGCGGGATGTTGGAGCGCGTGGGGTCTGGGAACAGCCCCTATCTCATGAGAAACTTACTAGCGTAGTGGGCGAAAGTCCTAATTGAAGCCTAGAAAGAGCAGTCAGCTCGTTCTCTGTGAGTGATTTCCCCGCCATCGCTGCAAACGGCGACAGGCGAGGCAGATGGTGAATCAAGTAGAGACGCGTCGACGCGGTGTGGCGAAGTCAGGAGCGCGTTTTCCCTTCAATGGCGCAGATTTGTCCTTTTTTAAATAGGGCCAAACAACGCGCCTCCCCTCACGTGCGTCGCGCATGTATCTTCTGTCAGTGCCATACGCGACAAGGCCACGGCGCATTCGGAGCCACTACTGCTTATCATACAGCTCATCCATGGTCGATCGCAATGGTATACACCCCCTTGGCGCACAATGGAATGTCGAAGGTCGCTTCTCGGACGGCTTCCACTCGCAACTGCGCACCATCAGAGTGCAATGCTGTGACGACAACCGTTAGTACACATACCACGTTTGTGTGGATGCGAACAGGAGTTGCGAGGTGGCCGCCATCACGATCACCCCACCGCAGTTCCGATCCGTATGTGGCGCCTATGAGGCTCCGGATCGGTCTTGTGGCGCGATCCGTACCCAGTCGAGGGGGGAAAGGTGATCAACTTATGGCCGATACAGGCAGGATCCATCGTCGGATTGAGGTATGTGTATTGCGATCTAGGAAGGGTGCAAACGGGCCGGACGCGGAGACGGAAGATTGGCCTCGTGGTGGCGCACATGTTCGATGGACGATCGGTCAATGTACGAATGAATATTGGAGTCTCGTGTTCCAAACCGCCGCCGGCTTCGTCATGAGGTTTGCGGCTTACCAACCTCGGCCCTGTTCCTTTGGGTATGTGCCAATGGGTCTTACGCCACGCCTCCGTGAGTTAACGCCGCCGACACATATGTGACATGCTTCCTTCTCGGTTTTAGCAACGCGCGGTGGTTATGGATACCGATGCTAGACTGCAACGAGCGAGACATCGGATGCAATCCAGAAGCGAGAAGTCGTAGCAGCGCTGTGCCTGCAAAGTTTGACGATGCGAGCATCGAAGAGCATATGTTGTAAAGAATCTGATTTTTATCGATCAGAGGAGGATGTCCGTGCTGCAGAAAGAATGCGACCCATTCGGACTGCATTCATATGAACGTGGACCGTTAATTGAAGGTTGTAACCAAACACGTTTGGAAGCTAGTGGAAATGAGTGATCGCGGGACCTCGCAGGTATCGGGCGTGATTGTCGGTGTAACATACAGTGGGTGAAACACCAGGCCAAGCAAGGTTGCCCTATTATTAAGCCGACCTTGGGACATATCGTCTATTTCAAGCAAGCGTTTCATCGACCCGATCGACACGAGGCAACATATATGCCTTGCCCAGGGAACGGCCGCGCCTGCGTCACAGCTCCTGCACGTAAGACGACGTCTCGTGAAGGGTCCAGAAAGATCGTCCCAACTTCCGTTCGATGCCCGCATTCTATGGCCGTCGGTACCGCCAAAACCGTGGAAAGTACCGGGGCAAGACTGGGGCGCAATCAGTCGAAGACGCACGTAGATAAAACGGGACCATGGCGCGTAGATCCAAAGATCGTGAAGCAAAATACTTAGCGGGCGTGCCGGACCCCTCGTTTCGTGCCGACCGTTGATGGCACTTGGCAAGAGAAACAGGGCGTTGGCAACCGCTAGATGGCGTTACGCTCATTTCGCAGCGAGGAAATAAATACTTATGGGACGCGACGCAGCGCGAGAGTGGAGATTAGCGTGCAGGCGGCGCTTTGTTTATGTCAATCGCGATGGAATAAAAGCAAAGACGCAGAAGGTTCCCAGCCTTGGGATCAAAAGTTTAAGCAACCGGTCATCAGATGATACGGGGCTGAGAAGGCCGTGCCGATATCTCCTTGTCCCCCGGCGGAAGCAGACGCCCTCGCCCCTTGCAAGTCCGACGTCACGGCCACCGAACCGTCTTGGACGCTTCAAAAACATCGGCGATGCGGGGTGCGACGAGCTGAGTCCGCGCCATCGCCGCCATCGACAACGCGCTTTTCATTCATTTCCGCCGCCCACCTACACGAGTCGACGCGGCCCCGCTAAGTACTGCACGTACACCGCGGTGCTCGAAGCGGGATCTCCGTCCCTCGCTCTCGACCCCCCCGCGTCTGCCGGCCCATTTCGCTGTTACATTGCAACGGCGACCCAGTCCCCCCTCGGACTCTGTAAATTCGCCCTGGTGATAGTTTGCCGAGGTTCCGGACGGACGAGCCTTTATACTGCTTGTTCTCTCCGGGCGCACGACTCTCCCGCCAGCGGTGCCTCCACCTGTATAGCTGTTCGAGCTGTCCCGACGGCGTTAGCCTAGTCACAAAACATACACCACAAGGGACTCGCGACTAACAGTGCCTGTTCGCAACAATGACCAGCCCTACGCGAGAACGCGCGGATTCCGTAGACCACTACCCAACGCTTTGGCCCCCGTACCCTCGCCCGGACGAAACCGAGGCACGATCACGCGTTTCCTGCCACGTCGATCTTGCACTCACAATCGTATAGGAGGAGAAGAACGCTCGTCTTGAAGAAGAACGCCAGGCAAAGATAGTTTCCGACAACATCGATTCGCAGATCGAAGCCGAGAGGCAGGAGCGCCGCCGGAAGCTTCCGCAGGCCAAGATTCTCCTCTTAGGCAAGTCTTGCCAGCATTTCTCTCGCTCATTTCCCCCTACCTTGCCCGTCCTTCCGGTTTTGGCTTCGTCGTCTATTATAGGCTTCTCACGGAACGCGCATTTTTCCTTCATCAGGTCAAGCCGAGAGCGGCAAGTCGACGCTACTCAAGAACTTCCAGTTACAGTTCACCCCCAAGGCATTCAGAGCTGAAGCCGAGGCCTGGCGAGCGGGTACGCTGTCCACGCTGACAGCCACCGGCACTATTCCTGGCTAACGCACATGCTGTCTAGTGATTCACTTCAACCTTGTCCGATCTGTCAACTTTCTCTTGGACCTGCTCGAGTCGAGCAGCTCTCCTCATCCATCCCTTACCCGGGCCACATCCCCACCTCTGTACTTCCAACATGGCCGCCCTGGCACTTCCATCGCGACATCGCCGATACTGCCTTCTGTCAACCTCACGCCTAACCTCCGACGGCTGAAGATGCAGCTCTCACCGCTGCGTCGGGTGGAAGAGATGCTATCGCAGCGGCTGAACGCTGCGCAAGTCGTACCCTCAGCGTCGTCTTCGGCCTCGTCCTCGCCCACGTCTTCGCACCAACCTTTGCTGGCCACCTACCACAACGACCGCCCGTTCGAGGTTCGGGTGCAGTCCGGCTCGGGATGGAAAGCCGCGTTCCTAGCCGGGAAGGGGACGCGGAGAAAAGGAGATAAAGGCAAGGATGCTATGCGTGATGAGATCATGGAAGCGAGGACGGTCATCGACGCGTGCAAGGCGGATATGGAGGCGCTGTGGGCGGACGAGGATATGCAAAGGGCATTGAAGGAGGAGGGCGTCATGCTGCAGGACCAGGCCGGGTTCTTCCTGTCCGAGATTTCGCGCGTTGCTTCGAGAGATTACGACCCGACAGCAGGTAACCGTCTCACGTTGCATGCGTGCGCATTTTCTCAACGGCTCGTGTGATCATTCTACAGACGATATCCTCCGAGCACGTTTGCAAACTCTGGGCGTTGAGGAACACCGGCTCGTTATGGAGACCAGTGAGTGCTTACTATCATCTGCCAGCGTCGCCTGTGCCATGTTGCCTCGATCCCATGTGTGACGCCCTTCTCCTCATCCTCTTCCCCGCTTGGACCATGTAAACCAACAAAGGCCCTATAGGTGCCGAAGCTGGCAAGGAATGGATCATCTACGACCTCGGCGGCAGCCGCGGTCAGCGAGGTGCGTCTTCCCTTCCCCCTTTTGCTTCCATGTATGTGCTGACACGCTGTGACAGCCACCTGGGCACCGTTCTTCGAGGAGGGCACCATCAAGAGAGAACCTTACCCCACGCGACCTGGTATCACTCAGCTCTTGGACGAACACATCGCTTCCACCATCATCTTCCTCGCTCCGGTCAGCGCCTTCAACCAGTCCCTCTCCGAAGATCGCTCCGCCAATCGGCTTTGGGACTCGTTCAACCTCTGGGAGGTCATCTGCTCGAACAAGCACCTACAGCACGTCGCGCTGATTCTACTACTGAATAAATGCGACGTGTTGGAGGCCAAGTTGAAGGCGGGGATCGAGTTTGGGCGATACGTGACCAGCTATAAGGAACAGCCGAACGACGTGGAGCATGTTAGCAAATGTAAAGGCCTCGTTCGACTTCTACATTGAAGGTGGACGCTGATGGACGGATAGACCTCAAAACTAAATTCACGCTCATATTCAAGCAAAACTCGCCGAAGACTCGAAAACTGCATCTGCATTTGACTTGTGCCATCGTGTGTGGTCCTTTTACTTCCGCTGGCCATCTCGCTGACAACCGTGAGCAGGATATCCAAGCAATGTCTGAAGTGCTACTGCGAAGTGCGTACTTCTGTTCTTGTTTCGTTACTCCGCAGCTGATATCGTCGTGTCTGCAGTCCGAGAAGTCATTCTCGTTAGAAACCTGCAATCATCAGATTTTATCTGAGCCATACCCTGGATAGCTATCCAAGGGAGCTGCATTTATCTATTCTCGTTGCTCATCTGCTTTTCCTGATTTACTAGTACTGCGATTCCTACCTCTACATTACTGTAGACTAATAGGGCCGGATGATATCTACACGAAGAGCCATGATTCGTCTTACATACTCTCTCACCACTACAATAGCTGCAAGTAGACCGTTCTGACGAGAGCGTTGAATCAAAGCAAGTCCTCCAAAAGGCTCCATGGTGTGACGTGATAATTCGCATGACGTAATGTTGCGCTGCGGCGCACTAACCGCCTGTCGGACGGCGCAGTCCGTTCAAAACCCAGCCCCGACGCGCGACTCCCAGCGCTAACTTCACCCCCCTCGCCCAACACTCACCAATAACTTTCACGTTAACGTACTACCAACTCATACAACATGGTTAAGGGATCCGACGTCTGCCTTATCATCGTACGTTGTTGTTTCCTGCATTATCGTCAGCGAACCAGTGACTCATGAGGTCCCCGCCAGGTTGCCATTATCTTCCCCCCTGCCGCTGCGGCGTTCATCACTGGATGCAGCTGCGACCTTCTCATCAACATCTGCTTGACAATGTCAGTACTCTCATCCATGCTCTTTGCTGATTCCGCGTCTCATCCGAGTTCTCTACTCAGCCTTGGATACTTCCCCGGTCACATCCACGCCTTCTGGCTCATCTACAGGAAGATGAAGGCGGAGGAACGCTATGGTCGCGGTGCCTACCAATGTGCGTATTGACTTTTTGTATGCAATGACCTTTCTGATGGACTCGTTTCTCAACCAGACGTGGGCAACGGTGTCTATGAGCCGCTCTACTCAGGACAACCAGTGGTAGCTCCTGCGGGTGCTGGGTACGGTGCTACTACGATGTAAACATGTCTCGGAGTATAAGCATGCCCGCGCCCAGGTCCGTTCTCCCTCCCCAAACCCATTCTATCATACCTTGGACTTCTGTACCAACTTGTATGTGTAATGCAACGCTTCCCCTTTGCTATACCCTTTCGCGCGTGCAACTCCAGGAAAGGGACAATGCCCAATGGATTCTAGCGAATATGGTGATACATCAACATAAACACTCGCGATATCGCGCGAACCAGATTAACCGTCCCCAGACGAAATTGATGCGATGCTGATGGTCCAGCGCCTGCAACATGTGCAAATCCATTATTGTTAGGTGATTGCTTTCGATCAATCACTGATGCCCAAATATACGCTCACTTTCCACCAGTCACCACAACCATTTGTCCTTCAAATCGCCGACGTCGCAAACAGAACCGTATCCATTGCGGTGAACGCTACGCCTGCTGAGTAGACAAGCAAGTGCGGGGGAGAGCCTTATCTAACGACGATGGAGGGTGTTCAGGACACCCGAGATTTGGGGGTGTGATGCGCGGACTCTGGAAAGGCTGAAACTGCGGCGCGGGTCGCTTGTGTACGAGTCCGCAAATTCGCAACGTCAGTGTACGAAGCGTTCAAGAGCAGTATCATCGTCCGGATGCACGGTCAGCTATCTCATGATCGCAAAACGTATAATTCAGAGATGAGATGCAGTTGATCCGATCCCGGGAGCGGCGGAGGGATTTCTGGGCTTCGCAAATAATCGTATGAGAATGTCCGTATGTACACCGAGAACAACGTACAAAATGCGGTATGCAAGACCTCATATATCTGCCACTGGAACGCCAAGGTCTTTGCAGATAGTCTGCAAACTGTTCCATACCTGAATCCTGGCGTCCTCCTTCCGCGCTTCGTTGCTTGGCTCCACAATTTTTCCGACCGGGGTCAGGTAGGAATTCTGGACGACGGACCATATCAGATTGCGCAAAGGGTCACAAGGATGGCCAAAGAGCCCACAACACACCTTGTATTTCTCTGCCTCAGCACGTACGATGGGCGCAGTGGCCGCAAACAAGCTGGTGTGGCATCCCGTGTCTGGAGAAGTGCCGAAGAGCTTCGGAACCCAGGCGAGGTGCCATTCCGCCCAATCTTTCATTACGTTCGCTGGGACGGCGATGAGTCTCGTTGACAGACTTCGGACCACACCACGTACGGGTCTCAACCATCCCGGGATGTACGGACAGGCATATGATGGGGATGCCCTTGGCGGTCAGCCGTTTCTGCAATTCGGCCGTGTACTGCAAGAACACGACCTTGGAATAACCTAGCAAGGACCCTGTGAGCAAGGACACGCATAACAGCGCGAAGGCGATGGACGGTACCGTAGCGGGCCATCTGTGGCAGGATGGAGCTCTTGAATTCGTCGTTGAAGTCTTCGGGTGCGTATTTGCAGTTGTAGACCATGCGATGAGCGTCAGAGGAGAGCTAATAAAGAAATGAGACTAATGTCACTTCACGTTACAGAACAGGGGACGTACCTGAACAATGCGGACGTCTGCGCCTGGTTCTTGTGCTGTAGACTTGAGTAGCGGCAAGAGGCACTGCGTGAAGATGACCGGTCCTATGAGGCTAAGAATGTCGAATGTCAGTTACGCGCAATCCATCACCATATATGAAAATGTACTTGGCCATCATAATCTCCTGGTAGCCTAAATGGAGGCTATCAAATTTGACGGAATGAAAACACAGCATCGACCGACGTACCGGCCTTCGTTTGCACGTAGGGGTGGATTATACTGCAGGTCCGCAATGAGTGCCTCGGCAGATGACACGTCGGAAGCACTCACAGGGCAGCGTTGTTGATCAAAATATCCAACCGCTTCTCCTTTGCCAGCAACTCCTCCGCGGCGGCCTTCGTCAGCGCAGGGTCCGTCAAGTCCAGCTTCAGCCAGATCACTTCCCCGCCCTTCGAGCTTAACCCTTCTTTCTTCAATTGTTCTATGGCCGCCGCCGCTTTCGCCTCATTTCGAGCGGCAAGGTAGACTTTGGCGCCTGCTCTTGCGAGGAACTTCACAGTTTGTAGTCCAATACCGGAGCTGATGAAGACATGGTGAATCACACATCCTGGCAGGGTAAAAGGATACGCTGCAACTCACTTGCCTCCGGTTACCACGACCACTTTGCCTCTCAAATCACCGACGTCGCGAACGGGGTCATATCTCTTGGAGAAGAACAAACCCATCACGGCGGATACTCGCTAGGATAACCGAGTCGACAATCGAGGGGAATTGTTCAACGGTGCGACGGAACTTTTTGGGAAAGGCCAAGCTTTATGCTTAAGCTGAGAGTAACTGTCCTTGCAGATTGGAGCGGAGACCCCCGGCTCGTTCCCTTAAGTACAAGTCGACGCGCGGCATCGGAGCCTACGAGTGCGGTTAAGCAGCAGCTGTATGGTCGGCATGCGTTGTACGGGATCAGGAAGAAGTCGCGAGAAAGATGCCATTGAAGATGGATCGCGGGAGCGGAAGCGGCGGCATAGAGCGGCGCTTGGGGAGTGGCGAGCCGTTAGAGTTAGTAAGTTAGACCGAATGCGGGGTTAGGACTCCGAGACTTCATGAAGTTGCCATCATCGTCATCATAGGTACGATGGTAAGCATTACAGGACGGGTCTCGAGGTGCATACAATCGTGACTAATGAGCTAAAGAGGTCGAAGTTCTCAGGACTACGGCTTGAAACGAGAGGACGGTTCATGCCCGGGACGCCACAGTCGATCCGGAATGCGCGAGAGCCTAGTTGCACGCCGAAATCCAGTGTCACGAGAGCGGTGGCAAGTTGTCAGTATGTGCGAGTTTGATTCAAGGATAGCCTCCGTCCGGTGTGGCAGATAGTCAAGCTTAGCGTCTCCGGGTGTCGTCGGCAGACCAGATTCCGCGTCGGAGACCTCCACTTTGGCGCCTCGTGGAATCCATGGCGAGGAGATGGAAGAGATAGAGCCGGCGCTATTGGAACCTCGCAGGCACCTGTTAGAGAGCCAATCACGAGAACAGACTACGGCGACTATGCTCTGCGGCGTCCAGATTGTGAGCAGCACAGAGGGCTAACACGGATTAGATCCACTCGACTCACCGTGATTACCAGACAAGCAAGGCGGAAAAGGTGCCAAACGATGTTGGTGAAGGCAAAGAATGCTCGGAAGGCAGACGCTTGAGACAAGCCCGCAAAGCCCACAGGTGACCCGTCTGCGGCGAACTTGAAGACATAATGACCAGACTACGGATGTCGGACATACCGTCAAACAGCAGGTGCATCACAGGACGAAGGAGCAAGCCCATGATCTCGACCGGGGCTGGACCAACGAGGCCATAGTTGGCACCGCCGTAGCCTGAGTTCAAAGTACGTCTGGCATCGTTGGCTGTCTCATTGATGGCGTCTAAGCCTTGCTTGACGTCAGCAATCACTCCGGCAAGCTCTTGCCTTGTCGTTGAAGCCAAGTTTGTAATGGTTTCGTCGATCTCCGAGGCGGAATCTGCGATGTGCTGGTGCAAATCCTGAGTCATACGTGCCTGAACAAGGTGAGCTTCGAGATGCTCCCCGGCTTCAGCGGCATTGGACGCTAGATATGTAAGAGTCTTCGCCGGGATCAGCACACGGTGATACTCGATAGACCTGAGCAAACCTCTTGAACTAGATGAAGTTGTTGCATCATAGACGACCACTGTGTCCCTACGTCATTCTATGGGATGTATCAATAACGAGTTCAGCTGCCTGCTGGCTCTATACATGAGACAGACCATAAGCGCGAGAACTCGTTGCTCCTTGGCGTCGAAGGAAGTGAACAAGCTAGCAAGACCAGTCTCAATTGACTGCCGAGTGTCCGACAACAGCACTGAGACCGCGGAGTCATGCTAATGCAGCGAGATGAGGACATAGAAGCCATGCGGGTCAACACGCGGATCATCATGACTGACCTCAGTGACGGATGTCTGGAATCTGGCATGAATCTTGGCCGACTCAAAAATCAGCTCTACTTCAAACGCTCACTCCCTCATACCTGTTGCAGGAGTTCCGACGTCAGCTCTTCTTGCTTGCGAAGACTTTCGTTGAAGTTGCCAGCAAGGTTGTCGATGATCTGACACAGGAATTAGCCCATCAGATTTCTCGGAAAATTGCAATCCTTACTTCTTGAAGCCAGACTTCCTGTCGGTGAATAACATCGTCGGCGCTCAGCCGTGCGTACTCTTGCAAGTCGTGGTACTGCATGAGAGCTTTCTGCATAGTCTCCATCGCTCATAATTCCATCAATTGTTCCTGTAATATAAATCATATAACTCACATCCACTAGACTATCCATATTCTGGAAAATATCCTGTGTTTTGGCTTCTCTGGACACAAGGTCTCGCATGAATGCATCCTGAGCGGACGTGGCGTTTCGATAGATCTCTCTGGCGGTATCTGGATAACCATGTTAGTACGTCTTTCGTGGCACTCACCCAACCCGTGCTTACCCATCTCGTTCCATCTCCGAAACGCGTAGCACAGTTGCGCTAGATCATTGGCAGTCAACAATGTGCCAAGACGTTAGACCTAACCCTTACGAATCTCTCTCAGATACCCCGAGTAGCTTGACCAGAACTGCGCGCTCCTCGAGAGAGCTCTATGAACGACCTTAGGCCGAGGACACAGTGAACGGCGGATATATGCGCTTACTCGACACATCTTGCTTGCGGCGCGCCCTCCTTGGCATCCTTCGAAACGTCCTGCGAAGCCAAGGACTCCGGAGAGAACGGTGCACATTCCAGTGGATAGGATATATGCCTCGCCGTGTTGATCTCGCAGAGTGTCAGATGGATAGCCGCTGAATGTAACGGTCATGTCAGGAAGTGTTTGCCTCTGATTGTATGCGTATGTATGCGCACCCCTTGTCCGCTCGTCTTCGGTCATCTCGGCTTCTCCGCATCTTGTTCTGATATGCCTTGATGATCGCGCAAAACAATCCGGCCGGCGATCGTATGCCTCCAGGGCGTCTGTAGTGTGCGTCAGTGATCGAAATGAAGGCGCAAGCAGAGGTGGCAGACGCAGAGATGACTCAAGATTGTCATGAGCCTCCGATTGGAGAACTGCGGGTTTAGATCGCGTATATCTTCAGTCGGACTGGCGATTAATTGAAGGTGTATACTTGCCATTCAAACTGCTGTCCGCCCCTTCACGTCGTCCATCCTGTGCAGATCCGGGCCAAGAAAGAGCGGACACGACGTTCGATACCAATAAGGTCGACATCCAACACACGCACAGCGCGAAAGTGTGCATCGTCGTCGTTGTCGAGTGAAGGAAGCGCGACCGCAGGTCCCATCGTGTTTTTCTTGGACTACTCGCGCGTCGCACTCACGTGCGCTGGGGTTAGCAAGAGATCGTCGGCCCGATGATTGCGTATGCACGCGGCAGATCGGTCTATCAGCGATCGCGCCGGAAATATACCTACCTACCTACCTTGAGCGCTGAGCATCCCATCGCCTCCCATCGGTGAGAGCGGCACTACTCGATACAGCTCGCACGGTATACTCGTCAACCACATGCTTCGGTTGTAGTTTACCGGAGGATCCCCGATTTCACCCGGCGAAGGATCGCATGAAAGATGCGTGGCGACAAGTTGCCACAAGGGTGAACACGGGGTTTCCACGAACGTCCGAGGTCCGCTATGGTTGTCGACGATCCTGCACGCAAAACCAGCGGTCACTCACTGGTCTTAAATCTGATGAGAGGGGCCAACGTGGAACGCTGCATAGCGCTTCGGAAGTTTGTCGACTGACCAGTGACAGGAAAGTCCGTGTGCACCGCATGCCAGGCAAACGCAAGGAAGTCGATGACGAATATGTGGCAGTGCAATACATACGGACGGATTGCTTTGGTTATATATCGGCAGCGTATAAGACGTTACGGACGCCGGAGCAAGCTAACTCTCACTCTTACCCCCGATCCCACCATCGTTATACCACGCCTCCGCTTGCCCCGATGTCCCTCTCATCAGAGCAACCGACCCTTGTTGTTCACCATCTGAACAACTCGCGGTCTCAGCGCCTGCTATGGCTCCTGGTCTGTTGCTACATGGCCATGGAAAGAGCCTACGCGCTCATCTTTCTCGCAATAGGAAGAGCTCGAGGTGCCTTACACCATCAAGAAATATCAACGCGGCGAGGACATGTACATGTTATATGTCTGCCCACCCATTGCATAATGCTGACCATCGTCATGTCTCGCTAATACAGGCTTGCGCCTAAGGAACTCAAGCAGATCCACCCCTTGGGCAAGTCTCCCGTTATTACGGATGGAGACCTGACCATCGCAGAGAGCGGTGCTATTGTCGGTGTGTGCCCATACCGTCTCTGCATGACTCGTCTTCTCGTACTGATAGGCGTTGTAGAGTACATCATTGGAAAGTATGGAAGGGGAAGGGCAGACCCCCCGGAAGCTGGGAAACTCGAGAACCTGTACTGTCAGTTGGCGTTTCATCGATTTTTTGTCCCTGCGTCACGAGCTGTTTGCTGAGCGGCGGTCCCGTCGTCTTGCTCAGGGCTGCATTATGCGGAGGGCTCGTTGATGCCTATTCTCGTGCAAAAACTCATCTTCGGCATCATACCATCGCGCTCGCCGTTTTTCATCCGCCCCATCGTCTCCGGCATATTCGGCCAGCTGACGAAAATGATCGTTGAACCCCAGCTCAAGACGCACTGCGAATTCGTAAGTATGCTCATCTACGACGGTGTGATGCCATGGCCGCAAGCTAAAACATCCGCTATGCGACAGATCGAAGCTCACCTCTCCAAATCCGGTGATTGGTTTGCAGGTGGAGACCATCCGACCGCCGCGGACTACATGATGTTCTTCCCGTTGGAAGGTATGATGGACCGCAATGTCAGCTACATCGGACCCAAATCGAAGGCGTACTTACAACGCGTCAATGAGCGGCCGGCATACAAGAGGGTAAGCATCTGTGACTGTTTCCATATAGACTATCACCGACCACACACCAGGGCATAGAGAAGGGCGGCGAGTTCCATCTATAGGCGACATCGGGTAGCGTCGGGTACTTCGCCCACATATACATACCATTATCTCAGTCGAACGACTCTTGTACTATACCAACGCGTTCCTGTTAAACGTTCGGATCGCTCTTCACCTTACCTTACGAAAGCTTCAATATTACGACGGTTGGTCGGCCTCAAAGTATGACAGGTGAGCGAGTTTCGCATATGACACGGGTCTCTAGATGCTACGATACAGGTGGGCCAACAACTGGCACGGTGAGTATGGATATAGTGGCTGCTGTCACAGCTGAATGCTACAGAGTTTCGAAAACGGGGGTATAAGGTCTAACCAAGAGGCCAGAGAGATGAACGCGAATTAATGATGTAGTAACACGAAAATAAAAAGATGATTGGGTGAGACAGACGGATACAACGCGAGACATGGATACAGTTTGGGGATGATGAGCACAGACAGGGGAGGAATGAGGAGCAGAAACAGAGTCCTTGCGTTATGCAAGCCGCGCGGGAAACAGCGAGGTAAAAAGATGGGGGTATGCGACAAAAGAGGGTTCAGCACGAACGAAGGTGAAACACGTCTCTAATGACGCGGGTGTCGTGAGGGAGCGGCCGCGGCTAGCTGAGCAAGGAAGGGTCGCGGTCGCGTTCAACGCCGCTCGCTGGTCTTCCGCGTGAGGGGACCTGCGTTTGCGCGCTGTTCCCAGATCATGTGGCCCTCGCCTTCTACCCAGCCGCCGGTGACGGGGTCGCGCTCGAAGTCGCCGTCGCGGTAGTTGTAGCGCTTCTGGAGCAGCTTGAGGAGCGGGTTGCGCAGCGCGGGATCCATGCGCACGCTCTCGCCGGGGTGGTAGCTGCCCACGCCGTGCCGGGCAAGGCTCTCTTCGAAGAGCGCTTCCTCGTAAGAGCAACCGCAGTTGAGGTGGCCGGGGGGAGCGTTGCGAGGCGGGTACGCGCGCCGCTCGCGGCGAGAGTCGTGCCAGGCACAGAGGGCGTTGCCGGCGCGATTCAATGAGCAGAACTGCTTGATTCGTGCCTGGGTACGCGCGTTCCAGCTGGCCTCGAACGAGGGCGACGAGGCCGGCGTGGACGCGGGCGACGGCAGTCCCGCCAACCCGGACGCGGCGCGGTGCGAGGGAGCGTGGAGTGGGGACTCCTTGGCGAGCTCCATCTCGAGCTCGCGGATGCGCATCCGAGCTGACTCGTTGATGAGCTCGAGCTCCTTGACGCGCTTCCGGAGGGCGCGCATCTCGTCTTCGGGCTGTCCGTACCGGCTGACAGGGGCGCTACTGGGATAGCCTTGAGGGACGCCGACCACCGCCATGCCGGAGTACGGATCTGTCTTCAGCATGGAGCCCGTGGCCGTCGGAGGTGCCTGTATCGACGGCGTCCTGCGGGGCTGTGCGTACGCGGCGTATTGCTGCTCCGGGTAGGACGACGGAGTGAACGCGGGTGATGCGGGGGATAGGGAGTCGGGCGTTGCGACATTATTAAAAAAGGATGGCGAATTATAATCTTGGTAAGATATGGGAGGGGCTGGGCTGCCCGAAGCCAACGCGGCTGTCGGAGAATCCTGGAAAGGAACCTGGAGGCCAAAGGGATCTTGCATCGCTGGTACCTCGGACGCGGTGGACCAGACCATGCCCGAAGGGTGCGGAGAACTTGATGGCCTCATTTGCAACTCGTGCGACATGTGGACATCACCCATGGCGCCTGCCAGGCTCGAGGTGGACATGCCCGAGCCGGATGAGTGAGGTCGAGTGTCGGTGGGGGACTCGCGCCGCCTCATGGTAGCCTGAGAGGGGATCAGCATGGTGTGTGGTATAGAGGTGTTTAGCGATGTTCTTACGTATGGATAAGCAGACGGCGCAGACTGCTTATGACTGTCTGAGGAGGGTCGGGTCCGAGTTACCGCGGAGGGAGGTGAAACAGGTTCCGTCTTGATTCCTGTGCGTCCAGGGGAGGCCCAATTTTGGTGGGGTGGGTTCATTAGGTTCTGATCGTCGAGGTCGGCTCGAGGAGAGGTCGTGAAAGAAAGCTTGGTGCGTTTCTGGTACGGCGCGTGCAGTGTATGCGAGCGGCGCCGAGCTGAGATAATCGGTGCCACGAGGGGCGGAGTGACCAACGAAGGTGGCGAAGGCGAGGCCTTCAAAGGGAAAGGCAAGGGGCGCGCCGTCTCCAGGGTGAAGAAAAAAGGATCGTCCTCGAGTTTGACCTCGGTTGAGGAGCTGTAGGGGGGAGCCATGCTGAGCATATTAAAGGGAGACGGGACGACCTTCTCCATGAACGGGCGGTGCTTATGATTGTGGACGCACGCAGGACTGAGGGAGGGGCCGCCTGGTGGCGCGTGAACGGGCGCGAGGTGGTTGCGCGTAGTACCAGGACGACGAGGCGGATTATCAGGTAGTCGCTATGGAGCACGATGGAGGGTGTTGAGGAATACTTCGGGTCGGACGACGGGCTATGCGTCGGGAGAGACCCTATCCTGGGCGTTCACACAGTTAAGTAGACATTCCATCACGGCGTATTCCTGGACGATGCGCTGTCATATCTGCTGCTTCTGGCCGTGAAGGGCAGGAGGGGAGGATCGGCAAGGCTAAGTATCAGGCCGTCCACCGGAAGCGGTGCAGCGTCACGGGACGGCGCCTGCCGGGCGTCCCGCGCCGGCACAGCTGCAGATCCCGAGAACGCATCGCCATTTCTGGCTGCCAGTGGTATGCCTCATGCGCCTCGCAATGGCCCCGGGCGGCACTCGCCCCGCCCGGTCACCTCGTCGGGCTGGGGCGATAGGCACAACCATACAACCACCTCGAAATATCATGCTGCATCAAAAGCGCTGGTCCACTAGCTGAAACAAGCAGAAACTGGTACGCGAGATAGGTACATGGGGTGATATGTAGATTAGCCATGAAATGAACGGAGTGATCGGGACGGAGCTGTGGGTCATCAGCCTCACTGGCGCGCAGACCATGATATTATTTTATTCATTAGGACTAGCAGGTGCTGCAGCAGGAAACAGGGGTGATATCGCGCTCCCTTATCTAGGTCTTGATCTCGCCCAGCGCCGCAACGACACATCCTTCGCCCGCCTTGTGGTCAACTCCAAGCAGCTCGACATGATCAGCAAGATGGGACGCACATATCCGAGCCTCGAGGGGCGTAGTAGTCAATCATTCGCGATGCCATGACGATTCGAAGCCTGTCAAGGACCAGGAAGCCCCGGAAAGACCAGGACACATGTCCGTTGGAAGGCACGTGTTAAAATGAAAGGCCTCGCTCGCTCGCCGGTTGCCCTGCTGTCGTGCCTGGGTTGTTGGTTGATCGTAAGAAGTTGCAGATCATGCGGAGAAGGCGAGCAGAGGAGTCAACCGCCAGTCCGCGATGCGGTTACGGGACTGCGATATGCGGCCGCATGCTCGCGCAGCCCACATTCGCAATCCGGCGATGAAGCCAATGAGCTTGAACTCCTGGCCGCACCATCGGATTGTCTGGGAAAGCTGATGTTGCTAGTCCGGGGCCCGTTCGTACCGGAGAAGGGTCAAACGCAGGAAGGCATAGCAAGCCGATTGCCACTCGTCGTCTCGTCGTCGGGTTTCATTGTCACAATGAACCTGTTCGTACGGTTCGAGGAATGCAGTTATAAAGACGCCATCATCCGCGAATAGATGGACGGAGACCGACGGGCTCCTCGGACTGCACTGACGTGCCCCACGCATTCCGGCGGAGACAGGCGCTTGCGGGTTTCGCTGGGTCTGTGAGTATCCCTCAACGCATGAATAATGATTAATGGCCGCCGTCTAAGTCTATATCTGGTCAGCACCCTTCGGTGGCTTGAACCGCCAGCGACCCCAGCGGGCGTGGTCCGTCAACAGTTGTCGCGCTGGTCCTGTGGTCCGTGGTCCTGGCGCCTAGTGATTCCTGGAGACCGTGAGAGGCGCTCACGGGTTTTTTCATTAAAGGACCAGGGCTGTTCACCTAGCGCCCGACCTAGAACATGATAAAACCATTCTGGACGTGTGATAAATCAGGTCACAGCAACCCGTGGGGTGCGAAGGTTTTCTTACTGACTGCGGTACACGCGGAAGCAATCATGAGCGGTAATAGATCTGCATGTCGGAAGAGGAGACGCATGTCGGCCCATGTGGTCCAATCAGTCACAAATCCTCAGTTGGAATGTTGCAGCACCCGCCGATCAGGCAGTCTTAAGTTAGACGGTGGCAGGGTGGGATACGTTCGTGTTGCAAACATAGTGACCGACTTTACATCAAAGGTCACCGCAAGGTGTCGTGGTTAACGGAGGAGGCACGCTGTCCAGCGCGACATGAGAAACGCCGAGAACCTGCCATTATTCGTTCATTAATCAGTCATGCTACCTAGACAGGTAGAGACTCACTCTATAGATAGTAGGTGTACAAGCACGATATCGCCGTGAATGCAACAGTCGCGGTGGGGGGGGGGGGGGGAAGGTATCAACAAAAGACCCAATGTTATGAAAGGAATCATTCGTCCGAGGTCTTCGTGTTATACCGCACCACGTCTCGCCAAGGCCGCCCTTTGGGTAAGATTTGTCTTATGAGCAAGGGTCAGCGGTGCTTGCATTTGTCTATGACTGTACGTACGAGGGGTCCGAGGGAAGCTCTACCGCACCGGTTTTCACGTCAACATCAACGAACCTAGTAATCTCTATGGCTGGTCGCCCGTCGCATCTTCAATAAGGGTGAGCACTTGTGACCAATCCGCTCTGTTTGCTTATAGTCACATTCGAAAGATTCGAGATATCGGGAAGCAGTGATAGCCTGTGCCTTCCGGCTCGCAGTTGTACTGGAGGATCTCGAAAATCCGGCAGGGCGCCTTTTGCTCCGATTTTTCTTCTCGATGGACGGAAGTAGACATCGGACAGACAGACCAAGTAAGCAGCAGAGCCTCTATACGTCAAGGAACTCCCAGCACCAGGCAGGTACTCAATTGAACAAGCCCGAGAGAGCGGGGCTCCGACTGGCAGTGGGACGCGCGCTGAACTCATGTAAGGCACGTGCAGGATCACTGAAAAGATTTGGAAATCGGTCGATTGCATTTTACACCCTCCTCCTCCCATCCTCGATCATCCTCAGACAGTCCACCATGGTCTTCAAGGTCGCAGGTATGGATAGGCTCGCGTTCGATACAGAAAGCACGCTCACATTACTGCGCAGACATCTCGCTCGCTGCGTTCGGTCGCAAGGAAATCGAAATCGCCGAGGTCCGTGCGCCTCATCTGCTGGCATAGCTCGTCGTTGCTGACCCACGATACAGAATGAGATGCCGGGCCTGATGTTCATGAGGGCCAAGGTTCGTTGTCTGGTGTTCGATGAGGCACAACGCATCTGATCTGGATGATGTTCTATAGTATGCCGCGTCGAAGCCTCTCAAGGGCGCTCGCATCGCTGGTTGCCTTCACATGTAAGCAAAACTGATGTCTCAGTTTTAGATGATATATTCTGATGTTTGTATCTTAGGACCATCCAAACTGCTGTCCTCATCGAGACTCTGACGGCACTGGGCGCTCAGGTCTCCTGGTCGTCTTGCGTACGTGCGCCAACTGATCTTGGCGAGCACCGTATTTACCCACCTGCTGTACAGAACATCTTCTCCACCCAGGACCACGCTGCCGCCGCGTAAGTGCTCACCCTTTCCTCTCTGTGCGTGCCGCCGCTTACCCTCCGCAGCATCGCTGCCACCGGCGTTCCGGTCTTTGCATGGAAAGGTGAAACCGAGGAGGAGTACCTGTGGTGCATCGATCAGACTCTCGCTGCATTCGAGGGCGGTCAACCCCTCAACATGATCCTGGACGATGGCGGAGATCTTACCTCCCTTGTTCACGAGAAGTACCCTGAATACCTCAAGGGTTGGTGCTCCCTTGCTTCTCGCAGCATTGGTGAACTGAATCCCGTTTTGCAGACATCAAGGGTCTTTCGGAGGAGACTACCACCGGCGTTCATCATCTCTACAAGATGTTCCGCGACGGCAAGCTCAAGGTCCCCGCGATCAACGTCAACGACTCCGTCACCAAGTCCAAGTTCGACAACTACTATGGTTGCCGCGAGTCGCTTGTTGACGGCATCAAGCGTGCCACGGATGTTATGTTGGCCGGCAAGGTTGCTGTCGTCGCTGGTTTCGGAGATGTCGGCAAGGGTGTAAGCAAACATATCTACTGGTGTACATAGCACTGGCTCACGCAACTGTATCAGTGCGCCGAATCTTTGCGCTCCTATGGCGCTCGGGTTCTGGTCACTGAGATCGACCCCATCAACGCGCTCCAGGCCGCGATGGGTGGCTATGAGGTGACCACCATGGAGGACGCTGCACCTCGCGCCAACGTCTTCGTCACCACCACCGGTAACCGGGACATCATCACCGCGAAGCACTTCCAGGTCATGCCCGAGGATGCCATCGTTTGCAAGTAAGCCCTTCAATTATTCATGTCTACTAGGCTGTGCTCGTACTGATGTGCCGGGACAGCATCGGCCACTTCGATGTCGAGATCGATGTCGCATGGTTGAAGGCCAACGCCAAGCAGGTCGTCAACGTCAAGCCCCAGGTGGACCGCTACACCATGGCCTCCGGCCGCCACATCATCCTCCTCGCTGAGGGTCGTCTCGTCAACCTCGGGTATGTCCTCTGGGATGATCTGTACGAGCCACGCTGACGATGAATGTTATCAGCTGTGCTACTGGTCACCCGTCCTTCGTCATGTCTTGCTCGTTCGCGAACCAGGTCCTGGCCCAGATCGCTCTCTGGACCACTCCCGAGAAGTTCCCTCTCGGCGTCCACATGCTCCCGAAGGAGCTCGACGAGGAGGTCGCCCGCGCCCACCTTGACCAGCTCGGCGTCAAGCTCACCAAGCTCACCACCGAGCAATCCACCTACCTCGACATCCCCGTCGAGGGTCCCTACAAGCCGACTCATTACCGCTACTAGGTTCTCTACCTCATTTATATATTGAGGTGACGGATGGCCTCAACGCGCCCTCGCCGAAGTGATTGGGAGGCACCGACGGCTTTCAACGGCCTACTTTCAGCTGCAGGAGTCTCAACGCTCTTGGCCCGATGGTGTGTGACCGCCTGAGGCTCTCGCTCCGAGAGCACGTGGGCTGGTAAGGGCTTCAACGGCCCTGGGCTACGTTATCTGTGGGGATGCAGATGGTGCTTGTATCTGTGCTTATGTTGTAGGTTTGAGCAATGTGGATGATACTTGTTCGTGCTTTCAAGTCGTGCCGCGTAGCAAAGTGCAACGAAGATTGGCGGGAGCGCAAATCATCCATCCCAGCGATGCACTTTCCAGTTCCAGCGATAAGTTGTAACGCGGTTTGCGTGCGGCTTGATTACTTGAAGAATTTGCGATGGACACTGCTCAAGCGCTCAGGCCATAGGGGAGCTTGACACAGATGGCTAAAAATAGCTCAGCGCGCTCGACGTTTACCAGTTGTTCCGACAACAGCCCCCGGACGATGTTATCGCTGCTACAGTTTCCATCACATGCTCTATACCACTCCTTTGTCGGGGAATACTCCTTGTTTCTTGGTTTCGGCACATCCTATTAGTGGCTAGTATCGGGCAACTCTGTGGAATATAATGTCGCAGGCCGTCTCAGCTCTCGGTCCTATCGACCCGTCAAGCATCCCTGACGCCGAAAACGAGAAACATGCCCCTTGGATAGTGAGGAAACTTGTGGGGGTGAGTACCAAACAAGATCGCGGAGGAAAAACTCGGGCTCATGTTGCCTCTCAGTCAATGACGGGTAGGATTGTGATGTCCAGCTACGAGACCTTACGATCAGCCGGGACAAGCGTTATATGCCTTTCGCCTGTGAGTGCACCCTTCCTGAGCAATCTCCAAAGAGAAGTACTCAACCTGTGTATAGTGGGGCGACTCATCTCCTCTACTCCTTCCTTGCATCAGGTTTCGGGATCTCGCCATTCATGCCGCTATCGTTGCTACCGTGAGTAGTGCTACTTTACCTGCACCTCAGAGCACATATGTTAACTTCTCGCTGCAGGGAGGAGCCGCAACGGTGGCAGCACCTGTGATGGGGCCAGTGACTGACGTTGTGATCGGTACCTTTGGGGACACCATCGCTGTGGAGTTGGCCGAGATAGCCGGATATGAAGTCGCGGTCAGGCTCGGGGACGAGTTGATCAGCCATGGTATCAGCAATTCCATCCCTATGCATTCAAAGGTATTGGAAACGACGAGCGTCAAAACTATGACTATCACACTCAAGTACAAGCACGCGCACGAGGACGCCAATCTAGGTTTCTTTCGCAGTGGTCTTCATTCGTAGGTGTTTACTCAACCCAAACTCAGAACAACCAGCCTGACTGGTGGAACCTAGTGACTCATCACTGTTTTCGTCTGTTAAGGACTATCTGGCGATTGAGAAGGGATGGTTCTCACCGTATCTCTTCGCGAGTGGGAGGCGCCCTGCGATCCCGCGTTCAATGACCCCCGATATTGTCTTCTGCCATGGGCCGTTCTTGCAAGGCAAGTGGAATATTCTCTAATCTTCAGTCATGCTTATCCCCTACAGGTGATTATCGCGTTGGTGAAACGATGCTAGCGCAATCTGCGAATTCCATCATTCTGTGTCCCGGCGTCGCCATCGCCGAGCCGGAAATCAGCCAAGATCCTCACAAATCCCCTTCATTACATGCTTCGTCTGCCAAGTCTTCCCTCCACCTCCCTTCTCTCAATCGTGATATGTTCACGAGGTCGAGGACTCCATCTCCGGAACCACAATTGACACCGCTTCCTACCCCCGCTAAACCACGACGCCTCGTGATCGTTGTGGTGGGTCTCAAACCTCACCGAGTGCTCTGGACTACAAGTGCGAGACCCGAGGAAAGCGTCATACAATACCAGCTTCTGAACGGCTGTCCTGCAATTGTCGTTCCTGTCAAAGTCGGTGCCCCTCTGCTTGCTTGGGCTGGCATCACGCTCGAGCAAATGTGGCAAATCGAAGTGCCGAAGGACGACCAACCCATCGACCTGCGCGCTCCGATCGTCGAAGGGAATATCAGCTTCCAGAACGTCGTGGCCGTGTTATACGAGTTCTTGGACTTGTGCGTCGATTGGGAGAGGATGGAATATGTAGGCTCCAGTGGCGAGGAGAAGAAGATGAGCAATGACGAGGAGAAACGGGCTGCGCTCAAAGAAGCCTTGACACTTCTCGTGGCTGCTGCTGTTCGGAGCGGGGAAAGCAAGGCAGTAAAGAAGGATATCGACAAAGAGAGGGCCGGCATAGCTATGTGGAGAATCCCATAGCGTTGCTCAATATGTAGACAACATGTTGTGATTTGAGCTTCAAGGTTTACAGGGATGTTATATTACCAACGGGAACAATGCTTGGACCAATATAAGTGATTGTGACTCAATTCCATGTACATAGATGAGGGGATGTATCGTCGGTGATGGCTCTCCTCGGCGGAAGGAACCGCAGCGGTTGGCGCCAAACCGCATGATATGTATCTACTCTTTCGCGCGAATGTGCCTCGAAGTATGACTATTACCGGTTGCCAATGCCATCGCTGACGCCAACCTTAGGCATATACGTTACGGCAACCGTTTTGGTACATTGTCAACGATGCAGTAGCTCATCAAGCATCCTAATATCGTGCGACTGGTGGAAGTTATTGAAACAGACAAATACATTGGTGTCATACTGGAATATGCTGCCAGCGGTTCGCTGGCAGAACGGATCTCTGCCAAGCATTATTACCTCAAGGATAGTGACGCGTGCAAGCTGTTCTCTCAGCTATTATCAGCGGTATGGTACCTTCACCAGAGGAAGATGGCGCATTGCGATCTATGCATTGACCACCTCTTCCTCGATCACCGGCGCAATCTCGTCATCACCAGTCTCGGGCTGGCTATATTTGGGGCAGAGAGCGACTTGGACAAGCTATCAGAAATTCGTCACAGTTCTCCGTATTTCGTGGCTCCCGAGGCACTGCTATCGAATCGCGAAAACGATCACTTTGCCTTCGACGTCTGGTCATGCGGAGTCATACTCTTCGTTTTGCTCGCAGGACATCTTCCCTTCGATGACGCGGCCGACCCAGAAGGGCGCGACCCTGCTCAGCTGCATCGACTCATCCTTCAAACGCGCGTTACATTCCCCGAGCACATTTCCGCTGATGCTTGCGATCTCATCAGTAGCATGCTGCAGTGCGTGCCTGCAGAATGGGCAGATCTACGAACTGTGATGGCTCATCCCTGGCTAGAAAGATTCAAGTCGTTCCTCGAGAAGGACGTTGGGGATCTCGAGCAGGCTTCGATGGGAAGGCATCATCTCAGACGCTTTTCGTCCCAACGACATCTCCGACCCGAGTCCATCCCGAAGGGTCCTCGCCTGGAGGGGAGGATACGGAGCGCCCCAATACCACGTGGCGCCGCGGAGAGAGCGGGTTGACCCCACTTTGCTTCGCACTTATGCGCGGACGACCGTCCTATCTGACGATATATTCACGAACGTAATCTTCAATCACGGCAACTTACTATGCTACCCATAGTCGCTAATGCTCCGTGTTCCGTGTACTTTATCATCTACTGAACATACTAATACTAATATTCGATTCATTTGCTAACAATCCCGTCAGACCTAAGTACTCCAATCCTGCAGTGTCATCAGAGCGATGAGTAGACGTGTACGTACAGGAGCGTTATCGCAAGTACATATGTAGAACGTACAGACGCATGGCCGCCACTTGGAACGCGACGCGACGCGCGACCGATCGTGGCCCTTTGTTGACTCACCTTCGCGCCAGGCTGCGCCTCTGGGCGCTTTCCTCGAGCGCACACCCATTGACATGGATTACTTGGGGATCCCTCAACGCTCTCCAGGTCTCGACATTCTGAGCACATTCTCTGGGTCCACAGGCGTCTGGTCGTTGCTCGCCAAGCTCTTCAACCGCAAGAATATTTGGGAAAGCGCGAAGCTGCTGCTCGTGGGCTCCATCATCGAGAGCGGCCGGAGACTGTACCAATGGCTGAGTGCAAGGTTACATCTACGTGCGTCTTTCATTCTTCCCTATCTCATGACGTTGCAATCTCCAACCGACTTGCACACCTAGATTATGGTGTCTCCGCTAGCTTTAAGCAAGGCGACCCGGCGTATGACTGGTTGATGCTGTTTTTGGTGAGCACTCTTGTGTGGTGGGGTACCTGATGCCACTAACATGCAAATGCAGACGGAAACGGATGCTTGGAAGAAATCCACAGCATTCAAGGTTACCGCGAAGAGCGCCCAGCGGAAGTGGACCGCCCACGAAGGTGCCTTCGTTCTGGCAGGCAACGCTGACTACGTGCCAAGCTTCGAGGAACCACTACTTTTCCGATGGAACGGTTACTGGGTGGACGTCTCAAAGTCGACGAGCATGCTTGGCCAGCTCCCTTATGTCCCTCAAGTGCCGAAGGGCGCAATCCACGTCACGTAAGTGACATGAACTTCTTTATTTACGTACACGCTGATCTCCATATAACAGCATCTTTACCCGCAATCTGAAGGCATTATCTGACCTCGTGGAAGAGGCGCGTTTACGGTATCAGGAAAATGGGCGCCCTCGCGTCACCGTGCATCTCAATGACGCCGTAAGTTACGGACGCACTAGTCCTACAATTCATATCCTGATTCTGGGACCAGGCTATGATGGGACCCCGCGGAACGGAATGGAACATGGTCAAAACGAAGCACCGTCGACCACTGAATACCTTGGCACTGGAGGACGGGGTCCTGGAGTCGATTCTAGAGGACGCTCGCGAGTTCCTCAAGGCTGACGACTGGTACACCGAAGTTGGCATTCCTCACCGTCGTGGCTACCTTCTTTACGGACCTCCGGGAACGGGCAAGACTAGCACCATCTATGCTATTGCTGGCGAGCTCGGTTTAGAATTGTACTCCCTTTCACTCGCTTCTAGGCATATCGACGATAGCTTCTTGCAACGGCTCGTCTCTTCGGTCCCGCGAAACAGTATCCTCCTCATTGAGGACATAGATTGTGCGTTTCCTTCTCGGGATGATGAGGACGACGACAAGGATGTGAGGCAGGATATGATGATGCCGTCGTATATGCGCAGCGCCCGGATGAGAGGCCAGGCGTCTGTTACCATGTCAGGAATCCTCAACGTGCTCGATGGTGTTGGCAGCGACGAGGGTCGCATCTTCTTCGCCACGGTATGCCAATCCCCCTTCATCGATGGGGGTATCCTTGCTTACTTGCGTCCTTCGACGCCCTAGACCAATCACGTAGACCGCCTTGATGCAGCGCTCCTTCGTCCAGGTCGCATCGACCGGAAAATCGAGTACCAACTCTCCACCCGGCGTCAAGCCCTCTCCCTCTTCGAACGTTTCTTCCCAGCATCTCGATTTAACCCCGCGGATGCCACGTCAGGTAAATCAGAAAAGTATGATGACCTTGAGGCACTCGGCGCCGAATTCGCATCTTCAATACCCGAGCATGAGTTTTCTACGGCAGAGATCCAAGGATATCTACTTTCGTGCAAGTCTCGCCCTGCTCAAGCTGCGGCAGGCGCTAAAGCATGGGTCGAGCGGCAAAGAGCGGATAGACTCGCCAAGGAGGAGCGCGAAAGGGAACGCAAAGCTGCGAAAGAGGCCAAGGCTGCACAGAAGGGTGGCGCCCAGACGAGCGCAGCCACAAGTACCCCGAGCCGAATGTTGGGTATGAGTGTCATGAATATGAGGGCGCCGGATGGTCCGGCAATCGGCGCGCCGATTCTTCTTTCATCTCGCACTCAAGCACCCTCGCTACCCAATATCGAGGTATCGCAAAGCCTTGAACCTGTGGCGGCAGTTCGCTCCACGGATACGAAGCAGCCCGGTGCCTCTGGATTCGGGGCACACGAGTTAAAAGAATCCACTCCAACTCTTGTAGACAACACTGGTCGGGAATATGCACCGCCGTCGACACCGTCCTCTCCCCTGGTGCCCGGTCCCTCGCCGCTCGCCTTCGAATTTTCAGACCTTCCTCCTGCCATCTGCGAGACACAGGAAGAGTCTATCTCGGAACAGCCAGATGACTTCAGCCCGCTCTCTGGTCAGACAGTGCCGCTGCCGGCGCTCCTGCAGCCAACGAATCCCGGTCATGAAGCAACAAGAAGCTATTCTGTCTCTCCCACCCCTTCTGAATCCTCATCCGGCGTCTTAGTAGACGCCCCTTCCTCCATAGAACCGTCGCCTAACCCATCGACATCTCAACCCGGTTCTAACCGATCCGAGCCCGACACTTCGACGGAGCTGTCGACATCATCCCGGGCCTCGGTTGGCTCCGAGTCATCGACCTCGTCCATTAAACGCGGTAACAGACTATCGACACCCTCTCGTGGGCCATACGTACGCCCATCCACTCCCTCGCGGGGTATACCCCGTCCCTCTACGCCCTCCCGGGGCACGGCATCGTCGACAGCACGCAAGGCTAGCGGTACGAAGATACCCATACCGGATCACCTCGTGCATCCGCCAGCTCGACCCCGGTCGCCGATGCTTCCTCCTAACGGCCAACGAACCCGCACAACCTCGCATACGTCGACGTCACAGGGGTCGATCTCCAGTGGCACGGCGCGCCCAAGGCTACCTTCAGGTTGGCGTCCCCAATCACCATCTTCCACTGTCTAGCGGATTCCTTCGCCCACTCTCCCTATCGCTATTTTGCTCTCACGTTTCACCCAATGCATCGATGATAGACATGTACATACTAACAATTGGACTCAAGTAATACTGATACAAGCAAAAATGGAACGAATTGGTTTTCGCCCATTTCATTGATCCGCAACCACGTCTTGTATGCGGCGGATACATGCCCTCCTTTCCAGACAAAGCGTCAAGTCTGATGCTGTAGGCCTGGCCTGTGGATGGTCTTCCCAACACCATTGCATGACAGCCCATAGCCACTCCGGGAGGGCCAGGCCCCTGCATTCAGTAACCGATGGCTTCGAGGGTTGCCTTCCTTCGTTTGCTCTTGCGTGCATAACCCTAAAGTCGGACGAAATTTCCGCGAAAGGAGGTTTGAGCGTGAACGCCTGGCGTGCGATGGTGCAGTTCAGCCGACAGAGGAGGAAATGAGCAGATTATGACTTGCCTCCAAGAATACCATACCCAGGCAGAATGTGTCAGCGCTCAGCTCGGGAACATGGTCTGATTCGTAGCCCCAAAGCGCTTCGGGAGGGGCCCATCGTACGTTCATTGAAAGCGAATTGCCCGTGCCGGCAGAGTAAAACATTCTCGTGATGACACTGAGCCCAAAATCAGACAAACAAGGCCGTCCTCTGTCGTCGATCAGAACGTTCACCTGAATCATGGATACAAGTCAGCTCCAAGTCACCGTGGACAATCGGAGACGTGAACTCACCGCTCTCAGGTCGCCATGCAGGAACGTGTGGTCGTGCAGGTACTGTAGCCCATGACAGATGTCGGTGAGCTTGGTGAAAGATGTCAGTATACTCCTCATTGACAATATATATTCAAGCACTTGCCAGCTGCAGAAGTTCATCTAATGATGGCTGTCTATGGTCGATGTATCTCAGCATGTGGCCGTTGTCCATCCATGGTGTCACAATCGAGTAGATCGGTGGCACGTCCGGGAAATTATCCGAAGCGGCACGATCGCTCTCGAAGAGGTGTAAGCCCAAGAACGTAACAACGTTCGGGTGACTGAGCTGCCGCCAAAATAGAGCTTCTTGACACATCCTCTGCACGTGTCAAATCAGCTAACGTTCCCGCAAGCCGAGGATCACTTGCAGCATTGTAATCCGTCACATCAGCCCCGGCGTACAGATACCAGCGCATAGTCTTCAACGCCACGAGTTTGCCTCCGTATCGCCCTGCATAGATATTGCTATAGCCGCCCGTGGCGACAGGCTCCAGCGTATTAGCAGCCTCTACCCCGGGAATGAACAGGCTTTGGGGTATCACAGAGAAGTACTTCGACAATTTGACGAGCAAACAAGTGGCCCGGCGACGGAACTCGAGAATGGCCACCCCTCCAAAGCCTGCGCTCCGACCATTTCGAGTACTGTCGAGTATCTAGTAACCAAGTTCTCAGCGGCGATAGTACTCTACATAGTCCAAGACATGCACGAACCGTTTGTATCTGATCCATTACCTCCAGGGCTTCGATCTTGTGCATATGTCGAATGGCATCCTGATTAAGGCGGGTATATTCTTCGGGCAGCGCAAGGATCACGCTTATTTCCGGATCTTCCAGTTCTAGCGTACCGTGAGTGAACGAAGCAGAAGAAACGTGTAGATCGCACGCAGCGGTGGCACCATTTACTGCGTTGTCTCCGATGTTGGGCGGATCCGATTTGTGAGGCCAAACACAAGTTTTGCGGGGATTGTGTACGATGAGCTGCACGCTACTCGGGGAGGAACACAACTGATATAGATGCTTGCGATGATCAGGCAATGATCATGTGTCCTGTTCGTGTGGTGCCCCGCGGGCGCTTATACATATTGACTCTTACCGCTTTTGCCGTGCATCTGGTTCGCCGAGTGGCATATTTGCTGTAATCACCTGCATGACATGGGAAACACGTCTGTTATATGATACAATGGATCTGTTCAAGATCGAAAGAATACAATCTAATTCACACACAGCAAGGTCTCGTGGTAGTCGATAGCGGTTTCGCATTAGCCGATCGCCATCGTCGTGTCTGTAACATCCGAGATGTCCTGCACAGCAGTGGAAGGAAGTTGCCCTGGTCTTAGAGAGAACACGACATCCTTGATAACCTGTGCAATAAGACCATGTTGGGCTTCAATCGCAATCTTGGTACTGTGCCGCGATTCGTGAGTCGCTTTGATTCGGACTGTGATCTGAAAGGCCACCAACCTGTCCTTCACGCTCTTGGCGAGTTGGTTGTCCTCTTTGCCTCGGCCGACCTTCTATATATGATAGGTTAATGTCGGAAAGAATGGGGTCGAGGATCGTACCTTTTTCTTGTCGGATGCCGAGTTATCAGTCGAGAGAGTTGGCTCAGGTGCACGAGTGTTCTGCACAGAGCTCTGAGCCTTTGCGAGCTTCTGGTGCAAGTCGGACAATTGTGATACGGCGTATGCCCTATTCTATTTCGGCGAAGGAATGTCATTAAGACCGAGGCGTTTATTATGATGTATGCAGACGAACTGAGATGAGTGGGCTCTGACTGAGCGTATTGACCCAGTACTTGTTCCATAACAAGCCCAGAAGCTCCGTGTCGAGACTACTCTTGAAGATCTGCACTTCAAGCTGATAGTACTGGTTCGCGTGCACTCCGAAATCTTCGATCTTCGAGAGCGGGATGGATTGGTATTCGGAGGCAGAGGCTGATGGAGGGGTATAGTTCTCAGGGTATGTTCGGAAGGCACCGATATCGACTTTGCCAGCTGAGATGGTACGGTTGGGGTCGATCTAAGACGTAGCGAGAGTCAGCGTAGGCAGAAAATTGCACAGTGGAATGATATAGATGACATGTACCACAACAGCAACGAAAGGATCCTGGAACTTCTGGTTGTTGAGCTGCGTACTGACGTCGATACCGGATAACCAACATCCATAGCCGGGATGCGAGTGATACCAGCCGATGGCGTTCTCCATCCTTTTCACCTGAGAGCGTTCAGACAGTGGTGAGAGATAGTGGAAAAATAAGGTCTTGGAGATCAATACCCACCCGTTCACTCCCTTCAATGTACTGCACCATGAACTCGTTCGCTTCATTCGCGGCGTTAACCCGCGTTTCCGTTCCCTGCACCGGTAATGCGAAAGAGTCCATGATGACGAGCGAGTCTTTGACGACTTTCCCTTGCATAAGCCCCATAATCTCGTACGGCACACCTGATCGTGCGTGGATGACCTATGTCCATATTAGCCTCATCGCCCATCGCGCCACACGAAATGTAGCTAACCATCTTGATCAGAGCGACAGCTGATATTTTACATGTCTTGAAGTAATGGGGACTATTGCAGATTTGATGCTCTATCAGACAGCGGATCCGAACACGCTCCTTGCAGGAGGGGGCGTACTCAGTGGACCACGGAGACTCGCGGTTGATTCGCCTGTTCTCCTCGGCATCAAATCTGTAGATCTCGTCTTGAGGTGACACCTCCAGTACATCGTTCTCCAGAGAAAAGGTTCTGAGAGCAGTGTCCGCCATAGCAGCAGACGATGCAGCGGCGAAGGCCAAGCTGAGATCGCGGGGCTGTAAGCGCTGGTCGAGAGCTCGAGCGCCAGTACAGCCACACACGAATCTCAAGCTCATCGAGGTCAACTACCACAGTAACTATCGTACACGCTGTGATCCAGTGGTACGAGTACAAAGTACTCAGCATCATTCGATGTGGATACGGCAAGAGCCACGATCTATATTGATGATTCGATGGAGGCGTACCGACTGTCAAGCCGGATGCCGCGCAGCCCAACTGAGCAGCTAGGCCTGGAATTGAGCTCAAGACTACCGACCGACATGGGCGCCCCGGCGACGCGCTCAAATCCAATTCGCGGTTGAGATAGCGACTGTTCCGTTTCGATACGCGAGAGCATCGTTTAGCGATTAGGGAAAATCGCCCAACGTACCCCTTCGTACACTTCTCGAAAGTCTATGGAGGACGTCTTCGGTGTGGGATTTGGCGGTTGGGAGGAGCGTTGGAGACTTTCGTTGTCTGGAGGTGCGATTCAGCGCTCGGTAACATAGGACGACATGCTACGAAAGCCTCGTGGGAACTAACTAACTGGTGCCCTGGCCCTGCGTATTTTTCGCCGCCAATGCACGCTCCAATTGCTCGAATGCGTCGAGGGCAACGTTCTTGACCAAGGAACTGATTTTCTCATCGTTGAATTTGCCGTTTGATGCTGGAATCTCAGGGGGCCACTCTGATTCCGCCACACCTCGAGCCCGGAGGGTGCTTTGCAGCGCAGCGATGGATTGATTGTACGCCTCCAGTGATTCGTCGTACAAGTCGTAAACACATATAGCGCAGCCAGACATGCAACATTCTTCATGGAAACGGCACCCGTGATGATCAGTGCCCATTTGGAAGCAATGATAGTCATGAGGCGCACCGTCGTCGGCGGGAGGCTTCGGCTGCTCGGGAATGACGAGACCGTGAAAGGTTCTCTCTTGCTTTCTCCCATGCCTGACCATGGTACTAGCAGAAACGTCGTCCCCCTGTGAAGCGGGCATCGCATCAAGCTCTTCTCTTCGAGCTTCTTTGCCACGCGTTGCGCGCTCGAGCCGACGCCAACGTTCGGTCAGGTTCTGCCCGCCGCGCACAGGCCGCCGATGGTCGTCGAGTTCCATCCGAGCATCTACGCGGGACCTGGAAGGCATCAAGAAAAGCAAGACGAAGTTCGTCGGTGAAAAAGCCAAGATATTTCCAAGCGTCCTTACGAGGTATGTAATCGGCTTATAGGCCCGGCGAATTGTCCGTACTGTTCCCAGTAAGACCTTCTATAATTAACAAGCCTGGCTAGTGCAGCCAAAGAGGGGAGATTTGGAGACGGTCGTTTGAGCATGCATCGAGCAGAGCAAGCGAATGAAGCAGGAACCCGGCAGAGACGGACGCACTGGGGGCCCCAAGCCGAGGATGACGGCGGCTCGCTGCATCACGTGCCATGTCCGGCAAAACCGGACGCGTCCTCGGCCCGGGTCAGTCTCCGAGCCTCCGACGTTCCCAGTGCTTCGCTGTCGTTTGACAGTAACCTCCTCCAGCTGATGTCCTCAACCAGGCCGTCACCCGATGCATCGCAATGATTTCTCTCTGAAACGATCTATGCATGGCGCTTGTGCGGCGCTCGGACAAATGTTGTGCATATCTCTCACTGGACCGTTCGGCTGTGGGACGGGGCGCCGCCATGGAAGGAGGAAGATGACTCGCCGATCCCAGGCGCGCCTACTCATCCAACCGCTTCAGACGATATCCCGCCCGCCTGCTCGGGTCAATTTGAAAGTCTTCATGCGAAAGGTACTGCGATCCATGGGTATGTCGCCCGAGGCTATGGGACTCGCTACGTCGGGGAGCTTTACCCGTACGCTCGCGTTTCACATAGCTCGCAGCGGCGCTGAAGCCGCGTGTACTCTCCGCGGTCACGACAGAGGCTCACCTAGAATGCTGTATTGCTGGACCGCCGCCAGGCTGACGATGGGAAAGCCGCTCCCAAACAACGTCCCCACCCTCACGCCTGTCAGTCCAACTGCTCTAACAAGGAGGCAAGCACGTTTAACGTGGTCCTAGTGCGAGGATCAGTATGACGGAGATGCAAAGGTTAACGCATCATATGCGATCCGAGATCGTTCAGCGTCGGGGCCGCCTGGGGCCGCGCTATGCTATGGTGGTCTCCCCGATCCCTCCCGCAACGAGCCTGACAGGATTGCGTGGCAAAATCTTGAACTGCGAAGCGTCGGGAAGGCCTCCGTCAGCGCCATCCCGCCCTCGGCTCTGCACCGTGCTCGCACGCATCTCTGCATCGCAACCGCATGTGCTGCGATTTCGTTGACTAACCGTGATCGCTCTCGCGCAGGTGCACTGATCCAGGTCCGCACCCCAGTATTTCTCCTACTCTCGGTGCTTCTTTTCGACTCACGCTCCTGTGAGGCTACGGAATGCGGCGCTCGCCATTGGTGCTCGCCGTCGTGAACGTGCAAATATTGGGGTACTGCTTCATCGCTATGCTCGAAAAATTTGGGGGGTATATAAGATGGACCTGTTCCGCCCTGAAGCTGCAGGACATTGAGTTCTTCACTCGCCTACATCCCTAACCACCTTGGTCATCCGCTGTTGCAATGGCTTTCACCTCTCTCCTCGCCTTTGTCGCACTCGCTGCTGTTTCGAGCGCAGTGCCGACCTCCAAGCGCGCTACGTGCCCTGACGGCTCCACCGTCAGCAACGCCGCATGCTGCGCGTTCATCCCACTCGCTCAGGATCTGCAAGAGACCATCTTCCAGAATGAGTGCGGCGAGGATGGTAAGACCAATCGCTTCACCATTTGATGTCCTGTGCTGATAGATGTGTACTCAGCTCACGAGGTCATTCGCCTGGCCTTCCACGACGCCATTGCTATCAGCCAAAGCCAAGGCGCCAAGGCGTTAGTGAAATTATCATGTCAGATAACATGCACATTATCTGACACACCTCACAGAGGTGGCGGAGCCGACGGTTCGATGCTTTTGTTCCCGACCGTCGAGCCCAACTTCTCGGCCAACAACGGCATTGACGACAGCGTGAACAACTTGATCCCCTTCCTCTCCAGGCACAACGTCACCGCCGGCGACCTCGTCCAGTTCGCCGGTGCCGTTGCACTCAGCAACTGTCCTGGTGCACCTCAGCTTCAATTCATGGCGGGCCGTCCCAACGCCACTGCTCCCGCCATTGATGGCCTCATACCCGAGCCGCAGGACAGCGTCGACAAGATCCTCGACCGTTTCGCGGACGCCGGCAACTTCTCGCCTTTCGAGGTCGTCTCGCTCCTCGCCTCGCACAGTGTTGCCCGTGCGGACAAGGTCGACCTGACCATCGACGCTGCGCCCTTCGACACCGTGAGTCCTCCTCTACCCGTACATGCATGAACCTTTGATCCACAATTTATCTCCCCAGACGCCCTTCACCTTCGACACCCAGGTGTTCCTCGAGGTGCTGCTCACCGGAACTGGCTTCCCAGGAACCGGTAACAACACCGGTGAGGTCGAGTCACCCCTGCCAGTTTCTAGCGGGAACGATACCGGCGAGCTGCGTCTCCAGTCCGACTTTGCCTTCGCCCGCGACAACCGTACGGCTTGCTTCTGGCAAGGGTTCGTCAACCAGCAGGATTTCATGGTGAGCAGCTTCAAGGCTGCCATGGCCAAGCTCGCCGTCCTCGGCCACAACACCGAGGACCTAATCGACTGCTCCGACGTCGTACCCGCGCCCAGCACGGCCACGGTTGCCCCCGCCTCGTTCCCGGCTACTAAGGGCCCTGCGGACCTCGAGCTCGTCTGCAACGCCACGTTCCCGACGCTCACCGAGGACCGTGAGTATATCGATCCATTCGCGATCCATTGATATTAACAAAATTTCCAGGCGGTGCAACCGAAACTCTCATCCCTCACTGCCCCGACGGCAGCCAGGACTGCCCTTCCGTGCAGTTCACGGGCCCCGCGTAATGTCACCGACGCACCACTATCATGAGCTCACGTAGATTTTCATTGGCATGATTGGTATTTATATATACTCGCAATACACGGTACATTCACGACGCGTGAAATCCATCGTTCCCCAAAACCTAAGCTGCAAACCAAAGAGGAAGAGCACGGCATTACAAATACATCGGTAGCGAGAAACCATGGAGTGCTCGCATCCTAGGACGAGATGGTGGAGAAACGGAAATGGCCGAGAGCGCCGGCCAAGCTTGAGCCTGACGAGGTTGTTGAGGAAGAGGAGTCCGGTCTGTCCTCAAATCGACAGGTGCCGTGCATATGGCGGGCATCCTCTTCGTAGACACAAGGCTTCTGGGGGGCTGGTAAGTCGTTTATCCCGTACGCGAAGCCCCAGAAGTCGGTCGATAGCTCGTGCTCAAGCTCGCCAATGCGGGCCCGCGCCGACTCGTTCATGGCTTCGAGCTCTTGAAGGCGCCTGGACGCACGCTCGTTTGCGAGCTCGAGTTCCTTGATATGCTCGTGGAGTGTTCGGTTCTCTTGCTTTGCCTTGTTAAGCGCGCTAAACGCTGATGGACTGGTCAAACAGATTATGATATCCTCCGCAGAAGGACGGTCATGAGGTGAAGGTTTCCAGCAGGACTGAATCAAATGCCAAACATCATCGGATAGATGCCTTCTATAGCATTGTTCTGTAGTCGGGCGATCCGGACGAGCGCCTTGGGCGACTCGCAAGATAACCGTACATTCGCGAGGTAGGTGATAGAATGGTCGCCGCACGGTATAGAGCTCATAGCCAGATGGTGAGTACGCGGAACGATTCAAACGAGCTTCCAGACTCACTTCGATGCATGTACAAGCATACGAGTAAATATCGCTTGCACGAGTTCTTCGGAATGTTCCATCACCGAATCTGTCCGGATCCTGCAGCTCAGGGGCCGTCCATCGAGCTGAAGCGCCTTCAATCATACTCGTCTCCTCGAACTCTGATTCCAAAAAGGCAGCCAATCCGAAGTCTGCAAGTCGAACGTGGCCCCCATCGTCTATGAAGATATTGTGCTATAATCTTGAACTTCAAACAAGACACATGAAGCGAACCACAAGAACCTTACACCACGGAGGTCCCCATGCACGATGTTCTTGCTATGCAGGTAGCTCAGCCCAGATGCAACCTCCTTAAGCTGTGAGCAAATACGAGGTCATCTAGGTAACGTATCTTTGTGTGCCGTATGGATTCTTACCAGCTGCATGACATCGATAATCTCCGGTCCCCTCTGTTTCGAATAATCCATCACATTCCCTAAGTGCATCAATGGGGACACCATACACAGCGATGGAGAGAATGTGTCAGCGTCTATTCCCAGGAAAGGTAGGATATGCGGGTGCTTCATTTGCCTCCAGAATAGCGCTTCACGACAGAACTTCTGCAAGTAAAGGTCTGAGATATCGATAGAACCTCTGGATCCAGAACGTACTCTGTGAACTCGCTGTGTCACGTCTCTCTGGCCGATGACTCGCAGTCGCTTGAGAGCAACGTCCTGGTCATCGTACGTCGCCGCATAAACTTCCGCAGAACCACCTTGGCCAATCGGAGCCGGGCTGGAGTCTTGAACACGTTTCAGATAGAAATTCGAGGGAACGGCATTGCTGGCTTGTGATAGCCCCATTAGGAGCTGATGAGCACGTCTGTGGTCTGTGGAGAGTCCTTCCACGGCATTATCGGCGTTGTTTTCTTGAAGATGACGGTAGGGACCGGAAAGATCAAGGAACTAGAAAGGTATCAGCGATGCAAATTGTTGCAGCCTCGTTGAGATCACTTCTTGTAGCGAATCCATGAAATTGACTGCGTCATCACATTGGAGCTCTAAGATTGCTTTGCTGAGTTCATCCGATCGCATGGCGGACCTCAACTTGTCAGCGAGCTCGATCTCGTCCTCTCGGATGCATTTGGTGATAGAGGGGTCTTGAGCAAGGCCTAAACTGATTGAAACCTGAGATCGCAAGTCAGCGCTTAGCCAAGCTCAAGAGTCGAGAAGATGACATCGATCAACCAGGTTTGATGATGGCGGAACTTGCTGATGCTGCTGAGCAGGTCCAAGTTCTCAGCCGACCGCAGCAACGACTCAAGGATTGAGGACTCCCTAGAAAGGATGACCGATATGAGTTCACTTTCACAGCGGATATCTATATTCACATACTCTTCAATTTTGTGCTCCCGACTCGCCGATATTGCATTGACGAGGGCGGAGAAGGTATTCTGTACGACAACTGTTGGAAGAGGCAGGAAGCAGGGAGACTGTTCATGTACTCGCCTTTAGGTGGTAACTGTTGACGATGAAAGATGACCTCACTGTCGCACTTTGGGCGTGAACACTCGAATGCCAGGAAGATCCGATAATGGCGGAGGGAGGGGGGTTCTGCAAATTATCCTCTTGGATAATGCCCATTGTCAGCGCTATAAGGCTCATCGAACCATAGACATCAACCCACCGAAGTGAAGCTTGATACACTCGTTTTCCGACGCATTCTCCGTTTTGACGACAGGGACAAAGCCAGCACCGGGGCCTCCTGACGATCCAGAGAACATGCTGAAGAAGATTGTAGCAGGATGGTATAACGAATTTCTTCAAGTACGAGGAAATCGCAGTGTCCGACGATGGGAAGTCCTAGGCTATCATCGAAGTCTTATATGCCATTCTAGACGTGAGTGCATATGATAGCTTCGCACAGCAAGCCAGCGCGCATCTGCTTCCGCTGCAGATTCGGCTGCTCGTGAGATGCATCTCCTCCGAGTAAGTTAATCCGAAATCAAAGTTCTAGCGCCTTGAGGTGATGAAATCAAGGCCCGGCTCAATGAGCGGTAGAACTGGAGTAGGCTTTGGTCGCCAGTGCGAGGGCGATACATCAAGTAGCGCGGACGATGGCCTGCTCAGTCTTTGTTGGCATACAGCAATCCTATCTTCGAATCTCAGTTGAGCAGGTTGCTTGACCGATGACGAAGGTATGGGAGGCTTCAAACTAGATCGTCGCAGTATACTTAGAGCGAGTTCACGATACCTGTTCAGCTAGCAGTGACACTGAACATTGTTTGCTGCGCGTCATGTGTGCCCTCGACGTCTGCCGCGTTAGCTATTAGCTAAGGCTCAAACAAATCGTCCATGACTCCATCTGCTGTCGACAAAGGATAACCAGGCCGCAGGTGGCCTCACTGCAACAGTAGGGCGGGGTTTATGCACTCGTTCCCCGGCAACTTGGTGATCTCTTGAGATGGACTATTTAATGTTCAACGCTTGGTGTGATCACATATTCTACACAGAATTTTGGTTTCGTCTTATCTTTGCTCTCGTGTGAGGATTACTGTATGCTTGCTCTCTGACACTAATATGTGCAGGAAACAGTTTCTCGATCAGAGATTTCGGTCTCGCGCCGGTCTCCGTTCATGTTGCACACCCACGAACGTCAACTTGAGTTCCGAGTTCGCGCCGCAAGTTGGAGACAAATAGGGACCGACCATTGTTATCGCCAACCGATGAATTAGACACTTGCAGAACTCCGTCGTCTCTTTGAAGGACGATCGCTGGCTGTTTTCACCATGGATCTACCAACTTCGAATCATACCAAAAGCCAAGGAAAGCCTCGATTTGGCCTTACTGAATACGACCTCCACCGCCTCCACGATGCTGTATACTGCCAATAGTGTACGGCTCTGAGATCCTGACATAGGCGCCCGCGTCACATGGTCGGAGCTTATTAACACTCGTGCATTTAAAGCGCTGGTAAGCTTTGAAGATTATGATAAACCAATGCGCGGGCTGTCCCACCGAACGATTCTTGATCTCTTCACCTCATAGGCGGGACCCTCTATGTGCGGCCAGAGGCGAGACTGAACGATCTTCGGCGCTTCAGTTGGATTATTTTGCAGCCGCATCCTGATCCTATCACTTGCAAGATCCTTCGGTATGCCGTTTGGTCTGCGCTGGGTCTTACCCACCACTGACGTCTTAGTACATATCTCCTTGCCGAATTCGATCCAGACTCCTTCGATGACCCGCACGTCAGTGCTCCTCGATCCACGACGCCAACATGGTATCGAAGCCCACTGCTCACGCCCTTTCAAACTCTCGTAAGAACCCGTTCTCCAGGATGTTCACATCGACTAAGTAATCGCGAACACAGCCTTCTCCGATGACGAGTTGCGGGTGGTCGCCATCGTTCGTAGAATAGAAGACACGTCCACGTTGAAGGGCATGAAGTTAGCGATTGATAATGAAGATGCTCATCGCCTGCTGGACGAGCTACAACTGGTACGTCCCGGCATACGCAGTCATTTGTCCGCTGACGTGTGAATCAAGGCATTGGAGGCGATTCGAGACGGAACATTCCGAGTCCCTCACACGATCAACACGGACCCGTCCACGTTCCGACGGAGGGCGATTCGTTTATTGGTCAAATTATGCAAACGTTATGGTGCTATACCCCAGTCTTTGTTCCTCACTGGCGTAGAATGCTCGCAGAAGTTGGATCCGATATCCTCAGGTGGCTTCGCCGACATATTTGTAGGAAATTTGCTTTCCAAACGAGTGGCGTTGAAAAGAGTGCGATTGTACGCGTCGAACGACAAAGGGCATATCTTACAAGTAGCTTAATGCTCCCAAAGCCACTGATGGTCGCTAACCAACCGCTCCAGACGATCTGCCAAGAAGCCATTCTCTGGCGGCAATTCGATCACCCGAACATCGTTCCATTTCTGGGTGTAGATCGCCAAACATTCGGAAATACGTACGCAATCGTCACGCCGTGGATGGAGAACGGCAACATGCTGCAATACATCAAGAAAAGGGAACTATCTCTCTATATGACCCTCCTATTGGTGATGTTATCCCTCATTCTATATCATCATGTAGTTCATATCAATCATCATACAGCTCGAAGACGCCTCGAGAGGTTTACACTACTTGCACGAGCACGACTTCGTTCACGGAGATCTTCGTGCCGTAAGTTGTGTCGATCACTTGAATAACACGCATGTAGAATGACATGACCTTACCAGGCCAACGTTCTAGTCGATGATAATCGGCGCGCATGCTTGACCGACTTCGGTCTCACTTTCGTCGACAACATCGCGTCTTTGAATGGATCAACGGTGACCGGCCACAACAACGCTCGATGGCTTCCGTTGGAGATGCTGAACGAGTCAGAGAATCGCCCTCAGTACCACACCGACGTATTTTCTTTCGGGAGAGTGATGCTAGAGGCAAGTCTGAACTGTGTACTTTGATGAACTCTAATTCATGCAGCTCAGGCTTGCACCCTGAGACCCCCATTCCCCTCGAAGACAGACGTGCAAGTCGCTTTTCATATCCTTTCAGGGCATGGGGTTGAAAGACCTACTTTCCACGACATTCCTGGCCGGGAAATCCCTGATTGGCTATGGAATCTCATGCAATGGTGCTGGAGCTCCGTTCCGACAACAAGACCAACTGCGTACGACGTACTCAATTGCCTTGAGAGCTCCTCGGACCCAGTAAAACCTCGGTACAATGGCCTAGCAACACAGCCCGACGAACACGACTATGACTCTTTGACGGAGGCATCCCGTGAACTCGCATCTTCCCCTTCTCCTCGCCATAATCGCTTCTCTCGCATTACCGCATCTGTGAGCAAGGCTCTCCGCACGGCACGTTCAAGGACCAAATCATCAGAAAGGTCAAGCCGCCCGGGAACACCCGTCCGTCGAGCGCCTTCTCGTGCACTCTCTCCCAGCTTTCGGCCGTCAACACCTCCCGTATTCTGCCCCCCTTCGTCATCGCGGCCGTCAACGCCAACGCAAGCCTCCCTTCCCTCTCGACAACAGAGCCGCATTCGCCGCCCCACCCTCCTTCAGCAGTCGCTGTCTCTCCCGGTCGACGCCGCAGGCTCAGTCCGCGACCTCACCAGGGAAGAGGCGATATATTACGGGCCACGAGCTTCATCCGCGCCTCCGATAGAACGTGCCCATACTCCCTCAAGTCGCTGCATCCCCTCTCCGGCGCAGTTCGCATCCTCAAAAGGCAGTGTTCGAAACGGGATTCTCGCCCACCCCCGTGTGCTGGCTTACATGCGGGCCCACCGGGGAAGGTTCGATCTCCGATTCGGACCCTACATCCTCCTGGAGACTATCCATCGACATGGCTCCTGGAAGGTCAAGTCCGCGTTGCACGGCGAGACGGGAAGGAAGGTCGCGATACGACTGGTCAAAAAGGCTGATCTGAAAAGCCCGACGTTTCGGCGAAGGGTAGAGCAAGAAGTGGATATACTCGGAGTACGGCTCTTTCTTCTCAGGTACAAAAGGCTATACTTATCAAGTATTCAGACGCTTGTGCACCCCAGCATTGTGGCCTTCCATGGGGTGGAGGAAACCGAGACGTTCGTCGGCCTGGCTCTCGACCACGACGATCCGCGGTCTTTGACCAGTCACGTCCTCGCGCGGGGATATCTCACGGCGCCAGAGGCGCGCAAGCTCTTCTCAGAGCTCATATCCGGCATCTGGTACATGCACCAGAAAAGGATCGTCCACGGCAACCTCACGCTCGAGAGCGTGGCCCTGAACAGCCACGGCGATATCACCATAGGCGACTTTAGCTCCGCCCTCGTCGTCAGCCACGGCGACGACCTCGTGCAGCCGCACGCGCGGACGCCGATCTACGCCGCGCCCGAGCTGGTCGCGACTAACGTGTGCCTCGGCGCCGTGGGCGACGTCTGGTCGTGCGGCGTCATCTTATACGCGATGCTCGCGGGGCGCCTGCCATGGAGCGACGGGCTGGAAGTGGACGTGAAGGCGGACGAGGAGGACGACGTGAAGCAGCTCTATCGGTTCATCGCGTGCGTGCCCGCCGTCTGCCCGGGACACGTGGAAGACGACGCGGAGGACCTGGTGCTGCGCATTCTCATCGCGAACCCGCTGAGGCGCGCGGATGTGCGAACGGTCATGGAGCATCGCTGGCTAGAGCGGTCGAGGCGTCTTTTCGACAAGAGCGTCGAGGAATTGGAGAAGGCGGCTATGGAGCTGCGTCGTGTTCAGGCACGAGAGTGGGTATAGCAATGGGTATCGAAGCAAATAAGGAAGGCTATGTACGAGTATGTGCCGTTAGTTGTAGTTCGTTGCGCGGTCGTCAATGGGTTGCCAGACTGGTGATTGGTAGTCCAGCGACATGCGGCGCATTGAGTCCCTCGCTGTGAGAGACCTGTCCATCTTAGCCTCGTTTGGACGAGCGCCGGCGCCACTTCATCGATGGCGTGCGGTGGTGTCTCGAACCGACTCCAACGAAATAAGCAGGAACTACTGATGGACGAGCGGCCGTGTTCTGACCACTTCAGTGAAGTAGCATATATATGGGACGCTCGTCGCGCGCAGTCAGCTCCCTACACAATAGCATGGGACCCAAGTTGGCATCGGTGTATAAAAAGGATGTTCTCGGAGATCTCCCGGTCCCGCGATCATCGATGTTGTACCTTACACCCGCAACAGTTAACTCAAGTACCCAGCCCGCTATCAGACCGGAGGCATCATTGAACTCGAGAAGCTCGCGTCGGACTGCTGTGCTCCTCCGAGCCCTCGAGTCTGATGCAGTAGATGAGCCGTTAGTCGTTTTCACTGCGAATGTATATACTAACGCCCGTTCATTCCAGAAATACAAGGAAAACGCAGGCTCAGATTGATTGAACTTTACTAAAAACGGGAACGGCCAATCCGCGTCACATGCCCGGTGCTTACATCCTCATGCACTCACAGCCCTGGCAAGCCCTCGAGAGCTGTGGAGAGACCTATACACTAGCGAACCCGTCGGGGCCACGTCTGGTTCGTGAGGTGACCCTCATCATCTTCACCTCACAGCATGCACGGCAGGAAAACGTAAAAGGTTTTGACGTTTGACTTGGTCATCTCAATCTCCTGTCGCTTGCGAGGTTCTTGCGTGCGTCGTCTACTCTGCGCTCTGTCTTATCTACGACTCACGCTTCAGTCAAGCACGGATTTTGTTCTTCATACACACTTTAGCTGCACTCCGAGTCCGTGGTGTATCGCGGATCGTTATGGTGCAAAATGTTGTCTCTCAAACCGTTCCGTGCTCTCGTGAGCACGCACCCAATGCATGCGAGCTGTTCGCACTAACTAACTGCACACAAAGCGTTTTCCGAAGAAGAATTGCAAATAATCACTATCATCCGCCGAACAGGGGATACTTCCAATTTCCAGCCCCTGGATTTAGCATCTGATCATGAAAGTCTCAATCGCTTGCAGAATGAACTTCAGTTGGTGCGTGTTGACACCTATAACGCACGTTTGATGGCTCGCTAAGGCACCCATCAAGGCGCTGGACGCGATTCGAGCGGGGACATTCCGGATCCCTCACGCTGCCAAGACAGATGCATCTGTTTTTCGACGTCGTGCTATTCGTTTATTGGTGAAAATATCCAAGCGTTATGGTGCTATGCCTCAGTCACTGTTTCTCACCGGCGTAGAGTGCTCGCAGAAGTTAGATCCTGTTTCGGCGGGTGGCTTTGCGGACATCTTTGTTGGTTATTTGCTCTCCAAGCAAGTGGCTTTGAAGAGGCTGCGGCTGTACACGTGCGACAACAGAGGGCATGCCTTACAAGTAATTGAATTCTCCAGGAGTATTAGTCTTTACTCATCCAGCACGACAGACGATCTGTCAAGAAGCCATTCTTTGGCGCCAATTTGACCACCCGAACGTCGTGCCCTTCCTGGGAGTCGACCGCCAAACCTTTGAAGCTAGGTATGCAATTGTCACGCCATGGATGGAGAACGGAAATATGCTGGAATACATCCGGAGACAAGAATTACCATTCTACAGAATACTGCTCTTGGTCAGTTCTTCGTCCTATATTTTTTATATAGCTCATTGAAGATTACGAAGCTCGAAGAGGCCGCAAGGGGTTTACATTACTTGCACGAACATGAATTTGTTCACGGAGATCTTCGTGCCGTAAGCAACATAGTCCGTCTGAAGAACTTGCCTTTCAAATATTATTACGTCGTGACCAGGCTAACGTCTTGATCGATGACTGCGGGCACGCGTGCCTGACTGACTTCGGCCTCACCTTCGTCGATCACATCGCGTCTTCGAACGGATCAAGCACGACAGCACATGGTAATGCTCGTTGGCTTCCCCTCGAGATGTTGAACGGATCACAGGATCGCCCCCAATGCAGTACCGACGTCTTCTCCTTTGGAAGAGTGATGCTGGAGGCAAGTCCGGAGTATATGTATCGACGAAATCTGATCTGTCTCAGGCTTGCACTTTACAACCCCCTTTCCCTTCTATCAAAAAAGATATACAAGTCATCGGGCATATACTTCAAGGGAATGAGGTTGAAAGGCCTACTGTTGACGGGGTTCCTAGTCAAGCAGTTCCCGATTGGCTGTGGAATCTTATGCTGTGGTGTTGGGAACCCGACCCGATGGCGAGGCCGATGGCATACGATGTACTCATCCGCCTTGGAGCCTCAAATTCTTCTAGCGCTACCAATCATAGAATAAACCGATCTCAATTCACTGTATCGGCAACACAGGTCAAGGAACATGACCATGACCCACCATCCGAAGGACCGCGCGAACCCGCCTCTCCTCCTACACCTCGCCACAGTCGATTCTCTCACATCGCAAGGTCTGTGAGCAAAGTTCTCCGCACCGCACGTTCGAGGACCATCTTATCAGAAAGATCAAGTCGCCCGGAGACACCCGTCTGTCGAACCCCTCCTCGTGCACTCTCCCCTAACTCCCAGTCCTCCACACCTCGTGTATGCTCCCCCCCTCCGTCCCCACGGCCATCAGCGCCGACACCGTATACAACTCGCTATCGACTACAGAGCCGCCAGTGCTGCCCTACTCTCCTACAACAGACGTTGTCTCTCCCGATCACCCCCGCACACCCCAACGGCGATGTCACGCGGGGGGAGGAAATGTTTAACGCGCCGCGAGCTTCATCTGCACCCCCGAATCAAAGTCGCTTCGACCCCTGTTCGGCGCATTGTACATCGTCACCGTGCAATCACACCCATGGGGCACCGGGAGTTGTTCAAACTGGAATCCTTTCGCACCCCCTCGTGCTCGCATACATGCAGGCTCACCCTAGAAGGTTTGATCTCCGGTTTGGTCCTTATATAGTCCTCGAGACTATTCAACGACATGCCTGCTGGAAGGTCAAGTCCGCATTGCACGGCGCGACGGGCAAGAGAGTGACGATACGACTGGTAAAAAAGGCTGATTTGAAGAGTCCGACATTCCGGCATAGGATAGAACAAGAAGTGGATATACTTGTAGTATGGATCCCCCTTCCTCTCAGGTACAGACATGTGCTTATCAAGTGTTCAGACGCTCGTGCACCCTAGCATCGTGGCATTCCATGGGGTGGAGGAGACCGAGAAGTTCATCGGCCTTGCACTGGATCACGACGATCCGCAGTCTCTTAACAGCTACATCCACGCGCAGTTCTACCTCACAGCGCCAGAGGCACGCAAACTCTTTTCGGAACTGATATCCGCCGTCTGGTATATGCACCAGAAGAAGGTGATCCACGGGAACCTCACGTTGGAAAGCGTCACCCTGAATGGGCATGGCAACCTCACCATAGGGGATTTCAGCTCGGCCCGCGTCGTCAGCCATGACAACGACCTCGTGCAGCCGCACGCGCGGACGCCGATTTTCGCTGCTCCAGAGCTGATTGCGACTAACGTTTGCCTTGGCGCCGTGGGCGACATCTGGTCATGCGGCGTCATTCTGTACGCGATGCTGGTGGGACGGCTGCCGTGGGGCGATAGCTTAGTGGTCGTCGAGTCGGATGACGATGATATGAAGAAGTTATATGGGTTCATCTCGTCCGTGCCCGCCGTGTTCGCCAAGCACGTGGAGGACGGCGCTTGCGACCTCGTGTTGCGTATTTTGATCGCGGACCCGATGGGGCGGGCGGATGTTCGGGCGGTCATGGAGCATCACTGGCTCGAACCGTCCAACCGTCTCTTCAACAAGAGTGTTCGTGACCTGGAGAATGCTGCGAGGGAGCTTCGCCGAGCGAGGTGAATTGGGTTCAGCGATGGTCATTGTAGTGAACAATATTATGTACCATCATGGTAAGTCTTGAAGCATGACGACATAAGGTTCGATGATCGCCGGCACTTGCGCAAGTGTTATCCGGCAAGTGAGCCAAGGCTGTAAACCAGGATTGAGCACGAATGTCACTTGCGGCGCATTCAGTTCGAACGTCGTCGTGATGGGAAACTGTTTTAGCCGTGTGTGGATGAGGGCCCAGCGCGCGCCACTTTTCCGGCGGCGCACAGTGACGCCAGCGTAACAACCCAACCAGGTTTTGTTGAAGGACAAACCGCCGTTGGCGCCATGTTTCGGTCACCCTGATGAAGCAGGTACACTAAGTGCAGAGGTACTTGTTAGTCGCAGTCCGAGGAGGTCCCACCTGGGGGGAATGTCTATTTGCAATTTGACTATGTTCTGCGAATGGGAACGCCCCGGCGGCTTGCGGCTATGCCGACGGGACGAGCTGCGCTTCGCCTGCAGCCACCTCACACTTCCATATCCAAGCTCCAGATGCCGTCAGATTGGCACCGGAATGGCAAGTGCATTGGCACACTCCCAGGTATGACCGCGCGTCCCCAACAGAGGCAACGCGCCCGAGCTGGTGCGTGCACCACAGACCAAGTTGAGCTTTCTTTGCAACCGAACCCATACGTTCCGGAGAAATCGACTGCCCTCAGGCTGCGGATGTGCTCCGTTGCTTGAGAAAAGCGTGGTCGGATCGGTATGCGGTGTGCGGCGAGGACCCGCAAAGGCACAGAAGGTTCCCAGGTGCAGGAGAGGGTTTGCATTCAGCGGAGAGGTTGCCTGTGGACGCGGGATGGGTCGCGTGCAGGGGAGAACGTGCTGGCAGGTGACGGAAGCTCGTCCATGGCCCTCGCTTCCGTCGCTGGCGTCGGAGATACGGATCAGGCAACGCTTATGTTAGGGGTCGATCGAAATACCGCCGTGCGACCCCGCACTGGCTCCTCTTCCACACGGTAACATCTTCTCGTCGCCGTCGCTGTGCCGTACGACGACCTCGTTAAGCGACTACAAAACGGTATGCCACTCGCGGTTAGCTTGACGCCCGTGTTTGTCTCTCCGCTCCTCCCCGGCGCTAAACGGACCGAGTGTAGCTTCACGGCTCGGTACTTCCCGCACGCCCGTCCTTGGACGTCCTCACATCTCGGTGCGTTCTGGCTCGCCTCCAGCCCGATGACCAGCGTCCTCGCGCGCCACTTGGGGGAGCACCGACGCCTTCTCTGCCCTTCTGCGTCGCTCGGTGCCCCCTAGTGACCGCGTATATATCGCGCACACTTGCCCCACCCGCTATGGCGTTCGCACGGTTCCCCGCTAACCTCACATCCAGGAACGTAATATCTCCATAGCTCCCTCCTCATGGCCGACCCGGCCCCGGACATACTCGACATACCCTCCGAGCACCCACAACCCCCCTCTCCCTCTCCTCTGCCCTCCACGACGGCCCCGACGACGACCACAGCAACGCCAGGCCCGGCCCCGCCTGCATCCCCGAGCAAGCGCCAGGTGTCGATGTCGCTCCACCCGCCGGCGCAGATCCCGCTGCACCACTACGAGTCCCAGCCCGTGCTCAAGCCGGCGTCTCCGGAGATGCCACCCGGGCTCGGACAGAACGACGACCGCGCGAGGTGGTTGGGTACGGCGTCCACGCGGACGAGCTTCACGAGGGTCGATCTCACCAGGGCGCCTACGCCGTCCGAGGACGATTCGGCGCCGGGTACGGGGAACGGGGCGGCGGGGAGCGTGGCGGAGGTCGAGGGTGGTGCGGGTGCAGGAGAAGGGGTGCAAGCTGAGCAGGAGGAGGAGGAGGAGGAGGTCGCGAAGGAGGAGGAGGTCGCCGTGCCGCAGACGCCGCAGACGCTGCTCACGTTCTTGCTCGTGTCCGGTCGGCGGAGGACGATGTCGTTCGAGCCGGAGACGACGGTGGGGAGGGTGAAGGAGCTCGTGTGGAATACGTGGCCGAGCGGTGAGCCCCGGCGATTGCACCATCTTTAACACCGTGTTGTCGATATGTTCGGCTTATGGAGCCGCTGTCAGATTGGCAAGACGAAAGACCGCCCGCGCCAGCACATCTGCGGATCCTGTACCTCGGCCGAGTGCTTCAAGACGACGATAGCCTCACCAGTACGTCCTTTCCCTCCTCTCCTTCTCATCCAAACGAGCTCAAAGCGGACTTACACGCGATCTTTGAACCCATTCAGAAGTCGGTCTTCCGTCACATACCCCGTCTTCTACCGCGTTGCCCGATCCGGCGCAAGTGCCGACGCCGACTATCGTCCACCTCTCCATCAGGCCCTTCGCGCCCCCGGCCGAGGACGATACCAAGAAGAAAAGACGCGGGATCGGCAGTATGGGCGGCGGTCCGGACGGCGAAGAGCGCGGTGCCGGATGCTGCGGGTGTGTTGTTTGCTGATACCGTGCACGCTTCCTCGATGGGGTGTGTATATACCATGGAGATGGATGTGGATGTGGTGGTGGTGGCATGGTCGTATATGGGTCTGGATTTATTTCTCTGCTCTACACCTATTCACCGTTCTTTTTTTGCTTCCTTATTGCATCTGTAGTATACAGAGTCCATGTTCTGTTCTGCTCATAGCAACTCACAATCATCTCGTAATGATCGCCCCCTTCCTATCATGCAATACACGTCTCTCCTCTCTGCCACAACCGCGGCTTTCTCTCGCAAATCTCGCTGCTGTGATTGGCGCGGTCGAGTCTTATCACGTACTTAGGCGCTGGCTGTGGAGGGCTGCGTATATAATGTTTCTCGGCGCAAACGAAGACCATGATCTCGCCCTGGGCCACTACTACCTGGACCACCTTCTCAGTTGTGCCCCCGATTCTCGGGCACTCCAGAGGAAAAGGCGTCGGAACTCGGCCCCGTCTCTGAATAATGTCTCGCGAACATGGTGAAGAATCGCGATCGTCGACCGCCGAACAAGGTCGCCTCCGCGGGTCGGTGTGTGAGTGCCGCATAATTCAGTCCGGCCGAACACGATCTCACATAGGTACTATGTGGCGGGGGGGATACTACTCCAGCTCTGTCAGAGCAAGAGGTTGCGGTCGTAGCTTGTTTCCGGGAAGGATACGGGACGACCGCGGTATCTCGCGACGAGGGACTGGAGCTCTTGAACCAGTTACAAGAGGTGCGCCCCCTTTGACTCCCATCGTACTCTCGTGTTCGAGTCTGAACGTGCTTGCTGTCCAGGCTTTGGATTCCGCACGTCATGGGCCCGATAACCTGACGCTGAACTGCTCCTTACGAGATTTCCGCCGTCGTGGTATGAGGCTAATGATGAAGCTGTCCAAGGCCTTCGACGCGCTCCCTCGCGCCATCTTCATCGACGGCATACATTGTCCCCATCCACTCGACCCGACCTACAACGGAGGCTACGCCGACATCTTCGAGGGCGTGCACCGATCCCGCACAGTGGCCCTCAAACGTCTCAGGACATTCATGCGCGATTCCGAGCGTAATGCCGTCAACAGGGTACGTTCGTTTTGACCTTCGTCATGTTTGACGATGTTGCGTGCTTATATGCGCTTCGCAGATGGTCGGACGAGAGGCTGCGCTTTGGCGGCAGCTGGACCACCCGAACGTATTGCCGTTTCTCGGCGTGGACGAAACCACTTTCTCCCCGCATTATGCTCTCGTATCGCCCTGGATGAAAAACGGCAACCTGGTGGACTACGTTGCGCGCGTAAAGTTGAGCTCAGGCGACGTCAACCTCCTCGTACGTCACATGGCGGTCATAATTGCAGGACATCTAGCTTACATCGCTACGTTCCAGCTGGTGCAGACCTCGGACGGACTGTCATATCTCCACTCGCAAGAGATAGTACACGGTGATTTGCGAGCTGTCGGTATCGTCTGCCTTGATTATATGCCATCGCTTACCCAACGACGTTTCAGGCGAATATACTCATCACCGATGCCGGACAAGCTTGTTTGTCCGACTTTGGATTGACGCGAGTGGCGCCTACCGCAACGCTGACAGCCACGACCACCCTAGGACGTGCTTCTACGCGCTGGACGGCACCCGAGCTCTTGAAAGAAGAGGTTGATGCCCCCGATCCTCCCAGCGATGTATACTCCTTTGGATATGTTTGCCTTGAGGTGTTCATATTTGTTTTTCTTGCGTTGCCATGGTGCTCAACGAGCTCTCTTATAACTATCAACAGGCATATACGCTCAAACCTCCGTTTTGGGACGTTCGAAGCGAGGCAGTGGTCCTGAACAAGATTCTGCAAGGCCACGTGGTGAGAAGGCCGACCAAGGATGAATGTAGTGGAAAGGAACTTTCGGACGAGCTATGGTCGCTCATGACCGGATGCTGGTCGAGTGATCCCAGCAGACGGCCGAGCGCAAGGCGTTCGGGATCCATGATTAGGGATACTTTGGTACGCGGTAAGTGATGGTATTGTGACCCTTCCCGTATATGACACTCCATGGCCTCTTTTCCGCGTCTATGGACTATGATGCTGACGGAGATATGCAGAGCGACACTGGCAATACCATCAAGAGAGCAACGAGGAGATCGAGTCCAAGTCGGAGTCGGAGTATTCACACTCGCCACTCTCCTCGACTGGAGCATCCATGGGAAAGCGACGAGATTTCCAGGTTTCTGAACCAACCAGACCAAGAGGGCGCCTACGCACGTCTCGATGGGTGACACATCAAGAGGACGAGTTGTCATTCTACACAAATCCTTTCGTGGCTGTATCCCGCTCGGATTCCGGAATATCAGAACAAGTTCAGGAAGGCGTCAATGTGTCCGTCCCTGCCGGAGAAGAACGAAATATCCGGGCCTGGAAACGGGATAGCCTACGGAAATGGGTGGACGGTCAGGAGCAATTCGTGAAGTCTTACAGCAACCCTTTCGTGCCCGACCCGGTGTCGGAAAACCTAGGTCCGCGGCGCGAAAGTGCCATGGTTATCCGTTCGGAGCCCGTAGTCATCCAGCCGTCGCCGCCTCAAAGCTCCACCGACTCGAGTCCAACGCCGGACAGCTCGCTGGATGGCCGAGAAGCGCCGATTATAGTGGTGCCACCACCAGGAGCACAGCGGACAACATCACGCCCTACATCTGCGCCGCGCCTTCACGTGGGCAGCGAACATCGCCAGAGGATTATAGTGGTGCCACCACCAGGAGCACAGCGAACAACATCACGCCCTACATCTGCGCCGCGCCTTCACGTGGGCAGCGAACCTCGCCAGAGGCGGAAATCGAACGAAGAAGGCCCTGTCATCCCGCCGCTGCCTGTGGATTTGATCGCTCTCCCCGGTTTTGAACCCGAAATACCAACTTGGCACTTTCAGAACGGCCTTCGTTCAGATGCCCCCCTACCACTCTCACTCGGCGGTCACCGTGGTAAGTCCTGTCGAGGTGAGGCTAAACCAGGACTGATTTTCCTCCGGGTAGCCGAGATCATAGTTATACCTCCCCCCGGCCCTGTGACTGCAATGGCACGGCTTGCCACAGATATGCTTGAGACTACCACCTATCCGTCGTATCCGAACGAGGTGGCGGAGTACGTCATTCCTTCGGAGACCTCGCTGAAGCCCCCTTCAAGACGGGCTGAAAGCCCACAGCCTATTGTTGTTGTTCCACCGCCACTGATCAGAAACGCAACGAGCAGCAGGCCTACCACGACGCGGAAGGGATTCTGGAACAGGCGAGGTGACCATCTGACTGCCGACGACAAAGTCGTGTACGCACCGCATGGGCAACTGTATCCCAACGATCTGCAGTTCTATCCCACTGAGTATGAAGGGTTCAGGGACGAGCAAGGCAATTTCATATCTCTACCGCAGCCGCCTTACGGATAACCCACTTCCTTCTTTCATATCGATGCGTGCAACTTTGCAACGCCAATGTTACTAGAATATGATGTACGAATACAGGAGCCACCTGCGATCAATTCGGCTTGGATGCGAAGACCAACAACGGACAGCGCCTAACGTACGCTGACGTACACCATCAAGCTACTCCCATGACCACCTCTGAGGTGGACTGAGACAGCCTCGTATGCCCAGTTCTCCTACGTTCCATCTCCAAGCCGGAGTGCTCTCTGTGGCCGGACGAGCACGTCCTCGTGCATATTGCAGGGACATGCGATGCATGCGCCATCGGTTCTTCACATGCCGATCTTCCTTGCGGAGAAACATGAGCAGGTATGATCTCCAGTCATACGACTGGTCCAACCGCAGATCGATGGCGTTCAAGCCATCTTTCCACGCCTCCCATTCCATGGGCGTAGATGGTAGCACCCATCCGTATTGCCACGCAAGCCGTAAGAAGAGCCCCTGGCGATGTCGTATGATCGCGTCGTGAAAGAAATGATTGACCTCGCAAAGAGCCAGAGTAGTCCCTGTAGCGGACACGAGAGATGGAGGGTCAAAGACGGTGGCGTCCTCTAGGAGTTCTTCAGCCACGACGGAGAGGGGGAGATCGACGACAGCAGAGAGGATGGCGTTGAAAAGTTCGGGAACGCCGAAGACCTTCGACCATGGAGCGCGCTGGTTGATCTCTGCGGGCGACGTTGCCGGCGGGCAAACATCGAGCGCCTCGGGGATAGGAAGTACCATTGGCCGGCTCAGCAACCAAGCTGTATCTTCCATAGTGTCCGGATCGTCCCATCGGTCGACCGTCTCGGGGTCGTCTTCCTTGGCGGTCTGTCTCGCGATGGCGTATCCGAACTCCTGACCATTCCGGCCCTCCATGTCGTAGTACTTGAGACAATACAGGAGGCCTTGACCGGCCTCTCCGTATTGCAGATAGTCCGAGCCGGTTTCGTAGAGTGACTCCCATAGCTGACGAGGCGTGATGTTGACGCGTCGGCAAAGGAAAGAAAGACAACCTCGGTGAATGCGGACGTAACGACCCGGTTGGTCTTGCCAGTCGCTGCTACCGTTGATGTAGATCGTTCCGGAGTCACCCTGCGTGCTGCTGAACGTTAGAATGTTCGCAGTCACTCGGTAGGTCCTTGGTTACCACGGTGGTGAAACCCAGTCCTCCTTCCACCGAGGGCTGACGCATACCCAGTCCTTCCAATATGCGCCATCTTCGGCAGAGATGGAGAGTATGTCATCTATCGACGCCGAGGGTACCGGATACCCTGGGGGATTCCGCCATTTTCCGTCCGCCGGAGGCCAGTCCGCAGCGGAGGTATTATCGTCAAGGAGGTACCTTCGCCACGCTTCGCGTGCATCGCAGAGAGGACCGGCGCTAAGCTTTCTGTCAGTTCTTGTTCTGGTCCGTCGATACGGATTGACAGTACCAGAAGGCGCAGTACAGTTCGAAAATGCCCATGGTATGGCGGGAGGAAAGGTTGGACGACTGCCAAGGTTCTTCCTCCCTTTCTCAAGTTTTCATGCCGTATGATAGAAAGCCCCCCGTGGTATCAAACTAGATGCCGGCGACGTCGGATGAATGGCTGTACGTAGGCTATGCATGATGGTCGTCGAAACCAAGACTGCTCATTAACGTTCGTTCGTTTTACTGCCTGGTGGCTGTCCGTCGCCGGTAGGTCTCGGTAGGTTCTCCCGCCTCATGTCCCTCGCTGTTTGCTTTCGTTCCACCATCACAACATACCTGCTACTGCATCGGCATTGTGTCACTGTCTAGATGCAGTTTTGACTGGCTAATCTGAACATCCTGTTCGTTCTGTGATCCTTCCGGGACGGAGACCCACGGTACCTCTAAACCCTGATGTTTGGCTGAACTTGGTCCAAAGTAAGACACCAGCGCTCTTGGCATGACTATCGGTGGTCTATTTTTCCGCCGGTTTCCTGCGCAATGCGTCTCAGCAAACTGTTCCGTCCGAACCGCTTTCCTTGTACGTCGAGGCTCTGTCAGATACGGCGTGTATCCCCGTTTCAGACGAGCGGGGCGCCGTACGATGTCTGCATATTCTGTCTTTCTCTGGACCAGAATACCACTTGATGCCACCTTGATCATCGGATGCTGCCCCTCAAACCCGAACATCATTTGGATATTCCATGTCAGGATTACAGGGCTCGTGCAGGGCATAAAACCAGCAAGCAAACGACACTGATTTCTTTGCCCGGCGCCTTTTCTTGTTCTCTTGGTCTTCATCCTTCTAGCTGCTTTTTACTTCGCCTTATTATTCGTATATAATACTCGCTCCCTCACGATGATCGCTGCTGCATTTTCATCCGCGACTATCTCGCTTATTCTTGCTGCTACTGCCATCGCGGCGCCGTTCAATCGCCTCCAAGCTCGTGATGCTGTCTGTCCGGATGGTCAACCGTCTCCCTGCGTCTGCGGCGGCAAGTTGGGTATCCGTCAGGCGAAATTGTCGTGCCCAAACCAATCCTTCAAGTTCACCAACCCTTCAAGCGGGACAGATGGCACGGTTTCCTTAGTTTCCGTAAGAATTCATCTTCTTCTATGTTTGCCTCTGATCTGACTGCGACGTCTAACACTCTCTGTGCAGGGTAACGTCGGTAGTGTCCAATGCGGTAGGTTTACCGTATCACTGAGAGAACATGGCTGATAAAAAGATATCGGAATTACGACTCGCATAGACCAGTGAGCGCATTTCCGTTTGAAAGTCCGAATGTCGACTGAGATCCTCTCTCAGTATTGTCGAACTGCAGTTTATTGCGGCCGAGGTGGATGCAGCGCCTGGTGTCTGCGCCAAGTTCAAGACGGCGACGGACACTGCCACACCCGCGTTCACGGCTTTCAAAGATGCCATCAACGCCTCCCCTAACCTCGTTTTCGTCGAAAGCACGGTCAACAACGCCAAGGGAGTTGCCTTCGGCGGAAAGAGCTTCGTGGACACCACACAAAAAGCAGCCGTAAGGTGTCATGAAACAAATCGAATGCAATTGATGTTGATCTGTGTCTGTAGGATGGCCTGATCAGCTACTTGACCCTCCTGCAGGCCAATGGTGCTAAAAACGTCAACCCAGGGACGCATGCAGCAACGAGCGTCGATCAAGCGATGACGCAGGCAGTTGGCGCTGGTGCTGGGTTTCCCACCGGGTTCCAAACTCGCTTTGATGCCAAGGTGGCAAGCGTCATTGCCAAGTCAGTTCAAGTGTCTTGATCATGGCTAGTTCGCTGAACGGTCGTTTTAGCACTAAGAAGGTGAAGGCAACGTTGACACCTGCTCCCGCCGCCGGTGACCCCTTCGTCGACCAAACCGCGTCTACGATCGCCAAGTGCACGAAGACCAGGCGTAATGGTCTCCTTGATGAGATCCGCGAGAGGTTTGTCCGCGCCGGATGGATCAAGCGTGCCGCAACGGCCGCCAAGCCGTGTGCCACTGTGAGTAATGATGACTGCGCTCCGTTTTTTTTTTTTTGCGGCAATCAGATTTAACCACCTTTTCCTACAGTCAACTACCGCTACACCGGGCAAAGCTGGAGCTCCTGCGAAGCCTGCTGCACCTGCGAAGACCGCCGCCCCCGCCGCCCCCGCGAAGCCTGCTGCACCTGCGAAAGTCGCCGCCCCCGCGAAGAAAGTCGCCCCTGTCAAGGTGACTAAACCCAAGTTGCCTGTCAAGACCAAGGGGAAGACTCGGGTTTGATTCGTGGTAGGAATTGCCATTTTTGGTGCATAGATGTTGGAATAGTTTGATGGTGATGTCGTAGCGTATAATGTGCATGTCGTCTCACCTTTTGAGTTCAGCGAGTACAAGTGTTCAGTTATTCACCTGCGCGGCCGTGAATTGTCGTGATGTAGGGCGTGTACAAGAAGGTTTATGTGCTGATCAGACATTCTCTAGGGAATTTTAGAGACTGTATGCAGCATTGTACGTGATAATGTTCATGACACAAGCTATGGTGGAATGTCAGAAAATCGTTCATCACCGGCGACAAGAACGTTATTATTGAAATGGAACGCCGTGAGGCGCACAATCAAACATCATTGATAGCTCCTTGTTCACGGATCGGTCGTCCTCACCTAGTATGCATTCGAACGGGGAAAACTCGGCAACAATGAGCTGTACCTGGGCTACTTTTCCTGTAGAAGGAAGACACTTTTCAAAAGAGAAAACGGTCTTGACATCGTAGAACGGGTAATGCTCATGCGTAGGTAGAGCTTGATAAAGCTGCCCACTGCCATCGCTCGCGTGCTCAAACAAAGTTTCCTGGTTGCGTTCCGGCACGAATTCATAGCCTTCGGCATCAAGCAGCCAGTATCCGACGCTCCTTGCCTGAGGGATATACCTATCATCAGGCTTCAATGAGAAAGTGCATTGCACACGAAGCGTGACGACCTTACATATAAATCGAGGTCTGAATCGGGCTACAACACTCGCAGGAAGAACTGCAATGGTATTAACCCGGAGATCACGGTTGTTGTTTGCGCTTGCAAGCTACGAAACTCTCGAAGATTTTCGAAGAAGCGTGACAGGTGCTTGTCAATATTGAAGGCTCGTGCGGAGTAGTCGCCCATAGCCTGACGTAGTCTCGATCCAGACCTTTTGTGCGGTCAACGTCACGTCTTCTCGCGTCAAAATCGACCGGAATCGAGGTTCAGGTCGAGGGCGACATTCTATCTTGAACCCCCGGGACGAGTACTTTGCTAGAGACGCCTCTCCACCTCGTGTTTTGAAAGCTAACGCAATGCCTTCCTCGAGAGTTGCTCGAGGGTATAAGCTGTATGCAGCGTGATACGTGATGATGTTCATAACCCATGCTACGATGAATCGTTAGCGCAGTGCAAGACTCACCCGATCGAACGACTTATTAGAATGAAATCCTACGAAGATTTGAGGAAAACATGAGCAACTGTGGCCTCGTAAAGCAATCACCGGTCTATAATAATTACTTGCCTAGAATGCATTCAGGGGAGAGAACTCGGCTGCGATGATCTGCACGCGGAGTGTTTTCCTCGTCCGAGCGTCGCGTTTTTCAAACGCAAAACCAGTTTTGATGCCAAAGAACGGATATATTTTGTCTCCCGGCAGTGATTCGTAGAGTATCCCGTGCCCGTCAGTTAGTTGCTCGAAGGTAGCAGTTTCTTATTTGTTGGGAATGAATTTATAGCCTTCAGCGGCTATTAGCCAGCGGCCAACAGTCCGTGCATTGAACGGATAAGCCTTGATTTAAGTTGCATAAGAAGAGTTGCGACAATTGCGGTAGTAAGAACCCACGTAAAGATCAAGGTCGGAATCGGGATATGTCGTGCTCGGAAAGAGTTTCAGCGCGAGTGATCCGGAGATTACAGTCCCGGTTTGGGCTTGCAAGGTACGGAAGGCTTTCGTTTTGCCGAAAAACGAGACAGGTGTTTATCGATGTTGCAAGCTCGTGATAGGTAGTCGTGCACTGCTGAGTGTGCTAATCGACATGTACATTGGAACCGGATGATCGCCATCGTGCTGGCTTGCGAGAATACAGCTTCAAAGAGTATATGATTGGAGAACACCTTCGAAAACGGGAGCGGGTGGTTGGGGTAGGCAGCTGCGGTGGCACTGAGCGGTGTGTTGCTAGGGGTGTCCATTGGGCTCAGGTGTAGCCTTCAGTCGTGCGCCGCGGTCTCTCGTAAGAGAACACAATTCGTGGAGGACGGTGTTGAAGCGATGCGAGCCGAGCGCTAATCTCGCTCACCACTCGGCGTCCGAACGTCGCGGTATCGTGTGAACCTTTCTGGGGTATCACGACCAACTGCACCTTGCGAGGAATGTACGGACTACTACATATGAATACGGAAATACGATACGGGTGCAAGGGGCATGGCTTTGATTATACGTCCCAATTTATAGGTCATCAGCAGCCATTCTTGACCTGGTGCGTAACCGCTTGCCGAAGGCGTAAAACAAGAATGGAACGACTGCGAGGAGCACGCTTACGCACCCACTAGGAAGGGCCGATAGGGGAACAGGGTCAGCATGTTGACCTTTGCTAATACAGGCCGGACGTAACGTACAGAAGAGTACACGCCCAATCAATACCGAGATTGTGGAACAAGGGTTGTGCGACAAGTGGTAGGCCTACGGCATGAAGTGATCAGTGTCTTCGTTGACCGGTTGCATACATTATGCAGGTACCCGCTGCGAAGAAGCTTCGCATGAACGTATTCGCTGCTACGGCGGAAGCACTAGAGCAACAAGATGAGCCTGGTCCAAATCGCAGAGATGCGAGGCATTGTCCATACCTGTATTTGGTGTAGGCATCAATGAGGTAGTTTATACCGGCTTGGAAGATGAGCAAAAAGCTCATGCCGATGAACATCAGCCCGAGCACACCCGGGAACCAGTGGATGCTCGGGCTGCTCGTCCATCCCAGCAGGAAGAATCCAATCGGGAACGTGACGGCACCTATGCCACACATTTTTTGCTCAGCTATCCTCTCTTGTGTGCTGCAAAGATACACGAACCGATCATCATAGGCGGCAGTCGATGCTCGGGGTCAACCCTCCCATGTTTCTCTACCAGGGGTGCGAAGCGGTACCGCGAGTATGAGATATTGATGGCTGCGGCTAGTATTGTCCCGACCAGAACACCGAGGAAGGGAAGAGAGCCGACGAGAGTGCTCCACCCGCGATTCTCTTCGTAGATTCTAACGGTAAGTGGTCAGGCGTAGCTAGTCTGGAAGGATATGATGACCACTCACATCGGGACAGCGGCAAACAGAAGATACAGGATACCGTCTAGTACAAAGCATAATCAGCAAAGTCAAGGTGATGTTACTACACCACCCACAGGCAAAGGAATTGTATATTGTAGTCAAGCTACAGGATCTATCAGTATCGCCCAGCCGCCGATGCGAGCTCACTGGCTTACAAAACCATCGGCTCAGTGGCGAGCATCCTGAGCGGCCTCAACAGGTTCTTCTCCATGAAGCTTCTTAAGGTGTACTCCTGCATTTCTTGACGGGAATGCAGTGCCCATCGGCCAGTCTTCAGTCTCAAGCGTCGTGCCTTGCGCGTGAGCAGCACTGGTGCAAATGTCTCGGGGAGAAAGAAGACATCTGCCAGAACTACGGCGCTGGTGAGAATCAGAGATAGGTATTCCGTCCACCGCCAGCCGAGACTCGACTGCGAAACGGCGCCACCTGTAGGTGATCGTCAAACTAGTGGCCTTACTAATGGACAAAGAGCGCACCAATGATGGGGCCAAGCGTAGGTCCAGCAACGACGGCGAGCGAGTAAAATACCACTGCCGTCCCTCTTTCTTTCTGGTCGAACATGTCCGCAAGGCCGCCACCGACGGTCGCGACAGGCGACGAAGCCATGACACCCGCGAAGAAGCGAGTGATGAAGATCGTCTGAAGGTTCTCGGCCGTGGCGGTGCCAGCGGTGAAGCAGATGAAGATAATCATCGGGGCGAGAACGCTGATTTTGCGGCCATAGAGCTGTAAGCGCAGATCAGGGGCCAACCATTCTATGAGTCTGAGAATCGGGCATACCTCTGATATCGGAGCAAATATGATCGGGCCCGGGACATAACCCGCGATGAAGAGAGCGAGACCCAAGATAGCAACTTCGGTGGAAATGCCTGCAGACGCTGTCCAATCAAGGCGCATCTATATGACCGGTCATGCTGAACGTACCATATTGCTGGCTAATTAACTCGGTGGCCGGACTGAATACACTACTCGCGAACGTCGAACACATGGTCGTAAGACCATATAGCATAGTGATGAGCACCTTTCGTCGAAATGACCACTATGATCCTCATGAGTTTGCGCTGATGGCTGATGTTCCAATTTTTTGCGTACGTTTTTGGGGTTCTCTGAATCTGTCTTCGAGTCGAACCTAGACGGATAAATTGCATCAGCACGAGTAACACGCGGAAACGTGCTGCAACACTCACGTAACAATGTCATTCTGCCAATCCCTTTCTTCAGGTGGTACACGATGCCTCGCCTCCTTCTCCTGTGGCAGTCCATCTCGCGGTCCGCGCCTTCGTAGGGCTTTCTCTGCGTCGGCGGCCTCCCCCGTCTTCGGATTCTCTCCGGTGAGCGTACGCTCGTCGGTCGCCTCCGTACCCATTGAGTTGCGGATGCCGCTCCGGTCGTCTTCTTCGTGATCGGGCGCCTCAGATATCGGCGTTGCTGAGCGTGTCATCGGGGCGGAGGGCGGGTAGTTCCGCTCGTATTCGTCGGCGGGATGGCATGTCTCTGCATGGTCGGACGCGACTCGTCGCAGGACGGACATTGTTGATGCTTAGGAAGCGGGCCTAGGAGCTTTCCAAGCTTGAGTAGTGGCTCGACCATTCTGTTGTGGCAAGTAAGCAATCCCAAGAATAGGTATGGAGCGGGAACGAGCTATGGCTCGTGAGTCATGACGTCGTGCCGCTCGGCGCAGGCTGGATGGCAGTGAGTGGCAGTGCCATTGTTTGGATCGGAGGCTCTCGCCAAACAACCTGTTTGCTGTTGGCAGTGACGTCGACCAAGGCCGAACAATCCTCGCTTTTTCCAATATTCATGCTACTGCCATCTCATGAATTCACGAGCTGCTACGAATTTCTTTATGATAACACATACGTCGGCCATGGTCGGCGTTGTTTAGCCTGTCGAATGTGATCCGTTGATCTGGCTCCTTACGTGTCCTAGCCGGTTCCCTGCCATTTGGACTAACATCCCATTGGCATCAGTTGCTCCACGATACCGTATTGCTGGTGCCAGCGCTTCAGCTACTACGTATCTTATCGTCAGTATGCTATGCCGTCTACGCAGCATGTGCGCGCAAACTGCCCGTCCACCACGTTGTCGTGACCGATCTATTGACAGGCCCGGCCCTGCTCTCGGGCCCGCCATTTCGCATCGACTGAACACGCACTCCTTTGTACGTCACTGCGCCCACTCCATCGTGCTATCCACACGGCGCTGACGGTAACTTCTCCGCAGTAGCGGACTCATGGGTGTCAGAGGTGTAGCTTCAATAGGCTCAAGGCTAAGGCGAGTCACATTTCATCTCTCGGACCCTGATCCCTCCGATGTAATAGTAGGCTTGATCCGCGACGCATCCTCGAGGACTAGCTCAGATAAAACCGCGTCTCTGCCTTTCTTCAGATCTCCCGGACGTCTCTCCCTTCACCGACCAACCGTCACCGATCATGGACCAGGAAGGCGATAAACCTTCGATTGAAGACAGTACTAACTCAGACGATATTTCCATACGTAAGCTTGAAATCCTGTGCTCAATCGCGATGATGCTTGCCATTAAAATGACCCTTGCTATCGTAGCGCGTCGTGCTGACCCCGTTATATTTCTCTAGCCCTTTCGGAAGGTGAACTTGCCATTATGAGAAACATGCGCGGGCAATCTGTATCCAAGATGATCAAAGGATCCTCCGCGACTCTCTCTTGCCATGCCGCTCTTAGCATCCTGAACCATCTTCAAGATGTAAGATAAACTCTGATCATTGTTCGCTTGGTCGGCTCGCTGACGCACATCTCGGCTCAGCTCCTTGACCAATCTAAGCTCGAAACTCATTCTTTACCTCCGAACTGCACTGTCCGCGACTACCGACGACGTGCAGTGAGGATAATGATCAAAGTGATGAGGACCTGCCAAGTTCTTCCCTGCGCTCTTTTCGTGGAGGATATTGAATGCGAAAACAAGATGTATGCGTTCGGCGGTGGCGGCAACGCGGATATTTTCCAAGGATCGTACAAGGGCAAAATGGTCGCTCTCAAACGTCTTCGTACTTTCATGCATGATGCGGACAGGAACGCCATCCATCAGGTACGTGGTTTGGTCTTTGATATCTGGTCCCGTTGACACCGATTTAGGCACTGGGACACGAGGCAGCGATATGGCGCCAGCTGCAACACTCCCATGTCCTTCCGTTTCTGGGAATCGACGCTCATACTTTTGCGCCGCATTATGCACTAGTCTCGCCTTGGATGAAGCACGGTAATCTGGTAGAATATATCAAGAGCAATGCTGCGACCAGTACTGTCATCAATCGCTTAGTGAGCAGATCGTTCATTCACCAGGATTGCTCTCTGATCTATCATATCGATTAGTTAAAACAAGCAGTGGAAGGGCTTGCATATCTGCACGAGCAAGGGATTGTGCACGGAGATCTGAGAGCTGTGCGTGCGCCGAGTCGCTCTTCATCTCATCATTGAATGTTCTGTTTACACAGGCCAATATATTGATCAACGAGAGTGGAGAAGCCTGTCTCGCAGACTTTGGACTGTCTCGCCTTATTGCAGTGTCCTTGGCTACATCAAGTCACAGGCATACGAATGCCCGATGGACCTCACCTGAGCTTCTGAAAGGAGAATCACACTCGTCCGGCCCACCTAGTGACGTTTACGCCTTCGGCTGTGTGTGCATCGAGGTATGTTCTATGGATTGGTGAAATATACAGGAGCTTATCTTCAGAGGCAGGCGTATACGTTGAAGGTCCCCTTCTGGTCCGTCCAGAATGATGCTGCCGTCATCGGAAAGGTCATATGCGGCGTCATGCAACAACGTCCTGGGTTGGATGAATGCGCAGGAAATGCAATCTCTGATGATATGTGGGAGCTCATCGAGAGTTGCTGGAGATCAGAACCTTGGAGGCGTCCCAATGCCGTTCGCGCTTGGCATATTATGCATGCTATGTTCGATAAAGCAGCAGCGGTACGGGACGTACCACGATCACAGAATTCGCAACTCAATACGTGGGTCCTCAAGTCACGACTCTTTGGTAGACTCAGCTCACAACCGTTTCCGCGCTTGTAGTAACCTGGTGGCCGATTTTACCAGTCGCGCACCTGGCGAGCCTTCACCCATACGACCAAAGCCTACGTTGCGCTTCCAGCGAGCTCCGGATTGGGCAAACCGGATGCGCATGGTGTGGCGAGGGGATCGTCTTCCTGAGGACGTCCAGGAACCGGAATCGCCAATGGACGACGACGATGGACCCTTGAGTCAGATCACGAAGACGCCTTCGTGGTCCGATGCGTCCTTGCCATCACCGACAGGGGCGGTCGTAGAACCTCTGTCCGACTCTTTCGAGATTCCGCTATCCAGGGACCTATGGCGACGCGCAAATGTCCAAGAAACCCGAGACCGACATCGTCCTGAAGTGAGCTCACCACCTCGAAGGGGTGAAGATCGCGATACGACGCCTCAAACCAAGTATGCTACCCACAATCTCCCCGTTGCCGCTGTCAACCAACTGAAGCCATCGTAGCGGACGGCTGACCATCGTTATAAAACCCGATGCCTCCAGCGACGCGTCGCCTGCGATCAAATGCAGGGTTCCGCGAGCCTTGCAATCATCACCACCCAGCACGCCGGAAACATTGGAAGCCGCATTTAAAAACCCGGCTCTTGGAAGGCGATGCACGCACCCCAACCAGAAATATTGCGAAATGTTCCTGAAATGCTCATTGATCAGGCGAAGATTGAGTGAACCTGTCACGAATCTCGGCCCCAGGCGTTGGATCGACCCTGAATACGACTGAGATGATCAACAATGCCTGTCCCACTAGCATAGAGCGAATATTACCCCGTCAACCAGTACGTCCGACTTTCCAAAAGTACATAAATCGTTGCATGATTACACATGATTTACTACAGTAAGTAGCACCTTCAATTGAAGGGCACCCAGCATCGTTCATACTGCGACAGTGTCCTACATGGTCCGACGTCTCTGGCTCCATCCGGAACATCGCACTTTCGTATGCGTTCTCTTATTGCCATACCAGCCTGTCCAGGAGATGTGCGGTAGTGTTTGGTATTTTCTGGAAGACCTATCTTATTATCCTATATGTACCTTATCACTTCATATTCGACGTTTGCTCCTGCAGCCGAGTGCCCTGTCGTCAAGGTTAGGGTTGGCTTGGATTCGCTTTTCTTCCCAACCCCATCGACCCCATCCCTTGTAAGACGCCATGATGCGCATCGACTCAGGGACATCAACTTCACCCCTTTTTCCACGGCGGAATCTGTACATCAAAGCGTTGTGCCTGCTCGGCGGCTTGTCCTTTCTAGCCTTTTGCTATGAGGTCACCGCGATCATGTGTAACTGCGGAGACACAGTGAGCTGTTGCCTGCCGCCCTCCTTCTCGACCCGAACGAGCGAAACCGGTCCTTCAAAACTTCTCGGATTCGCTGACAAGATCTACGTTGTCTCACTCCCCCGACGCCCGGACCGGCGGCAGCAAATAGAGCGCCTCAGCGTTGCTTTGGATTTCACCTTCGAGTATCTCGATGCGGTGGAGCTGGACCCATTCGCAACGGAGTCTATGCTTGACCGCATTATGGATCAGCGCGTAATAACGCAACGCAACGGTTCTACCTTCGCCTGGCCCAAAGACGCGGACGACGTAGCTCGCGGACTTGCACCCCTTGGCCTCGATGGAGCAGACCTATGGGTTTCTGATGGTTCCATTCGTCAATCTCCGGAAGATACAACAATAAAGCGCAAACACATACGTGAACCGAGGCTGAACACGACCACGGGCAAGTACGCACCTTTGACATGTTCGACGGAGAACAATGCAGTCATCCCTTGGACGCCCGAACTACCCGATTACAAGCTTCTGACTCCAGGCAAACTATCTTGCTGGTACTCGCATCTCCTTGCCATACGCTCTGTAGCGAACGCTGTCCAATCTGCTGACCACCCAACAATGCTGGTCGACGCACTTGGCCAATCTAACCGCAACCCGGCGAATTCTGGCCCCGGACCGACTATGACGGCGCTGATACTGGAGGATGACGTTGACATGGAACACGACATCCACCAAACCATCAAGATGCTCTGGCCGTCGCTTCCTGCTTCGTGGGATATAGTCTTTCTAGGTGTCTTCATACTCCATTTCTTTACCCTCCGGGCTTCCTTCTCAGAACTCATGCGACCGTTTCTCCACAGGCCACTGTTGGTCGAACGAAACCAGCAACCCTCCGCTGCCCGTTTATTCCCCTTGCTTCCGATCCTCACGTTGGCTTAAACCACCTTTCGCCCTCCCCTTCACAAGCGATGACCAGCATCACCGGCTACACCCGTCGCATGCCCCGAAATGCACCCATGCCTACGCGCTGAGCCGCACCGGTGCACGCAGGCTATGGGCACACCTCCGATACGCGCCGTTCGCCTACTCGCGCGCGCTGGACCAAGCGATCGCCTGGCTCGTGTCGAGCGGTGCGTGATATGCCATCTCGTCTGCAAGACTGAGGGCTTCGGCAACGGGGTTCGGTGGCATATCTGACATAATTCACAGGGAGATTGAGCGCGTTCTCGGTCGTACCGAGTCTCGTCGTGCAGATGAAGATTGGTGCGAGCGACGTCGCTCAGGGACGAGATGGTCGAGGAAGCGAATGGCGAGAAGAGCTGCAGCATGGAGTTCTCACGGGGAAAGAGCAGCAACCCTGAGTCAAGGGATGCACGGATGTTTGATTGGCTCGACCGACCGCTCAGACTTGTTTCGTTGCCTAGGGTGTAGAGCATTGATGGTATGAATACTAACTTTCTGTACTTACATGCGAGCAAAGACTGTGGTGAATATTGAGAAGCTACACTGAGTCACGAACCCAAATTAATATTCCATCGAAGGACAGGCGGGTATGTCCCTCACCAAACACCCATGTGCATAACGGTAAAACAGTGAAAGAATGGCGTTTCGCAGAGATCATTACTTAAACTTTCTGCTGTCGCTGAGTGCGTTGAATTTTGCGACCCTCTTTCTGTGTTCATGTGCATAGGCCTGCTCATCATCTCACCATGTATCACCAAGTTCCTGTACGATCACTCAGGATGGCTTGCAAGTTGCGACTTGTCAACGTTTACACAGAACCAGCTGGGAGAAGCCGAAGAAGGGAAGTCGCGCGTGTCGCGTCGCGTTGACCCGCGGTTGCCTTACGCCGTCTCTTTGGCGATTTCTTGCGATCTTGGTTGTTTTCCATCACTATGTCGTATACTCCGGACACGGATTACGGCGACGGCGGATTTCCAGATAGCTTGCTTTTGAGTGTGCGGGAAGATGAGTCGTGCTTGGAGACAGTAGCAGAGGAAGTGGTTGGCTCTGGTTCGAATGACAACTCTGATTTGGATGAAAATGACTTGTACTCCTGTCTTGACATCGAGGAACTTGCTCAATGGGATGAACCCGACAGCATATCTTCAGGGAAACGGAAGGTCGAGAACACTGACACTCTCGAACGCGAAAATCCAAAGCGAATCCGTGTCGATACTGCAGAACCTCTTGTTGACATCAGTAAGCCCCCTCTCGATCAATCTATTTCCAGTGTATAATCAAGATATCTAACTAATGCCTCCGACATTGCCACCTGTCTCGCTGCCGGGTGCTCAGTAACGGTATTCACTGCTGCTGCGGACAGCGGATGCAGCCGGGACAACCCACCCGTGCATTCAACACCACTTACTACTCCCGAACTAGACGGTTCGGACGATGAATCGGCACCGGCCGATGAGCCACCGCCTTGGACGGGATCCAACCCGGAAGATCGGCCTATATATCTGGTGGGCTTCGTGAAGGATAGTCATTTGTTGTGCTTATTGGTGCATATAGGATGGTGGGATCGGGCCCCGTATTCAGCGATCCATTAATCGATGCCCTTGGGGCGTCCAGTATATGATCGCATATTATCGCAGCAACGGGGCTTTGAAACCAGAGCAGATTACTGCGTCAAAACTAGAAATGCTCCAAGGCACGAACGAAGAAATGGCTCCCAGAGTCCTTGAAGTTCTGAGGGGTACGATCATCGAGGACAGGTTCTCCAGTGCTTACGAGAAGGAACGTGCAACAAGGGTATGATCATATGCAATCAGTCGTCGTGTGTGGTTTCTCATCATTTGTTAGTGCCCGTGGGCGGAGCTCGATCGCGAGTACGCTGCCCTCAGCGAGGACCCTTATGCTTTGGTAGGTGGAAAACGGCAAGAAGTCCCCTACGGAGGCAAGATCGTCTTTCCGGTGAGAGCCCGGAAGCGCAAAGATTCCAACGTTCCAAGGTTCGAACTCGAACGTCCCGAACTTTCGTCGTCGGACGGGTTTCGTCGCGAGTACGGCTCTTCAGCTTTCATTCGCCTGCGACTCGGATCTAGCATGGAATACAAGAAGCTAGGGGAGTTTCTGCATCGACCATTCGTCCTGTGTGGTCGCGTATTTCGCGCCTTTCGTCGCAAGGATGAGAGCGTTTTCCTCATCGAAGTCAATGAAGTGCTTCTCGGTTATGATTCCCCACCTCCGCGATATGGTGACAACTGCCGACCAAAGTCGTTTTTTGACTTCCTGGACTCTCACAATCCTCGTTCACTCAACAACAAACAGGTACCATGATCCTTTGCAACACTATACGTCTGCTTATCCTCTTCTAGAATGCGGCCAAATATGGTGCTCGCTTCGACTTGAAGCTCAGCAACTCGGTTGTTGCCTGCGTACTCGAAAGATCAAACATTATATTCATGCCAGAGGATGAGAGTATGTCCAAAGTCGTTGTCCCTCCCAGGATTCTAACCGACTACTGTTCATAGTATCACCAGCCGCAAATGGTTCGTCAGATGCAAAGTACGTGATGACGGATGGATGCGGCTACGGTAATCGAGCTCTGTTCGAAGCCGTTAAGGCGGTCTTGAACCTGGATTCGTGCCCAACTGTTGTGCAGATGAGATTAGCGGGGAGCAAGGTGAGTTTGGTAGAACAACTGTTGGCGGTAAAATGATGTACGTACTTGGCAGGGTCTCCTGATACTTCATCCTGGGCCGGAGGCGTACGCTTGCAGTCAACCTCAAGCATGGTTGCGACCGTCTCAAGTGAAGATCAAGTACACTGAAGCCCAGCTTGAAAACCCGTCTCGGCGAAGTCTGGACATTCTTCGTCTCGGACATCTCCGTACCCCATCAAGGGCATCTACCGAGGTTCTGATCGTTTGGTCAGACAACGGAGTACCGGCTACAGCGATTACTGCCCATCTTCAGAGGATGCTGCAAGAACTCACGAACACACTCACTGACTTCGACAGACCAAACGCTATGCGGAATCTCTGGTACCAGATTGCTAAGGCTAGAAGTGTGCTTTCACAGCGCCGGGCTCGCTATGCTGCTGGCGAAGCTCGTGCGCTGGGACTGGGCTCATATGACTACGTCGAAGAAGACGACGGCGACGACGGCGGTGATGGTGATTTTGACCCGGCCTTCCATGAGCAGTCGGCGGCTTGGTGGCCGGACGAGATCAGTGGTAGTCCGTCAACGCTGGAGGAAACGGTGATGGCGCTCCTCGATTCAGGCTTCACACCGGCATGTGGGGTGCTCGCGTCGAAGCTTGACAATGTCATTCGATCCATCCTGATGAACTTTGTCAAACCACCGCGATTCAAGATTGAACTGCCGATGTCATGCACGGCCTTCATCACACCAGGTATGTCACTGTACAATCATTACTGGACATCGCTTAGTCTGGAGTAGATCCAACTGGGACCCTCGACCCGGGAGAGATATTCATTCGCAGCTCGCATGACAATGTCATTGGCTTGGACGGAATAAAGACAGATACCATTATCGGCGAAGTACTGGTAGGTGCAGAATGAAGTCAGTCCCCCCTAGAAGCAGCCTTTACAAATGCGTCTCCTATAAGATCACTCGAAATCCCTGCAAACTTCCGACCGATGTCCGCAAAGTGAGCAATCTGCGAAGAATATCATCTGATCATCTGATCATCCGTTCTTACCGTCATATATCAGGTCAAGGCCGTTTACCGGCCTGCCTTACACCGGTACACCAATCAGATTGTCATTTCGGTCAAGGGCGATCGCTCACTCGCCAGTATCCTTGCGGGAGGTGACTACGATGGCGATAAATGCTTTGTGACCTGGGATCCGGCGATTGTGGAGCCATTCAAGAATGCGCACCTTCGATATGCTGATCCGCCGGACGGTTTCGAGGACGCGTTCGAGAAGAACCCCATATCCGTGGCCGAGCTTGAGCCCGCCTCCATCCGAGACTGGCAACGATACCTGCTCGCCCTCGACAGCCACAGAGACATGGTCGGCATATTTTCTAAGCGCCACACCCTGGCCATTTACCTGTATGGCTTGAGACACCAGACAACACGTTTCTTATCGCACATGTGAGTTGCATTTACCGTGACTGACTGCCCGAAGACTCATGATCGATCAGGTTTGCGTACATACTAGATAGCGACAAGAACGGGAAGAAGATTCATCCTACAACGCGCACGAAGTACGACAATATGTTCAGAGGGAAAGGGGTACCCAAGTGGACCGTCGCCGAATCCGAGCACAACCGTGATGATGGCTTCCTTATCCCTGAACACGAGCAGATAGTCATCACGGATCAGGAACGAGAGCGCCTGTATAAAAGGCGTGACAGATTTATCATGGACGAGGTGGTCAAAGCCGCACATCAAGAGAAGAAGAGGTGCCTCCAGATCATCGACAACCGGTTCGCGGAGTATCCAGCGACTTGGGACGCAGATTTGCTCGCGCCATGGGATGATGCTGAAAGGCGCTCAAGGATGAAGAAGGACGGCACACTCGAGAGTGCTTTGCAGGCCATCAAGGAGCATGTCAAGAAAGTCGCCGAAAAGCATGGCCAGCAAATCAACCCGAAATCCAAGGACCACCGATTCTTCACGAAAAAGCCGATTACCGAACGACAGGACATCCTTCGGGGGCTCTCGAAAATGTTCCACTCGGAATTGCAGCTCACCGAGAGCCAACAGCTCGAGTTTGGTATCGGCGAACTCTCGAGGATCACTGCATCGTGCGTTTACAAGTACGACTGTGAGCGCCGAATGGGAAAGAAAACACCTTGGTCTCGGCTGCCCTGGGACGTTGCGTTCCGTGACCTATGTCATATCAAGGCAGAAGCGATAGGGATCAAGCCCATGATCCAAGAGTTTTACGATGGTATGGCTGTTGAACGGCCGAGATGAACCAACCATTGTACTTGCTTTGTTGCTTCGTTTGCTGTAGGGCGCATATGTAGTACGATTAATCATGATGGCATTCATGTACAATACTCCAAACGTCAACGAATCCAGGATATATGAGCAAATGAATGAAATCTGCACATCTACTGCTCCTCCTCGAGAACCTCCTCCTCGTATTCGCCCTCATCTTCGGCGCTGAGGAGCCAAGGTCAGCTCAAGAAAGGGGGAAAGCACAATGGTAAGGCTCACGTGGCGTCCTGGTACTGCTGGTACTCGGCGACCAGGTCCTGCATGTTGGACTCGGCCTCGGTGAACTCCATCTCGTCCATGCCCTCCTGGGTGTACCAATGCAAGAAAGCCTTGCGCTTGAACATGGCCGTGAACTGGTCGGAGACGCGCTTGAACAGCTCCTGGATGGCGGTCGAGTTGCCGAGGAAGGTGACGGCGATCTTCATCCCGCGCGGCGGGATGTCGCACTGCGCGGTGAGGACGTTGTTCGGGATCCACTCGACGAAGTAGGCCGAGTTCTTGTTCTGCACGTTCTGCATCTGCTCCTCGACCTCCTTCATCGAGACCTTGCCGCGGAAGATGGCGGCGACGGTGAGGTACCGCCCGTGCCGCGGGTCGGAGGCGGCCATCATGTTCTTCGCGTCGAACATCTGCTGGGTGAGCTCGGGTACGGAGATGGCCCGGTATTGGGCGCTGCCTCGGGCGGTGAGCGGCGCGAAGCCGGTCATGAAGAAGTGAAGACGGGGGAAGGGAACTGCGAGGAACGCGTGAGAATGCGCACGAGCGCTGGCGAAAGTCTGAGGAGCAGCGTACCCATGTTGACGGCGAGCTTGCGGAGATCCGAGTTGAGCTGGCCGGGGAAGCGGAGGCAGGTCGTGATGCCAGACATGACGACCGAGACGAGGTTGTTGAGGTCGTCGTAGGTCGGCATGGATAGCTTGAGGGTGCGGAAGCAGATGTCGTAGAGCGCCTCGTTGTCGATGCAGAACGTCTCATCCGAGTTTTCGACGAGCTGGTGGACGGAGAGCGTCGCGTTGTAGGGCTCGACGACGGTGTCGGAGACCTTGGGCGAGGGCACGACCGAGTACGTGCACATCATGCGATCGGGGTACTCCTCGCGGATCTTGGAGATGAGCAGCGTGCCCATGCCGGCACCGGTACCACCGCCAAGGGAGTGGGTGATCTGGAAGCCTGTCAAACGCGTTCGCTTTAGATACGTGTTTAATGGGTCATGATTTGCAGACGCGTACCCTGGAGAGCGTCACAGCCCTCAGCCTCCTTGCGGACGACGTCCAAAACCGAGTCGACAAGCTCGGCACCCTCGGTATAATCTACGCGAAGGGGTGAGCGCGTTTCGGATTAACGAGGACGCGTCGCGACTCACGGCCCTTCGCCCAGTTGTTGCCCGCGCCGCTCTGGCCGAAGACAAGGTTGTCGGGGCGGAACAGGTTTCCGAGCGGGCCAGAGCGGATGGAGTCCATGGTACCGGGCTCGAGGTCGACGAGGACGGCACGGGGGACGTACTTGTTGGAGCCGACCTCATTGTAGTACACGTTCACGCGTTCGAGCTGGAGGTCGCTGTTGCCGCGGTAGACGCCATCGCGCTCGATGCCATGTTCATCCGAAACGGTCTCCCAGAAGCGGGTACCTGGGATGAAGGCGTCGTCGTCAGCGTCGATGCACGAGGCGCGCACGAGGATAGAGAAAGGGACGTACCGATTTGGTTGCCGCACTGGCGGAGCGGGGCAGGGCGCGTTAGACGGTGGGCGACGCGTTGAACGACGAGGAGGACGTACCTGGCCGGTCTGGAGGTGGACGATCTCGCGCATGGTGTTGACGACGACGGACGGGTGGAGGACTCAAGTCGGTTTTCGTGCACGTGTAGCGACCTATCAGACGATTTCTGGGGATGGTCATTGTTTGTCCTCGCAAAGATCCGGCTACCACCATCCTCTCTCTTCTTTTGTTGCGCGTATTCAATGCTCGCCCTGGGCGATATGCGTTTTGACTCGCAAGAAATATTTCATACTCTCAATATCGCTCGGCCTGAGTCAGAACTATCCCGAAGAAATACGGGCCAACGGCAGTGATCTATCATAGCTGTACTGGGAAGACTCACGTACATGCAATGGCGGGCAGAACTGGATCGGTCTTCCTTGTTTGCTAACCCAATGGGACGTTTCTATCAACGATATGACTCCCAAGAGTCGTATGAAGCATGGTCTTACACGCAAGGATATGTGGCCAGATTTTCACTGGTGAGTGCACCGTACGGTTTGCAGGCTATGACCTCATCGTGGCATCCGATTTCGGGTACCCTTTGACATTCTACCTCCTCCATCATGACCACCTATATACGGGCTCTCGTCTCCGGCAACAAGGCTCGCTTTCGCGATGAAACCCTCAACGTCGACCTCGATCTCGCCTACATCACCGACCGCGTACTCGTGATGGGGTACCCTGCCACCGGGCTCGAGGGCCTTTACCGCAACCGCCGCGAGGACGCGAAGCGCTTTCTCGACCACCGCCACGGAAACGATTACTGGATCTTCAACTTCTGCCCCGTGTCCGAGAACTCGTATCCGGCCAGCTTCTTCGATGGGCGGGTGAGCCGATATCCTTTCCCGGATCATCAGTGAGTAAATCTGGATCTGTCTGAGGCAACCCCAGATGGTTGATTACGAACAGCGCTCCGCCGTTGGCGATCCTGCCTCTCGTTGCTCGGGAGATGAGAGCCTGGTTAGACGGATCGCCTGAGCGCGTCGCAGTACTCCACTGTAAAGGTGCGCCCCCTTTGACTTGCCAAGACAGTTCATTCGTCAACGCGCCTCGATAGCTGGGAAGGGTCGATCGGGAACCATGGCCTGCGCGTACCTACTGTCCTTGGACGTCTCTCCGACTCCGCCACGATTGCAACGCAGCGTAGCCCCTAAAGACTGGGTGCGGCAACGCGCCGACGAGTGGATGGAAGTCATGCCTGCCGACGCGGACGCCGATCAGGTCGAAGCCATTGAGACCGAGGAGAAGACGGGAGGGGACTCGGTTAACCAGCTCGATACGAGACCTCCTTCTGCTTCCTCAGGGACCCAGAACATCGAGAATGGAGAGCCTGGATCCGACGCTCCCGTCTCGAGTGGTCAGGGTCTCGATGCTCCTCAAGCCGAGACGCCACGAGAGATGTCAGTCTCGAGCATGGAGTCCACTGGTTCTTCCGCAAGCACTGTCAAGAACAAGACCGTTGCATCACCTCTTCTACAGGAGGTCCTTGCACTCCATACCTCTCGACGCATGCGACCAACCAAGGATACCGAGAAGCCAGGAAAACCCGGCGTATCGATCCCAAGCCAAAGACGCGTACGTCCTCTTCGCCCTTCCCTCATCCTATCGCTCATCTTGTCCCCTTCGCGTCGCAGTGGCTTCATTACTGGTCCCTCGTCCTCGCTCATGCAGCCCCTGCCAGCTTTTGGACAATCCCGCCCAGCCCACCGCGCAAAGCGCGCATCACCCGCCTTGTTCTCCGCACCCGCGAGCCCTCCAACCTCAAGATGTCGCTCGTCCGCGCGGCGAACGCCGTTGTCGGCCGCACGGGCATGGCGAAGACCCGCACGCACCAAGGCCAGGTGTGGGCATCCCTCGCGCGGTACGATGACGTGCTCGTGCGCACGCTGGAGGGCTTGGAGCGCGCTACGCGCTCGGAGGACGGGATCATGGGCAAACGCAAACCCGGGAGTGAGACAGAGGAGGTGGAGGGATGTACGGTTGGGAACGTATTTGGGGACGCGAGGTGGGATAAGGAGAAGATGGTGCGGAGCTTCGCGAGGATGGGGATTGGGTTGAACGGCACACCTGAGGAGCGGGGGGTCGTCAAGGCGGAGAGCAAGGAGGTAATGCGGACTTTGCATTTTCTCTATGCCCTGCACCTCCATCTGACTGTGTGCAATGTCAGGACGGGAAGCACTACGTGCATACCCTTCGCCCACTCTCGGACGCAAGTTGGGTCAAGATCAAGAAGCAGATTAACGACGACAACGACGCGCAGCCCGATACAGACTCGGTTGCTGCTCCTGGTGCCTACCCTGACAGCGACCCCGAGACGGACGTCGACACCACCAGTACGCGATCGACAAAGAACGCGCCTGACGGCATAGTGGTAGAGGCGAACCGCGAAGTTCGCATCAAGTTATACATTGGACAGGTGAGTTTGGCGGCATGGCCACTCGACGATACCGACTGACGACGGACGATGCACCGTACTGGCAGATCTTCATGGGGTGGTTCTGGTTTATCCCTGTCTTCTACCTATCAGATCCGTCCTCGGGTTCGACGGCTGTCCGATTCGTCCTCTCGCGCAAGGAGCTCGACTTTCCTTTGGGAGCGGGCGAGGCTATAATCGACATTGCGATAGAAATAGAATGGCTATCTCGAGCGGAAGCGTCCACGACCGTCGAGCAAAGTTCGCAGCCACAGCAAGCGACTGAAGTCAGCCTATAGCGCGGCGTGTATTATATGTGCGTTTGTAGGATTTGTCGCTCGATATAGCCGCCCAATGGTTATCATCTTCAACTGACGCTCATTCGAAGCCTTGTCTGCTGTACCGTGTGTCGCGCATTCACGTCGGTCCCATGGAGCAATGTGGTGTTCACGCCTGCCTGGCACATCTCATGAACCCGAGGAACTCACCTTCCTGGTTTGCCCACCGGCACCTTGGACTAGGATTCACACCCTCCGCCGAACCCATCCGGTCGCTATCGTACCCGGGAACAATTGTCCGTGAGAAAGAATACACCATATTGACCATGCGGGTCTCACCAGCAAGCAAAGGATCACTCTCGTGGGCGAATTCGGTCAATAAGCCTGCGATTTTCGACTTCGCGCCTCGGACAAAGCTTGGAGACTCTTAAGTGCCGCTCTAACTCCACCAACGCTTCGTCGTTGCAGATCCTCGGTCGCTGGAGTCTCGGAGCCGTTAACCTTGCTACCGGAACAATGTCGTCACCCCGGCCGGAACGCGCAACTCCGAGGCGTTGCGGAAGCGCTGACTTCGCGCTTGCGAACTGCGACCGGGCTGCGCTCGATGAGATCCCAGCGGGTCTTCCTTACAGGATCATGTCCTCGGCAGCCCAAAGAGGTGACCCGGCACGCTTGATAATGCGTAATCGCTGCAGCTTGGTTGGCCCGTATGGCTCGGAACGCCTTGTTCTATTCCAGTCCTGGACGCAAATAGCATTGTGCACCTCGAAATGGCAAGGATTCGCCATGAATCTTCAATATAGTTCGAGTTCACCGTTCGTCCCTGCATGCTCGATTTGTCATTTTTTGTGTACGCTTGACCGTCCCGCCTCATAGCCGCGTGTTACGTCGTCGGGTATGATACCGGCGCGGTGCCAGGAATAGCGAGAGCGTCCATGTCCCCATCGCAGCTGACCGATTACGGAGCTGTACCTACCACACCTCCAAGTCATGATACGTCATCTTGCACCCGGAGCACCCGCTCGAAACGATAGTTCGCCCGTGCGGAGGCCCTAGTTCCCATCGACATGGGTATAAAGTCTTCAGCAAAGCAACCAGAGCAAGACGGACGGAGACCGCCCGCTGAAGTTCACCGCCTTCGTCGTCTCACAACCAGAAGCGTTCCGTCATAATGCGTCTCGCTCAATCCACCCTCTTCGCGGCCTCCTTGGCCTGCAGCATCGTTCCTCCCGCTCTGTCGGCTCCTCTCACCTCCCTTCCCCGATTCCTCTTCGCCAGAAGCGGGGATGACCTCTCTCGTCAACTCATCGACCAGCCTACTGCTCTGGATCGTTTCATGCTCCTAAACACATCCGTCAATAACTTTATCTTCAACTTCTTCGACAACTCGAGCACAACCCCCGGACCGGATGGTAGCATCGTCCTAGCGACGGCTGAGAACTTCCCGAGCACAGTCGGCAATGGCGTGGCTATGGGTGTTGGTAAGCAGTATCATGAATGACACTTCGGATAGCTTGCTGATAATTGTCTTGTACAGGATCCATGGGTGAGACATATTCTTGCGTGTTACTGGAATCATTCTAATCCCCTAACGTGTATAGGACCGTGTGGATTGAAGTGAGTCATTCTCTCAGTCCTTCGAGCATATGGTGCTAACTTTCGCCGTGTGTTTTCAGCGTTCGTGAGTGTCACTTATATATATATATGTATTTTCCTCGAACGTTCGCTCAACTGCTCCTCATCCTCGACTCTTAGCGCATCTCCATCCAAGGTACCATCAGCGATATTTATCACGATCGTGCCCTAGCTGATATGATATTGTCAGGGCGTCTGAGGTACTCTTCGTCTCCACAGGCAACTTGGTATTCGGCCAGATCCAAGAGAACGGCGCGACATTTGTGACTGGTATGCTCAACACCGGTGAAGGTACGCCACTTTCACAAACAGCATTCTGCACCTCTCTGACCAATGTGTCACCTGATAGCGACGGTGTTCCCCCAGGGCTCAATCCATTTCCAGCAGAACACTGGTTGCGACGTGCGCTCAATCCGCTGTCCGCTTTCTGAGCTTGCCTCATACATCACACTCTACAGCCTGCTCAATTCATCGCCGGTTTTGGCTCTGAAGATCCCGGTCGTCTCGACATCGCCCCGGCGCTCTTCCAAGACCTCCCGGCATCAATGTACGCTATCTAGCTTCTCTCCTATTGCGATGTTCATGGTCGTCTCATTGCATTCTACCTTCCCTAGCGTGAACGCAACGCTCGGCGGCATCGGCGTCCAGGAAGTCTCGGAAGTTGCCGCCATGATTCCGCTCGATGTCGCGTTTGGAACCCAGGCCTGCCTCGACCGCTGCAACATAACCCGGCCAGGTCAATGGACCTCTGAAGCGATCGCGGAGGCCAAGCGACAGTTCGACGAGTTCATGAAGCAGGGACCAGTCAAGCCTGCCGACTTCAAAGGACTGCCTTCTCACTGAGAGCCGAGCGCGGTTGCAGGTCGTAGAATGTAGAAAGACAATATATTTATTCCCGGCCTACTGCCGACCTTCTTGTGGCAGATTATTGCAGGGTCATTCGCAGTATTCTGGTTTTCAGTATCTGTACACCATAAGTTTGTGGTACAGATCACCTGGAGTAATTATCGTGAAACGTGTTTATTGCGCCTTCGGCGTGCAGTTTCCAACTGATAGATTGCCATTTTTATTGATCCAGGCCCCGCTACTATCTCTTTGCAAGCCTCATAAAACCTCGTACAAAGGCAAACCAGAAAACAATCTCGATAATGCCTGTTTCGCATCGAAGTTTATGCATGCAAATACCACGATCCCAAGTATGCACACGTTGACATTGCCAGGTGATAGCGATACCGTGTCCAGACGAAACATGCTCCCTTTCGACGATAAGGCATTCTATACCCACGCATCGCACGATTCTCCGAGACAGGACATCGAATTCTGCATCATGATACACCTGTTGTACACCGCTCTCGCTCCATACTAGTCTTTACACTCAGGTTAGCGGTCCGCTAGTATTCAATATACGATTTCCTTCTTGGGTAAGAAGTCCTCCGGCTTGTCCAGCCCAAGAGCCTCACGGCGCGACTTCGACTGCGGATCGAAGTAGGGCACCTCCGCAAGCGAGGACACGCGAGTACCATGACGAGGCTCGTGGCCCTCGTAATCGAACACGGCAGCGTGGATGGAGATGCGGCTTCGTAGTGAAACGACATTAGGAAAGATCAACACTGAATAGCGTAGCAACCTACTTGTCCCACAAGGCGGACGTCCTGGGAGTCCATTTGAAGCGTACTTGGATGTCCAAAGAGCGCTCATAGACATCGAAGAGGCTGTGATATAGAGGTTGTTATAGGACGCTACGGCGGACGAGTTGACTGTGCCTCACTAGTCTAGAATGAACTTGCTCTCCGCAGGCTCGAAGCCGACGATACGCAGCGTAAACACGCGGTTCACGAACCTATATTCCAAATCAATCAGCGGGTCGGCAATAGGCGTGGTGTAAACGACGATCGTACAAGCTTTTCCAGCCCGTCGCTGGGTGAGTGCGCACAAGGGGGTGCACACGCTCTATCGGAACGAGCGGACCGTCGGGGTCTTCAGGGTTCTTGTACGAGTGGGCAGAGCGGTAGACAGCCTGTAGACCATCGATCTTGGCGCGGAATGCGGGGGACAGCTTGTCATAGGCGGAGTATCCCGAAGCCCAGTACGTGTCACCGCCGACAGACGGGATGCTATAGTGCACAGATCAGGTTCTACACCGAAGCGTTTAATATACGGTGGAAACTTACGTGTCGTTGTGGAGGTGAGCTGAAGTTCGAGCAGGGTGTTAACGCACCATTTCACCACATGCAAGCAGAGGAAACACGTACTGATGCCAGGCGGTTGCTTCTCATGAGTGAGATCCGTATGCTATATCGTAGTGAACGTTCAGTTACTATAGTCGTATAGTTGGAGAGGACCAACCCAGTTTTGAGTTCTACAACGCATAGTCAATGAAGATGCGCCGCACATCATGGTGGAGTGGCTTACCCGAAAGGATTCCTAAAACTGATATTCTCCTTCGCAAGCTCAGGCCCTGAGCATGTTCAGAGGCAGTTATATGCACGCAATGGTAGGAACATTCACAAATGATGGAGACGCCTGGAAGACCAGGCACCCGAGCAGCAGTAGGATGCACCTCAATTTCGCCGAAGTAAGCACCCAAGTCACGCTGCTGCTGAGGGGATAGATCCTGGTCGCGGAAGAAGACGACGGTCCTCTCCGCAATAAGGAGAGCAAGCTCATCTTTCTGTTACGTGTATAGCATAGGTAGGTTGTGCTGCGAACGTAAGGGGAGACGACGAACCTGCTGATCCGTCAGCTGCGACAGCTGTAGACCGACGATCTCTGTCCCTATATGCTTGCTGAGATGAATGACCTCCTTAGCAGCGCCGAGTAGAGCCTAACAAATAGAGCAGGTCAGGGGCCGCGGAGAGTATATCGGCATGTTCGATGATCATACTTTCTTCTCGGGATCCGCATTCTTGCCCCTCTCATTGTGAACGCGCTCTTCGTCCCTAACCTGAGCGGCGAGCGTCAAGCTTTTCGGCTTTGGAGGCCACTCGGGGTAGTTAGTCAGGTCAATGCCAGCTTTGACCAGCCGCTCGCGAGACGCCGGAGGCAGTTTATCAGCGACGTTCGTGATTGGGACGGGCATTTTGAGACGTCACAAACGCGGTAGAAGCTTGTAAGGGAGCCGGGAAGTGGGTAGGCGAGTGTGTCTAGCAAGAGCGTTTTTATGCTGACCAGACGCTGCATTGCAATACGACATGATAAGGCGAAATGCAGCTGATCAATCCGTTGCGCCTGACTGATGCAATACAGGAGCATATGAGCGTCCTAGCGCGTCGAGACTGCGCTTGTTGCTTCGCGAAGTGGAATATGCTATTATGGACCTGGATGATGTGCTCTACGCCACGTATGAGCATAATGGCGTGGCATTCCCGGCGAGTGGAGCCAGCAAATAGAGAGTTTCCAGGCAAATAATGGCAGGCGGATTTGAACAAACACCATTGACGCGCATAATTATACTGTCCGGGAAAAGCCCAGCGTACGAAGGTCAACAGTGAACAGGGGTGAACTGGGGGTGAACAGGCCCCGTTCGCGGGGGCGCATCGCCTCACGTGCACAAGCGCGTCGGCCGACGCCGGATTTCCGTAGACATGGTCCCCCACAACACTGCCCTCAGTGTGGTAGCTCACTCGACACCTCGGTAGTGGTACATGGGACTGCCGCGAACTCTCAGCGCCCTGGAACAATCCGAGTGGCGCATCTGTATCAATGAAATGGCTGCCTCACAGCGAAAGTTCGCTATCGTGGCAAGCTACGGCAGGCGGTCTAGCTAAAGCGAAGTGCACGGTAAGTATCTATGCTTTTATGGAGCGCTCATACCGCATACAGCATCTCGGCCCGACTAACGTTTCTCCTCGAAAGCATCGTTGACCTTGTTGGAACACAGCCATTTCACGATGTCGGTCATCATGTTTCTGTCCCATGGGGCAAAGTCTGGCAACGTGCGCCAGTCGTGCGCCTCTTCAAACCTTCGGCCAAGGCATCCGGTGCTATCCGCCGTCGATATTTCCGTTCCGTCGCTGCCGGGAGCGGCTGTACGTGCGAAAGCTCTTCTCAATCTCGCAGATACTTCCGTGTTGATAGCCACTGCGAGCCAACCAGTCCCTCTGCGAGTGATCTGCGGTGCAACGAGCCCGCATCCGTGAATGGTGGTCTTGGACGTCACGCTTTGTGTCCATTCTGTCCGCTCGCATGAGATCAAGCCGCTCAGCGCTCGCATCCAGGAGCGGGTTTTCGGAAGGAATCCGCATGACGACTACAAGGTTAATGCCGTCACCCCCGTTTCGAACGCACCACTCGAGATCTCATCGACGTCATCTTGGGAAGCCCGGCCGTACGTTTGCGAAATGCATCTAGCCAGCTGCGGTGGCTTGATGAGGGACGCAAGCGCATCTTCATTACAGGATGGCCCTGCAACCTGAACCACGGTGAGCCGAGGAGTTTCATACCGCCGCATCACCATCCCTGCTGACTGTAAGTCCGTACTTCGGAACATATAAGCTATGCACGGTCATAGGGCGTATGTCATAACGCGGCAAGGCGAGGCGAATAATCGTCCTGGATCTCCATTACGCTACAAACAAGGTTCATCAAGTGTTCTATAATCCCATCTATTGCCATGCCCTCTGGCGGCTGTATCTCTCCGCCGCATAGCCGCGTGCTACGCTGTCGGTACGTTACCGGCACGGTCCCAAAAATAATGCCACCACCGACGCCGCCATGGCGTCTAGCCCCTATACGGACCTTGCACACACTACTACTCCCCAAAGCCGTGGCGCTTCGTCGTGCACGCGCAGCTCCCGCTCGGAGCGGACCCCTCGGTGATGAGGCGATGCCTCCCACCGCTCCCGATATAAAGGTGAGCTTTTCACCGAGTCGAAAAGAGTGACAGACGGTTGAGTCGCCTTCTTCGAAGCCGTCCACCCCCGTCGTCTTCCCGAGAAGAAAGCGCTCTGCCAATATGCGTGTCGCTCAATTCGCTTTGTTCGCTGCCACCTTGGCCTGCAGTCTCCCCTTCGCTCTTACAGCTCCTCTCACGTCCCCTCCCCGATCCTTCTTCACCAGAAGCTGCAACGCCACATGCGGGCTTGACCTCTCTCATCAACTCGTGGATCAACCTACGGCTCTGGACCGCTTTAAGCTCTTGAACACGTCAAGCAATAACTTTGTCTTCAATTTCTTTGACAACGCGAATGTGCCCGAGGGACCGGACGGTAAGGTAGTCCTTGCTACAGCCGGCAACTTCCCGAGTGCGATTGGAAACGGTGTGGCTATGGGCGTCGGTGAGTCAAATACAAAGTAATGTAAGCAACAGTTGTCTTATTATCGCCATTGTACAGGCTTCATGGGTGAGGATCGACGCACAAATTCATTTCTTGGACGATGCTGATATCATAACATGTGAATAGGACCGTGCGGCCTGAAGTAAGGATCTCCCTAGTTCTCATGAGCTTCGTCTATTAACTCCCGCATTCACTTTGCCAGCGTTCGTGAGTATAATTCCGATATACATGCTCGCTTAGTCCCGGCGTTGATTGTGTTATTCGTGCTTTAGCTCATCTCCATCCAAGGTACCCCAGAGTGGTTTATTCTCGTTGCATTTCCTAGCTAATGATTTCTATCCAGGGCCGGTGAGCTCCTCTACGTCTCTAAGGGCGACTTGGTGTTCGGCACCATCCAAGAGAACGGTGCTAGCTTTGTGACCGGTGTGCTGAAGACCGGAGAAGGTATGGACTACGTTTACGGCTCATCAGATAACCCGGTCTGATTGTTGAAACTCGACAGCGACAATTTTCCCTCAGGGTTCCATTCATTTCCAGCAGAATCTTGACTGTAACGTAGGCGAACCTTCCTCCTATTCGATGGAAACTCATCTCATCTACACGTCGACAGCCCGCCCAATTCATCGCTGCCTTTGGCTCTGAAGATCCCGGGCGTCTCGACATCGCTCCTGCGTTCTTCCAAGACCTCCCTGCAACGATGTATGCTCGCCTACGAGTTCCCCTGTTTGATCACTGACCACGTGGTTGCTTCTCTCAGTGTAAACGCGACGCTCGGGGGCATCGGGGTCAAAGAGGTAGAGGATATCGCTGCTAAGATTCCTCTCAACGTCGCCTTTGGGACGCAGGCATGCCTAGATCGCTGCGGTATCAGCCGGCCTGGCCAGTGGACTGCCGCAGCCATTGAAGAGGCTAAGCGGCAATTCAACCAGTTCATGAGCCAGGGCCCATACGCCCCCGTTGATTTCACGGGCTTACCTTCGCCTTGAAACCCTAGCACGTCCGCTGGATGTCAGATGCAGGACTATTTGGTTTGTATTATATGAACTAGCATAACTGCCGCGCCCTGCACTGTCATAGTATTTATGCATACTCCGAGTCGTTCCAATCGTAATGTTTCCGCCTCGTAGTGTATACGGCTACAACGAGTGCATATCACGGCTTATTCTGCATGGAATACACAAATTTTATACCTCCCGCAGTTCATCGCGTTGATTTCTCCTGCCACAGAAGCAAAATGGATTAGGCACAATGATGCATGGCTAACCACGGACGTCAAGGTTGAAGCATATGAATCATGACTCATCGTGGGTATAGTACCTAGAACTAGCTATAGATAGCGACCAGCTGCTCGTCGATTACAAGCCAATACCTCCATGCATGGAATGCATGTGGTCGTAGATGCCTTTACCTCCAGGAAAGGATTTGGAGCACACCCAACAAATGTGAGTGCGACATACGGTGCACGTCATATGGTGGCACCCGGACACTCTTTCGATGGGAGTCTTGCACCCAGGACATTTCTTGACGTCGTGGGCCGACGCCCACATCTCGAATAGCTTTTCCTGATTTTCCCTTCTCTCTTCGCACCGGACGCCGTCATGCTCCTCGACGTTACAGCTGGGGCAGATATGCGTCAAACAGCAGGGACACTGCACAGGCTCGGAGTTCGGGGGTGCGGTCCGGTAGACATGCGGACACTCTGGTGTCGGGCAGAACTGGAAATCGTCTGAATGCGAATGGATGTGCGCTATGTAGGAAGCTTGAACGATGTCCTCGAATTGGCTCGTTGACAGGACCTCCTGGGCTGTGTCTAAGGGGATGATGCACTCGCATTGGCCTTCGTTCCCTATGCACGTCAACGGGAATAGCTTGTGATCTGTCGTCGCAGAGCTAATATAACTTGCCAAGCAAGATTTGCACCATGAGTGGCTGCATTGCAATGTAACGGGGGAGGTCACTTCGTTGAGACAAGCGGGGCATTCGACCGCGTCCGCGCGAGGGGGTGTTGGGTACCGGGATTCAGCCTTGAGAAGAGCAATTCGAGCATCTTCCAACGCCTCATCGTCACCTCGTAGGATGAATTTCCGTGTCCGTACGTCGAAAAGGGCGTTCTGAGCTCCTAGCTTCTGTTGAAGCTGGTACAATTCCGGGCTCATCAGTAGACCGACGAGGCTTCCGGTCAAAGGGAGAACATGACGTGTCTGGGCTTGCAGCTCAACGATCTTCGCCACAATTTCGTCAGCGGCTTTCCGACGCTCAGCGGACGGACCAAACAGGGATACAGTGCGTCGGAGGCGATCCTTCTGGACTTGAATTTTTGTGTAATTCTCGCCTAACGTGGTCAGGAAACAATGGCCAGGTACGGTATTGAAGAAATCATCCCATGCGATACGGCCATTATGACGAACGGTCTCACCAAGCAAAAGACTCTGGAATTGTGTATTTAGTTTTCCGAGTCCCTTCGAGGTGATACCGACAAGCCTGAAGGTGACGTAACGGAGCGCATCGTTGCGAGGCTCTGGATCGACGAAGAGCCTGGCTTCCCCGCTTTTTGATGTCGCCTCCTGAAGGGCTAGGATGTCGTCGCGCAAAAGCTCGAAGGAGAATTTCGGCAGCGTATGCAACATGAACTGCATGTGACATGCGCGCAGTGACGCCTTTCCAAGAAACTTGTGGTTTGACGTATCCAGCGAAGCAGCAGCGCGTTTGGCCTCTCTAGCGGACGTGAATCTGACGATCGCATGCACCATGCCATCCTTGTATGGTGCGGGCTGTATATCGATGCTCTGAAACCCTTTACTGCGTCTGATCAGTTTTCTGATCCCTTGTTCGGCTTCTTGCTGGGAGATATAACACGGGCGTTCCACTGAGATCCCTTCGGGGGTACCGAACAGCTTCTTGTCGTTGAGCTTTGCGCCGGATGGAAGACCCTTAACGCGAATAGTGTAGGCACCGACGACAGGTAACCCTGTATACAGTTCTGCTGTCAACCATCCGCCTTTCCATTCCAGGTTATTCATGGAGGAGATGACCTTCTCCGCTGCCTTCAATGTCTTGTAGCCTAGGTATGCGGTCTTTTGAGAGGCAGGCCATTCCAGCGAGATTGATGTATCATCGAGTCGGAGGCGAGCATGGTCTGGTTTCGTGTTCATCTTCGCGCTAATCGTGCGCCCGAAATGCATGGAATTGTGCATCGCTAAACAAGCTTGCGCGGCTTCTACAGCGGTGTCATATACTGCGATCGCGTCCATCGTCCTTCCACGACCGGTGCCGGTTGCACGAAGCCTGAGACCGTGCAGACTGCCGAACGGTTCCATGAGCTGATTCACGTCGTTGAGGGTGACTATCATGGGCAGGTTACCCAACACCACGACACAGGATTGATAGCCGCCACGAATGTCCTTGACAGCGAAACCTGGGCCGACGGTTACTTTGATGAAGCCCGGAACAGTGCGTGTGCGGGTCACTTCATGGGGTACGTCAACTACTTTCCGGTGCCTACAGTCAAGTGCGGGTGTAGCCTAATTCGCGGAAGGATCAGTATTTTGTGCTCGGACATCTTTATGACCGCTCACCATCATGGGTGCACGCGAGTAGTCGAGATCTGCATGTTTATACTCGCAAAAATATCCTCTATCGCACTTGCCCCGAAGCCACTGCCAGCAGATTTCAGTGGGTATTGGTCTCCCACGTGATGTAGTATTCTTCGCTGCCCCATTCATACGACCTTGCGAAGGCGCACCACCACTGCCCAACGGAGACGAGATTTTCGAAGAGGAAACTGGAGGTTCTGAAGATCGCTGGGAAAACATCAGTGAGGTTGGACGAAAACTGACGACCATCGACAAACCTCTGGAGGATTGGCTGTCGAGGTCGCAGAACTCCATTCTTCAGCCTCTACCCATCCTTGGAATTCCCAGGACAGAGGCTCTTCACCTATAGATGCACCGTCAACATCATAAGAGGGGGAGTCCAACTTCCGAGGCATCGTCATCATCGATTGCTGTTCCTGACCACGTCGGGCAGTATCTTTCCGTTTTATTTCCGGTGGAAAATGGGGGGCATTTGAATTCTCGATCATATCGCTGGTGTTGTCGCCTTCATCATCTCGTACCCATCCTCCCTTGACGGCCGTATCTTTCCCTGCTTCGACCCATCCCCATCCTGCCTGCCACCCGGCATCTGTCACGTCTGGAGCTTCCAAGCCATTGCTGGGCGCCTCCAGGGCATCGTTTCCCCATCCCGAGTGCACGCCAGACGATGTCGAAGGTGCTTGATAGGTTGACGCTGCTTTCTTGCGATCTCCATGTGGGTAGCCGTTCCGACAACCCCATCCTTGCGGCGAGTGCTTTGAAAGCTCCGAATGATGGAAGCGATTCCAATCCCGTTCAGCGTGCGGCACCGAGCCCTCTCCTACCCCACCACCATCGTCTCCAGATTCCCGCACCCAGCCACCATCAGTGGCTGTATTCACATCGCCGTCGTTACATCCCCATCCGGAAATATCCGCTTGTCGATCTTCGTCCTTCGCGCCCGGATCGTCCCCATCTTCAGCATCTGGAGGCGCGTCCTCCGTGGGTTCCCATCCCTTATTATCCGATTGTACGGAAGCATTGTCCCATCCCGAGGTGGTCTCGTCGTACTGCCAGCCGCTCGGTGCAAGACTATCCTTCTTTACACGACGGGATGTCGGCGTCTGAGTTTGCGATTCATCCGCACCTCCAGTCCATCCGCCTGCATCCCAGTTCGAGTCATCCGCAGGTAGGGTCCACCCTGTATCTGAGTCACCGTGTTGCCCGATATCCGCCGACGTTCTTTCCTCGATGTTGGAATGAGAGGCTGATTGTTGCTCATTTTGGGACCATGCTCCCGAATCCCAATTCGCGCTCGAGCTCCCCGCTAACGGAAACTCTATGGAGTAGACGGAATCTGAGGACGAGGCTCCGTAGGCAGCACGATATTGGTAGGGCGGATACATGTTCGGTCCATACCAAGTTCTTGGGTCTTGCTGCCAAGTGAGATCGGAGCGATGTCCTGTATATGGCTCTTGATTATCCCCAGTACAGCTGGCATCCGGATCGGTATATGCGGGCTTTTCAGTATCGCACCCAACGTCTGCTTCAGCTTCGGAAAACAAGGAAGCCAACTTCTGCTTCCATTGTCCCTCGAACTGCGCCACCAAATCTTGGTAGCGAGGCCGACTTGGAAGTGCATCATCCGAGATAGCATTGACGGCGTCTGGTTCATTCTCAACGCGCAAAGGTTCCGAGTCAACGTCAGCGTGTCCTTCCTTCTGGGCAGTCTCATCCGTAGGGTCTGCGTCTGCAGGGGGGTCTGCCCAACCCGAGTCCCACTGACGACTGGCCTCCTCGAGTTGCTCAGGGTCACCACCTTCGGCACGTGCAGCGAGGGACCCTGGCGAGTGACTATAGAGGCATTGACTGCCCCAGGGACATGTCCCCTTGAGGAAAAGGCTGCAAACCTGCGGGTCACTTCCAGTCACATAGGACGTATTGCGATCCCGATACTTCAGAAAGAGAGTAATCAGATCGCGCCGCTAGGATGCCCGGATATCGTAGAACTCACGTCGATGTATGCGAGTCGAGGTTTAAAGTCGAATGATATACGAAACGAATCCCAATCTTCACTTGCGACCCCAGGAAGCGCTTGATCGCCGTGCGACATGCAGCGGCGTACGTATACAGGTTCAAGGGAGATCTTGACTTGGCAAACGCGACCGATTTGACGTTTGAAGATAGGGATTGGCTCGTTACAGAGTCAAGGGTGACGGACAGTGCATGATCCTCCACGAGAGTCAGCAACTATGAGATGCAAGCCTGCGCGACACAGATGAGTCTTGGGGTGGTTGAGATTGTAGGACCAACGAAGTGGTTGCCTTGGAAGGTCTAGCATTGCAGCACGATGATAGAACGCGAACTCGTGGAGGTTAGACGTAAACCGAATTCCAAACGTCCCGTGACCCGTGTCTTCGAACTTATTTGATATGATTCACACTTTGCTGTCCCCCGAGCGAAGTACGGACCGCTCCCAAGAAGGCGAAATACAAGATGGATCCATCCGTAGTATCGTAATGATGCGTCCGTGATAAATGTCGCAAATTTAACATGAAACTCGCAGCACACCAGCCATTACCAAACAATCAATCCCAGCAAGATACCCCCAAGACTCCAAGGCCACCAACTCGAGGCGCCGAACGGTCGTGCCAGTCGTATCGAAGTTTCACCAGCCGACGACGTCCTCCTCGCCTGATCGTTAGGCGTCGGCGTCGGCCCAACGCCGCCCGTGGTGTACGTCCGTATGTGCGGTATCTCGAAGTAGGCGTCATCGTAGTTGGACCCATCACCGACGACGTTGTCGTTGTAGCATATCCCGGTCGGCCCCGCGTTCGCGCACGTCTCGGCGTACACATCCGGCAGACCCGCCCAGTTGCCGCAGAGCGTGATGTCTAGCACCAACTTCTGCGCGGTGAAGAACTCGGTGATGTTGCAGCTGCCTTGCATGTCGGGCGATGACGGCGCGGCCATGTACGACGCGGAGGGCGGTCCCCATGACGAGATGTCGATGTCTGAGGTCGACGTGGAGGAGGTGATGGACGATGGCACGTTCTTCCGAGGCCAGAACCATATGCTGTGTGATGAATGAGATGAAGTCAGATCAATCGAGAGAACAAAGAAACACACAATATGCCCTGAACATCGAACTGTGTTGCCCAAACCCCACCACCAGCGTTGTTGAAGGCATCACCATAACTCCCAGGAGTCTGTTCTGGAAGATGGGAGAGATTAGCCCCATCTCTACGTATCGATTGTAAGGTCATCGCCCACCTTCAACAGTACAACCTGCAGCAGTCGAGCAATCGGTCTCCGTCGTCTCGCCAGTCTGATATGCTGGTGTCGACTGCAAACATCCGCTCGTCGTGTGCAGTGCCATTTGATTGTGGTCCATGCGATTGATGGCCTCAAGGATGTCGATTTCACCGTCGTTCGGCCAGGTTGGACCCATGGTCCAGAACGCCGGCCAGACCGAGCACCCAAAAGGTAGGTGCACGATGTCGATGATGAACAACGAACCAACGCCATACGTATCTTGGGTCATGATGCGCACCTGAACGACGCCATCAGCATACAACAAGGCACGAAAAGAAGCAAGACGGCCCACCGAGTTACGTTTGTCGCCCATCGTAACGTTGCTCGTATCATCCACCTTCAGGATTGCATTGCCGTTGGCGTTGATGTATGCAAGGTGAGTGGAGTAGGCTTGGTCCCGGTCCAACCACCAGACATCGCCTACATGAACATGTGAGATGAGGAGTTGGAATATCATTGCAACATACGTACCAAGAGTGAGGTTATCCCAATTTCCGAAGAAGTCCCAACGGTCGAAGAACGACAGGCCCGAATACTCCCGGACGAGATTGTAGGCAAGGGCCTGCCTAGCGAGAAGGGGAAACAGAAGTGCAATCGAGCGCATTCTAACCATTAGGAGCAAATTTGATAAGTGTGATATTTTTCGATCGTGGAAGTCGTGCTCGGTCGTGATGAGCAGGTATGAGCACCGGAGGCGACGTCAATGGTCGACGGTGGACGCCTGAACGGAAAGACGACGCGGACGGGTAAAGCGGCGAGACGACGCCGGTGGGTGGGGCAAGTTAAGAGAAGAAGGCAAGAAGGCGGCTCGACTGGGGTGTGGCGCCGACGTCAGAACCGTGCGGCCATATGTACCGTCTGCAGGTGGGGCTGTGATTGGCGTTGGCTCTCGAATGAATCCGTGGTACGTGAGGATAACAGCGGGGATGGGCCAAGCAATGAGATCCCGAGTGCCAGACGGGAACGCTCTATTCTTGCGCAGCGGATGGCACGAGGCAGGACGTCCAAGATCTAGATCCGAGGCTACGTCGAAGTAACGACGTATATACGATCTATGGTACGACATGAGATGCTGCGTGATCAATGGAAGAGGTCGAGTATGGCGCACCGTAATGGACCAGAGCCCTCGGCGGTTCACAAGCGAGCCAATCTTGCTGCCGTTCTAGAGCCTGGACTGCCGCATTCAGCCAGGCAGGGAAGCAGATGAACCGTCTGTATGCTCACAAGCAAATGCTGTCCGCAAGTCGATACCGATGTGCCGGTGATGAACGGAGGCGCTGCTTGACTCGTTTGGGCCCGTTGCCGTTGAAGCCAACGTTCCGCAGAACGTCAACCGCCGAGTCCGATGGGAAGTAAATGGAAAGGTTGCGGCATGTTCGGAAGATTTCGAGGGAGCACACGAGGCTGGTGGTGCCAGATTCAACCTCCGGCACCGGCGATGGCAACTTGAAGGGCAAAGGGCACTCTCATTGATAATCACATGACATCTGCGCTGTTACTTTCAATGAAATAGGATGAATCTGATTTGGGACATTGCGATGAGTACGCCGTTCGCGATGGCGCCGAAGTTTCCGAAAGTGTATCTAGTCCGTCATGGAGAGACGGAATGGTAAGCGCAGCACGGCGTCAATAAGTGGAGGCGCGCTGCTGATGACCAATTCACCAGGACAATCAATGGTCCGTCGTGAATAATATCTCGATATCCTGAAAACCTCTAACAGATGCGGAACATACTGCAGGACGTCATGTACGATACTCTCACCTTCCTGATTTACGTGACCCAACGAAGCACGCTCGCAGACTGGCACAACGGACATCCCTCTCACGGCGAGGGGTGAGGCAACCATGCTTCATCTGGGGGAGAAGGTCGCAGGACCAGGCAGTGAGCCCAAGCCTGTCGATCAGCAGCATTCGTAGGAACTCATGACATGCAAGAACTGATCGATCCATCGTTGCTCGCCTCCATCCATGTCTCACCTCGCATCCGCGCACAGAAGACCTTCACGTTGCTGTTCTCCAGGCTCCCAGAGGAATCTCGGCCCGCACTCTCCATCGATGAGCGCGTTCGTGAATGGACGTATGGCGATTACGAAGGCGGCCTCGTGAACGAGATCGCGGCGCGGCAGAAGGAGAAGGGCCTGAAGAGCGGCGAGAGAGGTTGGGACATCTGGGTGGACGGATGTGAAGGAGGAGAAAGCGCTGAGGAGATGTGCGCGCGGGTTGACGAAGTGGTGAAGGAGGTGAAGAGGATTCACCGGGAGTGGTACGAAGACCCAGCAAGAAAAGACGGAGAAAGGGGAGGCGATGTCTTGATCGTTAGCCACGGGTACGTCACACAGTCCGGATGTAGGATTTCTGTTGATGGGCTCGCAGGCATTTCTCTCGATGCTTCTTGGCGCGCTGGCTTGAACTACCATTACCCGACGGAAAGAAGTTTGTGCTTGACCCTGGAGGAGTTTGTGTTGGGCAGTACTACCACTCGCTGGACCACAGCGCTGTTGGAGCCATCAATCTCGGCGTTCTGTGAAGCCCTATAAGATGTCAGCGTAGATGAACACAGACGACCATCGAAGGCGTGACCACAGCTTGCGTTCTGCTCGATGCAGACAGGCACAAAGCGAGAGAAAAAGGGCAAATTCGTTCAGTCTATTGATGCTAGTGCACACGCATGCGTCCTGACGTCCAGCGTACGTCCAAGGTGTTCGCCACAGAGTGCCGGCGGGATAAGTGTCGAGCCAACGCTCCCAATGACCAATGAGGAGATCAATGCTTTCCACCCGCCTCCTTCTCCGCGTCCGCGATGAATTTCTTGATACTGTCAACCCTTCTCTCGTCAGCTTTTCCACCTGTGGTAGTTTCAGACGAAACACGTACAACTGCTCCTCCTCACTACATTGAAAATACGCGCATAGCCAGACGTGAGCATACGCCGAGGCGCATGCGGTAAATTAGACGCACCTGGAGCTGGCGTTGAACTTAACGGCCTCCTTCGCCTGCTCGACGGTGGTGGGCTTGGTGGCCTCCTTCTTTCCGCCGCTCGCGCCGTACGCAATGGCTGCCGTGGTCAGCATCGTGCCGAGCGCGAGGTACTCGTTCTTGATGGCGCGACCGAAGATAACGCTAAAGTACGTTTACAGAGGTGCATTCCGGTTGCGGTCGGGAAAGGTTGGGGACAGAGCAGCACCAAAGCAAAGCACAGCATCAAAAAGCAAGATATACGAATATTAGTACCAATCTTCGGAGGCGCAGCAAGAAACACGCACTAGGACATGGTCGTGGAGGTTGGGCAGACTGAGCGGAAAACGTTGCGCCGGTGACGGACTGGGCGCTTCGGGACTCTCCGGAGCTCATAAGGTTAAGCGCCCGCGGTACGTACATAACCGCACCCTTCCGTTTCTTCGACTGAAGACGCACTCAACTGCCATCAATCTGGATGCACAATGGGTGTTATAGACACCGATATTCTCCAACCCACACCCCAAACACACGTAGAGCTGAGTTATGCTTGGCCCTCGTACAAATTTACGGAACAATCACACCCTTCCGATCTTTTCAAAATCAGGTCCTCAGGTATGTCATAGCATCACCCGCATCTTGCTCTTATCCTGCCAGACCGAGAAGTTCATTGCAGACGTGTAATCATTCTCACAAACGGGACACATTTACAAACGTAACGTATGGACCTGTCGAAAACTCCGTCACCTATCTGTGCGAATCGCCTTGCGCCCCATGCATTGGTGCCATCCTCGTTCGCATAGCCAAAGATATTGCGAGAACAGACTGAAACCTGATTGTACAACTTGTACGAGGATAAACCTGCCTTTCTCGGATCCATTTTGCAACTGGTTTACCTCGTGATCCAATAACACGTGGCTATCCTCCAACTCCGGCTCCGGCGTCACGCCGATGGCAGACGGCGCTTATGACATAGCACGCCCTTGACCTCGGTCCTCCGCCATGCACTAGGACCGTTGAGTCTACCACCGGTTCAAACGTTCATGCCACAAGCAAGACCTTGTGCTTGATCTCCCATACTACTCAAAAGATCTCTTCTCTCATCGACGATGGTACGGGCGAATACAGCTCGACGTGGGAACGTTAAGGGCAGCGACGATACGGGCACTTCCGGAGACAAATTCAGGCAGAAGTCAGCGAATAGCCGAAAAAGCGAGCCCCCGGAAGTAAAGGTAGACACGAGGAAACATCATTAGGATGTGTCTCATATATGCGCAATAGACGCCCCGGTCAGCAGAAATATGCCGGAAGTTTCTCGCAGGACGATGCAGGGGACAACATCGCTGTCGCAGGATCCACCTAGCAAGCGAGGAGTGTCAAGAGGATGATCTTTGTGCTCCTTGTGAACTCCCGTCGCATCCACAGAGCTCCGTCATACTGGACGTCCCGACTGTGGATGGAGATACGGGAGTTAAACAAGGCAGCACAAAACGCCACCCGCGCAAAAAACGTACGAGACGAAACTCGCCGCCGTTAGCTTCGATTCCTCAGGTACACGTGGTACCCACCAGTTCTGGATCTTCCTCGCTCTCAAGCTCGTCGAGCGATTCCGACAGATCCGCGTCACCCGATCCGTTCCCTCCCACACCAACTACAAGCACTGACTCCACTTGGGCATACCTTGGCTGGCAAGATGAATTCAGCGAAGATGACCAGCAAGATGAACCACAATTTCCACTGCTCACCAGCCATCAACGTTTTTGTCCAGACCATGACCCATCCGATTGCGCTTCAGCGGGGGGCTTCGGAACCGACATCATCCCCATGCCCGCGTCAGATTCCGAGTTTGTGGTACGAATTCCTTACCAGAATAGTCTCAGCTCACCGGTTGCTTCGGTTCCGCCGATCGAATCCGGGGTATGAGTCAAATGAACTTTTTCACTGAAACGAAGCGATGACGCGTTCCCACTGTAGCGATCAACTCCTCCGAGGATGGCAGCAGCTCAGACCGCGCCAAGGCGTTTTGGTACCAAACCCAAAGAAATATGCCGGGATTATGCTCGTGGGAGGTGCTGGAGAGGTGCAGAATGCTGCTACTGGCACGACGATGAGCAGCCTGTGGAAAATGTGTGTATACCACTCGGCCATTCTTGATTTTTCGTCGTCTTATTTTGCCTGCAAAATCAGGTCAGCAACACTTCCCCGGCTGTAGAGATTCTCAGCGACAAACGGTTCCAACCGCTGAAATTCTCGAATGAATTCAGCGACAGTAACAATCACCCTCGCAGCGGAGACGCCGGTTTGGAACGCGACGACAATCCTGAAGACGCGTTGGATTTCACCCCCGAGCAGCTGCCGCGCAGTGTTTGCTGGGCTTGGCTCCGTGGCGGCTGCTCTCGCGGCGATGCGTGCAAATATCCCCATGGAAATTATAGACAGCCCGCCGCTACCCCTCAGGACAGGCCCATGTCATGTCAGCATGACTTTGGGGAGACAAGCAAGCCGACATTTCGGGGTTCAATCGATGCCAACAGCAACGAGCGAGAACTCGCGCTGCGGCCGCACAAACGCTGTGCGTCACTCACCATCACTCAATTCGGCGCGCGGGTGACGTACGGGGATGGTCTTGCTGTGAATCGTGTCCAAATCGAACACGAGAGTTGCACTCGTGTTGTTCTGAGCAATATTCCTACTTCCATATCGAGGACGGATTTCTTCGCTGCTGTCAAGCTTTTCGGTCACGTTCTTGATGTTGATTTCAAGGACGATCTCTCGATGAAGCGCGACAGTATGCTCGCATACGTGGCGTACACCCATCATGCCCGTGCCGTTCAGGCTATGTCGGCTCTGGATGGTTCCGCAATGTTTGGACGCGTACTTTCTGCACAGATACCCTCGGGAGTTTCCATTGGCCAGGGACTCATTCACGACTCCACGGTTGTGTTGAGTTGGGACGCACCAAAGCTCATTGGTTATGCAGGCTACGCAACACAGGAAGAGGCGGATAACATCATCGTAGCGACCAACGATCAGGAACTCGACGGGAGGATCATGAAGTCGTATATCCACACCGGGTTGCCGTCCTTGGGGGTTTGCACCGTGCGCCTCGAGAACATCCCTCGTCAATCGGTGATGACGAAGCGGAAGTTCATCGGCAAGACAGAAGGATTCATGATTGAAAAACCGAAATATGCCCTTCATGTTGCTGTACGAGAGGTCCGTGCATTCGTGGAGCGAAGTATCCCGCAAGCGGATCTACTGGCTTTCGACATGGACATGAGTCCAGATCGCCACGGCATCGTTCGTGCAACTATCACCTGCTCTTCAGCGGCGGCCGCGCACAGTCTGGCTGATATCATGAGCGGTCGAAAATTCAAGTCTCTCGGCAATGTCTCCATAATCTCCCATCATATGCACTCCGTGTCGTTCCGAATACCAAAAGCCACATATAACATTCTTTACGACGACCTTTGCTCCCTGGAATCCGACTTGGTGGGCGCCGGTGGGAATGTACGGGTGCTTAATCAAGAAGGTGAAGCCCCGGAGACTACCATTGAACTCATCGCGCCAGGCCTGCCCATTTTCCGTGTATACAGATCGCGCGTAGAACAGCTCCTACGCGGAGAGGTTGTTCACAAGGACGGGGCAACCGTATGGGACGACTTCTTTCTATATCCCACCTGCCACCGTTTTCTGGGCTTTCTTCGCCATCAGCAACCGTCGGTGCTCTTGCAGCGTGATAAGCACCACAGGTTGATCAAGCTCTTTGGACCCTCTGCCGGCAGAAAAGTCATTGCGGACTACATCATCGCAAAGGTCGAGCACCTACAAGGACAGTCGCGCCATACGTTCCCCCTTTCCGGGCGTTTAATTGGTTTGTTCTTCTCATCGGATCTGCGGAGACTGCAGCATGCCCTCGGTCAAGAGAACGTCAACCTGGATAGGGTCCGGAAAGTGCTTCATGTCCGCGGGGGCAGCACGGCATATGGCCTTGCTCGCGATATCATAGATCACGCGGAGCGTCGGTACCCGCTGCGGATGCGCACGGAGAAAACCAGCTGCTCCGTATGCTTCGGCCCGACCGAAAATGCTGTCGTCCTCGCCTGCGGCCACCGATACTGTCGATCGTGCGTCCACGGCTACCTCACTTCGGCATCCGTTCAGTCGTGGCCCTTGACCTGCTTGGGGGATGACGCGAAGTGCCAGCGGGAAATCCCACTTCGCCTCATGCAGCAGCTCCTCAACCCGCGCGAGTTCGAGGATGCCACCCGGCGCTCATTCCTCGCCTACATCCGTTCGCACCCCGACGAACTTCAGTTCTGCCCGACCCCAGACTGCCCGGAGGTGTACCGCCCCGGGCCGAAGAACACGACGCGCCAGTGTCCGACCTGCTTGAACCGGATATGCACGTACTGCCGCACCGAGTGCCACGACAACATGCGCTGCGAAGAGCGCGCGCAGCATCAGGAGCCGCTTTTCAAAGAGTGGGTTGCGGCGCACGACGTCAAGCCCTGCCCCCGCTGCAGCGCACATATCGAGCGCGTCGCGGGCTGCAACCATATAACGTGTGCCGCGTGCAGAACCCATATCTGCTGGGTCTGCCTGAAAACGTTCCCAGACGATCGTGAGATCTACGGACACATGCGAGAAGCTCATGGCGGTATTGGGTTGGAGGAGATGTAAGATGTGTCTGCGATCGCGTGTAAGATATCGGGAAGGCGGGGCTTCCAGGGACTCTGTATTTCGGGAAAACAGCTATATGTTATCAGTATGTGCATTAGTTCTGTTATGTCGCCCTATAGACGAGCCATACTATGTTGTGCTACCTCTTGTACGCCCTTTCAGTATATTGTACATTGATGCCATCCCTCGAGCCGAAAAGATTAGCACGAGCATGTATTCAATCGACAATACCGGTAGCTACACAACTGTGAGTCAATAACACAATCAGAAAACTCGAGGAACCACAAATCAAGAACCACGTGGTAGAATATGAGCCAACGAACAAATCTCCGCCGATCCAACACCCAAAAAATATATAAGAGTGCGTTGCGGATATCGGCATCATGGGGTATCATCATCGTCTCTCTCTTCCAATCGCTTCACGGGCAATATGTCACGAACTAAACAAGGGCGTTCAGCATGCATGCGGACTCGCGGGAGCGTCACCGGGGCGCACTACTCACCGATTCGTACGGCCGCAGCGGCAGACGGCCCATGCGCGGGAGGCTGTCCGGCAACTCGGGCCGATTCTGATCCCATTGAATGAACATCCCGTACTCGTCCTCGAAGCCATCGCGCTCGTGCGGGTAGTCGGCCAGCTCGGGCGGGTACTTACGATCGGGCGGGGCGTAGACGATGCACATGTCCGCCGTGAGGTGGTCGCCGCGGCGGTTCCAGAAGCCGCGTCGCCGGCCGCGCGGGTCCCTTTGGGTGGTGGCGCGGCGGGTCGGGGTGGATCGGGTGACGGTGACGGTGGACGAGGAAGAGGAGGAGGAGGAAGTCGAGTTGGAGGCACTGATGGCGCTGGGGTAGGTGTACGCTTGCGAGGACGCGGAGACGGTCGGCCTTGAGCCGTGCACGATGTCGGACGGCTTGGGCGGGTCGGGGAGCGGGTTGTGCGGCGACGATCGGGGGTAGGGCGTCGACGCGGAGCGTGCTGCGGCTGCGGACGATGACGAAATTGGGGCAACCGCGTGCTGGTGTTGGTGGTGGCGATGGGACGAGGATGTATAGGCTTGGGCTTGTTGTTGGGTGAGCGAGGACGCCGACTGAAGGGGCGGCATCTCTGGGTATGTCCCGGTGGGCGCGACGACAGGGTACGTCTGGCTCCGTCCGAGCGAGCGCGCATGGTGCTGGTGGCCTTGCGCTTGCGCGGACGACGAGATGCTCGCCTGCGATCTGTGCGCAGACACAGGGGTAGGCGACACCTCGCGCCGCTCCCGCGTGCGATCCCTCTTCCGCTCGCGGGCCCTCTCCCTCTCCCGATCGCGATCCCTGTCCCTGTCCCTGTCAACAGAGTGGTCCACGAGCAACGGGCTGAGCAGACTCGCGAAATTGTCGAAACCGCTCGGCTCTTCGGTGAGCTGGCTGAGCGTGCTGAACGTCGTCGACGTCGCAGACGTCGGCGTACGCGCGGGTGAAGTGCTTGCCGATTGCGAGCGCGAGTGCGACCGAGACGCGGAGGCGGAATGTGATCGGGAAGCAGCGGCGGCAGCGGCGGGCGCCAAATGGCGCTCTTCCCAGTCGGCCGGGCGGGGCGGGATGACCATCTCCGCCTCGGGCATCGTGCGCGTGCGGCTGGGCGTGCGGCTGCTATGCTCGTGGCTCGCGCGTCGGGACGGGGTCTGGCTCTGATGGCTCTGATGGGGCGGCGAAGAGTAGATCGGCGCGGGCGCGGTCTCCGCGCGCCGGCGCTCGTCCGGCCTAGGCGTAGTCCCGGACAGATAGTGATTCGGCGTGCGGACGACCTTGGGGGAGAACGTCGGCTGGAGCTCTTGCTTGGACGTAAAGGGCTCGGGCTCGGGCTCGGGTTCCGGAGCAGGTGGGGGCCGGCTCGCAGGCGGCGGATCGCGGTAGATGGCGGCGGGGGCAGCGCTGCTGCTGTGCTGCAGGCGCGAGGACGTGCGGCGGTGACGCTCGCGGTCGGGCGGGTCGTTCTGCGATGGGCGGCGGGACGATGATGCGGACGATGGGCCGGCGGAGGCGGAGGCGGAGGCAGAGGAGAAGTAGCCGGAGTCCTGCGAGGCATGCTTCAACGGAGCGCCGAGGCTGGAGGACGAGTTGTGTCTCGAGGCAGAGGCGGATGCAGATGCGGAGTGATAGCCGGAATCGTTCGAGCCGTGGCGGGAGAGCGGTTCACCCTTGTTGCTCGTGCGCGGATACTCGGCCGCGCGCTTGCGGATGTCTTCGTGTAGGGAAGAGTAGCCAGACGAGCCGGAATTGCGGTCGGGCGAGGGGCGGGTGGCGCCGCCCGCGGTCGGATCGGGCCCCCTGGTACGTTGCGATTGGGATTGTTGGGGGCGATCGGCGGACGAGGACGGGCCGGCGTCGAGCGCGAGGTCCCTGGGCGCCCACAGCCACGGCGTCGGGGGTGCGTTCTTGAACTGATCGTCCTTGGATTCGTTCCTTTTGGCGCAGCGTTAGAAACTCGCTCTATCTATACCTCTCCCTCCTTCCCCCACGACCCCGGCGAGGTGGGGCACGACGGAAGGAAGAAGCGACGATCGACGACTCACTTGATGTCCATCCCCGTCAATCCGAGTCCGTTCTCTTTCAGCTCCGTCGCCCAATAGGACGGGTCGGGCTGCTTCGGCACGCGCTTGTACGGGTTGAAGCTCTGCTGCTGGGCTTGCGGCATGCCGGGCCACTGCCAGGGGGCCCACGCCATCTGCTGCTGCTGAGCGGCGGCGGCCATCATGTTCTGCTGGGCAGCGGCGGCTGCGAACTGGGAGGCGCTCGCCATCGGCTGAGGGGGGAATTTGGGGTTCTGCACCCAATGCCCGGCCATCCAGGCCTGCTGGGAGATGCTCACGCCGGAAGGCATCGGCGGGGGGCCGTTGAAGGGTACGGGGGCGTGCCATCCTGCGGCGGCGGCAGAGGAGGAGGTCGTCCAGGGGCCCGGGGGAGGTCGGTTGTGGGCCTGCGCGGCGAAGGCGGCGGCGGCAGCCTGCTGGTGTTGAGCGACGCTGAACATGAAGCTGGCGAAGGGCTTGCTCAGTGATCGGCCCGTTGATATATGTATGAGTTTCTCGCGACACTCACTGCTCCCGGGGATGTATACGCGCGGTGGGGCACCAGGTGGGCTAATCGGATGTCTTGGGGGCTGGGCGCGGGCTGTGTGGGTGCAGTCGCCGGCCTGGCAACAAAATCCGGCGGCGACGAGCGTGGACGAGCAGGTCTTATAGGTTCAACGAGAGGTGCCACATCGACGAAGACAATGCAGTCGGGACCACACCACGAGGGACAAAAGGACGAGTTGCAGGGATGGTGGCACTGGCAAAGCCAGCCGCTGCGCCACACATCCTCATCTCAGCTTTCGACTCTTGCTCACCAAATTACAAACCTGCCGAACCCAACTCATCGCCTGCGCCGCGACGCCTAAACATCATTTGGTGATACGCATTTTTTTTTTCTGTCCGGCGATGGCGCCCGCAGCGGAGACGGCGCGAGCGTCGGCAGAAAGTTCCCACCAAAAGCTGTTCAAAAGGGCCCACGGGGACCTTGTTGATTGAAGGTGCCCCATGCGGAAGCAAATGACAGAGCAAACATTCCTTCCGTCCAGTCGTCATCAGCACGAATCTAGCGTCGTACACAACCCTGAAGCTTCCTATTGTCAGCGCCGTCTTCCAGAGACTACTAACGATAACGAATCGCATCCAAAAGCGAAGGGACAATTGGGGTTACTACATACTAAAAGATCGTGATCGGGGTGGGGTGTAAGAATAGCGGATCCGGAAGCGTATAAAAGCAGGTTTTAACTATGACTCTTATGACACAGCGCCACCCGCCATAGATCTTGATGGTCATGACGCCGGCAACCACCAACGGTGGGCCCCGCGTTTCACAGCGCCCGACGACGTTTCAGATTGGCGCCGAGGGCGGAGGGCAAGGCTCGGTAGCCGCGTGGCCCGTGCGGAACTACCAATTCCACTCGTCCAGGTCATCTTTGGCCTGGCCTGACGCCGCAGTGGCCGTGGTCGTCGTGTGCGCAGCAGCAGGCGTGAGCAGGACGGGTGCTTTCGTGTTGAGCACGCCGAGCGTGGTGTCCGGCGTCATCACCTCCCCGCCTAACGAGTTCCCGTCGTCCTCGTCCAGGAGCGACGCCGTCGACGGCGCGGGCGATCGCCGCAGCTTCTCGCCACCTGGCGTCGTCGACGGCGCGGGGGGAGACGCCAGCGCGGCGAAAAGGCTCTGGCCCACGTCGCTCAAGAGCACCGAGGCGCGCTTCAGGTTCCGGTTCTTTTCCCGTTCGAGCGTGCGTCCGACGGTGCCCACCCACGCCGACACGGGCTGCTCGAACGCGGCGCCGAGGGTGGCAAACGCAGGGGCGACGGAGGAAGGGGATGCGGGAGAGGGTGAGGTGGCGCTCCGCCGTATCCGCGGTGGCGACTTGGGCGCCGGCTGAGACACGGTGGCGGAAGGTGTATCGGGAGTGGGTAATGAACCCAGGAGAGTCGTCGTCGTGATCGAATCCGAGATGGACGGCGGCCTGTCGCGCGACTTGCGCCGCTGCAGCTTGGCCGCCCGCGAGTCGAGCGCCGACGTTGGCGTCGTGGCGCCCACTTCCGCCCAGTTCCAGTCGTCTTGTTCCTGTCCCTGCTCCTTCTCCTTCTCTTCGTCGTGTTCGTGTAAGTCCTCGTGCTGTTCCTCGAAGCTTGTGAGAGACGAGTTGGACCCTTGTGACAGCCTCGTGCCCGCTGAGTAGTTCGTCGTCATCGTCGCTGCCGTCGAGATGCTTGACGTCGACGCATGCGATGATCTTGCCGCCGTAGACAGCGAGCGCAGGTGTGGGTTCAGTGGCGACCGCGGTTGCACGGACGCGGGACTTTTGGGAGACGCGGCAGACAGATCCGCAAGGCCGGCGAGCATCCGCCCGACGCCTTGCACACCCTCCTTCAGTCCGCCCATGTTGAGCGACAGGTCCACGCTCGGCTGGCTGTCCCGCGGGGATGAGCCATTAGCGGAAGATGAGGCTATGTTAGATCCGGCGGAGGGAGACGAGGCGTAGGCGCGGTCGAAACCGCGGTGGACGATCCGCTCCCACTTGCGCTTGAGCTCGGCGAGCTCGGCCTCGTGCGTCGCGAGCTGGGTCCGTAGCTCCATACAGCGTGCCTCCTTCTGCGCGATGAACGACAGTAGATCCGCGTGCCTGTATCATATAACGTTAAACCAGTTCAGCACGGAACGACAGAGAAGAAAAAAAAAAGGGAACGCACTTCTCGGCGAGCGTCAACGGCGCCCTCTCCTCCTTGCCGTCCAACCCTTCGAGCCCGAGCGTCGACTTTGGCCGCACCCGCGCGTTGGGTATCCGCCCTTCTCCAGCGGCGCCGCTCCTCCCACCGAGCGAATGGCTCCTCCCCAGCCCGCCACCGCCGTCCGCCGCCAGAGTCACGGGCGACCGCACGCGCTCCACCGCGCCCGGGCCGTCCGGGCTGAAGTACGCGATCGACGACTGTCGTCTTGAAGGGGCATGCGGCGTGCGTTTCGGGCTGCGCGCGGCCGGCGAGCCGGGGATGCTTCCGCTGCCGCCGGCGGAGGCGGAGGTGCCGGGTGCGACAGTCGAAGAGGACGGAGTCGGCGGGCGTGCATTCGTCGCGAGTTGAAGAGGCCGAGGCGCGGTGGCCGAGGTCGGACTCGGGGTGAGTTTCAGAGGACGTGGTCGACTGCTACCACTGGTGGTTGCAGGTTTGGACGTGGAAGTAGAGGCAGACGCGGCGCTCGTAGCGATGGTGTCGTATACCGTCGAGCCGAGCATGAGGTGCCGGCGTAAAGACCGTAGATAATGAACGAGGCGGACGCAGAGACGTGCGAGGAGGAACAGAGAGCGTCGGTGTCGTCGTCGGCGGGCGAGTAATTCGATATGGCGGAGAAACTGGGAAAGGGTGGTGCTGCCGGTAGCCGAGGCGGGAGCGCCTGGGCCGCCTGGGATATTCCACCAGCTGCGGATAACGACCATGTCCGTCGTACGTACTTGATCGCAAGTCATCGCACATTCGCACTGGACAATCCGTACTCGTACTCGTAAAGGGACTTTATATATACAGGGTGAGATGATAAACAGGGTTTCAGACCCGACGCGACGTCGTTCACGGGTCCGAACTGACACAATAAACCGCTCCCGCCAAAGTCTGAGCGTACACTATAGCGCCAATTGTGAGCGCGATCTTCGTGGAGGCCTAAACATGCACAAGCTCCGGATCGTCCACGCTCGTAATCGTCCGTGTGGGTGGCAAAAGGTGGTCAAAGACGAATCGGCCGTCTACGGGCAGCGTCAGCACGACATATTCGGCGCGAACGAAGGTAGGTAAAGGCAGAACGCGTACTCGGCTCGTCGTTCTCGCGCGCCCGCCAATGCGCCTCCTCGAGGTCCTTGGCGACGCCGCTCACGACGTGTCGCTTCACAAGGCGCTCCCTAGCGGCCTCTGCGCCGACCGCGACCCACCATCGCTCGTCCAGCAGCCTGCCCGCCTCCGCCCACGGCTCCACGTCCATGAACGTGTACAGGCCTTCGATAACCACGATCCGGTGCCTCGGCAGGATCACGACCGAGTCGGGCGAGGGGTCCTTCAGCGCGTGGTCGAAGGAAGGCGCGAGGATCGGGGCCGCGGCGGGGGCGATGGGTGCGCGGAGCGAGCGCACGAAGGCGAGGTAGCCCGTGCCGTCGAACGTCCAGTGAGCACCGCGCCTATCGTGTGCCAGCTTCGGGTCGGGGAACGCGTCGAGCTGCGCCCGCGTCAGATGCCATCCTGTGTGCCGTCCAGCTCGTCGCGAGATGATCCGTCGACCGCGCTGCTCACCGTCCAATCCGACCATGACGGCTTCGGTCTGCACTCCGGACGCACTCGCGGCGAGCAGCGCGTTTGCACGATCTACTATCCGCCGCGCGATCGTGGACTTGCCCGAGGCGGGGACGCCGGCGACGCCGACGAGCCATCGCCGGTCAGTCGGGATGCTGGAGGTGCACGGGTGCTGAGCGGGATGTTCTGGCACACATCCTGGGCGACAGGACCTCTCACGTCTGTACTTGGCGGACGAGGTGTTCTGCGAGTTCGTTGCACACGGGGTCCATGGGGAGAGGACGTAGATGAGCTGTGAGAGACTGAACGGTCACTGAAAGCGCGGGCTCTCCACCGTACTTGCATTATTACCGTGCTGGGTACCTCGACTTGATCTGAGCTCGAGCTGAACATGCAGTCATTGGAGTCGCTGTCAACCGCGGCGCTCCACCGCTGCCCTGCATAGACGATGCGCGATATAATAATCGTCGGTCATACACTCCAACCGCGAATATGGCTACTCGTACACATTCACCGACGCACCTCCTCATCTTCCTCCTCTTCTTCCTCGTCCTCCCGCCCTACCTCTTCTGGCGCACCTTCCGCCACTACACCCGCGGCCCACCCCATCCCGCATGGTCTCTTCTTCTCGACCTCGCCGCCTCCTCCGGCCGGCTCTTCTTCGCGCTCCTCCGCGTGCCCGCTGCAGACGCGTCGCCCACGACGGTGCCGGACCACCAGGCGCCCCAGTTCGACGACAGAGCGTGGGCGCCCCGCAAGCTCGCTCACCGAATAGTAGGGCGGGGTACGCGCGTCGTCCCCATCAAAATCGACAAGGTCGGCGAGGATGTGCGGAGGGGCATTGCCAACGAAGGCCGGCCATTGGTCAGGGCGATCGACGTTCCCGGGTTCTGGGTCACGAAAGAGGACGACACCACGGTTCCGAACGGCGAAGCCCGGGACGGAGAGAGAGTGATCATGTACCTCACAGGCGGGGGTATACACGTAACGTTTCCGTCCCCGCCTTTTGGGCCCCCGTCTCGACCGGGCTGACGCGCCATTCTACAGCCCATGACGAGCCCGGTCGCGTACGGACTCGCGCTCGCCACCTCGCTCCGCGTTCTCGCCGTGACTTACCGCTCCGCCATCACGCCCGCGTCCGCCTTCCCCGCGCAGCTCCTCGACGCGCTCGCGGGTTACCTCCACCTCGTCCGCCTCGGTTTCGCGCCGAAGGACATCCTGGTCACCGGCGAGAGCGCGGGCGCGTTCGTCGGGCTCGCGCTCATGCGCTTCCTCGGGGACGTGGCCCAACCCGAAGGCGAAAAGCCGGGGTTGGACCTCGGCATGGTAGGCGCAGCGGCGCTCATATCTGTGGGTCCCCCTCTCCGTTTTGTTCTGTGTTTTGATCGTGTCGTCCCGGAACCTGCAGCTGACGCCGTATCGTTTTCATCTTGTGTCTTGGGCAGCCCGCGTGCAACATGGCGCGATTCGACCATCCCGAGATCGAGACCGACTTCCGCCTGCCGCACTACCGCAAGCGTACGGCCCCCGCGCTCGCGCGCCACTTTCCGCCGGAAGAGCTCGCCGGCTCGCCGTACTTCTCCCCCGCGCTCGCGCCGCCCCGGTCGGGCGCGTTCGCCCATCTCCTGTCGCGATCCACGCCGACCGGGGAGGGGACGCGAAGAGGGGTGACGGTGTGGGTGCAGTACTCGGATGGCGAGCTGTTCGCGGACGACGTGAGGAGGCTGGTGGAGCGCATGCGCGCGGAGGGCGTGGACGTGCGCGCGGAGGAGGTGTATGGGGGGCTGCACGTGGACGCGGTGGTGCGGAGGGCGGCGCGCGCGCTGTGGGAGTGGGCGGGCATCGCCGGGCGAAATGGGAGAGAGAAGCGCGACGGGAGCTGGGAACGGTATGTGCGAGCGGTGGAGGAGTTGGGCTGGTGATGCCGCCGTGTACTACGGTGAACGGGACGAGTGATGTTTACGATCGCTTGTGGCTCTACGCTATCATTGTACACTAACATACATGCGGTACCAAACTCTTTCGTGTCATTGTCGTCTGACTTCAAGGAGATATCCTTCGGTACCTCGGTTCGAACTCGTTCCATGCAACCATACGACCGCTCTGGAAACGTCGTGCGAACGTCGTTGCAAGTTCCTACAAGTTTTGAACCAACGCGGCAAGGTCAGGCGAGATCAAGCACAGGTTTCAAGCCGTAGGGCTCACAGATGTGCTTTCCGCCCGCGCCGACACGCCATCGGAGACCAAGCATTCTAACATGCCAAACATCAACTGGATTCACTCTCGAGCCGTCCGTTCATCATCAGCTCCAGCGCCAAGAGCAGCATATATCCCCCCGGCCCATCAAGTCGGGCTTGATCGAAGTCGAGGAGCACACCGTAGGCGTTCCCATTTTCGTCCCTCCTGTACATCAGATTGTGGAGGCTAATGTTGCGGTGGAGAATCTTCACCGGACTGTCTGCCAGCAAAAAATGGCCTGCCGCGGATGTCGTCAGAGGGCCCGCACGAAGTACTGTATGAGTCGCGACGTACAGCCGATGACTTGCCAGCACGCTCTCATGATATCTTCGCCTTTGAGATCCTGCAAGCGTCGATATGGCGCCTTGGCAATGGCCGGGTTTCTCTCCGGTTGCCTGTCCACACCAGCTCAGGAATGGATACGCGATCGCAATACCGGATTGTGGGCTGACATGTAAGGATTACACGACCGATCCGGAGCGCGAAAGGCTATGTACGCGGGCATTGTCAAGTTGAACAGCTCATTCTTCGCGTATATACGCGAGCAGCGAGACGGGCTCATACCTTCCATTATTGCTGCCAGAGCCAGCTACGCGTCGTTGCAGATTATGTTGGTTGAAGCGCCGGTGAAATCCGTGGAAACTAGGTGGTAGATCAAGAGAAAGACCTACGGTGGCGCGTTCATTGTCCTGACAGGAAGACATACGACAGTACTAGTGGGGCAGGTGACAAGCCGCAAGCCTCGGGTTTCAAGGTAACATCACAGTTATGTTGATAGATCTTATATGTAGAGTACCCGACGTTACCAGCTCGGTGCAATGATATGACAAGGAAAAGGAAAGACAGTGATGAAACAGCATGCGACCTCGTCACTGGCATGCGTCACAGTGGCAACTGCAAGCTCACAAGTTGAACCTACTGATGAGCCCGTCTAACAGCTCACATCTCTCGAATGGAAGACTCTAGAGTGTCCGACCGAGATTTGGCGCCGTCTTGGGTCGTTTGCCCTGTGCCGGCTGTTCGACGTGTTCATAAACATGAGCGAAGTTCGGGAGCAGAATTCGCCCTCCGTGGGTCCACGCTTTTGCTCTCGTCCATGATGTGCTGCACCCTGCCTGTACTGAGAATCGTATGCTGAGTCCTACAGTACGTGATGGAACTAGGAAAATGACTGCTTTATCATGCTATCGAATGCAACCATACACAAATTTCGAGTCGTGCACCCTCTGCTCGAATGTTATTGCCCACAAGGGTGAGCTGTGTGGTCTTCGCGAGATAGATCGACACATGGCGAGTACCAATAATGATCCACCCCCCCTCCCCCGAAGACTGCTGAATCTAAATACTTTGATAGACCTACAGGAGGCGCCTACGGACTATGAACAATCTCCTGTGCTCACGCGGCGCAGGCACGGGGCCGAATCCCGTCTGTGATCGCGACAATAGCACGGTTTATTCCTGAGCGGCGCTCCTGGCATCGACATCCTCCCTCTGCTTTTCCGCCAGTTGTGCCCTGCGTTCCATCAAAATCACGCCCAGCTTGTTCTTCCCGACACCCTTGACTGCGCCCCACAACTTGTCCCTCGTCGCCTCGACCAACACCCTGTCGCCCGTGTCGAGCAACTTGGCCGCCAGCTCGGACCCCTGAGCGAACTTGGCGGCGATCGCCTTCCTCATTGCTGCCTCGGCGCCTCCCTCCTGCCACGTCTTCACGTCCTCCGCGCTCAACCGCTTCTGCCGGCCCAACCTCTTGGCCTCCGCGGGATCCTTGGTCTCGGCGATCCGTCGGGCGTAAGTCGGGCTCCTGCCCTCCTCAGACAAATCCAAATACTTGGCTGCCTGGAATGCGCCCTCGACGTGATAATGCTGGATCCCGTCTAGCTCGAACGGCGCAGGATAGAAGTTGGACAGGAAATTGGCATTGGGGTCCGACTGGCGATTCTTCCCGCCGAAGCAGAGGTGGTTGTGCTTGAGCCAGTTCCCCGACTGCTTGGGATAGCTGCTGGGGTCTGACGTAGCTTGCTTGGCGGGGGCAGGCTTGTTTGTAGACCCGGACGCGGAGGCTTGCTGAGACTGCTTGGCCGTACGGCGGGCCATGGGTATACAACGGGGGAAGGGCGTATGCGAAGGCTCCTTCCAATCAGACTTCGCTGTATATACGGAGTGATTGACTCGGGTCCGGGACTGAATCTGATTGACTCCGCACTGTCAAGGTTGTACTACTCATTGGCAGAGTTTTGTGCACGCTGTTCGCATGCAGCAGTATAGCTTTGCAGAATGTTTGCATCGCCATCGCGAATACGCGCGTAAAGGGTGCGTTTGATGACCCTAACCTTAGTCCTGGGCAGACGAGTCAAACACGTGCAGTGCGCGAGGCGTTGAACGGTGGCAAACAAGGCTGTGCGCACATTGCGTAGAAAGATCCGCTTATATATAATCATGGTCGCGTCCGAGAGCCTTCAGAAATCGTACGGAGGGGAGATGATGGCATTCCTTGCGAAGGGATGCACGGAGGGAGCAGGTCCAACGCGTCCAACGCGTGTTTCACGTTACGCGATTGTAAGATCACATGACTGAGCGCGATGTCCTTGTTTGTGCGTTGTTTGTGGTTGACACCAAACCAAAACCGGCGTCACCGCTCACCGCCAGCCTTCCTTCTACCATCGTCTCTTCATCACACTAGATATCCTGGACATACCCTAATATCTCTATAGCGGTGATGTCCTCGATACCGGTACGACTTCCCGCTGCCGTCCGATGAGTTCTTGTGCACTCATTGTTTTTGCAGACGCGGCGTACAACGCGCGTAACACGCGCGAGCGCACTCAAAGATAACGAAAACGCGACCGCCCGTCCTGGACGCACCGCTCCCCGCGCGAAACCCCCATCATCATCATCCACGAACACCGCAGGCACCACCCGCGCGACAGGCGCGACGGCGGCGTCGCGAGCCAAGGCGTCGGCGTCGACCAAGCTGAAGGAGAACGGTGATGCCGCCGCGCAGAAGCGCAAGCGCGAGGCCCTCGCCGAGGTCGGCGGACCCAACAAACCCAAGCCGGCGTCGACCAAGGAATCTGCAACGAAGGGTAAAGCCGTCTTTGACGGCGTCGTGTTGAAGAAGACCGCGACTACTTCGCAGACGACTGTCGCACCACCGTCCACCGGCACCGCTCGCACCGCTCTCAGGACTCTCAGTGGACATGCACCCGCTTCTCGTAGGACCACACGAGCCGCTGCTGCGAGCGCGATCACCGTAGCGACTGATCATGCCGTGGTCAAACGGGAGGTCCTGGCCGAAATCGTCGAGGAGATGGAAGTCGACATGCATCCTTCAACTTCGAAGGCACGACTATCATCTTTGCGGGCAACCAATGAGCGACGAGCGTCGTTACGGGCGGCTGCGGCTGCCAAGGCCGAAGCAGACGAGGAGGATCTCCGCGCGTACAAGAAGCGGAGGACGTCCTCGGAGGCTGGTGACGAGGAACTCCGGGAAACCGAGGCGCAACTGACGGAGAACGTGGCCGAGGAAGCTGAGGAGGTTGCGGGGGAGGTCGAGGACTGGGATCAGGGCTGGGACGATCTCGATGCCGAAGACGCAGACGATCCTCAGATGGTCAGCGAGTACGTCGCCGAGATCTTCGCGTACCTCAAGGAGGTCGAGGTAATGTTCTCCCTTGACGCGGCTACCTTTTTCGACTCATCTCTTTGTAGCAAAAAACCATGCCTAGTCCCCATTACATGGACTCTCAGAAGGAACTCGCATGGAAGATGCGGGGCATCCTCACGGACTGGCTCATCCAGGTCCACTTCCGCTTCCGCCTCCTTCCGGAGACTCTCTTCCTCGCGGTCAACATCATCGATCGCTTCCTGTCTGCGCGAGTAGTGTCTCTACAAAAACTTCAGCTCGTCGGCATCGTCTGCATGTTCATCGCGGCGAAGGTCGAGGAGGTCGTTGCCCCCTCTGCATCGAACTTCCTCTACTGCGCCGACTCTACCTACACCGAGAACGAAATACTGCAGGCGGAGAAATATATCCTGAAGACCATCGACTGGGATCTCAGTTACCCTAATCCCATGCATTTCCTCCGTCGTATCAGCAAGGCGGACAACTACGATGTTCAGGCGCGGACCGTTGGCAAGTACCTGCTCGAGATTTCGTGCTTGGAGTGGCGGTTGTTGCCTGCACCGCCCTCTCTTCTTGCCGCTGCCTCGATCTGGCTCGCGCGGCTGATCCTCGGAAGGGAAGAATGGGTAAGTGGCCCTGGCATACCTTGTTCATCGACGCTTATCTTCCATCCTTAGACACCGAATCTCGCGCACTACTCGTCGTACCCCGAGGAGGCACTCATCCCAACAGCAAACATCATGCTGAACTACATACTCAAACCTGTTGTACATGAATCATTCTTCAAGAAGTACGCGTCGCGCAAATACATGAAGGTGGTTCTTTTGTTTGATGTGGCTTCTGCTGGTGGTTAATCGTGTATCCTTTCTCTGCTTCGTAGGCTAGTGACTTCGTCCGGAAATGGGCAGTCGGCCAATGGGGTGAGGGTGCCAAGGTCGACCTCTACGCGGATCTGCCGGCACTTCGCGAGATGGCTCGTGAAACCCGCGAGGAGCTCGCCATCGCTGAGGCGCACGCTCGCACTGCCGAGCTCTTAGGAGAGGCCGACGACTGAAAGACGCCGTTTGGACGGACGCTCAGGAGGACCTCGTCGCTCCCCCGACGCCAGCAGACGCTCCTTTACGCAGGTACCCTTATTTATCATCCCTTAACACTATGCCCCGTCATGCACCGCATTGTACGCTACACCTACGCCCGCAGCCGCCGCATCCACGCATCTGTTCATCGACCCCCGCTTCCATTCACGCATGTTCATCGGCCAGTCCTGTGCAATCATAATCATTACAGACTACCTCACCATGTTTTCTCGTGGCGCGTCGCTTTCGGAGCTTTCTTGCCAACACCCAATGGCCACCACACCACACCTATGTCGCATGCCCGTCATCCATGCAAAGCACACTCTGTCGCGTATATACTCACTTCGCTGTCTTGTACAGCACGTTGTTCATACTGTTCTATCACTACGTTGTGGACGGCCATCTTGGGACTTGTCACCAGCGCAGATGTAATACACCCCTCATTGTTTCTTATATCCTCAATAAATACAACTTCGTTCAGGATAGGATACCTATGAGTCCCAGTGCGACCAAGCGCCGCTCCTTTTCTGCCAACCAACTCTCATCTTTCAGCCGCGACTGAACCCTCGCGGCCTCCTTCGTCAACTCCGCTTCCTCGTCGGGCGTCATACAGAATGAGAACGCCTCTCCTTGGCCCAACAGCGCCCTCGCGCGGTCCCAGCCCTTGGTGTCCTTCTGCTTGGGAGCTCGAAACGCCGGGCCCACGCGCGTCCCATTCGTCCCACATGTAGAACAACGCAACACGTTCAGAGAAGTCCACCACATCTCCGGGTCGTGTTCTCTCGCGATGGCGATTTGTTTCTCCGTGAAGCTAGCAGAGTCCGCCCGGTATGAATGGAGCCGCTCCCAGCACGCGCGATCGCGGGCGTAACCATCGGCGGCGTCTCTGGAAATGGCGTCGCGTCGAGCGTAGACTTCGTCCGAGATGCGCTGCGCTGTGCCTTCTTTGCGCACGAGCCAAGAGTCGCACCATTCGTCGATCTGGTATTCGTTACCCTCAACGATGGCCGGCTTCCACGTCCGTCTGCAGCCTAGGCAGACGTATTTCGGTCTGTACCTGTTGCGGCACGTATATGATGGCCGACTCGGAGCGGATGAGATGGCGGCAGTAGGGCTGCTACCGCCGGACGGATAACTATAGCGCTCGTTCTCTTCGATTCCCTTGGGTGTGGTGGCGTACGGGCAACAACCATGAGAACATCCTCGAATGGCTACGGCGCCAACGTGGCAGCCAATGAATCGGGCGCGATCGCTCCTAGAGCCGTCCGAGTGCCATACGTAGAGGCGTCGGCATAAACTATAGCATGAGAGAGCTTGATAGCGACTGACCGCCTGCACGACATGACCGGAATCAGAGAAGTCCCTGATGTGAATCTGTGGGATATTGAAGCCAGCGCTAACTTTAAGGATCCTATCTGAACGTGGGATACATACCAGCAATGATATGTATGGCTGTTGTTACGTTGACCGATGATGGATGATCGTCCGCTCGGTCCCAGCTTGATTTCTGTATGAGCGTCGAGCACAAGGACGGCCAAGGGCGCGAGAGTCGGCCAAATCTGAGTCGCCGGCAGTCACGTGCGCAGTAAGTCAATGGCAATCCAATGACTTGTCTGTACTTTTGGCAGTACTATAGTGTACCGTCTTCCTGTCGTCCGACGTCTTAGCCTCATCGATTACCGTGTAATCCATGCGATAGCGGGCTGCGTTGTCCAATCGGTTAGACCCTTCTGATAGGTCAGTGCTTGCTGACGACAAAACCAGTCATATATCCGTTACTTAGTTGCGTGCCAGCGGCACAGTCGAAGACTGCGGACCATCTTCTCCTTGCGACATGCCGTTGGATCTGCCTTGATTGAAGTGGATTCTGCAGCTATTGACATCCCGTGAGACGATGGGGACCTTGCCGAGAATCTCCCATTGCCGTGTATAGATGACGTTCAGCCACCGGGAACTCGAAGAACCCCGTGGGCGCCGGACAATGTCGCGAAGAGGATCCGGATATCATCTGCCCTCCCTGGGTAGCTGACCGCATGAACTCTCCGTCCAGATGGTTGCGAGCGTGTGGGGCGCATCCTCGCCGCTCACTTCACTATCATGAACTGTGCGACGGACTCGACCACCAGTACTGGCAACCGCAGAATGGACCGCACCACCGAGGAAAGAGGTGCGATCACCCAGTCACACGCCGCTGCGACGCTTCATGTTGATGACGAACACAGGCGGTGAATGTGGAGGCACGGGCGAGCCCGTCTTTTCGCCCGAGGAGTCTGCGCACATCTGTGAGGCGATGCTTCGCAAGCTCGGGGAGCGAATGGCGGAGCTTCGGGAGCGGGTCGGCCAGTCTGGCAGCGACGGGCGCGACCACATCCCCGTGGCGGACGGACAGGAACTCGCCTGCGATCTGCTGGAGTGCCATGCCATCTCCGAAAACCCGGATGCCGTTGAAGAAGCTATAAAGCTGTTTCGCGACCTTCTCGCATCGTGTCCGTTCGATGCGCCTTCCTACGTCGCGATCCTTGATGGGCTGGGCGAAGCGCTTCGCGCTCGATATGAGCTCTCCACCAACAAACATGACATTCTGGAGGCGATTTTCCTGCACAACAGATCCCTGAAGTCCCGCCGCCAGAGTAACCTGAATTTAGCCCCCTCCTTGCATGGCCTTGGGGTCGCTCTCTACACTCGTTCTATAGCGCGGAGGCACAGTGAAGTGACCGACTCAAGAAACGCGGTCGATGCACTCCTGGAAGCGTCCGAGCTTCGCCCGCCAGAAGACCCATTGCGGCCAAGAACGTTGGCGTATTTGTCCCTCTCTAAAGTCAAAGCCGCGGCGACGACACAAGAGTGTTTCCCCGCACTCGAAGCAGCGCGGGAAGCCGTTGCACTGTCTCCTCAGGGACACAAAGACCACGCGCTCTCCCTCATCGCACAAGCTTGGGCACTGGCTATGACGTATGTCATATCCGACCCGGCTTCCCGCCCCGAGACCTTACGATCAGTCCATTATACGTGCGATCTTGCGTTGAAAATACGACATCCCTACCAATCTCACTGCCTGAGGTCGTTGTCCTTTATCCTGCGGAAACGCGCAGAACACGCGAGAAGCCCTTGCATCCTGAAAGAGATACTCATGATCTCGAGGCAGGCTTTCATTATCTGTCCCTCATCACATATCTTCTTCCCGTCCAGCGCAACAGGACTGACAGCCGCGCTTTCGGAGGCATTTTCCCAGACGGGAGACCCAGAATTGCTCGATGAGCAGATCAAGGTCGGACGGGACGTCGTTCAGGCTTGTAACGCTGAGGCCAACGCCAACCGACCTCTGTTGCACAATCTATCGGAGGCTTTGCTTTCTCGTTATCGGTTGACAGAGCGAACGGAAGACCTCGCGGAAGCTCTTAAGCTCGCGGAGACATGCGTGCCCTCGTCCGGTGCAGTGAGGCCGGGGGAAATTCCGTACATGGAATTGGCTGCGTCTGTGCGCTTACTAAATTTCCGTCGACATGGGGAAGTGGAGGACATTGACCACGCCATCGACTATTACCGCCGTTGCATCCCCGTGATCGGGGAGAAGGACTGGACGTACACGCTGGGCATGGTGAAGATCGCCGTTGAGGCTCTGCAAGCTCGCTACGTGCGAACGTTCAACGTCGGCGATCTCCACGAGGCTCTGGCTTTGGGCCGCGGGGAGCTGGCCCGAATACCGACTCAACACATTCGCCGCGGCGAGCTGCTCAATGTTCTGTCCGCCACACTCCGCTTACTCGCAGAGCATTTCTGCGAACCCTCTCATGCCGAGAAAGCTCTAGAGCTCCATCGAGAAGCTCTCGAGCTCGTTCCCATCACCCATTCCACTCGTTCCGCATTGGTGGCAGGATTGGCCTCCGATTATGCATGCCTTTGGCAGCTTCGGCGTCGCGCAGAGGATCTTCACCTTGCCATGAGCCGTTTCGCGGATGTCGTTGGCGAATCAAGCACACCCCCGCATATTCGTCTGCGATACGCGCTGGAGTGGTGCTCTAGCTCCACGGATGCCGATCCGGATGTGCGTTCGAAGGCATTCGGGCGCGCCTTGAGTTTGCTGCCTCGTATTGTCCTCTTTGGGGCGAATCTGAAGTGGCGCTTGGATGCTCTCCGACAGTGCCCCGGTCTCGCACGCGATGCGGCTAAGCACGCTATCTTCCGTAACCAGCCCCGCACGGCCATCGAGCTGCTCGAGCAGGGAAGGGCGGTTTTTTGGAGCCGAGCGCTCACATCCAGACAGCAAATGGAGGGTTTGCCTAATGCACTCGTCGAACAGCTCACGGACATTTCGAGCAAGATCGACGTGGATCATACGGAAGACGACAGCATGATGAGCCGAAGGCGACAGCTCACGTCCGAGTTCGATCGCCTGGTGGGGGAGGCCCGCAAGACCCCTGGCTTCGAGCACTTTCTCCGTGCCTTGCCAATGTCGAGGCTTCAGGAAGCAACACGGGCTGGACCAATCGTCGTTTTAGTCGCGGACGAAAGGTCTGCGCACGCGCTTATCATCAGACATGCGTCAGAGGATGTGCAGGCGTTGCCGCTGCCGGGCGCCGACCTCGCAGCGCTCGAGCGGGTCTCCACCTCTCTGCACACGTGCAACGAGCATGCTCGCAGCTGGTCCCTGCCTGGCGACGATGGTGGAGAGACCAGAAAACTGCGCAAGTTTCGTATTCAACGATATCCGCCACTCTACACGCACGAGGAGGTGCTTTCGGTATTGTGGACCCTCATAGTCCACCCGGTCGTCGAGGCGCTGGGGTTGAAGGTACGCCCGCGCTCTGTCACTCATCAGCATCGGCGCGCTCACTTTGCGCAAAAGCCAGGGGATCTTGCCGCGCGTCCGCGTGTCTGGTGGTGTCTCACGGGACCCACCGCATTCCTTCCAGTGCATGCCGCTGGATTGTATCACCAAGCCAACCCAGAATGCGCCTCCGACTACCTCATTTCGTCCTATACACCCACCATCACGGCACTTCTCAGCGCTCAGCGCAATCCACCTTCCATTCGGCCGGATGGACCGGACATGTCAGTGCTCTTGGTCGCCGAACCCTCAGCCCCCGGGCACGCTCCTCTGCCGAATACGATAGAGGAAATCGACCGATTGGTCAGTATTCTGCCAACTGCGGAGGTGCTTCGCCCTGAGGTTGGCGAAGCGACTTTCCAAAAGGTGGTCGAGATGTTGCCTTCTACATCGATCCTCCACCTCGCTTGTCACGGGCGGCAGGACGAGGATGACCCTCTGAGCAGCGGTTTCATGTTGAAGGACGGCATGCTTAGGTTATCGAAGCTGATGGAGCTGAAGGTGCCCAATGCGTCATTGGCTTTCTTGAGCGCTTGCGAATCGGCCATGGGCGACAAAAAGCTGCCTGACGAGACGATGCATCTGGCGGCGGTGATGATGTTCATCGGATTTCGCAGCGTGGTCGGGACGCTCTGGTAGATCGTCTCTTGCTTATCGTCCAGTTGGCTTGTGCTAATCTGGAGGACAGGTCTATGAACGATGCCGACGGTCCGAAGATAGCGGAGCATGTCTACCGCGAGCTCATTGCGAGCCCATCCAACCATCTTGATTATGAGGCGATACCACGCGCCTTGGATGCCGCTGTCCGTAACCTGCGTGCTGAAGGCGCACATCCAAGCCGATGGGCGACGTGGATACATATGGGAATATAGTACCTGTACCATCTGTAACATAGGAATGCTATGGCTTCGACTTCTAGGCGATTTCTCCCTTCAGCTTGTGTCTCGAGTCGGGGTCAAACGCCGCGAAGTTCGATAAGTTCGAGCGCGAACAGGACAGTGATCGAGCAAAGTGAGCGTGGGAAGAATGTCTGAAAGCGACGCGTGGATAAGCTGAAGCTGACGCGTACCGCGCTTGCGCGCATCGGTCCGCTACTTGTTGTGTTCATCTCATCCTCTCCTCGTTCCCTATGGCAGAAAAACCGGTTGCTTCGATTGCGGTGCCCGCTAAGGACCCTAAGAAGAAAGAAACCAAAGATCCTAAGGACGGTCCTTCCAAACCCAATGGCGACGCCAAGGAGGAGCAGGAGTTGGTGCGTCCTGTACACGCGATCTAGTCAGGAATAGGATTTGACCATAGCCTGCTACAGTCGGATGAGGATCTCCAGCTGAAGGGAGAGCTTGAGATGCTGGTGGAACGATTGAAGGTGTGCTCACTCTCGACTTGCGTGATGTTGTCCCGCTGAACCACTTGTAGGAGCCAAACACGGATCTGTATCGCCCAGCACTGGAGACGCTACGAACATTAATACGAACATCGACCTCGTCAATGACGTCCGTGCCGAAACCACTCAAATTCCTCCGGCCACATTATCCAGATTTACAAGCTCTGTACGATTCATGGCCTGCGTCTGAAGACAAGGTAAGGATGCGTATGCAGGACCGTAACGCCCGTCTTACCATCTCTCTATTACAGAGCCTCTTTGCGGACATACTCTCCGTCCTGGCCATGACCTACTCCGACACCCAACCACGGGGAACGCTCCGCTATCGCCTTCTCTCAGCTTCCCTTCTCCCTTCAACGTCGTCCCTCTCCGACCCTGGCTCCTGGGGGCACGAGTATGTTCGGCATCTAGCGGCTGAGCTGGGTGAAGAGTATATTGACCGGTTGGAGGAGAAGCAAGACGCTACCAAGGTACTCGGGACCATAGAAGAACTACATGCCTTGGCGTTACAATGTGCTACCTTCTTACTTGGACACAATGCCGAACCGGATGCTGTCGACCTATTGGAGGAGTTGGAGATTGTAGACCGCATAGCGGAACTGGTCGACGAGAACACATACGGGCGGGTATGTGCATACATGGTCCGGTATGTACCTATGTATGACATTGCAAGGCGTCGATCTTACCTATACATAGCTGTGTCAATCTCCTCCCTCCTCCCGACGACGTTGCCTTCCTCCGCACCGCACACAAGATCTACATCCAGCACCAGAAATTCCCTGAAGCGCTCACCCTCGCCATCCGACTGAACGATCAGGAGCTCATTCGGGACGACTTCAACGCGCCCGGAAATCCGTGCGTTACGCTTCGGCTGCTCTTTAGTTGACCTGGCTGACGATATCGCGCTCAGACTCATGAAACGCCAGTTAGCGTTCATCCTTGCGCGCGCGCAGATTCCGATCGAGTGGTTACGGCCCCCATCAGCCGAGGAGGACGATGCGGCCGACTTCCAAGACGAGCTCCCGGACGATTTGCTCGAGTGTTTGAGCAACAGTCGGCTAAGCACGCACTTCAAGGCATTCGGCAAGGAAGTCGGCGTAGAGGAGCCGAAGAGTTTGGAAGACGTATATAAGTCACACCTAGAAAACACCAGTAAGCATGGAACGCTACCTTGTTGGAATATTCCTGACCATCCTCAGGGGCGGGCGCTACGCAGAATGTGGACTCCGCAAGGGCTAATCTTGCGGGCACTTTCGTCAACGCGTTTGTCAACGCTGGATTCGGTAACGACAAGCTCATGGCCGAAGCGGAGGAAGGAAACAGCTGGGTCTACAAGAACAAAGAACACGGCATGTTCAGCGCTGCAGCTAGTCTAGGCCTTAGTCTACTTTGGGATCCGGATGTCGGCCTTAGTCAAGTGGACAAGTACACGTACTCTTCGGAAGAGTACATCAAGGTACAGAACATGCGTGCGGACTATACGTGACTCTGACATTGGATTAGGCAGGCGCGTTTCTTGCCACCGGCATCCTCCACACCGGTGTCCGCTCAGAAGCGGACGCTGCCCTTGCGCTTCTCGGCGAGCACATCGAGAATAAGTCCGTACCGCTGAGGACGGCTGCGATTACCGGCCTCGGCCTTGCATACTCCGGCTCACATCGGGAAGACCTGCTGTCGCTGCTTGTATCCCTGGTCAGCGATGAGGGGCTTTCGATGGAGATTGCCAGCCAGGCTGCGCTTGCGCTGGGCTTCATCTTCGTCGGCAGCGCGAATGGTGAGATTGCCGGGACTATCCTGCAGACGTTGATGGAGAGGGAGGACAAGCAGCTGGACGACAAGTGGGCGAGGTTCATGGCCCTTGGTCTGGCTCTCCTTTACCTTGGTATGTTGGCCGGATTCGAAGATGGCCCTCGCGCTGACGGTTGCTTTCGTGTATTCCCAGGCATGCAGGACGCCTCGGACGCCACTATCGAGACGCTGAAGGCGATTGAACATCCCGTGGCGAAGCAGGCCCTCATTCTCGTCGACATCTGCTCGTTCGCTGGTACTGGTAACGTGCTCAAGGTTCAAGCAATGCTGCACCATTGCGACGAGCACATCGACACCAAGAAGGGCGAGAAGAAGGATGAGAAGAAGGACGAGAAGAAGGATGAGGAGGAGGCCAAGGAGGAAGCACCAGTCGACGACACCTATCAGGCCTTCGCCGTCATCGGCATCGCATTGGTCGCGATGGGCGAAGATATTGGAGCGGAAATGTCTCTCAGACAGTTTAACCACCTCATGCACTATGGCGAGCCCGTCATCCGGAAAGCCGTCCCGCTCGCCCTCGGGCTCGTCAGTGCGTCGAACCCGCAACTCCCTATCCTCGACACCCTTTCGAAGTACAGCCACGACAACGATTTGGCTGTGGCACTCAACGCGATATTTGCGATGGGTCTTGTCGGCGCCGGCACGAATAACGCCAGACTAGCGCAGATGCTCCGACAGCTCGCCGGCTACTACTACAAGGAGCCGGACTGCCTCTTCATGGTTCGGATTGCCCAGGGACTGGTGCATATGGGCAAGGGCACGATAGGCATCAACCCCTTCTTCTCTGACCGCAGCGTCATGAGCCGGACTGCCGTGGCCGGCTTGCTGGCAACAATAACAGCGTTCACGGACGCGAAAGCTTGTAAGTGAGCCGAGGTATTAGTGCTTGGCATTCGCTAATGGCGATCTTCGTTCAGTCATCCTTGACAAGTGCCACTGGATGTTGTACTTCCTCACCCCGGCGATGTACCCAAGAATGCTGATCACGCTCGACGAGAACCTTGAGAACAAGGCTGTGACTGTGCGGGTTGGACAGGTACGCTGATGAGACCTGTGATCTCTGCTATTTACTGACGGTTTCCCTAGGCCGTCGACGTCGTTGGCCAAGCGGGCAAGCCACGCACAATATCCGGCTTCCAGACACACACGACACCCGTGCGAATCGGGACAACGGAACGAGCGGAACTGGCCACGGAGGAGTTTATTCCTTTCGCGCCTGTGCTGGAAGGCTTCGTGATCCTGCAGAAGAATCCGGGCTGGGAGGAAGACAGAATGGAATTGTAGGCCTTCGTTGTATTGTGCATCTGCTATCCCTGTTATTGTATATAGCGTAATTCAAGCAGTCATCTGGCCGAACTGCAGAACTGAAAAATCCTTGTGAAGCGGAATGCGCACATGCATGGGTGAAACGCAAGGGACGGCTTGTCGGCGTGCGCCATCGCCAACCGATAGGCGTGGGTTGTGCGGATGCGCCTGACCTTTGCGTTCCCTGGTCATGTCAGGGCAATGTCAAGATAACACCGGCGCACAAGGCGCATATGATCCCCGTGTGGGCGGTGTAAGACATTGGCGCTGAATAAAAGCGCGACCGACAGGGTAATTGAGACCATCTCGCCCATCCTTTGTTTCCCCTCCAGTCGTAGAGGAAGCGAACGCGATGCGCACCCAGATTCTTTCCATCGCCACCGTCCTCCTCTGGCTTGGCATCGGAGCTATGGCCATACCCGCAGAACGCGACGGACTGTCAGCCGCCCTTGGACCGAGGGAGAGCATCTGCATGGGGAGATGCGGCTGTAGAACTTGCGGGTTTTTTGATGGAGAACCTGATTGCGCCGAATGCATGTATGTATCCGCAATCACGTATATCGGGCGCGTCGCTGACAGAGGCTATAGCTTTTGAAGTCTTGTGTGCGCCCTGAAGACCTGCTAAACAAGATAAATGGGGTGGATGAAACATTGATGAGAGGGATTCACGGTAGCAAGCAGGATACGTTGTAGTTCGTCCAGGAGTCGAGTATGGAAGAATGTTTATCATCTTGCAAACCGTTCACACGGGCGCGAGTGGGCGGCTGAATATTAAATCTGCCGAGTACAGTACAAGAAAGCTAGAGTCGTCCATCGATGGTGTCTGCCCAAAGAAGCGATTTTCTGGCCGTCTTATTTTCATCATGGAGGATATCAACTTACTCGGTACTCGGATGCTATCCTGTGAGGTCGTTGGATTTTTTGACTTACATATGCCCTGCCAAGAGGCTCAAAGCTGCAGGTATTTCACGCTGTGTACATGGCCGTTGACTAGCACCGAGGTCATCAAGCTTGTTGCCAGGCCGCACGCTGCGGGCGTCAGGAAGGAGATGGCACACAGCACGGTGGCCTGCGGCATCTCTGCGACCACCATTGGCCACCCCACGCGCTGGTCACATGACCGGCTTTCCGCGGTGGTATTCAGCCACAACCGTTACCCCAGACGAATTCATGACGCCGGCCATGATCGCAACCTGAGCAGACTCTCTCGTCTTGGCCTTCCTTGCAGTCCCTCGTATTCTGGTCAGATCGTCCGACTCGATGCGAAAATGTCCGGAGACCGCAAAGCACATGATCACACGGTACGCACATCAAGTTCAAACCACCTCGTCGGGTTGCTTATGGGTTTTTCAAGTTGGCAACGGACAATGCCTCGGGGTCAGGTTCGATGACTCCGAGAGGAAACACGAAACCCGCACCGCTGAACCTAGGTTCGCCCTCTCGTCCATCAACGCCCGTTCGCGGTCGACGCTACCCCACGGATCTCGCACGCGATTCCTCGCGCGTGCCTTTGCATCGCAGGGGAACATCCAAGACGTATGAGCGCCTAGAAGACCTTCTCCGAGAGGCGGGCTACAAAGAAACCCGAGTTGTGACGCCCCACGCGGAGCGCATGGCCGCACAGAGGTCTGAATCTCAGACCGGAGAGGCATCGAGGAATGCGGTGCAGAGCGGAGTGGGCGCCGTGGTAGGCTTTCTGGCGGGTTTTATTCCCGGAGCCGCGGCCACAACGGACGACTCGAAGGCAGAGCATGACCACAAACCGTCTCCTCTTGCGGACTCGCCTACGACCAGTCCATCGATCCGCAAACAATCCCTTCCGGATTCGGGCGTTTTTGGATCCGCCAAGCCTCGCGTTTCGCCAACTCAAGAGTTAGCTGGTCACAAATCGGAAGCAAACACCTCATCATTCAAGGGATCGCCTCGCGACGCTGCCTGGCCTGAACCGGAGAGCCTAGCGAGCTCCTCTCAATCCGTCCGGCCCCGCCCAGCACATCCCAACGCGCGCACATACGCTGATGCCTCTCAAGCTCATGTGTATCTCCGTCATATCGCATCGGCCCCGAATATCCGTAGACGTCGCTCGAATCTGGCGCAAAGAGACCATGGAGGAGACGAGCAACCGCCACTGCCGCGGGGCTGGCTCGAGACCGTCGCGCGTGCGGTGCTCGGCGCTCCCGAACAAGGTCACATCGGCGGTCCGGTTCGCTCGAAAACACCGGTACCTCATCGCGTCGCCGCCCTCTCGGATGGCACGAACCGACGACCCTTCGCGCCGCCGCAGACGTTGCTCATGCAGCGTGTCCACAACTCGCCCGGGAAGGTCACGGCCGCGGTAGTGGTGTGTCGGAGTGCTCCAGGATCCAGGTCGGCGTCACGAGCGAGGCCCAAAACGGGACTTTCCCGTGCGATCGGTGGAGGGAGCCTCAGAGGGAGACGAGGTAGCTCCGGGAAACGCAAGATCGATCACGGGCACGATCTACCCGTCCTTGCGGACACGCATACCGAAGGCGACATCTGGACGAAGCATGGTGGTAGGCCGTCGGTGGACGCCTCGAATGATCTGGAGGATGATGACGACGATGACGAGGGAGAGCTTGACCTCGCGCGAATTCTTGTGCCTCCCAAGAGACAACAGTCAATTCGCAGCTTGCGCCGACACCTGCAGTTCGAACGGAGTCAAAGCTTGCGCCTTCCCGGCCCGCGAAAGGTGTCCGTGTACGATACCGCAACCAGGCGGGACCAACCGGACGCAGACGTGGATGAAGACGGTATTTGGACGGGTAGAGGGCTGCGGAGGACACCGGGCGGCGAAGACGACGAAGAAGAAGAACGATACCTGTTCGCGAACAATGCTTCCAGGTCCGGAAGAGATAAACGACGGCAAGGCATCCCGACTACCTGGGGTCGGGGGCGGTAGCCTCCACTCTCCGGAAAGACTCACTACTTAATGACATCCCCTCTTTTTTTCTTTTAATTCGTAACGACCCTCCATGCATTTTCGTTCATTCATCATCGTATTTTATGCCCAGCAATTATCGCTTATTGGTAACATTGTCATGACTGTATAATACAGGAAAGCCATAATATAATAAAGACTTCGTCAGCGATCACTCGCCGAGTGCAGATACAACGGTCACTTGTGCATCTGCTGAGATCGGGGCGACCTTGGCGCGTACATACGAGACGTTGTGCCCCATATGCGATATGCGAAACCTGGATTCAGATTGCGAATGCTGGCGGCTGTTGAGGTCCGTCGACTACATTACAAACGTGAGTTGCGAACACTTCTGAACTCATCTGGAGGTGCTGATCGGGACTGTAATGATTTTCGAAGTTCAAAAGGTCCCCGCTGCTTGCCTGTAGAAATACAATCTACAATTGAGTATAACAGAATTCGAGATCATCGGTGATAGATACATAACACGGGAAGATAGCACGTATGATAGCGGGGAGAGCGTACAGAAATGTAAGAAGCGAGGAATATTATTTCAGTTCCGATAGAAGAGGGGGTGCGGTATGAAATGAGGTTGGTCACTCGCTGGAGTCCAGTGCCAATTTACTGCGACATGGTTTCGACGGTCAACCAGTCGCCGGAGGGCGTATGAACCATGTGGTGGCATCGAGTCACTTATGCAGCGACCACGATCTCGGCGGCGGATTCGGTTGCGGCGGGTGCAGTTTGCACACAGTCTGGCATAGAAAACACCAGTGGCAATTCATCTTCGTCAAAAGAAGGCAACTGGTTTTCGGTGAGCGGCGCTTCGTTCGAGAGGGGCCACTGATATTCTTTGCGGAGGGTTTGGTAAAGCTCCCTACGCAGATCCTTGTGCCGATATTTAGGCGGCAGGCAACAATCCCACTCAGGTGTCAGATCGTTCTGGTAACTCGGGGGTAAGATGGAGGTTTCCACTGAGCGAAAAGAAGGACGCAACCGGCGCTTCCGCGATCTGACTCTGATTCGTCAGGTCTGTCAAAGGGCCAGAAGGTGCAGCGGCATGGTCGTTTACGCCACTTGCGTCGGCAGGGTCGGTAGTATCGTCAAGTTGCATCTTGTAGGTATAGTCAGTGGCTCGAACGCGAGACATGCAGTTACTGTCGACTGGGGACAAGTACGGATAGGTCGTACCGGGATGTCTTCATTCGATCCTTTTGAGGCTGCTCGGGTCAATTGCTTTGTCTTTCGAGTGTTCGCCACTGCGGCTTGCTTTGCCCTGTTTTTGGCTCCCGTTTTTCTGGCCACCGTCGTCGCCGCCTTGTTATGGGCTTTGGCCGTCCGGGCTGGCTTTGTCGCCTTTCCGACCGTGTCCTTGCTCTTAGGCGTACTGATACCGGCGGCTGGACGGCAATTATCTAGAGCGTCTACCACCATGTTGTCCCCGTCGTCCGTGTTCAGTCTATCACCTCTTCTATTCGATTGCTGCGAGTCGGTGGCGGGAGTGTTAGTCCCGGAGTTTGACGTGCGCGTTCCGTTGGGAGCAGAAATCTCGGTCTTGGAGACCTCGCTAAGCCGGCTCGCAGAGCGAGTGACAACCATTGGATAATTTAATGACGTGTAGTGTAGGAAGGAATATAGGAAGAGAGGTGGTAAATGCGAAAGATTGAGCTCGGGTGGGATGTGAGGGATGTGAGGGATGTGTGGCGGGCTGAGCTTGATTCGTTGGGTTTATATACGTCTTCTTTGTCGTGGTAGTTAGGAAATGGCAGGAACGCCAATCGGGCAAGGGCCACCCCTGCGCCTCTTTGTAGGGGCGTATGGGCGGGGGTCCTTCGTGACCGTGGGCACGATCTGGCCAACCATATGAATCGGCGAGACACAAGGCTCATGAGGCACGGCGACAATGCCCCAAGGACAGTCATGCCGTTGACAACGAGGAACATGTCCGTACTTGAGAAAGACAAGTGAGCGCTAGATGACATGGCAGACGGAAGTAGGCTTACGAGAACCAGCAAGGCACCTTAACAGACCGTCGGACATTCAGATTCAGGCAGTCACTCAACCCGAATGCATCAGTATTTTCATTGGCAATTCTGTTACAAGTGAATGTGTTAGATATGCGATATGACATTGCGGTGCGTAAGTGTTCAGCGTTGAGGCGAACACTGAATATTATCAGTCCGTAAGCCCGTATAATATATCCCAGTGATCGATAGAAATCAACGCGTAAAAATGAGATGGGGACAGTACGATTAGTAGCCGCTTCCGCGTCTGGTGACGAAGTTCTGTGTAACGCTAACGTTCAGAAAATAAGTCGGCCGGGGAACGATGACGACGAACCTCCAGATCAGCGGCGGTAGCCAAGCCAAGAACAAATTTGCGGTCGTAGTCAGTGACTGGGATGGCAAGAACATGAGTCGACGAAGGAAAGATGCATACAAACGTAGCAGCCACGAACCTAGAGCGAATAAGTTATTTTGCAAGAAGGTCTCTAGTTCCGAAAGCGGTGTATCTGGCGTGATGACGGTATAAGGGTGCGAGCGAGTGCGTTTAAACTTCGTCATATGTGCGATAACTTTATCGCTCTGCCGAACAGTTAGTCGACGTTGATGTGATGCGACGACGAAGATGCATCATACCGGATCGGCACCACCCGTTTGCCATTTATCCTTCAAGGCGGCCACGTCAATGTATCCCAATGGCTTCCTGTTGCTGTCTAGCACCCTATAAGAGAGCAAGGAGCAGTTGCTCGATTAGAGCATGTCCCGATTGCGCTATCAAACGTTGATGACGTACGGGATATGTGAGAAGTCCCGCTCGTATGCAAGTTCGAGAGCGCGAGAGATGGCCTCGTCGTATGGCAATGCAAATGCGGGAGGCAGTTGCAGATCCTCCACGACTGCGCCGCGGTATTTGTCCTGGGTGAGCCCAGGGGCCATCTTCCAGTGTTCGTTCGATGGAGTCGATGTGTTGCCAGTAAATGATATCGACGAGGTTTGAGAGTATGAGCTGGTTGCTGCAGTTGCCATGTAGTAAAAGTCTTCTGCGTCGAAATCAGCAGTAGTGGTGCACTTCACGATGGCAAATCGCGCGGCCGCTGCGAACCTCGACGGTGACCTACCTCGACGAGCGCTTTCGCGTGTAAGCGCCGTACACAGCCATACTCATTGACCTTCACGACGGCGACCGCCTCCGCTTGCCGGTTGACTTCAACTTTTCAGGTTTCTTTGGCTGTTTCTCCTTCGGGTGTATGCTTGTGACGACAGCTCGAGACTTTTGAGCACTCTCCGGCGGCCTTAGCATCGATATTTGTTTTCGTTTCATCTTCAATTGGTTGCTGTGCATACCGGTGCAGTCTTCAAAACTGTCCAACTGTTCCAGCACCCGAGCATCGTTATCTTACGGCGTTGGCAACCATCCGGTAGCTGAAGGAGGCTGGCGTAGAAGTCGCAGAGCGCTTCAATTCGGCTGCTATGGGCTCGGACGGGTTTCAAATCACTATCCCAGGTGAGTCCAGACGTTCGTCTGCATAAACGGATCGCTTATTGGCCGATAATATCTGAAGACCTAGGAGAGGACGATGGTTTTGCATTCGGTGGCTCTACAACAAATGCGGGTGGATTCGGAGGCGGCGGCGGAGGCTTCGGTAACGGCGGGTTCGGTGCTGGCTCAGGGGGTTTCGGCGGCGGTGGATTTGGGCCTGGTGGATTCGGTGGCTTCGGTGCAACAGCATCGGGCGCCGATTCCCCGTCATCGTTGACACCGATGCCCTTTTCCGAGCGGCAAGATAGAGGGTACTTTCACAGTCGCAACGATTCCGCAGCTTCGGAGGACTCTGCTATCTCTGGCGGCGCGTCCAACATCGGACCTGGCTCCATCATCGGGCCCGGTTCCATCGGCTATCCACCAACGACTCCTTCCTTAGCCACTAAGTCCTCCTCGCGCCCTTTTGGACATGCTTCACAGAACTCGACGGGGGTGACGAAGAAGTCGTCGTTTGCGTCACTTCGGAACGCGTTCAAGAGCAATAAGAACACCACACCCTCGGATACGCCTCCCGTTCCTGCGCTAGATCACACCTCCTATCCCGCCCTGAAGAACCCATTCAAATCTGCAGGAGGTCGCAGACCCTCTACTGACGGCGCACGCCCTTCCACGCCCAGCTCTTACAAGTTCGGGCGATCATCTATTTCGAAGCAGAAGACGCAGTCGTTCCGGCCTCAGCACTCGCAGTCCGGAAGCTTGTTTCACGGTTCAGATGGTGGTAGCGATCACGGACATGGGTTTGGGTATTCGCGCGCCGTGTCTCCACCGCCGGTGCCACCGATGCCAGAAGGCGCGCGAGATTATGGTTCTTTCAGCCAACCAAGCGACAAGGTCGTTTTGGATCCGAAGACTCCGTCCGAGTGGGCGTTCCATGCTATATTTATACGGTTCGCTACGGCCGTGGAGATCAAAGTTGACGCGTTCCTTCGTCAGCCTCTTGTACGTCATTTGTCAGCAACATCTCCATGTAGCTAACAACACTCGCTCAGGATGCGGAGCCGCTGATGGCAGAGACTATTGGGCCTGGCATCGATCCCAAATTCGACGACATCTTGCGCTCCTTAGGCAAGGTGGCGCAGAAGTCGCCCAAACCTGTGATCGACTCGATCTATCGCTGGCGAAACTCGCAGGAGTCTGAGCCCGTTTCGCCTGAGCTGGTTCGACTGCACGCCAGCCAGTCGCCGCCCCTCACCCGTGGTGTGCCCGCCACCAGCACACCTTCCCGCGCTCGTATGGACGTTCCTGCTTTGTTACTGGAGAGGAAGACAATGGTTTCTGTGTACATCATGACGCAAGCGTTGATCTCCATAATGCAGGCGATCTCTGGGGGAAAAGAGGGCAAGGGCGCGACAGCCTTAGACGAGACAACAGCCGTGACGCTCGCGCGGAGCACATTCAGGGCCTACGTCGATGCGGACATGAGGTCCCTTGCGAGCTCGATGAATCTGAGACAGAATGAGGAGATATATGCACGATTGTTGGGGGAGATTGCGAAAGTCAGGTCAGCGTCGTTCATTCTCGTTGCCGTCAGTCTTTCTGACTTCTGCGTGTGAAGGTTTATGGCGGTGACGGACCTGTTCCTGTCGCAGTTAGCCCCTATAGCCGCCGGACAGATATCCAAGGATGTAGATCTACGGTACGAGAACCTTGTGCGGGGGCTTAAGTACATACAGATCAAGGTGGGTGGCTTAGCGGTTTATCACCGAGAAACCACGGATGTATCTCACTTGCTACAGGTGTACCCGCCGGAAGCGTTTGAGGATGGGGCCGAATTCATGGAGACGTTCTCCAGGTCTTTCGAGCACGCCCATGGCGCTCGCCTTAAGACCGCGTTTGCCGAGGTTCTCGTCAGATTGCTACACCCCATGGGCAAGGTGCGATATTACAAATCTGATGCATTCAGATCAAACGAGACTGATCACAATCCGGTTTGCAGACAGCTCAGGCTGAAGTAAACCATCCGTTATGGGCGAAGGCAATCGAGGTCATATATCCCAAAGCCAAAGACATGATGTCGAAGCCGAGGTATTGGCAAGTGGCGTACCCGCTTGCAATCGCAAGCCTGTGCATGGCTCCCTCCGAGTACTTCCTTCGCAACTGGATATCTTGCTTTGACCTCAGCATCGTTAGGGTTAAGGTTAGCCTGAAGTTGCGTAGCCGCATTAATTGTCGTTGACGCACGCTATTCTCACAGGAGAAGCCATTTCGAATGATCGCGATGAATGGTATCATGCGTCTGATATGGACCTACCTATACCGATGCCACGAGCCGTCATCAACCGCTACCTCCAAGCTCGAAAACATCCTCACCCATTTCTTCCCGTCCAACAAACTAGCAATCTTCCCGGCCGATGACCATCTCGAGCCTCTCGTCTTTATTGTGCATTTCGTTCTCTCCCGCCATTTCGAGTATGGCACAGAGTTTGTGTTGGAGCTCATGCAAGAGAATGCTCTTCGCTCCGCGAACATGACCAATATTGGGGCAACTGTGTCGGCGGAGAGGCTGTCCGTAGCCGTGCAAGCGATCCTGCTGACTCTGCATCGCATCGAGCGTGAGGAAGCTACGCCAACTTGGCCGTCAAGATGGGACATGTCGGAGTTGGCAGCCTGGGAGGACTACCCTACCTCTTCGGACTATCCGTCGGAGGCGCTCATCACATCGAAGCAAGGCATTCCCGACCTTCTGAGCCGACTGGGGCCTGCGCTGACTACCATCGCTGTTCATTGCGCCAACGCAATCGGGAAGATGTGCCTGTTCGACGAGCAGTACTCGCTGGCGGCATCAACTGTCTCTTACGAGGAGGCCCACAACTATATTGTCCGGAGACATCCTGAAGGCAGCGTCATGTATCACGCCCAATTCGTCCCACAAATCATCATGCTCGAGACATGCTTTCGTTCTTGGCCTAGGTTACTCCACTCCTCTCTCCCAATAGAAGAGGCGCTGGATATGCTTTTGCGTGGCATGGTACACGTGGAGCCCAGCGTTGCGGACGTTGCTTCTCAAGCACTGCGCCGTCTCATGGGCGACACAGAGCACGCCAGGATGACGTTGGCGAAGTTCTTCGAGTTCCTCTTTGGATCGGCACAGATCTTACAGGAATCAACGGGGTTGCGTCTGGTTTGCGAAAGCGGGAGGTTGCGCAATCTTTGGATCAGCCTCTTCGATGGATGGATTGCGGAGATCGTCAAGCGACCATTCGATTCTCTCCCAAATCACGAGAAGGATGCAATGATCCTTCGTCTGGACGAAATGCAAGCCGGTGGTTTATTCCTCACCGCCCATGACACCCCCAGCGTCGCTTCTGCCGGAGTCAGGATGCTGCGTCTGGCGCTGTCTCTTGATTCCCATATCGCTGCATCCGTGGACAGGCCCCAATCTGATCTCTTGGAGATGCTGCGTGGCTCCGATGAAGTCCAATTACGTATCTTGCAAGGTTTTGATGAACTCGTCGGGCGAGACACGCTCAAGCGCCTGCAAAATCTTCGAGAGGCACCACAGGACGACATGATCCTCCGTTTGGCTGAAAGCAGCGATCGCCTCGACAGGCAGATATGGAAATTTACGTTTGCTCGACTGGTGGAGATTTGCAATATACATCAAGAGCCAGCATTGAGCCTTTTTCGGGAAACGCTTGTCGCATCTGTCACCAAATTGCATCCAGCCATGGCTCACCTATGCAATCTTCCCCATCGAGGCTCTCCGGTGTCCGCCAGTCGGGCGCCAGGTGCAATCAGCGACGTCCGTGTCGTTCAAGATTACGCGCCTTCGATAGAGCAGTGGGCCTTTTGGGTCAAGCTCCTTGCGATCACCGCCACTGTGAACGAGGTCAGAACGCCTGCTCCTGGAACACCCCGAGAACATTCGCGTGCGCCATCGACATCGGCCATCGACAGGGATGCGATGACAACATGCCGTGGCATGTATCGTTACATGGTCCCATTCCTCGAAAGCGAGTACACCATCTTCCGTAGCGCTGCGGCTGTTTGCATCGGATCCTTGCCGGCTGCTGCATACTCTCAACTCCTCGAGGACCTTAATGCTCTTGCGGGTCGCAACTTCTACGATGATGCAAGAACCAAGTCCGCTTTGCCCACCCTCATTGGTCGCACCCGCAGACAGGAACAGTTCTACACTGCAGTTGCGCGAGTATATTATCTCACAGCTCACCACCTTCAAAGTCAGCGATCCGCTCAAAGACAGGTCGCGCTCACCCATGTCCTCAAGTTCGTGCGCTACACCCAGTCGTTCCTCTCGCACCCCGAAGTTCGGGAATGGGCAGAACTGCAGCGCCTACGAAGGTATTTCTGTGGCATTGTCGAACAGGTGTTTGACGGCCTAGCTACCCTCATGGATTCTGATCGATTCATCCCTCCCAACATGCACTTGTCGCTCTATCGGCTATGCGAAGAATGGTGTCAATTCGGGGCACAATCTGCGGTCGTAAAACAGCGCTTAGTGACGATGCAGATGGACGCTGCCCGGGCCGAGGTATCACAACGGGAAAATATTGAACGCTTTCAGACGGAGACTCGTCGCCTCTCAAATGCTGCGGTTGGAGCCTTGGCGGCCCTCTGCGTATGTAACCTCCCACCCACCCTCAATGCAAGCTAACATAACGTCATACAGCATAAGGCTTACTTTCCTCCTGATATGTCGTCTGGTTCGCCTACGGATAGCAGCTCTCGCGATTTCTTGAAGCCCCTTCAAGCTTCGACCACCTTGGACCGCCTGATGTCAATCCTTGCTTCTTTCACAGAATCGATACAGGCGCTTGGCAAGTGAGTGAGGGTTACTTCATTGACATACTCTATCCTCATACAAGATATATATACAGGAAGGCCCTGAGGCTGTTGCTCATCCATGGATCTTCCGATCCCGCTCTCACTGACGAAGCCTTGAAGCGGGCGTTCGTGACTGCTAGTGGTCTAGGGACGAGTAACGGTCGATTCTTCGAGGTCGTAGCCGAAGTCATATGCACTGCCGACATGCATCCCTTTTCCTTCGGCCAAATCGTCATCCTCGGGTTGTCCAACCTTTGCCATCCCCTCGTGGAGGTACGCCAACAAGCGTTCAGAATGCTTGAGGCTCTGCACGAGCAACATTCGGGAATGATTTCGATGGGACAATTCGAAGTGGCAATCGGAAGCTCATCTCCCAGTATATATCTCCACGCTTGCCGACACGTTTCCGATCTCCTCGCGAATGAACACCCGGGACAATCCCACAGTGTACTTGTTCAGTTCACAGACTGGATGCCTCGGATCTGTGACGGATCGTCTGACAAATTGGCCTTGCATCTCTTGCAGTGCTTGGAGTTCTGGTGCTCACACATCAACCTCATGGACGAGGACAAATCCATTATATCCCGTGAAGGTCAATTCGCCCTCTATCACCTAATGGCCCTGACCGTGCGCTACGGTGACTCCTTTCCGGAGCAAATTCGTACCCTATGGTGTCGACTCGTCGACCCTCCGCATCAGTATAACGGCCATGCAACTATTCGATTCCTCCTTGAACAGGCACCGAAAGTTAACTATCAAGGTTTTATCCGCGCGGCCGCAAAGATAGTGGCTTCACTTTGCGAGAGTGCGATTGGCCCTTCCATATTCGAGGACATCTGTAGCTTGATCGGACCCGATAGGCTTTTGCCAAACCTGGAGCACAAACTAGCCTTCCCACAATCCGAAGATCAAGATCTCTGGATTGTCCTCGATAGCCTATTTCCTGAGCAGCAGCGCTTCGCTCTCGGCCAGGCACAGTTCGCCTTCTTATTCCTATCCGACGTAGCTGTTGAGCGACAGTGGGAGATGCAGCCCCAGCTTCCGGTGCTTCTGCATGTGATCTTCACTCATCTGGATCATCGCATACCCTTCGTCCAAGACCACGCCCGACGTATGCTGCTTCAAGTTCTGCGGTCATGGGCCCCTGGATACAATGAGATACCCGATCGCTCTACGCACGCATCGTATCAGCAGGTCAAGCTAAGCATCCTGGAGATGGAGGAGCAACTCCAGGCACGCCTGTGGAAGGAGGACGAACCAGCATCGAAGGTCGTGGAGAAGATGCGGAAGTTGTCTTCACAAGTCCTGGCGTTACTATGCCCTCTGCATCCAAGACTAGCGCACGAATGGGGGACCTTGGCAGCGCAATGGGGTACCACATGCCCCACGAGGATCATCGCGTTGAGGTCGTTGCAGATCTACCGTGCTTTGGCTCCGCCTATGACCAAGCATAATCTAGCTGTCCTTCTCGGCCGACTGTCTACGACTATATCAGATTCCGAAGAGCCGATTCAAGTGTACACCGCCGAGATGATCCTGATCTTCACGTCCATGGCTATATCGGAGACGCTTGAGCTGTCATTCTTGCCTCAAAGCTTCTGGGGTGGTTGCGCCTGCTTGTTGACGTCGGTGGAAAGTGAATTCTCGCTTTCGTTGGCGTTTGTCGGCACCTTGTTACAGCGACTGGATCTAGGTGACTCCACCACAACAGACGTGATTTTGTCCCATCGACCCGCAGACTGGGTCGGACCCAGCGGTCTGCAACCTCTCATTCTTCCTGGCTTGCGATCTTCGGAGACCTTGATGGCGTCGATGCAGGTTCTGCAGCGCCTTGCCAAGGTCTATGACAAACGCCTAATCGATGACTCGGATGGTCGCCTGCGGGATCTATACGTGCTCGCTCTGCCATGGTGCGCGCACGCCATGGCCGAGGAAGACAATGCAGAACGGTTGAAGGAGTTCGCCATGGACATAGCAGATCTAGCTGAGCAAGAGGAGCGCTCCAGCCTTGGTCGCATCATGACGTCCTTCGCCAAGGCGCGCTTTAGGACAAAGGACGACTTCTTGCGATCCTCCGTGAGCTGTTTGCGAGAACACTATGCCAACCAGTGGCCGGAGGTCGTTACTCTATTACTTGGCTTGCTGCTGAATAGAGAACGATGGCTTCGTCTGCACACTCTACAGATCCTCAAGGCGCTGTTCAAGTTACACCGTATCGATCTCGCGGGCTCGGAGATGCTGATGCCGTTGTTGCGACTGCTCGAGACCGACTTGGCTGACTTAGCTTTGGAGGTGCTCGAGGAACCGTTCACCATCTCGGGCGGACCAGCTGCTAAGCATGTTCTCCGCATGAGCATACACGCAAATGGACAGCTCCCTCGACCGGAACCTCTAGGTGAGGTTTTCGGTCTACCAGCGGAGTCAGGGTGGAGTGTCGCCAAACCCGAGCAAGCTAAGGCCATGTGTCGCCACGACGTCCTAGCAGTGTTCAATGAATCTCAGCCTCAATCTCGGCCCTCTGCCATCGATTTCGAGCCCGAGGACGACATATTTGCAACATACGATGCAGAAGAGGAGCGCGACGATCTAGGCGAGCTGGTTAGCGACCTTCACGAGCTCAGCAGCTTCTTCCAACGCCGGGATTCATTCGCGAGGCCCCGCACCGATGCCGTACCGAACCAGCGGCTTGAGGCTCGAGTTGCTGCCATATTGGCCAAATCTACGGACGGCCCGAGCATTCCGCAGACACCATTCGTCGACGTCTTCCGGGTAGGATCGATGTATTATAGTTCTTCCTCCGAGCACGAATCCGGCAGCGAGTCCGAGTCCTCTGACCTTTTCGAGTTCGACAAGCTGTCGGGCCGCTATTCTCCTGCATGACCGTTCATCTCCTCTCCGCTACGCTTTCGACGCTATCTGATTATATCTACGCACTGTATCAAACTAACATAGAGATCTTATTAAGGAAGGAACCATGTAATTCGTAGCATACTCATCCCGGTGCAATCATGACTAGCAACGCTCGAAAACGTGATACAGCTCGGGAAGGCTCGCGACTTGAAGGACGTCCCGCTCAAGCAGCTTCTTGGGTGCTACCATGTAACGCATGGCGGGGAACAGAACGTGCTCTATCTGCCAGCGTGCGGCCTGCATTTCGGGTGATTCATTCTCGGCGGTCCCAGGGCCGGCGGTCGGTCCCAAGGGTTCGGAAGTGTAGAAATAGGCTAGCTCCCGTAGGAATGTATCAAAGCACATCATCTCGTCGGACCAGTCCACCTGCATTGACCAATCAGACACAGTTCAATACATGGGGACATCAACGTGCCTGAGGCCCAAGTCGCATGAGGAACATCGGCAACCTATCCAAGTTGGGCGTGTATCCTCGCAACAACAAGGGCAAAGTTTCGACGTGGCCATCTGCACTGATGTTGAAGGCGAAGTACTCCCCGAGCATTTCACGCCTCGCGATGATCGAATCCGCAATACGCTATGTCACAAAATCAGCGGCGATTCGACGTGTTGGCCCCAACATTCAACGCTACACACCTCCACAAGCTCTGGTTTGCTCAACTTGCTCTTGCTCGTATCTTCAACCTCGATCCCAATCTGGATCAACGCGCGTAGATCGGGCGCGGGCTCGAGTCGCATGCGCCCGTATCCGCCGAACTGGCGTAAGCCCAGCTGATAGAAAAGCTCTTCGGCGAGCGCAGCATGGTTCACGAGGTACAAGCACTTCGCGTGCTGGATGAGCGAAAGGCACTTGTCGAGGTCGACGATGCCGACGAAGACAGGCGCGCAAAGGATCTCCGTGAGCACTGAGATCGGTACGACCAATGAGAAGAGGATAAGACGCATTGGACGTAGAAACTTACGATTGTGCCGATCCTTCTGAACAGCTTGACGTAGCGCCGCGATTGATGAGAGCCAGCACTCCGTTTCCTTAATCTCGTGCCGTCTATGAACGGTCGCGGTGGGTGTTGGTGCAGTAGAAGGAGGCTGGTCCGCGTCTACATCGATGGCATCATCACCTTCATCCCCTCTATGGTATTGGCTCCGCGTCTTGGTAAGGTGTGTTGACGGAGGCTGACTTGGGCCAGCTACGGAGAACATGGAGTCGAGAGTTCGGTCTTGCATCGATGTGCGGATTTTGTGTTGCGAAGCCACCTTTTTCTTTGCGGCCGTCGAAGCTATGGTGATCAGACTGATTACCAACCATCCGGTGGACATGAGATTGGGTGGCGGCTCACTGGATGGTTGCGGGTGTTGACTTGCATCTAGCTCGTCGACTTCATCATCCTCCTCGTCCACCCCGTCCTCCTGCTCCTCTTGCGTTTTGCTATTCTCCTTCCGTCCTACTGCTGCCGAGGGTGCTAGACTGAGCGTTGTTTGGTATGTAAATGTCCGGCTCTCGTTCTTCTTGACGAGCATCTCGCTGCACGCGTCCGCCACGCGCGACGTGATCGCCTCTTCGTCGAGGAAGTGCACCTCACGTTTGGTTGGATGCACGTTCACGTCTACTGTGCGGGGATCGAGTTGCAGACTAGTGATGATGAATCGTGAGCCGAATGAACGCGCGGGTATAAGAGCGGGGAAAGCGTCTAGGGTGAACGAACCTGAGGTAGATCCACGGGCATGTGCCCTTCGGCAGTATACCATTGTAAATACCTTCCAGGGCTCGCCGTATGCGCGAAGAATCGACGAGCCGATCTGATGATGGCGTTGAGCGAGTCAAGAGTTTCACAAGTAAATGATATGCTTACGGTTGATGAACAATAAAAACGTAGTCTTCTTCGCGTGGTAATTCGTGCTCGAGATGTACGCCTCAGCCGTCCATGTTGCAGGCTCGACACCCAGTCCCTTCTCTTCCGCCGCTCGACTCTGCTCCTCGGTGCCGCCTTCCAGCTCGTCCATAACCATATCTTCCGGTTCGGTCTGGCGCTGTTTGCCCTTGTCTTTGCTTGACGCGACAGCACCTGTCTCATCGGCCAGACGCTTGCGCTTCTTGGCGTTGGGCATCTTTGGAGGAGCAGCTACCGGTACATGCAGAAGCTCGCGAGCGACTGTGTGTCCGTAAAGCAAGCGGATGGTCCCCATGGTTGTTGACCCAGAGGGTGTTGATACGTCCGGACTAGATGTTCCCACCTGAATGCAGTATCAATGACCAGTTCGAGGAGATATAAAGTACATGAAACATACCTTCTTGCAGGTAAATGCAACATGCGGATTGTGCACGGCGTAACGGGTCACTACGTCCAATATGCGGCCGTATTCTTCTGAAGAGCTACGAAGCGCGGCGAGACGGGTAGGAGTATTGTAGAACAAATTCTCGACCTGAGAGATTGACAACACAATAAGGAACTAAAATGCGCAGTAAAGGGATGAACATATTACAGTTATGACTGTTCCGTCTGTTCCCGCACATGGCTTTGGGTCAGGTGTCAAGTTGGGCTTGGGAGGTACTAGGACACCATCGGAATAATAAGCCCTGTGAATCATGTTAGAGGGATGAAACAAATGAATAACAATAACTTGGAAGGTGATAGGCAAAGCGGATGTTGAACGAGCGGCTTCAGGTTAAGAAACGAAGGGCAAAGTCGTACTTCCACGCACAGCTGTCTTCCTTCGTCTTGGTGACCACCGAGAGATGCGCTACATGTGATACGGAGGCGAGCGCCTCGCCTCGAAACCCGTAAGTCGTCAACCCGGACAAGTCCGAAAAGGTCTGCAACTTCGAGGTCGTGAATCGTTCGGCAAGGATGGGCAGGTCTGTTTTCTACACGAGTAGGTAGTCATTTAGTGCAACCAGCATTATTGGAGAAGGAAGAGGAAGAAGCGAACATACGCGAATTCCATGTCCATTATCTTGTATCTGTAGGAGCTTCATTCCCCCATCTTTCACTGTGATCTTAATGGAAGTCGACCCTGCGTCGAGCGAATTCTCCAGCAGCTCCTTGAGCGCCGATGCTGGCCGTTGTATAATCTGGTAGAATGGGTCGGCAAAAGATCATCTCTGACAGCGACAGAGCAAAGCACCTCGCCCGCTGCTATACGGTTGATGAGCGTCTCATGGAGGCGTTGTATGGGTTTAGGTCCGGGAGGGGGAGGCGATTCCGAATCAGGCCGCGTAGGTGTATTTGCCATGTTTTGGCACACTGTTAGCCAGTGTTTCTATCAGAAAGAGCGGATATAGATCCACATTATTCACTCGTACGGTGGACATGGACTCTGATTCTGAACGACACAGACGCGTCGTTATTGCTCAAGCCGTCGCGTCGTCGCGGAGCGTCGCGGCCAGTGCGGAAAGGAGTGGACGTCACGTGAGCCTAGCACTAGTACCACTAGAGCCTCTGGGTTCCCACGTCACATTCACTACGGAATATTCAGAAACATGGTCCCGATGTCCACAGGCTCAGGATCTACCTTTGAAGAGATGAATATGAGAGATAAAATGAAGTATAAAGTAGACTGAATGCTTTTGGGGCGATAGATTTTTGGTCAAACTTCTCCACCCCCAGATACCTCTATTGCTTGCACCTGTTTTGGAGGTACGGTGGGGTTCGAAAATACTCTAACGCGCCCATTCGTATGAGAACTGCTTGAAGCAAATTTTTAGCATTTTGAAATGATTTTATTCGGTACAGTGGTGCAGCAAAACTTTGGCGGTTGATGCCTCAGATGTCGGGGATGGAAACACTCGTCCCACGCCTAGCTTGCGTAGGCGTGTAACTTGCTCTCAGTGCATCATTCATAATTATTTTATAGAGCTTCTGGTAGCGATTAGAGGATCTTCGATTTTATTTAGCTTGATCCCATCCAGTGTTATAATGCTATTGCTCTGGAACCACACATTTGGTCGTCAAAAGGTAATTGTGGCGTGTGAACCCAAGACCTCTGTTACACGGCGACGCATTGTTGCGGGTCCCCACTATGTTAGCGCCCGCGACCGCTGCCCCCAAGTTGCAGGTCGGTCGGGTACGTGTTCAAGTACTTGATCGACTCGGTATTCCCTCAATGTCTCGTTCCTTGATCATGTTGCTTTCAACTTGTACACTCAAGGGTCTATGGGATCGACGTTGCTCTCACACGTGGCCACCGCATATTCTACAATGCATCGCGCATCCAAACGGTCACCCGGAAATCTCTCAGGTCATCCCAATAACCAGCTCATGCCACGCTTTGACTGGTATTAATGAAGTCTGAATGCCCATGATATAGTAAGAATCGTTGAGAAACTAACCCTGGCCTCTTGTCAGATTGTGCATGGCCCCCATTGACGACTGTCATACCAACTGCCGCCTTGTGGTCTGGCATGGGTACCGTGACCGGCTCCAGCTTGGCTCAAAATCGGTGATTCAGCTCTCAGACTGGCTATTTCATTCGTTTACTAGGGCCGTATCAGATCTTGAATATGAACTTTGTTCAGAGTGCTGCAACATTTGACCGTCCGGTGGGTCTTGTCGTTATCTCCATGTCGCCATATAGTTACGACTGTGGCCAACACAAAACTACCCATTGTGGCTCGTGGCTTTGCGGGGTTCACTATGATGAAAGAGACCATACGCGCCTCAATACAAAAGCGCCGTCATTCTACCAGCGGTTTCATCCCTGCCTCCCACTATACCCAAATACCTCTTTCATCTCTTTTGTTACTTGGTTATGCCGAAGGTGCAAGCTCCGCGCGCAAATCGTCGCCCCGCCGCGAAACAAGCGACTCGTGCTCATGCGTCCCGCACGAACGCGGCGGCGACCGAAGGTCAATCGCGCGACTCATTAAAAGGCCATCGCGCGAGCCCCGAGCATGCAGAGAAGTTAGAGCGATTCTTTGCGGCCAACCCATACCCCACCACGGAGGAGAAGGTGGGACTCGGGTTCGAGATTGGCTGGTACTTTTATGTCCTGGATTTCACGAAGCCTCCAATGATGCTAAAACATGTCGCTCAGGACGGAGAAGAAGGTTACTGTCTGGTTCCAAAATCGCCGGCAGAGAGATACAAGAACCACGGCTCGACTTAAATCCGCGTCGAACGCGTCTAGTTCGTCGGTCTCGTCGCAGGCGACAAGCCGGTCCAACTCGATGACGCCGCTCACTCCTGCCACCTCGTTGTCTGCAACGTCTATCGAGACCGACGAACCGTCGAAGGTTATGGCGGAATTCGGCTCCGCCAGTCTTCCCGTGGCGTTACGGCCTTTCTTCAATCCGATCCCTGCTGCTACGTCCAAATCCACTGCGTTCGGGAACACCGTCAGGATGCTTGTTGTGGCTGCTCTAGAGACGCTAGATGCTGCGGAAACATTGATTTTACTGAAGGAGGGAACATGCGGACCGTGAATGCCCACCTATCATGTGCCGTTTGTCAATGCTGTCTGAATCCCTGTTATTAGGTTATCTCATCCGGAAACTCGCGCATATCTGTACTTGTATCCCATTCATCATCGCATCTATATAGTAGGCTATTCTACCGATGTACCCCTAATCGTAATATTTTGCGGATATCCACACTCGTGTTGTCTGAACTAAGCTTTGAAGCAACTGTGTAAAGTATAGTGTATGGATAATCGTGTTCCATTTGTAAGAACATGACGACAGTCTCCGCCGGCTCGCGCTGCCAAATTCTGATCCTAATCCCCGCCCGTATCGGGTTGACTACGTTCCGTTCCATACCACTGTCATTTGACAGAAAGACGGATTACTATAGGATGTTCGCGCGATATCAGGGATTCTGAATGCTGCGCACTGAACTACATCGAATCGGGATGCTAGGTACAGATGCTAGGTACATCTTCCGTCAACTCTGCGCAGAGCGCTGTTGGACCGTAGCATCTTTTCAGCAGTAGTTGTACTCATCTGCACCCTGTAGTGATGTGACCCTGAGCGATATTATAGCACCGGCACTCCTTTGGCGGGAGACAAAAACGTCGTACACGGAGCAGGCAGCAGTAAGCGCATGCATACGTTGTCGCGGTACTCGGCTGTAATGACGCCAGACATGAAACGGAACACAACGCTCATACGGGATCGACGACGGAGATATTGGGCAATGGTGCGTATCTCGATCCAGGCCTTAGTCATAGGCTGCAGAGCGCAGAAATTTCCGGAAATCGCTTGTGAGACGTCCCTGCGTGATTGGTCGAGCGACGAACGGCAGCACCAAGATTCCCATGTAGTCCCCACTCGGCCGATGAATCATGAAGCACCCCTCCAGCCCAGAGATCGCCGTTTGCTCCAAGCTATAGAGGAGTTGCACAGCCCGGGAGACTCGATCGCACAGTCGATCGATAGCTTTCGACCTTCCTTTCGTTCTCGCCATCACCACGACCAAACGGGGGGGTTGAACGCCTTGATGCAAAAGTATCCAGCTGATGGGATGGCGTAGGGGCGACAGACGCGTTTCGCGGAGGAGAGCGACGCAAAGCGGCATCGCAACAGACAGTTCGATAGATCCTTCGCCGCGAAACGTTCAAGCGAGCAGACGCCCCAAGGGGACTGAACGCAGACATATTACTCGAGTCAACACGGATGACCGATAACGTCGGGATGAGTATATCGGATATGTCACTTTATTTCCGGGTCCGACACGTACTATATACGATGACGAATCCGGAGGCGGACGCACGGAGCGCAGGCGGGACGGACGGGGGAGAGGAGGGTTCAGCATGGTAGTGGCGTGGCCTCGACGAGACCGAGTTGCCCAACGGAGCATCGGGGCTGCGGACGGCGTCCCGCTCCCTGCAGCTTCGTCCTCCGGTGGCAGCGGGTGAGTGGGCGCGGAACTTCCGTGCGCGCCCGGGAATTGCGCTCGTCGGCGCGTCCCTGCGCACGCTGATGGGATGGGGAAACGTTGAACGTTGAACGCCGTCCGGTGTGAACGTCAGTCCATCGTCGAACGAGTCGCAGATCGAGCTTTGCCCCTCGCGGCGGCGGCAGTCGATAACCACCGGTCGCGTATGCAGGCATACGTGGGAAGTGGGGGGGATACCCGTACATACGTACACAGCCTTGCGCCTGGAACACAGCTGCGAGAAGCCAGGTCGCGATCTGCATCTGCGTGGGCGTGTTTGGCAGGCCACCCCCCTCTGGGAGCTCTCTGGGGAATTTGTTCCGGCGTCTTCGCCGGTAAGTAACTGGGAACAGTGGCCTGCACCGCTGTTGAGATGCCGGCTCACGGTGGAATATCAAGCGGCGCACAGTCGCGCACGCCCAAATTTAGCCCGGCCTGTGCCGCGTACCGGTGCTTGGACCCTTTGGCGACATGCATGGGGGCGGGTCCGCGCCAATAGGAGGGTGCGCTTGGCGGTGAAAGGCGGGGTAAAGTGAGCGCTTCGGGGGGTGTGGCTCGGCGTCGGCCGGTGTCTTGAGATATCGTCAACAATGCTCCAGAGTCCAGAACGCCAGAGTGGGACGACGACCCGGAGCATGACGAGGCTCGGGGCCCCGGGGGAGGTAACGCTCCGATTCGACGCGCGTGTTCCGAGCCTAGCAGCGTTCGCGGTGCACGTCGGGGCCCTGTCTGGAGGGGCAGAGGTGGGATACATTCAGGACTACCGCAAAGGCAGGCACGCAGGTACACCCGTGTCGGTCGGATGGCAGGCGGCGCAGGCGTGAAAGAATGCGTGATGTTTTCAGACCGGTTGCAACTCGCGACGGACAGGCTGCAGCCATGTTGATGACGACGAGAGGATGGGAGGCTGATCCGTGCGTCGTCCATGCGCCTTCGAAGACGCTTGATGGTGGAAAAGATCAGGAAATTTCTCGTGCAGACGATCTCTCCGTTTCCCTCGGGGTCTCCGAAAGGGCAGGTACCGAACGTATGAAATTGGCGACCAAGGGCTGCCGTATGCCGCCTGCGATATGTATTGCGTACGCTGGCGAATAGGCATGTCTCTGGTCGCACAGGACGCAGAAGCTGACTGCCAGCGAACGTAGAGGGCAGGTGCGCAAGGCTACTACGAGGCGCGGAATGGAAGCGCCGGCGGAGGCTGCCTCCGAAGCCTGCGGCGACTTACGTTTCGCTCGCCCAAGGCTGATCATCTCTCGAGCCCAACCGAAATTCCGACAATCAAGGGCCGCGGATACTCTCCACCCCCGCCGGCGACGCCACCTGGCCTTCTCGCCTGGTACAAAACATCCATGAGGCTGCCCCGTTGAACCTACAGACACACGTCTCAGCCACCGCCGTAACATCCCCAGTGACCGAACTTCCTCGCCCATGTCTTCTACCCTCGCTGTATCTTGGGCTGCGCTCCCAGCGGAGATGAAGTTGGCCGTGATCGACTACCTCGGCCTGAACGAGGTCAACTCGCTGGCCCGGGTAGACTCTACGACCTACACGACGTGCATCCCGGCGATGTACAAGGTATGCTGCGATCGGCCGCTACTGCCAAAGCGATAACGAGGACTCACAGTGCCATAGGATCTGCGCTTGACCAGTTACGAGTCCCTGCGATCGTTCATCGCCAACGTGCCTGCCGATCGCACCCGCTACACCAGGCGCCTCAGTATCTGCACCAAGTCTACGAACGACGAACGCTGCTTCCAAGGCCCCTTCGCCTCCTCCTCCTCCAAAACCGACTCCGATGAGGTTCCAACTCGCACCGACGCGGTGGCCACCTTGCTCGCCCGCTGCCCCGATCTCGAAGAACTCTCGCTCACCCTCTCCAAGTCGCTCGCCTCGCGCGTCGTGCCCCAATTCGCGCGCCTGCACAAGCTCCGGCGCCTCTGCATCTCCAACTGGGGCGACGAGGCCCAGATGCCCATGTACGTCCCCATCTCCGTCCTCCTCGCGCTCACGCAAACAGAGTACTGACGTCGCCACCCTCCACATGCAGTAGCGAGCGGCTCGTGGTCTCCATCGCGCTCTCCGTGCCGTCCCTCACCCACCTCTCCCTCCGGCGCATCTCTCGCTCGTCCTCGTACGCCCCCGAGCTCGTCGGAACCGGCGTCCCCGTCTGCGCCGGAGACGAGGGCATCCTCGCCCCGGCCGACACGCGACTCGCGTTGCCGTCCCTGCTCTCCCTCCCCCGCCTCGTCTCGCTCGCAGTCGAAGACACCCACCTCGGCGACGAACAGTGGGCCTCCGCGCCCGTGCACGGTCCGCTGCAGCGCCTGCGCCTCGGCAGCTGCGCGCACGCCTCCCCCTGCGAGAACCAATCGCACCTCCACGCCGTCCTCGCCAACCCGGCGATCGCGCATTCCGTCTCCATCTCCGAGCTCACGCTCAGCTCCCCGTTGGCACCCGAGGCCGTCCTGGGCCTGGTCGGCGGCGGGCAACAGCGGCACCAGCTTCCGACGGCCGCGGTCCCCGCGTCCCCGGCCAAGCCCCGCCTTCCCTCGCTCAAGACCGTCAACCTCACGCAGCAGTTCCCGCTCGCGAACCTGCACCCGGAGGAGGAGTCGCCCCTGCAGTCGACGCTCACCGCGCTCAGCGACTCGCCCCTGGAGCGCCTCTCGATCAAGTGCTACGAGGACGACATCGACGACTGCTGCGAGGCGCTCGAGGGCGTCTTCTCCCCCGCCGCCGTCCTCGCCCAGTACGGTATCAAGGAGATCAACGTCACCGCCGTGCCTGACGAAGAGGAGCCCATCTCCGACGACGAGGATGATGATGATGCGCTCTACACCCCCACCGACGACTCGACAGCTTTGCGCGCGCTGCAACTCTCCTGCTCCGGCATCCGCCTCTCTGGCGTCGTGACCGCATCCGGCTTCTCGCGCACCATCGTAGCGTGAGCGGTCGGGTGGAGACGATCTATGAGAACGCGGTGCTCTGTATGGCCGAGGCCGTGTAGTTCGGGTTGGCCCGCGCAACCATCTCGGGGTGGCCGGTTCGAGCGAAAGAGGATGAGAGCGGGCGGGAGAAGTAAAGACGACGAACTTTGATGGCTATCGGACCTTCCTCGAAATCCCGTAAGTACCAGCGTGGGAGATGCAACGCTATCCATCGCCTTCCGACGGCATGGTAAACGACGCCTGATGCTGTGCCCGCTTTGGGGCGCTGCTCTATGCTTTCTTCATTTGTTATTTCTCTGGTGTTTCCCATCAGGTTCTCTTCCTTTCACTGGGCTTTCAGTACCATCGATACCCTCTCAGCGCTGCATTCATTCACCGGCCCATTCGTATGTATCATAAGCATCACTTATCTTCTATTTATGCCTGTATCATGTTTGTTAGACTCGTCTCGGTGACATCACGCACGAACTATAAGGACACGGCTGTTATCCAAAGTTACATACACGGTACTTTACATGCTGCTCGACATCTACCTTACGTTGTCGATTACCATAATGCAAGGGTATGAATGGGCCAAGTACGCGCCAGCGCAATATAGTGAAGGGTATCGTAAGCACATTCCGATACGACAATCAAACAGGTCCAGCTGAAAGCAACTGGCTGCAGGCCCGTGATCATCAAATGACATCGCGCGCCTTCAAAGGTGGATGAGACATCATATCGACAGAACTGAGGCTCATCCTATCGCGTTCCTTCTCCTCCGCGGTGACCATACGCTCGAGATCATCGCCGCCGGTCGGGCGCTGGACGAAGAAGGGCGTGATGCCCACCTTTCCCAGCGGATCGTCGAGGTCGACCTTCTGGCGCTTGGTGCTCAGGTCAGGCAGTGCCGCCATCTCGGGAAGCTTGCGCCGCAAGACCAGGATCAGGATCGCGTCCACGGCCCCTAACGTGTGAGAAGGGGAGTTAGCGAGGTGATTGGAGGGAGCTCGGGGCGATGCTTGGGCGACGACGAAACGACGCGAGTGATAAGGGCGGAGGGATCTTCGGAGAGGTATGATAATGAAATCAAAAGGGGGATGCGCCCAGCGCTGCGCTCAGGCGCATGTATGGTCCACCAAGACCATCGCTGCTCCGGCCTCTTCGGTCATCTAGATCACGCAGAGGATCGGGCATTGGTGCCGTCCGTTCGGAAGCGACCAGCCAACGCGCCGGGTCGATGGACCACGGCGGAGCAGCGGACCAGACGAGATGACAGATGAATCACTCACCCGTCAAGTTGAAGATCATATCAGCCAGCACCGTCGCCCAAAGCGGCACGTCCTTGCCCGCAAACTCTGTGAAGCGAGCGAGCGCGATAGGGACGAGCAAGATACCGTATGCAACCTGGTGATGGATGTCAGTTCGTGCATCAACAACAGCGCCCATATACGTTAACTTTACTCACCGGGAACCTATTGAAGAAGACCAGATCGTCAGATCGAATATAGCGGGCCATGCAAGGCTATAAATACGCACAGAACAGCGAACAGAGCGACTTTTTGCATGAGCGAATCGATGAGGTCGCGGCTGATGGCGAGCTGCCACGCGTCTTCCTTGGACACCCAGCGCAAGCGCCATTTTCCGTTGCTCTGCGCCAGATTGCCGCGCACGCGCAGGAGTACCGCCATGTAGAGGATGAACGACAGTCCCGCGGAGAGGAATTCCTGTCCAAATGTGATCGGAATCGGAGATAGGCAATAGAACAAGACGGAGATCGTACGATGAAGTACTCGAGCATGAAGCGCTCGACCGGGTATTCATCTGTGATCCAACACCTAACGCATTCTGTGTCAGCTGGAAGCGGACGAAGTTGCGTTTTAATACATACCACAGACCAGATACACCGAAGTAAGGACCATTGGATTTGCGCTGTATGGCCACGCGACCGATGAGAGGAACAAATGCGACGGCAGTCCATCCTCCGATGAGTAGGAGCCATTTTCCAAGTCTAGTGCAGGTATCTCGCAAGAACAGGCGATCGAAAGAGTATGCTGCCGTGAGGAAAGACCTAGGATGAATCACGGGTGTCAAATATATGCACAGATCGACATCGAGCTGAACAGTCATACCATACGGCAATTCCAACGTTCCCCGTGTTCTTTAATGCACCTGAGAGTCCTTCTGTCAACCCGGGGTATAACCATGTGTGGACTAAGTCCTAACCTTGAGCGCTGCAAAACGTGCTGTTGTCGGCATACCCTTGGAGCACCCAACGAAGGTTCATGAGTGAACCAACCGCCTGGAGCACGGTCGCTGCCATAAGTGACGATAGTATAGGAGCGACATGACTCCTGGGCCCTTTCGGGCGGTGAAGCAAAACCTAATTGATCGTCAGCATTTGCATAAGACCACACAGTGCGTAACACAAACCGGGGTCATCATAACGGCCATGATCAGCGTCACGAGGAGTGAAAGCGCGCTGGAAACCACGATGGCCTTGTGTCGAACAAGGTCAGATGAACGGACCAACGTATCGAACTTGGGCACTCACCAAGACACCTGCCTCATCAGACCCAGAGTAGAGCTGAACAGAGCTTCCCAGCATCGAAGCAGTATCCCCGTATACACCCATGACGCGGTGTATTGGTCGGCCGGCGACGCAGTCCCAGAAGACGGATCAACAAGGCGTTCTAGCGCGAAGTTTCGTAAAGTAGGGCCTGCCCAGGGAAAGGAGCGTCCAGCTCAAGGAGGAATATATAGCTTCGCGCTCGAGGCCACAATGAAGGGAAGCATCAACATTGTTCTGGGTCGACGCAGCAATAAGCTTGGGAGACTTGATGAAAGTTATTCGTAACTGGGCGGGGTTACTGGGGGAAAGAATCTACGATCTGTGGGGACCCCTGGTCTCACTGGGGCAGTAATGTTTTCCCACGATAACTGACGCTTGACGCTCACTTCGCCAGTGGCATACCTACGCAGCCCTAGCTACAGCTCCAGATCCAAGGTTTTTTAGGATTGGTATGAGCTGCTTTCATCTCCGGATCGCCCGTGTAGTATGTTGTGCGAGCGGCAATGATCGTGAGTCACTTCTTATCTTGCGCCGGAGGACTGTTGAACAAGATCTCTTTTTTCAGGGGTCGCATAGGTTTGCCTCTCGCGGTAATTCACCGCGATGATACCGGTGCCTGGTATACTTGTACAATCTCCAATCTGGGTTCTACTTTCTCGGCCATGGATCAAGCAGTGTAGAACCGGAGGCGAGTTCGTTTATCTTGCGTCTCTTTCTAGCATTTTTGTCGACATACTTATTGCTGTCGTGTACACGACGGGCATGTCATACCTGCGCAGCGGTGCTCCTGCATCAGTACGGGTTCCGAATCAAGTTCTTGTCTACACACACCTCTGATCGGATCTTGTGCCTCCGTACTGCACTCGTGCAACGACCGTCATGGGTCGTAGTCCCGTCTATGTGAACACTGATAAATCCGCGACGCGCTTGATATTTCCGTTTTCTGAGCCGCACCATCGACTCTCGGGTGGGCGGATTTGTCTACTTGCAGTTCCACGACGATGATTACTATTGTGATGGCGGGAGACAACAATCCGGCAACTCCCGTCCGTCCAAATAGGGAGAGGCTGCTGCCCGCGAGCTGTCCTCGCCCTTGGACCAGAACCACGTCCCTGCATTGCTGTGGAATGTTCACTTGAACTCGCCCGACTCCACGGCGTTCAAACTTCAGGTTGCTCTTTGCTAGCGCATGCGCGTGTCTCGGAATTGTCATCCACCCAGCGCGGTACGAGTAGTAGTATGAGTATACTACTGAACTCGTTGACGTCCGAAGTTGATGAATTCCCGCCTCGTTGATTTACGAAGGTGAAGATGTTCTTGTCATCGCCGCACCCTACAGGCTGGAAGTCCTGCGTCTACAATGCTGGAAGTTACGTCTTTCCGAACCGCACACGCCCCTCGGCAAGTTCTCCTTCTATCTACCACATTAACAGGTCGATATCGAAGAAGGCTCGTAAACGTATGCTGAAAGCGGTCTAGCAGGTGAGCCGCGCCAAAACTACGTCTTGATATATTGCTAACAGAAGATGGGCTTTATCCTGGGCATCTAGGAAGTCTACGAGGGAAGCTTTCTCAGACTCGTACGGGTCAGCTGGCCCTTCTAGCGACCGCTTGGCGCCACCCACGACCGAAGTCGGCCTGTTCCATCGGGTAGGAACGGTACTGGCATGAACCGGCACCAGGCATCGGGCGTGTTTCTATTTCACTGAGACAATGTCCTGCATCAAGACATCTACGAGCAGCAACCGATTCTTCTTCTGTTATTTCCCTCGCTTCTTCAGGTTCCGCGGTTCCGGAACGCGCAGGAGAGGAAGCAACTTCTCGACCCGGACCTAACTTGGACCTTTGGTATAACATACATCCGAGACGCCATCCGGAAGCAAAGCCGATAATGGCGAGCCTTCTCTACCACAGGCGGCCGTTCGCGACGGCCAAGACAAGACGCGAGCACGAAGTTCAAGGTTCGTTCATCAGGCGACCACATATGGACTTCCGTTCCAAATTCCTGCGTCCTTACCGACAAAGGATTAATGTGGCGCTCAACTCCATGCACCACGCTCTGCAGGGTCGCCGTGCAGACCGTGGTCAGTTTATCTGCCTGTTGAAGCCATCGTAGTAAAACCTACCTTCGCGACGTGGCCCACTCGTTTTCCGATAATTCAACCTCATCCGTTCAGCGAGAGCGAGCGCCACGGAGCATTTCGGAGGTTGTGCGCACCACTGCTGGAACCGCCGGTTCGTAGAGATGACGCAGTTTGACAAGATCATGACGGTGACCGCTATGTAGCAGCAGGGCCGTCCTTCACATAGAATCATACCACACCACAGCAGGTGATGGTCGCGTTCGTAATGTAGCCATTGCAAGGACCAGCGTTCATCTTGCATCGATCCCGCCCCGCGGACTAGAGCGAATGCACGAGACCCGGATTGGCGTAGTCGCCGGATTCACATGCCTGAGACGGAGCCCCGCCCTGCCCCTCCCGCCGTGATTACCTTGAAGATAGTCTGTACGTACGCTGCGGCTTTCTTCGACTCGGATGCACGGTCCCGTGACGTAGACCGTGCTGCGGAAGGCCAGGTACCTCGCCGTGGGCATCGAATTTGAGTCGTGTATAGACCTGAAGACGGTATGCCTACCGCCGGGGACGATCGGTGTACAGGACAAGGTTTCGAGATGAGATGGGGCGTGGTAAAGCAAATATGTCGTCGGCGACCGATCGTTCGGCGATGATTGATACCAATAGCAACCTCGTATGTCACAGGGAGAGCAGAGCGCCAATTACGTGGGTTAGCTGTAATGGTATCGCCCTCGCCCAGCCCCACAAACTCAACTCACCGCCCCGAGCATCACCAATGCGTTCATCCTCGCGGGTGGATCGAGACGAGAAGAGGCGCGAGGCTGCTTGGTCATACATATCCACTCGGACGAAAATGAGCTATACGCGATCGGCCACACAGCGGGGCGATCTGATCCCTATCTCCTGGAGCATGGAGCGTTCATATCGGCTTCCAGGACCCACCGTGTGTATTGACGTGCGGTGCGGCAACCGGTTGTTCCGCTATTGGGACCGCGCCGGGAATATACCTACCTACCTACCAACGCTATCAGCGTTTATCGTCGCATTGGTGTCGCTGCAAGCGTCGATCTCCTCCGGCGTCATGCCGGGTGGCGTTCGACCGTATGCCCTTGAATAGACGGTAGACGTGCGAGGCCTGAAACGCATGGACGGATGGTCCGGGAGGAGTGTAATGCAGGGGCGTCGTACATAGCGGTGAGCTCGATTCGCGAGTGGTAATAATATTGCAGATGGTTCGAGACAGCTCGTTCGCGGGAAATTGAATGCCGGAGCACGAGGGGTCCAAGGACGCCGCTTACAGATGGGTCGCTGTAAGGCGCTGGTCGGATCAATAATCTGCATGCCATCGAGTAGTGAGATATTGCACCCGGGACGCATGAGTGTCGGGAAGAGATATCGCCATTAAGCAAGTCGACGAGTGTCTGTAGTTAGGCCGATCTGCCTGCCGCCGAATGTCAAAGTACCGCGCGATGTTCGATGTTCGTGAGGCATGCTTGCTATTGCTCCCTGGGGAATCGGCGGATCTCCATGAGCCGACGCAGGACACCTCCGATCCGAACAACACGCTCCCAATCTGCGCCCGGTAGATTATCGACAGACACGAGGACATTGATTGGCACGGTCGGACAGGTGGTTGCGCTTGACACGAAGCAATATTTTGAGTTGTATAGGTGTACCTATTCGAAATTGCTGCGATTGAGGCGACCTCTCCGCTACAAGGCCTGAAACCATGGCAATGTTCTCGTTCGAGAAGCGGCAGCAAAGTATACGCGAATGAGCCTGAAGCCTGGATGCCCCGGAGCGGGCCGCCCATAGTCCGGGTTTCGGGCAACATATGATCGAGTCCGAAAGGATGGCGCACGCTACTACCGCATGCCGGTCCGGGGGTATGGTCTAACGAAGGCTTTCATTATAACGGCACGTTTTGACGATGAATTGCCAGCGACTCGAGGACGGCTGGACGTCCTGAGGTAGCAATCTGATCTGCGGCGGCGGAACACAGGAATAGAGTGTATCTGCAGCACAGGCGAGGTGGGGTGGAACTTTTACCATGCACTGCATTTTTTTGCGGGGCTCCCCGCGGACATCTTTGGCTACTGCCGAGAACTTTTACCACCTGCAGATACACTCTAATGATAGCAAAATGAAACGCCTGCCTTCGAGTCGAACGATCCAGCTGGTCATGTGTCATGAGGTCATCAAATTCAATGCTGTTTTCTGGCACCTTGGTTTTGTCTCTCCTTCTTGATGTTTAGCGACCACGATCTTGTACGTGTAACATATGCACGCATGAGAGAATGTTCGGCGGCGGACAGATGTTAGATATCCAAGAAAGCCTCGTGCCCCGCGCTGATCGTCTCCGGAAGCCACCGTTCTCAACAACGTGCTGAACATTCCAGCTCATCGAACGCCACGACCCCTATCGTTCGATATACGGCCGATATCGATCTGGACAGCCGAAATATCGGGCGAGGGCAGGATCTGGCAAGATGAGGGGAGCCAAGCCAGGCGACCTGCAGAGGAACGTTTAATTTGCACCGCTTTCGACGTTATATCAGAGAAAGGCGGACAAGAAAGGATAGATTTGTTCGGGAAGCGCGCGCGCCATCCGCGCCTCCCCAACCCTTCTCTCACATTTGCAGTTGTGTGCCGATTCCAGTCCCGGACAAAGGGCTTGTGAGCGCCAGGGCCCCCACCCCGCTACGCCTTCCATGCCGGCACGCCGCCGGGGATGCGAATCATGGAACAATCGTTGAGCACGACGTACACGTCCAGGGAACCCGGTTACCTACCCGTCCGCCCTGATGCCCTGCCCAAGAACACCAGAGGAAGCGGTCCAGTTGAGCGAAAAATAGGGCTTCGGGAGGCCAATCAACGCCGCCGAGTCGCAGGAACGCTGCGTGTATTGTGTTCCATCAGCGACGCTCCCGTCCACGCAGCATAATTATGCTGGAACGCGGGCTTGGGGGGCTGGGGAGGTGGAACGGGTACGGTCGGTGGACCGGGTGATGGCACCTGCCACGTAAACTCCGGATCGAAACTCAACGCCAGGCTCGACTCAAGTCCTCCCTCCGGCCCAATTAGGCACAAGTGCCGACCGCACCGCGACGCACGCCAGCGACGCCAGAAGCTCATGGTTAATTAACGTCGTGTTCCTTATACCCTCCTCCCCAGTCTCCCCGAGCCCCATCCCGCGTCCCCGGCTTTCTCTTTCGTTTCTCGGTCTTGTCCTCTCGGTCACCGTAGCACGACCCCGGCATGAAGCAACAAAGACCCAAAAGCAAGGGCAAACACAGCCCGGCCGACCACGACCCGCTCACGCAGGCCCTGCAGCCTCCGCCGGACGAGACCGAGCCACAGCGGCTGCTGCGGTTGCAGCACGAGGCTGCCGCCGCCGCGCGCTCCGCCCAGATCGACTCCGAGCTCGACCGACAACGCACCGCTGAGAAGAAGCGGGGCAAACCCGTCAAGCTCCTCCTGCTCGGTGCGTCAACGTCTTTCCAAAGTCTCCGTGTGGCGGTGCTGGACGCGATATGAACTCGTTCGGTAATGTCGCGCAGGTCAGAGCGAGAGCGGCAAGTCGACCACACTCAAGAGTGAGCACGCCCGCTGCGGATCCTTGCACACAACGCGATACCATTACTGAGCGCATCGACAGACTTCCAGCTCAAAAACTCGCCCAAGGTACATCCGCGCCCACCTACTTCCACCTCGGACTTGTTCACCGACGCCCCTATGCTAGGTATTTCGTGCGGACCGCGCCGCTTGGCGTGCTGTCATTCAGCTCAACATTGTCCGCTCTGTCCGATTCGTTCTTGACACGCTCAGCGCTCCCTCGTCGTCACCGCAATTAACGCCCCACCAACGTCATCTCTGCTCGCGTCTTTCCTCTCCGCTCCAACACGTGGAAACCCTCCTCGTTCGAAAGCTGTCTGTAGACGCCTCTCTCTCCGAACCCGCCCTACTTGGCGCAGCAGCTACGTCGGTCGGCCGCCCCGACGGTCGACTCGTCCCGTTACAAAGTAAACACCCCCGTGATATCTGTGTCAACGTCAACGCCCGTTCCGGCTGGCACGGAGCCTTTGTTCCCAGCACTCACGACCATCACCATGACCGTTGGGAGAGCAACACCAGCACTGTCAACGACGGCGGCAGTCGCCGCGCAAGCATTGTCTCCTCTGCCTCGATCCCCGCTTCATCTGAAATAACGCGAGACGATACGGACCCAGATGGTCCTGCTGCGGTTCTTCATGCGTGCGCGGAGGACATGTCACGGCTGTACCGCGATCCGGTGATTCGCAGTGTACTACGCGAAAAGCAGGTCCAACTGGAAGACATGGGCGGTTTGTGAGTACCCTGTACAGCCCTGTGTTGCGCATGTGCGATCGATAAAGTGACGCTTGACTGATGAACGTATCTTCTTCTGACGTTGGCAGCTTTCTCGATTGCGTAGAGCGCGTCACGGCGCCCGACTATATTCCGACGGATGGTACGCGGTGTCTGTCATTGGTGTCTATCGCGTACTGATACGCTCGCTTGTATCGTGGCGGCATACTCAGATGACATCCTGCGCGCACGTATCAAGACGCTTGGCGTGTCCGAATACCGCTTCACGCTCGGCACGAACGGCAGCGTCGGCCGAGATTGGAGGGTGTACGACGTAGGCGGACATCGATCACTGGTGAGTTCACCTCGCGCACCCTTCCGCTCTCCCGTTCCGTCGGATATCGGGACGACGCGCCCTTTCCGCCATGCCTCGTTTATGAAGTTTCGTTTTATCTGATACACGAGTATGGACTAACTGAGCTGACGATCGACAGCGAGGTATGCACTCTCGATAAACTCTATTGCGTCAACGTGCCCTCCTGACGTGCGATTTCGGTAACTCCGCGCGTTGCTCGTGTGTGTAGCGGCGTGGGTACCGTTCTTTGACGATATGAAGTGAGTGCACGAATTCGGTTATAATTGCCTCGCGGTGGCTTTTGGGGACGTGGGCGGTGTGGTAACCACCTCCTTCCCTTTCATTCGTTCCTTCCCTACATTGATCCCCTTCATCTCCGAAATTAATATTGGGTCCCACCGCCACAAGCAGCGCCTATGGCTTCGTCACCCTCCCTCGCGCCTTCTGTTTCTATGGTTTTGGAGCTCGGATGATCGCCCCGGGATCTGTTTATGGATTTGAATCTGACATCTCCCATTTTTGGTGCTTCTGTTGGCAGCGCGATCATCTTTCTTGCTCCTATGAGCGCGTTCGATCAGGTGCTCGAGGAGGATCACAGTGTCAACCGTATAGTGCGTTGCCCTCTCTCATCGCGACACGCGTTTTCTGATCGCGCCCGTTTCCTTCTTTTGCAGGAAGACTCGGTGCTCCTCTGGAAGTCGATCGTGACCAATCCGCTGCTGGCGCATACCAACCTGGTCCTGTTCCTGAACAAGTCGGACATCCTCCGCGCGAAGCTCGCGGCGGGGATCAGGTTCGCGGATTACGTCGTCTCGTACGGCGGGCGGCCGAACGATTTCGAGAGCGTGTCAAAATGTGAGCACCCCGGTCATCGTTTTCGATACATATATCACAAACCTTGTCTTCCTTACGGTGCTTTGCGCACGGTCCTTTTTCTCGAACTGACGTCATGAGCCCTGGATTGACTTGCGCCCCTTTTGCCCACTTCGCCGTCCCTAGATTTGAGGCGAAAATTCCATACGTTGCACAAGGAAAACTCGCCGGAGACGAGGCCGTTTTATTGCCATACGACTTGTGTCACCGTAGGTGTTGTTGATTTTCTCCTTGCTGATCATTATGCTGAAAGGGGCCTAGGATACGAAATCGACGTTTGTGATACTCGAAAACGTGCAAGACACCGTCATTCGGGATAATCTGAAGAGGAGCTATCTCATGGATTAGGCCTAGTAATCTCTCGTCAGTGGAGCGGTGGCGGGCTGGCGCGTTGCCAACCTTTTCCCAGAACGTCAGCGCCTCAGTACCCTCGTTTGTTGTTGTTCGATCGGTCATCTCGGACGTTCCCTCGTCATCGATTCTTCTCGTCGTCGGCATCCACAAGAGTGTTTGTATATTGCCATGTCGTCTGATTATCCCCCTTTGTCCTGTCATAGATGAAACGTCGCGTCATTTATACCTCTCCTCAATCGTGTCCACATTCCCCATATCTCATGCATCTTCTTTCGCGTTGCCGTTACATCTCCCATCCGTCATATGTCGCACATCTCTTGTTGTCGTGTTTTGGTTCACTTTTCTCCCGCTCCCGGTCAACCCTTGCGAATCCGGCTAGATAGAAGAAACATCTGATCAATATGCACAAAACTGTATTTGGTACGGGGTCGCGAGGCGTCCGCGGAATGCGTGCACATTGGAACGCCTTTTGTCTCGCACATTTGGAATTTAAGCGTGAGTGTAGTAGATCTTTACATGTACGGCTCGTTCACACACCGCGTCAGCGTATGGTAGGTCGCCGGTTTCCCATGTTCATTCTGTCTGTCATGCTGTCCTGGGTGTGATTCTAGTCCTGGAGCGGGGCCCGGATCTCAACAGTGCATGTAAGTAAGGCCGCAGCTGGGGTTTGTACGGCGCAACGGGGCGACGTCAGCTTGGAGCGATCGTACGCTAGGGCTCTCAGCAGATGTCACGACACGGTCGTCGGGAATCCAGGGACGAGAAGAACCACCTAGCCCGCTCAGGTCATTGATAGATGGAGTTAGAGCGAAACATGCAGGAGAGACCCCCCCTGCGTGCTGGCACGGCGTCGGCGATACGGAGGGTACAGGGCGAGAACCGGTGCTTCCGTTTCGAGAGCTCGTATGTAACGAGGGAGTCCGATCTGCAAATGCTCGGGTTTCTGCAGATCGCGGCGCGTCGAACCGGTTAACGTTAGCGGGGGAAGATCAGAACGATGCCGTCATTTTTGGTCAATTCCAGTCAGGGCGATATGAGCCTTCGGTTGCCATGCCTCGTTTCGGGGGTGTTTAAGTTGGCCAGGGTATCAGGCCGCATCGTATGTATTAGTAGTAGCCGGTTGCGTCGTTGACTAAGACCGGGGACGTGTTGCATGAAACCCGCATCCGGAGATATGTCGGACGGCCGGATCCGCTGCTCTGCAGCTGTACAGGGGATGAATTGCGGTGTGGAACGGCAACGGTGCAAGGACGAGCAAGGGCATATGGCTTTTTGTTTCTGCGTTTCCGGCGTGGGCGATATTATCCGCTGCTTTGAGTGTGAGAAATGGGACGGACACCTGGAGGGCCGGGACCTGTGGCGTAACTAGCAAGAACCAAGCGTGCGAAATCCACAGCCGACGGCAACACCGGTACCGAGCGCTTGGCCCGCTGGTTTGTACGATGACCATTTCGTCTCCCCCACGAGCCACAGCAGAGGTGTTATCCAGCAACGAAACGACTGTCGTTGGTCGAATGTTCCGGACAATGCATGGATTGCTCATGGCCCCTTGGCCGTGAGGAAGATGACGAGCGCATTGCACGACGCACGTGCTAGATAATGGGGGCCGTCCGCGCTAGTCCTCAGGCGAGAAGATGCACGCGATCTGCAAGCACTGGCTGCGGCGCTCTTGGTGTTGCACTTACGCCGAGCCTAACGTCGAACGAACTCTGTCCATGATATTCCATTCGCCGCGAACCCCGGGTTATGCACCGCAATGCATACTGGCCATGTACAAGATACCGCGCGCGTATCGCAAGCCGCGACATCGGCAAGTAGGGCCATGACGTCTCCCGCGAGCTCACTGAGACGCCTCCTCGCCGTCATATCTGCGGCCATAGACGACGTCGAGGCGCAGTACACCAGCGCGAACGTTACATTCCCCTCTTTGGACGCGCCGTTCGATCCGTCTAGTCCAGCAGAGGAGCGGAGCACTGAGCCGGATGTCGCTCGGAGCCTGTCTCTCATTGTTTCTGCAGCGGCCCAGCTTGCGGCAGCGTGCAAGGTACCGGCCATAGCTATCATGGAGCACGCTCTCGCGGTTAGTCGCTCGTTCTTCAGACGAGATGGCGCACCGGCTGAAAGGGCGGTGTGCCTTCCAGTACCACCTCCCGTCGGTCTTGCAGACGGTGCTTGTGGGCAACGTAGCCGAACTCCTGCGAGAAGCAGGACCGGAGGTACGCCATTATCACAATTCGCCATGCTTCGAGCCAACTTACCTATGAACTCCTCATATCATAGGGCCTATCCTCTTCTCATATGTCCAAGAAAAATGGGATAGACTCCGACAAGCTGTGTAGGTTTCATATCTGCACAACGCAGCCGCCATTTAGCTGAGGGCTTCAATGAACAGCTAGGTGCCTCCGCCTGCTAGCGACGCACCACATCTTCCGCGAAATCCAACCGGACGTCTGGACGCACAATAGGCTATCGTCCATGCTCGACACGGGAAAGTCGTCCACCGAGCTGTTCTCGCAGTCAGTCCTGCACCCGATATAGAGCCGTTTTCAAGGTTCCTCATGTGATCATGCGCTCTAACAGGGACCGCGCCCTCAAATACCAAGGCACCGGCGGCCTCGCCGCCTTCGTCGAGCACGCGTACGAGCCTCCCCGCCCCATGGCTCTTTCATGCGCGCTAACACTCCAACCGAGCAGCACCGACGAGTTCTTCCGCGTCTCCATCGTTCTCCCCGAACACCTCACCGCATCGGTCCCCACCACAACCGCCTACCCAACCGCTTTCAACCGCGCGTTCGACACCCCGCTCGACCTCTTCTCGTGGTACGCCCTCCCGGCGCACTCGCTCCGTCGGGCCCGGTTCGACGTCGCCATGACCGGCCTCAGCCGGCTCGACCACGGCGACTCGATCCTGCGCGGGTTTCCCTGGGAGTCGCTCGGCGAGGGCGCGAAGGTGGTCGACGTCGGCGCCGGCGCGGGCAGCCTCAGTCTCGCGGTCGCGAAGGCCCATCCTAGCTTGCGGCTCGTGGTGCAGGACTTGCCAAACGTGATCGAGGGCTCCGCGAAGCAGGTGCGTCGACTCGCATTTCATTTCTTGCTAGTCCGGTGCTACAACGTGCTCCATACAGTTTTGGGGCGACCGCATGCCAGAATCGCTCTCTTCCGGTCAGGTCGTCCTCCAAGGTAAAAATACCTGCCACTCCGCGTCCTCCCCTCTCGCCTTACCTCGCTCACGTCCGCTGCCACCTCGTCCACACAGGCCACGACTTCTTCGCCCCTCAATCCGCGCAAAACACGGACGCCTCCCTCTTCGTCCTCCGCATGGTCCTGCACGACTGGCCCGCCTCCAAAGCCACCGCCATCCTCCGGCACCTCCGCGCCGCGTCAACACCGCACCGCACCAAGCTGCTCGTGGTGGAGAACATGCCCCGGTACGCGTGCAGGGGTTCCACCGCGGGCACCGGCGAAGACGGGGAAGATCAAGGCGCCGCCGTACCGGAGCCCCTGTTGGGCAACGGCGGGTACGCGGCGGCGATGGCGTACTTGATGGACCTCCAGGTACGTTCTACAGACATCTCGAGCGCGCGACGCGCACCCCTCACGTTTCCGCCCACGGCTAGATGATGCTCATAGACGGACACGAACGCACCATCGGCGATTTCCGGCGGATCACCGCCGACTCGGGGTGGAAGATCGTCCGCGTCTACAGTCCGTCAGGTCAGTCAGTAAATCTGTCGCGAACTACAGCGCGCTTAAACTCACCGCACGACACAACGCAGGTTCGAACTTCAAGCACATACTTGCGGAGGCGATTTGATCGACTGCATTCACTTACGAGTATTAGTAACAACATCCCGAATGTACAATTGTAGCAGCATCTTATCTCCATCGGACGATTCATAGCACTCGAAACGTGCTGAATGCAAAGGCATAAAAATTCGTATTGGATCGCTACCGTCTGTCTATAAACGACTCCCCTCTACAACGCGAACGCCGCACGACGCGACGCGACGTCACCTACCCTTTACCACCTATATTGTCTCATTAACTATATCTACAATTGCGCGAGCGGTAGTCCCGGATTGAAACACAGAAAGCATCAGAAAAGCACACAACGACACACGACGACGACATGAGTACGAGTCCCCCTCTATCCGAGGAGACCCGCCTCGCCGTCGGAAAGCGCGCTGGACGAGTAGTTGCCCATCTCGCTGTACCGCGCGATGCGCAGCCGTTGGGCGGGCGGGATAGTCTTCTCGTCGAGGCCGTGTGGGTGGCCGCCGTGGAGGATGCCGACGCGCTTCATCGAGAGCAACTGCAAAGAAAGAGAGGAGATGAGCCTCCAGGAATCACCGCACATATCGGGGGCGCAGCGAAAACTCACGTTATGCGCCGCGTTCGAATGGTCGTACACGCCGCCGAAGAACGCCGTGGTGGCATCCTTGCCGATGTACTTGACGATGAGGTGCCGTCCACCGGGGTGCTCGTCCATGAAATCGCTGAGGTCGTGGATGAAGCCGGCGATGAGAATGAGCGGCCGCTTCGCCGCTTGGTCCTGGAAACTTTCCCAGCTGATCACAGGCAGATCGGTTTCCGGCGCCGCCCACGTAATCGTCTCCTGCACCTCGCGCAGGCGCTTGAGCTGCATCGTCAGCTGCCCCTTGCGCACTTCGTTGTCCGGGAACTGCTTGAGGTGGCTCGCGAGCCCGAGCTTGTGGCAGACCCAGATGAACCACTTCGTGGGGTCGTACTGGTACCACTTGATCGCGTTCCGGTAGTCCATCGGGAACTGGTGGTGGAAGTTGTGGTAGCCCTCGCCGATGGTGACGAACGCGGTAATCATGTGGTCCCGCGGGGTATGCTTGTCGTCGAACGGCGTCTCGCCGAGCCAGTGAGCGAGCGAGTTGACGCAGAAGGTGCTGTGGTGGACGAAGAGCAGCCGTGCGGCGCCCGCGAAGAAGTAGCCGCCGATGAAGTCGCCCCAGAGCAGGCCGGGGATGATCGTCGGAACGAGGAAACCCATGACGATGATCAGCTTCACGTAGTGCTTGTGCTGCCATCGCACGACGGGGTTCTTGCTCAGATCGGAAATGTCGGCGACGCCGGGCTTGCGCCGCGGCTTGATGAGCATCCAGCCGATATGCGACCAGAAGAAGCCGCGGTGGGCGTTGTACGGGTCAAGATCGGTGTCGGTGTAGCGGTGGTGCGCGCGATGGCCGCGCGACCACCATTTGATGGAACCCTCGACTGCACCGGAACCCGCAAGCGCAAGCGCGTACTGGAGGGGAAGGGACGCGTTGTAAGAGCGATGGGCCCATAGGCGGTGGTAACCCGCGGTGATGCCGAGTCCAGTGACGAAGTAATAGAGCACCGCGAAGATGGCTGTCTTCGTCTGGAGGGGGACGTACAGGGCACCGTATATGGTCATCGCCGGCACGAGGGTGAGGACGAGGACCGAAATCCACTCGAGCTCCTTGTACCAGTTGGCCCAGGTGACGGGAGGGAGTGGCTTCTGGTTCCTGCAAAGAAACATTATCATCTGCCTTCGATCCAAAGCACGTCAAGGTCGCGTACCTCAGAGTGTATGCCACGTAGTTGTCGGGAATGTTGATGTCGGCCGGAGTATCGGTAGGCACGACCGGCTTCGGAAACTCCTTCGAGTCCTGAGCCTTGTCCACAGGGAGAGGCGTGATCCGCGCCGCTGGGGCGGGTGCTGAAGCCGCGGTAGACATCCCAGTCGTATGCGCTCGGCGCTAGACACGAGTGCTTGAGGGGGGTCGGGGAGGAAGGAGGGGAACGGAAAATCCAACGAGCAACGGGAGGCAGCGGCCGGAAAGTTTATATATTCGAAACGTTGGGGCGGCGACGTAGTGGCGCCCACCACTTCTTTGGGGAACGCGTGTTCTCGCCTCTTCGTTGCCGGCGCCCATGGCTCCAGCCTCTTTCGTGCCTCTGTGTCGTCGCTCCCGGCAGCTTGCCGTTGCGAGATAGTAAGTAGTACGACCGATTCACCTATCGTACTTGGACGGAGGCATGGGATTCTGCAAGTCCCTAACAAGATCATGGCGCTTGCGGCTGAACGCGCCGCATGTGATAAAACGGCTGCCCTAACCCGCCTGGGGACTAAGTATGACATAATTGCTCGCTTCAGCTTCAAGCTTTTGTCTGGCATCTGCATCAAACCCTGCTGCGGGTGGAGACATCGCGTGGAATCACCAGACAAGAAGTGTACTTAACTCTGATCGCAACCGACCACAGATGCGTAGGATCATCCACACCGGCGCAGTGGCGAATGTCAGCAGCCACACCACACTGGGCCAGCCAGCTGCACGCGGCTTCGCTGCCGGTTGCATTCCCACCTCACCCACACCATGCACTCGTGAATGCCTATGCGCATGTGCTATACCGTGTTAGGCCACGGCCCAACGCACATGTATTATCGGTTGCGGTCTGCGCGAGTACAAATACACGTTACTTTTTTCTATCCATGCGTGCACGGTCTCGTTGCGTGGGGGATGGGGGCGCGGGGGGAAAGGAAAAACGATCGAGCGTCTTGTCTTCGGATCCTGGAAAGCATAACGACGATGGGCAGCGACGAACAGCGGGGAAGCGCAGCGAAAGAGGGACAGCATGGAGAAAGCCATTGCGAAGAGAACATTCTGGACGGCGTCGATGAACATGGAGGGCATTATACGCTCGCCGAGCGACGATGGTTATCGTAACAGCGTGAAGGTGAAAGAAAGGTCGAGAGGAGAAATGCCTTTGGGGCTTGAGTGGGTGCAAGAAAGATTCCGTCCGAGCGGGTTGTGAGGTCCATGATAATGATACAGGAAACAATTGCGCTGACAATCTTGCAGAAGAGGAGCTGCGAGCCTGAACGTGCGAATCTTAATGACCAGACAGCATCTCGAGCCTTTCCGCCAGCGCCTGCACGAGCCCGGAGTCGACCCCGTACTCGCGCGCAAGCTGGTCGATGGCCATGCCCTGCACAGGAAGCGGCGGGTAATGCACGTTCTGGGGCGCATTGGGCACGAAGTGCCGCTCCGGGCTAATGTGCACGTAATGGCGCTCGGGGCTGATCTGCGGGTAGCGGCGCTCGGGCACCACACGCGGAAGCGCGCGTGCATAGGCGATCTCCGGCGACTGCGATAGTTGGCGGTAACGGCGTTCGGGGGTCGGAACGGCGTACGGAACTGGCGCGCTCGGAATGCGCTGGCGCGGTTGATGGGCAGGGCTGGAGGAGACGACGTACGAAGCAGAAGGATGGCGGGGCGCAGAGTACGCGGCGATGATAGCGGGATCGGCAGGGACGGGCTTGGTGGACAAATCAGATGATTCGAGCAACTTCTGTGTCGTCGGCCCGCCCACGTTGACAACCTCCTGGAGTTGCTGGGGAGTGAACGCTGTTAAGATAGGTCAGCATCACGACCGAAAAGCGAGCACGATATGCTTACCCTTGCATCGGAGAGCGGTCATGATCAGTTCCGATAGCAACTCGGGGTAGTCGGACATGGGGTTATCTTGGGCACGTTCGTTCAAGATATGAATCGCCGCTGTAACGGGGAGGTTCAGTCTTTACGGTGCGAAAGCGGGGCTCGCTCCTTACTGATAGCGAGCTCATGGAGTTTGTCCCTCAGTGCAGCTGTCCAGAAAACCGCGCTGTCAACATCCGCAGGGAACTTGGCCAGGATGCTAATCAAAGAATGGAAGGGCAGCGATGGCACTTTGAGGAAGTGAGACTAAGAATTGTTCGTAAACGTATCGCTCAGAGTAAAGGAATTTCGACTTACATCTGGCGAACGGATCAGGTGCATTAACGAGGTAAGCTCGCCGTCCGAGATCAACCCGTTTTCAAGAGCTGCGACAATATGCTCATTTGCCAAGCCCTGCAGGGATGGTCGGCACCCGTCGAAATGGCCTTGCCAACCAGGGAACAGCTGCACCTCTAGTCAGTCACCGTACGAGTCGATGTCGCGCAGGGGAGAACTTACCGCCTTCATCAATTCCGACTGGCTGGTCCTCGTCACGGTGACGCCGCGAGCCCGCTTGCCTTTGCCAAGCACCGAGTTCTGGGCGGTCCTCAAGGCAGCCTTGGCGCTTTCTTCGGAGGAAAGCTCCACATATGCATGACTGAGCGTCTTGCCCTTGCGATCAAGCAGCACATGGACGCGCTCAACCTCAGGGTTCTTGAGCCAAGCGCGAATCTGCGGCGGAGTGATGTCCTGCGTTGGCGTGTCAGACTCGGTCTCATCACAAGCGGAGCGATAGATAACTCACCCATGGGACATTATCAATCCGAAGGACTACGCATTCTCCGCCGCGAAGCTGCCTTCCCATCACTGGAGTGGAAGTCATAGCGCCACGGGCAGGGGAAGCGTGGTCATATATACTACCACCATTGCTAACCTTCCTCTCCGATGTCGCGGACTTGTCGAACGCGCTCGGCAGGAGAATGGAATGATTGGCACTCGGGACCCTGCTCCGCGTCCCGCTAGTCGCTCTGCTGCGCGAGGGCGGCGTGGACGTAGCGCTGCTTGGGGTTCCAGATGTGTCGCCAGAGGTGTTGCCCACTTGGAGGTGGAAGTTTTCTACAGCCTCGTTACAAACGGCGCACCGCATGTCCTTCTCTCCGACGATGTTCAGAGCACTGGTCAAACAAGCCGAACAGACTTCATGCCCGCAGGGGTCAAGTATCGCCAGCTTGCGCGTCTCGAGGCCACACACGGCGCACGAGGGCTCATCCAGAGGAGGGGCAGGCAGCTCCTCGTTGCCATGCTGCAAGTCAAGGGTACCAACATCGTAGAAGGTATGAAGACGCGGGTCCAGATGACGGTCCTGGAACTGGGGCTCTATCATGGGAGCGAGGGGGACATGGAACGGATCGGCGTCATTGGAAGTCATAGAGTCGTCGAATCCCATGTCAACGGACTCCAGCTCGAAATAGCGCTCCGGATGATATGATACGGAACTGCCGAAGTCATCTTCATCAATATCGAAAAGGTGCGCAGCAGGAACCTGGGAAACAATCAATGGTATGAACACCATCAATTTAGTGCAGCCTTACTTGAGTGAGATTACGTTTTCTTGGTACTGGGTCTGTGGAAATCCCCTTTTGCTTCAGCCTACTAATGATCGTTGCATTTGGAGGCGGGGTGTTGAGAGTTGAAATGGTGGATAGCGAACGGCGATCGGGAGTTCTCGTTATCATAGCCTGCCTTGCATTGGTGGACTTCGGACGATACGATTCTGGCGTTGACGGAGCTTGAGTCTGAGAAATTGAATGCGACCGGCAGCGTCTCTGCGTCGACATGAACGGAGCAGGCAAGAGCTCTGCGCAGAACGCCATTGAGATATCAATATCGCGTGAAGAGTTTCAAAAATTCCAGACACTCACGGTCTTCGCTGGAGCGACGGCGATGTGTATTGCCTGCATGAGATATTGAGTCTTGTGCGCGCTTGTCATGGAGAATATACCAACCTTCGGTTCTTCCATATTCGTCATCTACAAGTGCGCCAAAAAATGAGACCCAGGACGAGCCAATATCCGCCTGCTGGGCGCATATATGCACATACCTTCGTCGTCGCCGAACTGAGACTCAGCGCTCGCTACTCTAATGCCGTTCTCCGACGCTCGAGTCCGCCAATTCTCGGCTGCATCCGCAATACTCTTGTTCTTCCTGTGTACCGCCAATGGGATTTCGGGCGATACGCTCAATCCCGTACGAACACCAGCGAAGGACTGCGAGTGAATAGGCGTCACGAGTATAGATGCGTTGGAAGACTCCGTCGCAAAGGATCGGTTACCGCCGTCCAGCGCATAATGATACGGGGTTGAGGCCGTGCTCGCGGGCGTTAGCGGCGACCTGAGGATGTTTTCACGCTGATGCGCACTCCGCGAGATCCGCTGCGGTGTTACGGGCGGTCCCTTCGGTTGTCGTGCGGTCTTGGTCGTTAAAGGAGAGTTGGGTGCACTCTGGGGTATATGAAACTGGTTGGGATTGACTTGGGTGAGCGGCATGGTTGGCGGGCAGCGTCTCTAGTGACCGATGGTTGTCGAAAAGCAAGAGCGCCAACCGGCGGTCGAACGCGGTTCAACACGTCCGATTGATCACGTGGTCGTATATTCCCACCGATTTCCCGCAATTCGATTTAGCATGGTGCTTGACGTTCGACTCTTGCTTTACCGTGACCATCCATTGACCACGAGACGCTACGCTTCTGTTGGATGGCTCTCATACCGCACTGAAGTGGACTCCGATCACCTTAACTGTCTGTAATCCCAGCCCAACGGATGGATGCGCCTTTGGTTTCCCATTAGGCCAAGTTGAAAGGCGCTGTTTCTTTCGAAGAACTCTTAGTCCAAACGACCTCTCTATAATTCTAGTATAGATTATCGGGTGAGTCTTGTACTCTCTGACGTTCAGCGGCGCTCCCTCTATTCCCCATCAAACCCTAACCTCGTGCTCAGGTCATATATGGCATGATGACTTTTACGACATTCATCCTTGATTTCCCTCAGTGGGAACAATGGCCGTTCACGCGACGGAACGCGTCTTCTATCTCTGCCGTTGCTTCCCCTCATACTGGACGGTGTGCTAGGACGAACACTCCGTACAAGCACGATAATCCCCCATCACGTAGAGCATGGGACACGGTGACGGGCAAACTCTCAATGGGGACGATGAGGGTTCTCCTCCCCGTGATGCTGAGCTGCGGGTCGCGAACAAACTGTACGAAATCCATTAAACTGTTGTATAGGAGAGCCTTACCCAACAATTTACATTGCCATCGTAGGCTCGCAGACTTGGAACGATTGAGAGGCAAGCGAAGCGATCACAACTTCTCGCTCGCGTCGCTGACATCTCGCTCAATGTTCAGGCGATGCTGCCGAGGTCAAGGAGATATTGAGCGGACAGTTGCGGAAGATCATAGAAGTAGGTTCCCTGTATACCCCTCTCCCTCTCCTCGGTCGAATCTGAACGTCATCATTAGTTGGAGAAGGAGAACCGGCGACTCCAGGAGCGTCTCAAGATCGCGGAGAAGCCCGAGGTGCCGTGCACCTTCCCTGTTATCTTCTGTCGCCTCCTGATGAGCGGACAGTTCAACCGACCCCGAGTAGTCTGCCTCATAGATGGCGACGGCGCCATCTTCACCAGAGAAACGATACTGCAGGGACGTAACGGCGCCTTCGGCGCCATCCAGAGCCTCCTGAATGCGATTCGTAGACGCTCGGAGGAGAAGCACCCGAACTGCGACATATGGGTACACTGCGTGATGAATAAAAGAGGGCTTACTGGAGCGCTACAACTCACCCATGAGATCGTAGACACGTTCATCGCGGCCTGCAACCGTGCCGACCCGCGGTGTTTCATGGTCGACGTTGGCACAGGCAAGGAGGCAGCGGACCACAGAATCAAGCGTAAGTCTCTTACCTCCGAGAATACATGATCATGCCATGCTAGGCTGGACCCTCAGACCTCCTCCGTCAACATGCTTTCTCTCCTCATTGCCCTATGATCTTCTTTGGAGGTGAGCATTTGAGATCCAGCCTTATATTCGTCCGCAGCTCAGCCCGCACTTCATCTATCTAGGTTGTCACGATAACGGTTATGCACCCGACCTGCGGACCATCATCACCGCAGGTTTGCGTCACAAACTCATTATGCTTCCCGGATATTCGGACATTGCGGCAGAGATTCAAGACCTGCAATTACCAGAGGAACGGGTAGACGGTTTGTTCGAGCCGCAGAAGATCCTTTCTCCACGCTCGAGGAACCGGTTGCAATCGTTCAAGGCATCGCCACTGCCGCCCACAGCCGCATTTCGGGCGGAAGCTGGAGACGAGGACCTTGAGAGTGTCTTCTCCGATGGTTCCGAGAACCCGCTCTCGCCGTTGCCTGACGATGGCCTGCGCCTAATGCTGGGACCGGGGGCAATACAGGAGCTAGAGAATCCTGTACCAGAATCCTCGCTGTCGCCCGTGCCGCGGGCGGATGATTATACGTTTACCAGGGGTGGGCGTATGCAGGGTACGCCGCTGAATACGTCATGGTTGGTAACTATGCTGATTGTTATTCTAGAGAAGCCTTGTGGTAAACATTATCTCCTTGGCCATTGTCCAGTCGGGAACAAATGCCAATATTACCATGACGTTGAGCTCAATGAGAGGCAAATAGAGCTCCTGCGCAGTGACATGAAGAGACGTCCATGCAGGTTTTTCTCGAAGAGTGCGCGTGACCCCATGAGCTCATCGTCGTACAGTGACTGACGAAAGACAAATGCAGATGGAACCTGTAAAGCTGGAGAGAAATGCATCTTCGGTCACCAATGCCCTGAGGGTGCTCGATGCAGTAAAGGTGGGGATTCCAGCATATTCTGCGTGTCCGCCATTGATATCCATACGCAACATTCTTTCTAGATAATTGTCCCTTCGGGCGGGACGCTCACCCGGCTTAAGGTTTCATGGAATGCATGCACTCAGGCAGTCTGTTTTGACGTTCTGAACTGACAATGCCGTTATAAATCTACTGGATCAAGTATACCCATCGGATCAGTCGTAGGAGGACCGTGGACATTTTACCAACACATCTTATAGTCAGTGCACGCCTCATGTATCATGTTATTGGTTAAGTCCGCCCATGAAATTCAGGAGATGAAGTACCAGCCAAGCTCGATCATCAACGTCTTCTTCTGGTCAGCGTTAGGGTGTTTGCTGATATGCATATAATGACCTTCCAGCTTCTCAAAGTTCTCGGCACATGCACGATGGCCTTTCAACGAGTCGCGGGGTTGACCTTCAATTGCCGTCTTATCCGTGCGGGGCCTGTGGACATGCACCGCTTTTTTCACAGCGGTGTGGCAGTTCACGCTCGCGATTTGTGCCTTCGGCATGGCTAGTGGAGAGACGCGGAATCAGTTCTATTGCGTTTCTCGTTTATTTCCAGCATCTGGCTTGCTGGGACGGTCTCGCTCTGCTACTGGAACAAATGGAACTCCGCGAACTGGGTCACCAATTAAAGCTCCAATCTTCGACTGGTTCAGTTCTTGTCGCTGATGCTGTTAGCATCGCGGCAGCGTTAGCGTTAGCATTGTATGATAGACGAGTCGCGGTCACGAGACTGCATCCTAGCTTTGCTTCAACCTTCTCAGCCAGCCAGCTTGCGAGCTATTCAGCTCTAACTTATAACCAAACCGCCGGGTACTATCACTATCAGGTGGTGACGAGAGTGGGATTCGAACTGTTCCATGAATCTACCTACCCGCCAGGCTAACTTATCTCTACCTTGAACATCGTCAGGATGAATATATGGTCCCGCAAAGGGGCCATAGGCGTGGAGTGCGAGTCGGTGAACCGTTGCCACTCGGCTCGCCTCTTGCGACTGTAGCTACATACTTCCTCACGACATCAATGTTCACCGTGACGATGTCGGTTGACGTTCACTCCTGAAGGAGCTAGGGGTATGAAATAATCCTGACGTACGTGGCATATCAGACATACACGTTTGTTGGGTGTCTCAATAGCCCTTCCCGTAAGTAGAGTAGCAGCCACGCACGTGCGGCTTCCGGACCGAATCTATCTTGGCTAGACCATATCTTCCACGACATGAAGGAACACCACCCTAGGCCGCGCCCAGCACGTTGTGGACTTGAACTACGATTCCTCCGCGGCTTTTGAGTTAGACGCCGGAGGTCTCTGTCGCCCTGCTATGTATACTCATTGGTTGGCCGAATTACGTGCATCTCCCGGAAGATCGGTGGTACGTTTTCCGCGAACGTGCGCTAAACCAGCGATAAGGCGCTATGATCCACAAACCACCGCTCTTTCTATTCTCGGCTCGCTGTCGTAGCAAGGCCGAGCAAACCGGTAGAGTGCAGTTAGCCTGTACACGGGAAACGTGTATAACATCGCGTCGGGCTCGGAGATGAAGGACTGGAACCCCCATACTTGCTGACACGCCCATTCTGCGAGATGGGCGCTCCTTCTCCAGCGCAGCATCAGGAGCAGGTCGTTCCGGTGTCTCCTCTCATACAGCGGTGCGAGAAGAGCAACAAGCTCCGCATTGCCATCGTCGCCGGTGTGTACTCCCGACTGCACTGTACAATATCATTTATGGCTAAACATTTGGTCAGAGAACTTTCTACCGAAGGTCGACGGCGTGACGCGGACCATCGCCCGCCTACTGGAGTACATCCAGCGGGAAGGGCATGAAGCGATCTTATTCGTACCGAAGACCCAGATGGTATCATCCTTCGCTTCAATACGCGGAAGTGAAAGGTTAACACGCACGTCAATCTCCAGCCCGCTTATGCGGGTCAGCCCATAGCTGATACCTTCGGCGTCCCCCTGCTCTTCTACCCCGAGCTCCAGCTAGGCTTCGTCAGACCATACTTTTTCTCTCGACTGAAGGAATTTGTGAGTTTGCGCATTTTTCTGTCTTTCTGTCTTAACGAAGCTAGAGCCTGAATAATGAATTCGCTACCAGAGACCGGACGTGATTCACTTTGTGGACCCGAACTTCCTCGGGGCGCAGTTTCTCCTGGCCGCTGAACTGGGCTTCGGCGGCGTTGGCCCTTGGACTGAGTCCGGGGTTGGATTCGTCACAAGCTGTGCGTTCGGAAGTCTCCCCGCACTGCCTTCACCGATGACTTCGTACTAGATCATACCAACATGGCCTTGTGAGCCCTCACAACCAGCCCGCGAGTTCATAACATTGACTTGTCCCAGATATACCCGCATGTTTGCACTATCATGCTCCGAATACTTCACTTGGCTATGGCTGCGCTGGCTTCACAATAAGTGCCAAGCAGTATACGCACCGTCACCCTCGATGGCCTCCGCGCTCGTTGGAAGAAAGTTCACCAACGTTGAAGTTTGGTCGCGCGGAACGGACTGCCGTGCGTTCGGGGCGAGGCACCGGTCGATGAAGTTGAGAGAGCGATGGGCGCGGGAGCGAAGAATCCATGGCTCGATGGAGGACATAGCTCAGGACGGCGCGAGTATCTCCAACGAACAAGTGGTACTGATGTATGCTGGAAGGCTGTGAGTTGATTTATTGATGTGAAAGAATGCTCCGCTTACCGGTGGATGTCATGATAGATCTCGAGAAAAGAACTTGCTCTTCCTCCTCACAGCTGTCTCGCTTCTGCCGAGATCGCTCAATTACAAGCTCGTTCTCGTCGGACACGGGCCTTATCGTACCTTCCTCGAAGAATTCTGTGCTGAGAGACGTATAGACGCGCATTTTGCAGGTATGCGTGGCTGTCACCATGGTTTACCGTTCGCAATCTTGGATCTGCCCGCCTGTAATCTCCGCATGAGGTTAATACAGCTTGTATGTTGCTTTACAGGTCATCAAAGCGGAGAAGACCTAGCACGTCATTACGCGTCTGCAGACGTCTTCTGCTTCCCCTCCTTCACCGAGACCTTCGGTCAAGTCGTCTCAGAAGCCCTGACATCCGGCCTACCCGTTGTCGGCCTAGAGGTTGAAGGCACCCGCGACCTCGTCACGCACGGCGTTACCGGCCTCCTCCTCCCGCAATCCTCCGCTTCTTGGGGCCCGCTGTTCGCTCACCCGTGGTCGCCTCAGTTCGCGGACGCGGCAAGGCGGTACGCCGAGCTGCTCATGCTTCTGATCTGCGACCCGCAGTGGAGACGGACCATGGGCGCAAATGCGGCGCGAGAGGCGGCGGGGAGGGGGACGTGGGGGGACGCGATGGAGCAGCTGTTTTTAGGATATCGGCGCGCGATAGAGGAGGCAAAGTCTAGGAAGGGAGCGGAGCCGGCGTGTGGGCACTGGATGAATAGCACGAGGCGGGTCTGTGGTATGTTCTCTGAATACATCTTGAGGACGGTTTGTTATTTACAAATGGGGCGTGGATGCAGTGCGCAGCGTGTCGACGACACTCATATTCCTGCTCACTGCTGTGGCCATTGCGCTGTGTTGGATGCGCAATCTGGCTTGGATTGTCATACTCGACGCTATAGCACGGTGTAGACCAGGGAACAGACAGTGAGTGTAGAGACAGCTAGTTCGGGCTCGCTTCTTTCTTGTGAGTAGATGATATATGCAAGAAGGCACCCCATCCCAACTCTCTGGTAGTATATCGGATAGTACACCCGCCTGTCATTCATTCCGAATCACGGGCCGCGGGAGAGCGGGGTTCGACTCCCCGCCAGAGAGAACGTTTTGCGTTTTTCTTTCACGAAGACGGAATACGTGGCACCGAATACGGAGATCCACCCAGGGTTGTTGTATTTTAGCCCAACGATGGCGCAGACTGCAAGTACCGATCACCCAAATTATTGATAATTACAACATGCATAACGTAGGCGACAAATCCTGCAAGAGAATGAACATGCGTCCAATGTGCCACCATGCGAACTACGATCCCGATGTATCTAAACGGGTAGAACAGTGTTAAACACGACATCCCAGATTTTGCCTATAATATAATCAGCCATGAGGCCCATGGACACGAGGACAAGTTCACTGACTGGTGACGCCGAATCCAAGCTCGAAGTTCTTGTAGTGGTGCGCAAGGTGGTACTTCTTCATCTCCCGCATGTATTGCGGTAGTTGGGTGTGATGAAGCGCATAGTGCATGCAGTCGTACAGGACGTCTGGGGAAATTCCGATGTCAGCACAGTGTCATTAATGCGTGGATGGTGACGAGGCTTACAGAACGTGAATGATCCGGCGATGATACCGTTGGCCATGGCCGGAGGGAACAGGATATGCGCCAAGCGGGTGAAGGGCGCCTGCAGGATGGCAAATAGCGTCGGGGGCATCACGAGCCGCAAGCGGTCCATGGGCAGGTAGTGATGGATACCGTGCAGCAAGAAGTGCAGGGTGAGGAACGCTGGCGTGTCGGGTAAGAGCTCGTCGATGTGGAACAGGAACCGGTGGAGCGTGTACTCCAGGAGCGTCCAGATGATGTTGCCGGCGAAGAAGCATAGCGTCGTCTTGGCGATCGAGTCCGTGCCAATCGAGGAGAGAAGGTGAACGGGCAGCCAGGGGTTGGTGCTGAAAAGAGGGAGAGGAGTTGTCCACTGAAGCAGAGATCGAACGAAGAGGTATCCCGCTATCGGCCCCCAGAACAGCGGGACAACGAACCACTTCGTTCGTGTGAAGACCTATCAATGGTGATCAGCTGCTGTTCAAGTTCGGTCTGGGAGAGGAACGGACCTCAAGGTAGCCTGGTCCGAATAACCGAGCAGGCTCTGAAAGATGTCTGGGCTGGTGAACCTGCTGAAGGTAATAATGTTTGCTAGAATGACGTAAGCTACATGCAGCTGCATCCAGGGTCAGGGATAAGTTAGCATACCTCCAGTTCGCGTACCAAACTTGCTTGAGTAGGGGTTTCCGTAGGTCGAGGAATTGACTCCTCTCATAGTCCGCAGTGGTATCCGTTTCCTCAGGATGGAAATTCTCGTCCGCGACCCAGTCTGCTGCCTCGTGAGTCCGCGAAATGCAGCGCGTATAAAAGCAAGCTTACCGTCACTGACGGTTGCCTCCCCGGACCCTATCCTGCCAATGAAGTACTCGCCCAGCATGTCGAACGCCGATTCCGAGTGCTCATGCTCGGACGCGTCACGCATCACCTCGTCCACGTCCTTGCCGCCGTACTTGAGGATCAAGTCGTCTCCGCCAGGATGATCCGGCAAGAACTCGGTCACATCGTACACCTTGCCATGACGGGTGACCCAGCAGCTCGCGCGATCCTTGTGCAATTCGACGTCCTCGACAGCAAAGATGCGAACTCTCTTGGACATGGCCACGCAAACAAGTGGATGGTGTAAACGGGCGGGGAGTTCGGTAGAGGGGAAGGAGAGGATGGTCGAGGAGAGGGAGCGCAGTTCGGCTCGCGGTTGCGCTCCATGAAATGTTTCGTGCCGACGCGCAGTTTCTCACGATTAGTCTCGCCACCGTTTTCGCTGACCGAGTGCGAGCTGGATCAGGCCGGAGCTCGACTCCGGAACGCTCGCGATGGTCGTGATCGTGGAATAACGGGGACGTGGTATACTATGCAATCTATTGTACTGGTGCCGCAATGTATCGCATCTAGAACTAACCCATGCAAGCACCCTCGACATACTTAGAACCTCACGCACTGTGGGTGCTAGCCGCGCACTCCATATCCCAGTCCTTCGGAGTCAGTTCTTTGACACGGGCCCGGAATGCTTCGAAGGTGCAGAGTTCGGGAGAACCGGGAAGATGTTTGCCTTCGTCTGCGCAGGTAGGAAGAATCATGTTCTTGTTCTGATACCGCATGCGAACATCTATGATCTCAGGGTTAGCACGACGCAGAATGACGGTATCGTGACAACCTACAGTAATCGAATGACTTCTCGGGACGTTTCCACGAGAGACCGCCCAAGAACGCCTGTAGGTAGGATTGACCATTCGGCGACTCCCGTCTCCGGAATAGCTCAAAGGTGATCCCAGCGGTAAAAGCCGGCCATCTGTAGAGCGTGCTCAATATACCTTGCATGCGCCTAGCGATGCTCGGTCACCACTCACTTCTCGTCGTAAACGTCCAGGGTAGTGCATAACCCTGCCAGCGCCGTGTCATGTGTGCTGTGTATGAGAATCTTGGGCGTTTCCTCCTCTGGCCTGTCTACTTTATGTTGCATCTTCGTTGACAAGTCGGATAGTAGACGGCCCATGCCAAGACGTTGGACCTCCTCCGTCTTATCTAGACAGTCCAAGTATCAGCAACAAGGGCAACGATAGCTCGTTATAATTTCTCACATCCTGCGAACCATTCAGTCACGACGGCCTTTTCCTAGTATAGAGGTGAGCAGCCGTTCACGTTCAATATCGGATAGCATGCACACACCAGGATGTCGATAACAGACTTCTCTTCAAATTCAGGAGGTATCTTGAAGCCGTTGGCAGCCGCGGCGCGAACCTAGCATATCCGCGTTCAGACGCATGCCCCCGCCCGTTTGATGGCCATTCGTACCGTATCCAGTACGCCGCTCGCTCTTGGCTTTCCATCTATCCGGAATGGATGGCCGTCAATGTATTTTGACAGCTTTTCGTCCAAACGTTGCAGAGCAGGATTGAACGCGGTCGCCGCGGCTACAGGGCCGTTATGTCAGAACATATGTTTGTCAAGCAGCACGCGGTTGTCACCCACCATGAGCAAAGCTGGCGAGTAACACCTCTAAGCGCTTGCACGCGTACGTGTTACCAATGAGGTTCTCGTCCTTGCCGTTCCTGAGGGTGCATCAGAGGTGGCGAATAGAGCCGTGCAAACATATTTAATGGACGACCGGATCGGTGGACAGGCAGGTGAACACAGCGATATCAAGGACTAAAGGCGGAGACGAGCAACGGACCGAATCAGCACCTTCGCAGTGACGTCTTCGTCGCGTTTGTGTAAAGGGTATAATCCATGAATGATCTGCTGGAGGGATTCTATTGTTCGTGGCATGTTCGTCGACCTGAGTACGGCTTTAGACACCTTGTGTCAAGAACGTTGAGGTAGACGCACCGGAAGTAGGTCTCCGATTCGCTCTTCAAGACGTCAGGCAGGAAGGCAAGCCTTGAGCGGAGATTAGCCCGGTAAGCGTGAATGTATTCTTCGCCTCACTTCTCTACGTATAGCTTCCGAAGCGCGGAACCATAGTTATACGTCGTCTAGCAAGAGAAGGTTAGAATACAATTCACCTTCAAGAGAATGACAAGCACGTACTTGACGTCCGATATCCGTCAACTCTCCCAACAAGCTGAACCAACACCCATATCAGCCCAACATACACTTATCCCCAAACATGCGTCTCATCCACTCACCACTCCCCCTCCGCACTCGTCCCGTCGGCCCTCTCCACCACCTTCTTCATGCTCAAAAACGCGTCCTCCTCCCTCTCCCTCCCCCCACCCTTATTACTCGCCACCTCCGCATCTTCACTCGGCGCCCACCCCGCAACCGCCGCCCTAAACCTCCTCGCGTTCTTACACATCATCCAATGCTCCGGTATCGACGCCGGCGGTCCCGCCATCCGGACGCCGACGGGCGTGCGCTCGCCGTGACGGACGAACACGTGGACCTGCTTCAGCTCGAGCTCGGCCGGCGCGACGGGGTAGTTCTCCACATCCAGCGGCACCTGCACATATCCAGAAGAGTCGAACATTAGTTCAAGGTTCACATGTGCATGAATGTATGCGCCCTGGAGACGCAAAACAGAATGTCGGAAATCTTAAGCATCACGTACAGCTGCTCCCTGTCCGCCTGCCATCAAAATGCTCGCGACGGCGGCTTGCGGGTCGATGTCCAGATGATACTCCGACCCTTGGGCGTAAATTGTGACGAGGCTCGAGCCAGAGAGGAGCCAAAAGTTGAGGAACAACGCTCTCGGCAAGTGCATCAGTCTTGGCGGAGACGACCTGGCGGGTTGTGGCCGGCGGACTAACGATTTACCCTAGGCCTGAGCCTCAAGCACGACGTAGTACAGCTATGGAGAGGTGGATGCAGGATGACTAGAGTCAGTAGGCGACAGGCGCGCCAACAATTATTTGGTGCGCGGCGGTATCTCGGAGTTAGGGCCGAGGTTCCCATGAAGTTATCGTCTTGTAAACGGTGCTACAGCTACATTCTGGCCAACGACATTCTGTCCAGGTTTTTCCAGCGCCATCGTTCTACAACAGCGAGCCCCTCGACACCTGGTATTGCTCCCAGAGGAAGCCGCGCTTAAGGCTTGATAGCAATCTTGAGCGCAGTACGGCTGTTCATCTTGTCGAGCGCCTTCTGGTAATCCTCGAGCTTGAAGATGTCCGTAACCATGCCCTTCGTCTTGATCTTGCCGCTATCGAGATACGCGACCGCTCGGGGGAAGCAGAAGGTTTGCGAGAACGAGCCGATGATCTGCATTTCAATAAGGGTGAGCCAAACGTTCACTAACACGTGTTCCTAGGATTCCACTTACCGTGATCTCGTCACCAAAAATCTTGCTCGGCGGCCAATGCACGAGCGCCTTGTTCTCGTACACACCATAGATCATGAGGGTACCACCACGACGCACATAGTTGATCGAGTCGTTCGCGAGCTTCTCCACGCCCGTCGCCTCGACAACGACGTCAAACCCGTACGGGTTGTCCTTCTTCAGCTGCTCCCATTGCGGCTCGGGGTTAGACCGGTCGAGCTCGATGTACTCGTCCGCGCACTCGAGGTCTTTGGCCAGGTCCATCTTGATGCCCTTGTTCGCGGCGATGACGACCTAGACATGGCGTACTCATTGAGCATGGGGAGGTTGCAGGGACGCTAAATGTGGCTCACCTTCGAGGCACCGTTTAGCTTCAAGAGCTGAGCGAGGATCAAACCGGTCGGACCGGCACCTAGGAGCAGGACCTCGATACCGACTGGCGGGTTGAGCTTGTCAAGGCCGTGGATCGCGCATGCTGTATACTACAGGTTGAACAAGAACGAGTAAAACGTTGATTTGAGTGATGACTTGCCTGCCGGCTCCAAGAGGGTCGCCTCCTCATCTGTCATCCGCGTGATCTTGTATAGCTTGTTCTGGGGGCTTGACAGAAATCAGAAGCACGTCCAGATTTGTCTAGTTCAACGACATACTATGCGATGTATTCCGCGAAACCACCCTGCATCGTCACACCACGCGCATGGAAGTTTTCGCAGAGCAAGCCGTTCCCTCGTCGGCAGTAGAAGCAATTTTGGCACTGTATTTGCCGAATTAAGTGAGTATATGCACTGTATGGGAGGCGGGAGAGGCAACTCACCGAAATGCCCACGTCGGCCGCGCATCGGTCACCGATTTCGAACCCCTTCACATTCTTGCCGAATTCAACCACGGTGCCGACCGCTTCGTGTCCGGGAATGAGAGGGAACTTGGCGATGAACTCGCCGTCGTGAATGTGTCCGTCGGTGCCGCACACTCCGCAGTAGGTCACTATGGGCAGATAAGGGTTGATGAGCAACGGGCAGGTCGCATAGGATTTCGAGGGTCTCGTACCTTTCAAGAGCACATCGTCGTCGCCCACCTCCGGGATGGGTACTTCCTTCATTTCGAAGTCCTGGGGCTATATATCTGCGCGTCAGCTTACTGTTCCGCACGATCCAAACCGTGACACGGCGCGAGCCAGATCTTGAGTACCTTCGCAACGGAGTACCCTCGCGATGATCATAGGCTCACACCGCGCCGATAACCAAGCCATAATCTAGACGCGCCGCCACGCAGATCGCGCAGCATCTACTAACCTTGTTGTACCACAGCGCTTTCATAGTGCCCTTCATCTTGGATATACGATTGAGAATGTGGTCTGATGTCGCTGGCGGTGGTAGTGGTCGTTTCAGATAAAGAAAACGGGGTGCCGATTATTCCAGGAGGCCGAAGATTTTATCTGCACGCTCGCCGGTCACCGAAGTTTGCCAGCGATGTTCGGCCCATCGCCCGGCAGTGCATCGAAGCATGACGTCATACGACCCAGTATCGATATGGATATGCACTTTCCCCCTTTGGAACAGGAAGCTCTAAAGTGATCACGATCCCTGACCTTCTTGCGACGTGCGCGTGGAAAGGCGCAGATTCGTCTCAGCGCGCTGGGTCGTCATGTTGCCGTGTCGCTTTCTCATGGCACTGAGCATGTGCCGCGGAACGTACTGCAGCTGTACGGCTTATGGCCGCCATGGGCCGAAGATAAGATCATGGACAAGTCAACTCATCGTTCAAAGCACGTTGATGCATCAGCTCGTGAGCCGAGTCGCAACGCGAACGTCATCAAACCGCCAAGAATACTGGTGGGAGAAGGGTTATCGGTAGAGACAGCCACTGTGATAGAAACGTAACAAGCCTTCGTTAGCGCTAGGCACCATGCATCGGCGAGTAGATAGCGGTATCACGTCGGGAATATCGCGTTCTCATGGTGAAGCGCGGATGTCGTGCAAGTGAGACCAGCGAGCCCGAATGCATCGAACCGAGCTGAGTCCTCGTAGATGGACCCCAGTTAAGAGGACGAACATCGACGATCGCAGACCATATACGCAGTCCAGAGCCAACTTGGGCGATGATGCGTGATGGTGCAACTAAGTTCATTCTTTGCGACTCCGTAGCGTACGGGCGACGTCCTGAACGCGCTCCGATCGTTGACGTTGCAGAGGGAGTTCCTGGAACACAAATTTGTGTTAGCAATGCCCCTGACGAGGACGAACGATTGTTCTCTACCTGTTCCAGTTCTCCCGCAAGTGTAGTTGTCAACTTAAATCTAAACTCGGCTTCAGGAGGAATACCTGCATCAAGTACTCGGTCAAACTGGGCGACGCGGCGATACGGCATCGCACGAACCAAGTTCACCCTCAACCTCGGGCTCGCTGTCGACAGCCACGTCTTCGTCCGCCAACGCCGGTTCCGCGTCGGCGGACCGTTGGCGCTCGAGCAAGCTGTCAACCAGCTCTGCGACTTCCCCCGGAACGGTCCGACGTTTGTTCGCAACCTCTTGTTGCCATTTCATGCGCTGGTCCGCGAGCGACCATATATGGCGATCAAGCGCCTCGTCAAAGGGCTCCGAATCTAATATCGTGGTCAGAGCAGACCAAGAGAATGTTGTTGTTGTGTGGGCGTGACCTAGTACATACATACCTTCTTCATCCTCGAGCACGTCCTCTAGCTTCATCCCGTTCACCCGGATGTTCGGTTTGGTGGACTCGAAAACATCGTCCACGAACTACGCGGGGTGAGGCAACATCTATCAGCACAGACGTACATATGAGCATACAACTCAGCCACGCACTCGGTTTAAATGTTGCAACATCAACTCCCGGTGTTGAGCCCCGACATCGGCGCTCGTGGCAAGCAATTCATCCAGCTGTGCACGAGCCGCAGACCTGTAGGACTGTTTCATAGCTTTCCAGTCTTGCACGCTATCAATCGAGATGCGTTGGTGGTCCTCCCTGGTCACGTCCATTTCTTTCTCATAGCAAAGGTGGTGGGTTGATCGCGGAGAAGGCGAGACGAACGCGATCAACGCGTCTTATATAGCGCGACGTGCGCGCGTCAAATTCGTGATCAAATTCGTTTGCGGTAACCGCTGCAGAGCCGCTACGCTGCGGTCATCTCGCAGACACCCCGGTGTCCATGATCCTCGATACCTCCTGTGACCGACTCCACGCAGACCGCTAGGCCGATAATCCCATTGCCCGTGTATAATGGGCAAGCTCAACTTCGATGTCGACGAGGAGACGCTACTGAAGACGTACAAACTCTCGTCCTTGAACCCTAGGTAAGGTTGGCAGCCTCATCGCGTTTTCGAGCAATGTACCAACAGATACGCCCCTGTTCAGGAAATGGGAAGAAGTTGATCGTGAACTGGACGATGCCGCCGTCATGAGCCCGGCTGGCGGCGAGTCAGAAGTCGCAGATCCGTTAGGCTTGGGTGCGGTCATCGAGTGAGTAACTCTCGATCACTCGTATCCTACCAGTGCATTGACGGAACGATGAAGCCTGAAGTCCATGGACACGCAAACCAGTCAGTACCATGCATGAAATCACTCGCAACCCGCGCTCATGAACGCACAGAGGCCGCGACCTTGATCTCCTCAAAATCATTTGACCCGAAACAATTCCTCTCCGTCATACACCCTGACGCAAGCTACCAAGACCTCTCATCCGGTATCCAGCATCTCAAACGCACCATTGACGCTCGCTCAGAAGCCATTCGCGTCCTCGTCGAAGACAACTTCGATCGTTTCGTCGCCGTGAAAGCATCCACTGATGGTACGATTGTCCTCCATCTCTCATGGCCCCGCATTCAACAATACGTTCTCCAGCTCTGTATGCTGAGATGAAGGAAGGGCCTTTGAAAGAGGATGCAGAGTTCGGGTCCAAACAACTTCGCGAAGAGCTGAAACGTGAGTTTGTTCATTCCATGCTCAAGACCGTGACCGAAGAATCGAGATGCGCGATGCAGATGCTGCGACAAAGGCGAATCAAGTCTTCATCCCTGTACTCGAGAACGCGTCCAAAGCGCAGAAGCTGCGCACAACGCTGGGCGTTTTCGAGCGATCGAAGTTCTTCTTCAACCTTCCCGGCTCCTTGGTCGAGCTGATTGCGATGGTTCGCGCACTTGTCTCGTTTCGTCCGATGGAATCTCATCACATGGATCACAGGGTAAATACGACGCTGCGCTGCGAGACTACAAGAAGGGCAAATTCATGTTGGAGTCACGTCCTGGCCAACTGCTTCCGATCGGTGAACAGCCCTCACCCCATTTATGCGCAAAGAGCAACCCGTGACACGTCTTACTCAGGCGCCAAGAAGGATGGTCAAAACAAAGCTTCTGCGGAGCAGCAGCAGAAGCGCATCCTAGACAAAGTCTGGGGTGCTGTCGAAAAGCCCATGAGCGAAATGCGCTCCATGCTTTACGCCAAACTACGGGATCCTAAACGCAGTGTCGAGGAACAGGAGAAGACCATAGAGCGCGTCAAATCTATCGTTCTTGAGGGTTATAGATCGCTGATGCCTGGTGGTTAGGATACTCCTCGAACTCGAAACCGCGGAGGACCCGGCTTGGACATACTTGGACAGCCAACACCAGCACATATTGGAGAAAATGAATAGGGCCTACCGTGTCTCCACTGCAACGGTGGAATGTGAGCGTTGGTTGCCTTTGGTGAGACTATGCCTGACACTCGCCCTCATCTAGCGGTGAAAGATAAAACATCACCAAATATCAGTGGGCCCGATATCCTTAGCTCGCTTTTGTCCGCACAACTCTCGCAATGCCTCAGCGCATCAGAGACCAAGCAGGCCGAAACTGTTATCGGTGCTTTTCTCTCGCTGTGTCGTCTCATTCCCATTAGCTAAGATCTTGACGTAGCACAATCCGGGGGGCACGAGGTGTGGACGGCGATCATCGACTTGATCAAGAGCGTCTCCGAGGCGATGCTCTCCGCGTTCCCCAACTTTTGGCGAATTTCAAGAGGTTTCCTCGACGGCAAGTTGAAGAAGGTCAGGCTGTTGTTTCTTTTCGCGAAGTGATCCTTCACATGCGCACTACTAGTCCTCTGGGTCGACATCGCGGCGCAGCCCAAACCAAGTACGGACCATGGCGCTCGACATCGTCAAGCTCTACATCTCGCTCCTCTCTGAAGCCTTCGTGTTGACGGACATGCGCTCTGCGGGCAGTAGCGTCACGCCGCTGCTCCTACCCAAACACTCGAACGTGATCACGACGGGCCATTACCTGATGAAGGCGCTTGCAGAAATACAAGACACTGTCAACGAGGTGCTGGGAATGGAGCTAGGAAACGAAGCGAGCTCGGTGTTAAAGAATCTGCTGGAGAGCGCGCGATGGAAATTCGAGGACGTGCTTGTGCAGGCGTGGCAACGAGGTGCGGTCCATTATCCTTGCCTATCGTGCTCGCTGAATGATAACAAACGATTCGGCGCAGACGCGAACATCTTCTACCACTTAGAAACATGGACGGCAAACTCGTCTGAACCTTCGACGACGCTCTACCTCAACCAGATTCAGCTTTTCCAGCGCCAAATCACCACATCCGCGTTCAAGCTTGCCGGTGCGGTGGACCTGACGTCCTCGTCGTCGAGGGGGCCCGCGAAGCAATACCCTGTCGCGCAAGAGTTCGTCGTCAAGATTACGAAGGCGTTCTTGGACTCGATGTACGCGTTCTTGGACGGACTCGTGCACCTGGCCTCGGACGAGTCACCCGCAGTAGGCGTGGCTTCTACTTCAGGGAAGACACAAACGATGGGAAGAGGTAGTGCTGTGCTTGGGGGGACGAATCCGTTGGAGCTATTGGATCTGTCTGACGCGGTACGTTTTCATACGGCCTTGCCCTTCAGTAATGTGTTACTTATGCCCATGCCATGCCATGCAGAACACACGTTTACTCTTAGTGATTTCCAATTTTGAATATCTCTCGCGCGTCATGATACCCAGCATGGTGAACGAACTCGAAACCGGAGTAGGCATCACCATGACCAACGATAAAGAGGTGCGATCATTACACCGGATGGCGACAGCGATGTTGTTCAACTCTGTTCTAGACTTTGATGACTGTTGTACAAGAGCTCGACAAGACGCTTTTCGACAGCTATGTCAAACCCAAAGCAGCGATCGTAATGGGCCTCGTGCGCAGCGGAATTCTCGACAGCGACATGGACTGGTACGAAACTCCTCAACCAACCGGTAACCTTCCTGCATATTGCCATTCTGGACAATCATTTATCCATGGTTATAGAAATCCGACCGTACATGTACGAAACCCTCATGTATCTTGTTAGCGTACACGCGCAAGTCAGCAGCACAGCGCCTCCGCAGCTCGAGCGTATCATCAACGCCCTCGTCGAGGACATGGCGGACGAGGCATTAATGTGCTTCAAGCAAGTCAAGCGGTTCGGCATGGGCGGGATGCTTCGGGTATGTCCTCTCTTTCTCTTCTCTTGGCTTACTGCGTCGTAATAAAACACGGATAGGCAACACTCGAGATCGAGTTCCTGCATCAAACCGTCTCGCGCTTCGTGACGCCTTCCGCGGCCAAGACGCTCTCCGAGATCTACAACAAGATCTCGCAGACATACTCGCGCCGTCCAGGCGACGAGAACTTGCAGGTACACCTTGATGGCGTGAAACGGACGCTGGCCGAAACCCGACGCGCGACGGCAGTCGAGTTTCTGTGCTTCAGGCAGAACAAGTCGAGCTCGAGCAAGGAGAGCAGGAAGGAGCGGGACAGGGACAGGGAGAAAGCGAGGGACAGGGACAAACTGGCTCCACCGAGACTGAAGGAACGCGATCGGACGATCAGCAGCCGGAGTACAGGGTCCAAGACGAGCGAAGCCGGACGGTTCTGATGCCGTTGTTGTATTGCTGATTGCGGATGGGAAGCAAGTGTTGGGCGGATTGTTGTATATACATTGACACTCTGGAAATCATGTAATATTGTACACGGATACGGCCTATCCATGGTCACTTGGTTTTCCGATAGTGACCGTTACGCGTAACGTCGAGGTAGGGTATATATATGCAAACACTCGTGCCGACTCATGCAAAGAGATCGACCAATATAGTGATGATTCCGAGAACTGACGCGACATCATCAGCAATCGAGCGATAGGAGCATGGATGAAGGAACTAACGAATTTCTACGGCGATCAGGACGATGACAATTTGCTCAAGCCTTTCGGAGTGCCGCGAGGACACCGATTCCTTCAGCAGCTGGAGCATGTCTTGCAACACTTCCACACGGGAGTTGAGCAGATTGATCCGTTGTGGGATCTCGAGGTACGAGCGGGCAGCATCATAAAGTGGTTGAAGATCAGGGTAACTCTGTACGGAATTCGTCAGTTTGTGCAGACTATGAACCTAGAGTATGAGTATGGACTATGCCTTACCCAAAAAACTTCCTGTGGACGTGAAGCATTCGAGAAAGACAACGTCAGTGAAGGTGCAAAACATGTGTAGCTAAGAAAACGCACAGGAGAGTCGAGGACGGATCCGACGGAGTTGATATTCGTCCGCAGGAGGAATAACTCACCAATATTCCTCATTATTTCTAGACATCAGTACGGTCAGTCTATAGCTCGTCAAGAGACAAAGGTGGAGAACCTACCTCTGTGTGGCATCCTAATCTTGCCGGCCTCCGAAATTTGGTCGGGTATGTCTTTTGTCTCTTCAATTGTCGACGAGATGAGCGCCTCAAACTGCATCGGACATTATTGAAGGCGTATCCATACACAAGATTATTAACATACCAGAGATATTTTGACTGATTGAGATAACGCATGTGACAGGGATAGTTTGGTCCTAAATTACGCGCCGAATAAGTGAGGGATGCAAACAGTGAAAGTGATCTTAACGCGCACATATATGACGATCCTTTCCGGAGCGTGATCACGTCGTTGTATATCCTGGAGGGATGCGTTACATTAATGTCCAGCGGGAGGACAGAACTGTTTTGTACCGTGAATAATTCGCATAATAATAATTCAAATCTTCCATTTCAATATCGTCTGGAGCGAGTCTCTCGACTTCGAATCTCTTGCTAAAAGAAGACAACGATGTCAATGCGCGCTGTTGTTAGGCAGGCAAGAAACGACGAACATCGACGACAGGAATCGCTTCTCCTGGACCTCAGTCATGCCCCAGATGACCACCGTACCGTACTTGAAAATGAAGATTTCGGCTTCGGTGGGCTTGACAGTGAACTTCGAGCTCCGCGCTCGCCTGCGTTTTCCTTTCAAGCCTCCATTAGACGCGGTGGCAACATCGGTGGCGCTAGCCCCGACATCGATCTCGCTGGGATGTGTCTTGCCGTTGGTCTCCCCTGGCTCGCGCTCCGACGCGGCTTCCTCATCCCGCAGTTCAGGGATGCCGAGGAGATCGCCGGTCTGCACCCCACCATCGCTAGAGTACTTGGCTGAACGCCGAGGAGGAGGCGGATTGGATTGCTCGCTTGAGGATTGTGGAGGACTGGGATCATAGACGTAGGGCGTGTAGATTACTTCGTCTATAATCCGGGGGGCAGTGTGATAAGCTGCCTGACGGGCGTGGAAGAACTTCATCAGGTCGTGGAAGCGGTAAGATCTGCATGTGTTCGTACGAAGTGCGGGCGATCAGGTCACAGAATTCGTAGACTTTGAAAGTAAGTGATATCTTACGTGCAGGTCGCATATGCGGTGACACGCGGCAGGGACTTGGCTTTTTTCTTCGTGAGACGAAGTGCGTCTCGCCGAGCGGTGCCCTCAGGTATCATCGCAATCTGGTTATACACCTATCCTCATGCACTATCAACTAAAGTTCCACTGCACCGTGTATATACGCATAAGACGTACCTCGGCTTCGGGCTCCTCGCTCATCTCATCCCCCATCTCCTCGTCATCTTCATCGTCCTCGCTCTCATCTTCCTTCCCATTTTCACCGCGTCTTGGTGGTGCACTCTCCGGTCCAGGTGGGATATGGACCACAGCGGGCTGTTGCGGGGCCGTCCCGGTCCCCGCCGCTACCACGCTACCTGACGGCGTCGGTTGATCGGGCAGCACCTTCAGTTTCCCTGCGACCTTCGTGCTACGGTTCGCGCCGCGAGCCTTGGGTTCCGTCAAGAACAAACCAGTGCTATTCGCGCGCTCCGGTTTTTTCTTGCCGTCCATGGTGAGGTCTATGGCTGATCGGCGTGTTACGGTGCCGCTGATGTTGTTCGCCTTGGTGGACGCTCAAACCCTGAGAGAACGGTGAATTGGCGTGGCTGTGTTCGTGACGTCGATATACTCATGTCCGAGTCGCACGTTGTCGCCTTGCAAGTTGCAATTGCAATCCGCAGGGGCCTGATCTGATACTTATGAGACGACTTGGGCTTAACTATATCTTGCAGACTATGTACGACTTGTAGGTAGACAGATAGCAGTATCTATTAGGTAGGTGAGTGCTATACTATCGTAGGTGTGCTTTACGCTTTGGTCGGACCCGCTGCCTTCAAACATCAATTGTCCTCATCTTGCAGGAGTCCTTATTCTTCATCTGAACATTCCTCTTCGACAAACACCCCAGCTCTAGTCTTCTCGACGTGCATACCGTCGGAGGTGTATGCAACTGGATGACGATATGGCGGGCTACGAACACGGAAATAATCACGTCCCTCGATTGGCGCTCTGATCGAGTGACTGCAACATCCGTAGGTCAATCAACGTGAATATCCGGTGTAGGGGCAGAATCAGCGACACCCACCTTCCGTGCAGATGTTGCCGAATGCAAGGCAACTCTTGCTGGCAGACTTCTGTCGGCAGATCGATGCAATGGACGCATTTCCACTCGGCGAGTTCCTTGTCGACGTGTCTAACGGAAGAATCATCAGCATTTAGGACATCCGCAACGTGTCCTTCGAATCGCTCTTACCTCTCTGCACGTCGATAACGTTCAGCCTCCTCGTCGTCCAAGCGAGTCCATTTGATCTCACTGCCCGCGTGTTTGCGCTGATGTGCGATCTGAATGAGTCACGGTCAGCTTCTATCTCCCCGTAGCTTGCAGAACGCTCTCACTGTCATCTTCCACCCCATGACTTTGTCGCACTTCCCGCAGGAAAACAGATAATCGAGTTTGTCCATCTCCTCCGCCGTCGTCGTGTCCGGATCCAGGCCGCATTGTTCGAGTAATCGCGTCACGAGTCTCCCCGCCGTCCTGTCCAGCTCCAAATCTTCCGGTGTCCAGGTGACGCGGCACATCCACTCGTCATCATAAGGGTCGAAGTCGTCGTCGGATTCGTCCCAATGGCGTTCCGGCGCGATCTTCGTCCAGCGGTATTCCTCGATCCTGTGGTGCATGGTCATGTCCCACCACGATTCCGGGGAGCGCCTCAGGCACTCGTGTCCTAGGACGGCTGGATAGAAGAGCGGCGCCTGTGTCACGAAGAATTCATCGGTAGCGCCGGCATTATAGGCACCCAACATCGCGGCCATCGCAGCGAAGAGGAAGAAGTTGGGATTCTCCGCCTCATCCGGTTCACAGCATGGGCATTTGAAAACGGTCTTGGCTAACTTGCACTCCTTGAGAGTCATGTCCAGGGCCTCCAGTTTCCCTTCGCGTGAAAGGGACGAATACTCCGTCTCGTATATGATGGAATACACCTTCTTCATGAGCTGCTTGGTGATGGATTGGCGCCAGCGGGGGATGATATCCGACATGACTTCCAGAACGGGTGCGAACGACTCGATCGTGATCTCCTGGGATACAGGAGCCTTGATAATGGAATGTACCTCTTCGAAGCATACGAAGTCCGCCACTTCGGGCAAAAGAAGAAGCTTGCCCTGCTTCGCTAGGAAGTCAACCTTCCAGCGGTTAAGCGCCTGGCCGGCCACTAGCCTTCTCTTGGAGAGGAGCGATTTCCGATCACGAGCCAAGCGCTCATCTCTGGCTTTCTCCATCATTCTCACAAGGGGATCGCGGATGTTGTTCCATGCTGTGTTTGACGTTGGCGTTATATTCTATGGATATCGGGGCACATTTTCCGGCTCACCTCTGTCAGTCAGCTTCCGGTTTTGCTTCACGCGGCTGTCCTGCCACAAGAGGTCCGCCGGGTACAACACCTTGATCTCATCCCCCCATCCCAGGTCTGTGAGTCTTGCAATGACACTATAGGTTGATGAGCGACCGCGCACACGCATATATGCGCGCGCTCATGAGAACGTACTCCTTGTACCTCTGCTTGCGGATCTCACGCAGCTCCGCCGTACGATCTAGCGAGCGAGATTCGGACCACTTTTCACAAAGGCTCGCGTGCTGCGTATTGCTGCCTTCGTATCAGGGTCCGAGGAGCGACAACCATATTACGAACTTCCAGTATAATCTTTACGTCTTGCTTGCGTTGCGATCTGAACGCTTTCTTGTCTTCATCTGTCGGAAGGCCATCGAGCGCCGCGCGGTAATCATCATAAGCCGATTCAACATATACGTTGATGCCATTATTCTCTTCAAGGGGTAGAAAAGGATGTAAGCCGGTGCCGAAGGTATCGAAGTCCAAATTGACATACTAATATGGGGTCGGTGGGGTACCTCTGACATGTCATCCTCGGTCTCCTCGAGCCTGTTATCTCGTGAGTAAACCGTGAATCGTCACGGAACGTATTACACCTACTCGGCCTCAGCACAGCTCGAACATATGCGGCATCGCAAAGGCCAGTCAATCTTACGTACCGTGGCCTTGCAACACAGCTGCGAGGTGCGTAAGCGTGAAGTCCGATTCTGAAGGCGTACTGTTGACGTACCGAACATAACGGCACGAAAGCGAGACGAGCGTACTGCGCCTCATTCATGTCGGGCGGCAAGCTCGGCATGCCAGGGACGTTCGCGAATGCGGTCTTCCATATGAAGGCGGAAGAGCGCGCCATGAGCAGCGCGTGAAAGTCCTTGGATGCCCACGAGAGATGTAGCAGATCTACGGGGTCAAGATGCCGAAAAACCTTTTGGGCACGATCAGCGAAACAAGAACATGGTCACAGTACGTGCTCTCTCACCTCTACCATGATATCCAGGGGCAGGATGAGTAGTCCTGCAAGTCTACCTGTCACTCGTGTCCTTCTCCGCCTCTGCGTTGATTCAACTGCAGGAGTGGTAGTCTCCGAATGAGTGGATATTCTTCTACGTTTGGTCATCCTTCTGTGGCAGAGGAGCCTCAGTCAATATTGATAGCGGTTGAGAGCACTATGACGGATGGTCCATAGACTTGTCCATGGGACCACTGGATCAATGCATTGTCACGTGAGTAAAGCGTGACCGTCGGACTGGGCTCCTGCGCAGGACTCCGACTCTGCCGCTGGCCAGTCGCTATCGCCTACAGCGGAATTCCTGAGCGCTCTGGACGATACAACCTGCTCACTACTGTCCCTTCTACTGTATCTCTGCCAATGAACTGGATCCCGCTTCGCTAACTCTGAGGCATATCGAACGTTTGAGGGACGATAACTCGGCTTGAGATTACGAGGACATCCTACGGATGGGTGCGCGGCGCACCCTATAGCTGCCGGAGAAAGCCACGATTCCTGAGGCTCGTAGCAAAAGACAGCGTATCCGTGATCTGATCACTTCAGTCGACATAATTCTACGTGTTCAGCCATAGTTCTACGATACCATATGATGACCATTGACCAGCCTGCATTCTCCCCGGCAGCGACCACGACGCCTGAAGGGGTTCGAGACGCAAGTGCACAGATATTACCTCCAGATACACTATCGGTCTAACAGTAGGAAGATCTGCGTGTATCGCGAGGATCTGGCCGCACACGCCACCCTGAAGCCGTCAGCGAACTGTCATAACCTTCAACCATGGAGCGGGTCAGCCGGAGTTCGTTTGCTGACTGCAATTCCATCCTTTCTTTCCTCTCAACCCATCTCAGCGCTAGTCGCTGCTCTTCACAGGTCTGTAATTATGTGAATCATAGCTCCTCAAGGGAATGCTAACATGAATGGCCGGATCTCGCAGTTCTATTCGCGACTGGTCGCCCCCACTCAACTTGCCAGTCATTCCCTGTTTCATACAACAACCTTATCCCAAAACTACACAACCTGAGCTAGCGGCAATCACGATGCGCCTCCAAATCCTACTCGCCCTAGTCACGCTCTCTGGATCCCTGGTGCACGCTTTGCCCGTTCCTCTTTCCCCCGGCCTACAGGCCCGCCACTCAGATAAGAACGAGTCGAAATCTGGTGCTCATGCATGGGATGCAGAAGACGACGAAGAATCAGCGCAATTCAGCACTCGCCGGGCACATGCGACCTTTGAGGCTACCTCGACGCGTCACTTAACTGTCGCGGAGGATGAACCGGAACAGACTCAAGGCGTCGCCAAAACCCCCCATTTCTCCGCTACAACGCTCACGCACCATACCGAATATGTGTACGAGAAAGCAACCGCGGCCTCGAAAGCGCCTCATAAGGCATCGGCTTCTCCGAGCGTTCTTGGACTCCCCAAGATTATGAGCGCCCCTACACCCACCGCGGTCAAACCTAAAGCTAAAGACGCAGTAGCATCCGCTCGGACCAGGGTAGGTGCAGCAGCGCTGCATGTGGAAACCGGCAAGGCGTCTTCGCTGTCCATCGCGAGTGTGGCGAATGAAACGCATGATGGCGCGTCCGGTGAGCCAGACATAAAGGAGAAGGCCGAGCGTCTCCCTGCTCAACCCATCCCACCTTCCGTCCCCGCGATGTCCTCATCTGCGGCTGAGGAGACTCCTAGTCCCTCGGCAGCCGCGACGCGCGTCAAGGGCGAGCACGGTCATAAGAAGGAGAAGGCAGAAGGGTCGTCGAAGAAGGATAAGGAGAGTCGTGACCTACACAACTCGTCTGTCCCCGGCGTAGACAGTTCCTTGCACCACCCTCGTCAGGAGGCCCCTTCCTCCCCCGAGAGCGGCAACATCACCGGGTACATCGACCTTTACGTTCGTATTTCCATTCTGATTTATGATCTCGTACCAGCAATTGATCCCCACCCATATCGTTCGTAGGGTGCTGGTATCAACAGCCGCATTGGTCTCATGGCAAGGCTTGGCGTCATCTCACCCGACAGCAAGCCTCAATTCGAGTTCGACCCATCGAGCTGGTCGACACTGACCCTTAGCCTGATCCAACCCGGTTCTCCGGCTTACACCACCGTCGACACGTCTGGTCTCAAAGAAGACGAAATGCTGGCGACCGTTAGCTTTTCCGGCGCGGAGCAAGAGCAGCAGGCGCCGGGTCCCGCTCTCTGCGCCGCGTTCGACCCAACCGCCGAGGATCAAGGACAGCTGGTCTTGGACAAGTGTGACGAGGAGAACGCGCAGCGAAGCCGGATCTTCGTGTGGCAGCGGAGCACCGACAGGCTGAGGCCGACGTGGTACAAGGGGCAAGACGACGGCCAGAACGACTATGGAAACTACAAGAAGGTCGGCCCGGACTCGTGGACGGTGGCGGGATATCCGGCGGAGGAGGACGAAAGCGAGGGCTCTGCTGCGCAAGACGAGGGCGCAGCGCCGATGCAGCCGACCTCGGGAATGAGCGCCACATTCCCGACTGCGACCCCGACACCCACGGGTATCGCACTCGAGGCAGCGCCGCCTACGGAGACAGAGCACATGCTCCCCGCCATGATTGAATCGCTGGCTGTTTATGCTGCGGATACCAGCTCGGCCACGTTTTCCCCGGCCGAGACTGCGGAAGCTACGCCTATTTCTGCCTCAACGGAATCCTTCTCCCCAAGCTCTTTCAGTTACGCTGTAGCCACTGCTGCTGCGGTTTCCCCAGCCTCGGGTTCGGCGTCGTCAACCATAGTCATCGAGGAGGCGCCGAGCGCGACACCCACCGGCGACTCACCCTCGGCATCGACCCCCACGCCTTCTTCTACGGCTACAGCTCAGGACGCCGATGGGGCGATGATGATCCCCATAGCGCTCAAACCGTATGACTTGCGCTTTATCATCGTGGACGAGGACGGTATGGCCACGGAGCCTGAGATATATCTGGACCCGACGATGGAATGATCGTGCCTGCAGTCGTGTGCTGGACGTGATATCGTTAAGGGCTTCTGGAGTAAACCGTAGTCGCTTGCTGTACAGTAGCATTCAATGCAAATCCAGCTCAGATGTCTTAATGCCACTGCGTAGATCCTGGGCAGTTCATAAGCGTCCGGCCGCTCGTGCCGCCTTGGATGGAGGCAACTACATTGACACGGTACTTGGTGCCGATGGGAGTAACAGAATGACATGAGACCACAGATCAATGGCGTACCACGCTTTTCTCACCGTCGGATGTGGCATTATCCATATCAAGGCGGCGCATAACCCAATAAAGGATTTCCCGTAGCGCTCGTTCCGATAGACTTCCGCCGATTTTGTTGGCGCCGCAAGGAAGCTATCGCTTTCTTTCCTACATGTTCCGACCGGCGTAGGAGCCGTTGCCAACCATGGTTGCTCCGTTTGCTTATCGCGATACAACAGTGTAACCACGAGGTGCGCTTGATCCGCCTACGGTACGAGATGTCGCTAATTTCTGGCAGGGCCCCGTGGCGATACTCGGAGACCATGGCGTATATAAGTCGGACTCGATAGATCTTGGTGCCCCGTGGTTCTATCGGGATCCCACTACTCGCTGAATCGACTTTAGCCATGCTCGCAAGACTCGGTGCGCTTTTATTGGCTGCGGCGACGTTGGTCGCGACCGGACCAGCATCGGGTAGCCTCTCGAACGGCGTAGAGAAGCAGCAAGCCGGCCATGGACCCATAAAACCAAAGGTGTTCATCATCAGCATGGTGTGCCCATCTGTCCTTTAGCGACGACGAAAGTGTTCTGACCAGGGTCCACGATGCTTGTAGTTCAGCCCCGAAGGTGAAACTTGGTACGGCATCCCGGAGTTCAACGTGCTGGAGCATAACATCACCGTTCCTGGCTTCTCTCCCCTGTTCCCGCAAGTGCACTGCACGAAGGATGGCGAGATCTGCCAGCTCACCACGGGAGAATCAGGTGCCTGCAGGTTTTCCCTCGCTCTCGTACATACGCTGATCATACGTTGTGTATACAGAGATCAATGCGGCCAGTACGGTGATGTCGCTCGTGACGTCGCCTCATTTTGATCTGAGGTCCACCTATTTCCTCATCGCGGGTATCGCGGGCGGCAGTCCGACCCTCACAACCACCGGTAGCGTCACGTTCGCCCGCTATGCGGTTCAGGTTGCCCTCCAGTACGAGATCGACCCCCGAGAGGCTGGGTCGAATTTCAGCACTGGGTATTTCGCGTTTGACACCGATGCGCCGAACACGTTCCCGCAGGAGTGGTACGGAACGGAGGTCTTCGAAGTGAACGATGCTCTGCGTAAAAAGGTTCGTCTGTCTCATTGGTCAGTTTGCTCAATCCCTACTGATGCGTGGACATTAGGCCGTCGCTTTTGCCCGGAAGGCGACTCTGGTCGACAGTAACGGGGCAGCAGCGTACCGCGCGAACTATGCTAGCAACGCATCCTACAAAGCAGGAAGCTCTCCTCCGTCGGTGGTGGAGTGCGACGTCGCAACATCCGACGTCTACTTCAGCGGCGACATTCTCTGCGAACAATTTGCTATTTACACGTCGGTAATCACGAACGGTACTGGTGTGTACTGCTCGACTGCCCAGGAGGATAATGCCTCGTTGGAAGCCTTGATGCGTGGTGCGATGGCCGGCTTGGTCGACTTCAGTCGCATCATCGGTGAGCAAGCTGCCAACACGTGCGCTTCACTGATTTCTCGCCAAGCTGAGCACCACCAACAGTAATGCGCACCATCTCTGACTTTGATCGGCCATATCCTGGTACGATCAGCATGCCATATGCCCCCCTCTCGACTGCTCACGCTGAAGTAATAGGCGAGAGCGCTCTGTACAACCTTGTGTTCGCACCGCAAGATGGTTTCGATATTGCGGTCGCGAACATCTACAAGGCTGGAATCAAGATCGTGCAAGGAATCCTCTCCGGGTGGAAATCAGAGTTCGAGAAGGGTATCAAGCCCACAAACTACATCGGTGACGCCTTTGAGTCGTTAGGCGGCAAGGCTGACTTCGGGTAAGTGCCTCTCACCACCTTCAGCAGACGGCTTGCTCATTACTTGTAGCCCCGGTGAATCGTTGGCTGAAACGATTGGTTCGCTCCGGAGGAGGAGACTCCCGTCGTACCGACGTAGGCGATGAACTCAGTGCGACGAAAAAGGTGGTGATTTTCCCCGTAAAGCAGGAGCTTCGCAGCCGACCCTGAGTCAGCTTGTGATAAGTACAGTGTCTGCACCTCGGGCTTCGATAACTATCCTCGGTGTTTGCTCGCTGCTCGCTGTAGACGGGGAAACGTACTTCACGTGACAATAATTTGCATGATCTAATTTTATCTCTCGCCTGCTGAACTCTCCTGCTCCCGTGGCTCTGTGATATATATTACAGCCCTACTTGCAGCGCAACATCTACGAGATGGCTGTACCCGACCCCACCGCAGTCAAGGTCTATACCGTTAACGGCCAGACGGCCGGCTCGTCCTCATCCCTTCCTGACTGGCTCACCCGCAAACGAGCAGCAAAGGGCAAGGGCAAGAAAGCGCGAAGAGAGCATATTGAGGGAACCATTGAGCTAATCCAAGGCTTTGAGTTCCCCGAGGCAAGCAATCGCATAAAGACGACGAGGGATGGGCACCATGCGATTGCGACGGGAACGTACAAACCCCGGATGAAAGTCTGGGATCTGGACCAACTTACGCTCAAGTTCGAGCGGCATACGGACGCGGAAAACGTTGACTTTATTGTGAGTGAGTCTCGCTCTTCCATGTTCTTACCGGGTTTGATTGAGCATGATCCTGTTTGTCACCTTGTCCTCCGACAGTGCCTGTCTGACGACTGGACGAAAAGCTTGCACTTGCAAAATGACCGAACACTAGAACTCCATACCCAGGGCGGCTTTCACTATCGCACCAGGATACCCCGGTTCGGCCGCGCTTTAGCGTATCACTTCCCCTCCTGTGATGCATACGTTGCTGCGTCAGGCTCCGAGGTATACCGCCTCAACCTTGAGCAAGGCCGCTTCATGAACCCCATAAACCTGCAAGGCGACGGTGGAGAGGTCGTGCCCGGAGTAAACACCATCGACATTAACCCCGCACATCAACTATTAGCATTCGGCACAGAGACCAACGCGACGGTCGAGTTCTGGGACCCACGATCAAGAGCGAGGGTTGGCGTCCTGCGGTTACCAAGGCAGAGGCTCGGGGGCTCTCGGTCTACAGTATTACCTGGCTTGGATGACGTGGCAGATGCGGATGGGATATCGGTAACGGCGCTCTCGTCAAGGTCGGACGGGTTGTCATACGCCATCGGAACTTCCACAGGACATACTTTGTTATACGACATACGGTCGGCTTTGCCGTTTGCTTTGAAGGATCAGGGATACGGACTTCCAATCAAGAGGTTATCTTGGATTGAGGGTGGCAGTCGCATGGCCGGCGACGGCCTTGTTCTCAGCGCCGACACAAAGGTCATCAAAATATGGGACCGAAATACGGTTAGCTTAGCCTCGATCTAGCTGACTGTCGTCCCGACGCTGACGCGCGTACATAGCCCTCCACTAACTTCACGTCCATAACCCCTGCAACCGATCTCAACGATGTCCACCATGTGCCCGGAAGCGGTCTCCTGCTTTGTGCGAACGAGGGCATTCAGATGAACACGTTCTTTATTCCCCAGCTCGGACCTGCTCCTCGTTGGTGCAGTTTCCTTGAAAACATCACGGAAGAGATGGAGGACCAAACTACTCGGACAGCCTACGAGGACTACAAGTTCGTCGAGAGGAGGGAACTCACGAGGTGCGTTCGCTTTGTCTTGCGGTTGCACGATCTTCTGAAGCTCTTCCGATCTTTAGTCTGGGTCTGGATCATCTCATTGGTACACCGGCACTCAAGCCATACATGCATGGCTACTTCTTGTCGCTCAAGCTGTACGACACCGCCCGCGTCATCGCGAATCCTTTCGCGTACGAGGAACATCGCGAGAAGCAGATCAAGGAGAAGATGGACAAGCTCGCAGACACGCGCATCCGAACGCGCAAGGACGTGAGCGTAAAGGTCAATAAGGCGCTCGCTGAACGCGTGAAGAGGGAGGAGGAGCGGGAGAGGAAACGCCGCGAGAAGAAGTTGGAGCGCTTGAAAGCGAAGGCGGCGGCGGCAGAAGGGGCTGATGAGCCGATGGTCATCGACCAGGACGAGCCTGCGCCGGAGAGCGGCAAGCAGACGCTGCTCAACGACCCGCGTTTCACTGCGCTGTTCGAGGATCCTGAGTTCCAGGTGGATGAGACGACGAGAGAGTTCGCTCTGATGAACCCCTCCATGGCGGCCCACCGCCAGACTGAGGCCTCTTCGGGATCTGCTGCTAGCCGGCGCATGAAGACCGCAGTTGAGGAAGAGGAAGAAGAGAGCGACCGCTCTTCAAGCGACGGCCTTGGCGAAAGCGACGACGAAGACGCTCGAAGTGATGATAGCAGTGATGCTGGCGGTATGTCCAACCATTCCCGCTCATGGGGTTTATCGGTAACCCCGCCTTCCGCAGACCTGGGCTTTGACGATCCTCGAACAAAGCTCCCTGTGCCTGAGGAGCAAGTGCCGCACTCGGCGCGGCGTAAGCCGAACGTGCAGTTCGTCCCCCTTCGGGCCCAGGCCGACAGCGGTGCCCGCACAGACAGGAACGCTGCATTTGGCCAACGGCGTTCTGGCGGCGGAAGCGGGCAGTCGGCAGCCAAGCCAAAAGGCAGATCATCGTCGCACGGTGGCGGAGGATCGGGCAACGTGGAAATGACCTGGGTCCCCTCGGCATCGGCCGCGCGAGACCAAGGTATATCTGAGAAAGCGGGGAAGGGCAAAGGGCGAACGAAGAGCGTAGAAAGATTTGGGGCGGGCTTGGAGAGGGGCGGAGAGGAAGAGCGGCGCCGGGACCAGATGAGTGAAAGCGAGCGGAAAGGTCGCACGCAAAGGAGGAAGGGCATTCGGAGCGGGAGCAAGAACGCCATCTTTGGACGAACATGACCGAGCAAGTACCGACTGTAGGCGCTTTTCTTCTGCAGTTGATGTCGGAGTGCGCGTCAGCAGTTGGGGATCCATGGTACATCATTTCTGCGACCTAGTGATCTGGTATATTGAGTTCAAGGCAATCAAAATGGATATATACGTATATGAGGGTATACTATCCACCGGAAGGCCATCTGAAGAATGTCTATGGATCGCCTATATGGTCCTGGCTGATGTCTATGCCGACAGACATCGTTGAATGGTGGTACTCGAGGAGCTCTGTGCGTGAGCTCTCTTCTGAGGCGTGCTCACGCTTTCTCCCATAACTTACGAGTTAAGTTCCACACCTTCATAACTCCAGTGCCCACGCTGCGTAATGAGTCCGAGGCTTAGTGTCATGCCTGGACATGAGGACAGTAATGGCGTACTTCGCATCAGAAACCTGCTCCAGCGTCGTCCATCGGCTGATTGGCGCTGCCGTGTTGACAACGCTACCCTTTGCCGCCGTCTTATTGCCCTTCCGTGGCTTGATCGTCCTGTCGATGATGGACGTACTCTTCAGCGCAGGAGGCGTCTGTCCTCCTTCTAGGATGACCCACTGCACGCGGTAGGTCTTCCTTATGTGGCTGAACACATGGATCACATCCCCGACAGTTCGGACGGAGGTAATCTGCACGCCACCGTTCGCAACACCGTCTTCCGCAGCCACTACGGCAGTGCCGTGTTCTTGGCTCGGGTTCGTGAAGGGTGGTGGAGACACGGCGAGAAGGTCGCACAGCAGCGTGTGAGGCACCTTGAGCAGCTCATCACCCGCGATCTTCGGATTCACATCGGGCATCGTTGGAAACTCGTGCAAGCCGCCGAGTAAACCTAGCAAGTGAATTGGGGTTGAACTTCTCGACGCAGAGCTCAGGGTTGTAAGTGGATGTGCCCACCACGAACCTCCGTCCGGCCGCCTCACTAAGAGAAAATGTCGATCGACCGGTATTGAATGCGTTGAATAGGGGCGCCACTCGATCACGTTAACGATATCGGTTTCTTCTCGAGCTTTCTTCCGTTGCGCCTTCATAGGGTACGCCGTGACAGGTGTTCCTGAAGGCGAAGGCAGAGGTTCGCAGAGTTTACAAAGCTCCTCGATGTCCGGGATCAAGTTGCCAGCCACATACTGTCGACAAGAGCACATTCAGGGGAATGCCTATGCTTACATCGAAGCTACTTACCTGTGACTGCGTTTCCTGCTGGTAAGCGACACATTCCTCTCTGATCGGGCATTCCTGACAATTCGGATCGCGAACTTTGCAAACCGTGCTTCCCAACTCGATCAATGCCTGGTTGAGATCCCCGGGTCGCTCGGAAACTTCAACGAGGCTCGTTGCTGCGGCCCATAGTATATCAAGGGTAGTCTTAGCCTTAGGGAGTGCGTGTAAGGCCAACACGCGAGATAGAAGTCGATGGACGTTGCCGTCTAGCTGGGAAAAGGGTCAGAAAAAAATAAGGTATCATACTGCCGATGATACGAACCACAGGCACGCGTTCATTGTAAGAGATGGAACAAATGGCACCGGCGCTGTAACGACCGATCCCTGGGACGTTGGCTTCCATATCCTTTGCATTGTCGGGAAGGAAACCTCCCAGCTCTGACACAACCTTTTGAGCTCCTGTGGTGACAGGTCAGAGACAAGCATTACGTTATGATACGTACTCGCCTGCAAGTAGCCGCGCAGCTCGCGAGTAGTAGCCCAAGCCCTTCCAGAGACCATTGACCGTCTCGGTGTCAGAGGACGCCTGAAGAACATGAACATGCAATCGGAGACGCAAAAAAACAGGGCTCACAAGTTCTTTTATTGTTGGGAACCTATAATCTGGTGTGAGTGATTGTACAGGCTAGTATGTATACTCTACGCACTTCGACATCCATCTGTTGTAGTAGGGTATGACGGTCGCGACTTGCGTTTGTTGCAACATAATTTCCGATATCCACACCTATAAAAGCCTTCAATGTCGCTTTATCTTATATGTACAACACAGAGAGCGGTTCAATACCTCGTAGGCGCGTTGAGCCTTTTCCTCGGGTGTCCATGACGCGTTGTAAGGTTTGCGCCAGGGCATGCCGCGGGCTGCGTGCACAGTACCATACCATTGTAGTAGTGCTTCTTCCAGACGTTCCGGGTACTTGATAGAATGTCGTGATACACCATGTGTACTGGCAGCGTCGATGTCAGAGGTTGATTCTGCGTGGCTCGCTGCGGCCTTCTTTGTTTTCGGTGTTGTTCGTTGTAAACCGTTCGTCGTGCGCCGTCTCTTAGTGGGTCTATATTCCTCTGAGTCTGACAGTACGTAGTCATCGTCGGTGGACATATTGCAGCAGTCAGAGAGTAACTCCACTTGTAAGTTGTTTACCTTCACCCACCGTTCGGTCACGAGGTTCAGCGCGTTACTGACTTTCGCGGCTGCGCGTCACGCGAGATTACGCGTGTCGTGTGTCGCCGCGTGAAGAGGCCCGGGTGCAAATCCTGGACACAAAATCGGATCTTGTGCTCGCAAGCACGGACCCAATGGTATCTCGAGCATTCGATAATGGAATTGCTGCGCGAACAAGGATTTCGCAGGGAGCGAAAAGCGTGGCATTGTCCTTCGGAGAATTTCATCACCAGCGCCAAGCATCTCTATATCCTCGCGCATGGGAAGATCGGCACCGCACACGACTAAAAGCATGAAACGAATGGACGGGGATCAGAGCGACTCCACGGTCGTGTAAGTACGCGTGCGCCGTGCTTCAGCCACATCTGGCAGGAAACCACGTATGGAACGACCACATCGTAGCTGCCTCCACAAGACCGAACGGATGCCGTTCGCTACTAGGTTCGGGAATACCGGTGTACCAGGATTACAGAAGGAATAGGCCATAGACTCCCAACATATATACAGCCGTCACCCTAGTAGTTTTTCTTCTTCTCGTCGACGGACAAGCCACCGGGGCCCATATTGACGAGCAGGATAAGCCCACCAACGATGGACAGAGTTTGGAAGAAGTCGTATCTAGGGAGGTCACATCAGTATACTTTACATGTAAGCCAGGAGGGTCGAGGTCACTCACTTGAGGAAGTCGCGCTGCGGGTGCGCAGAGTGCACGCTCCACCAGTTGTTGGCGAAAACGTTGAACACGCTGAGGACCAAGACGAGGAACGTTGCGCTCCACTTTGCCTTGAATCCGACGGCAACCATACCGCACGCCGCCAGTCCGACGATGGAGACCAACAGCCTCACGAAGGACCATTGACCCTGGATAATGAATCCGAGGAACAGGAAGATCAAGAGAATGCGGCCCGCGAGAAGGAAACTGTGATAGGCTTGGTTACACCATGGTAAACTTGTGAAGTAGAACATCAACGTACTATTTCCTGCGATCAGAGTCGCTAATGGTGGGAAGACCTGCAAATCGCCTGTTCCTATTGACCATCGAGTCGGAGAAGACCATGAACAGTCCACCGATCACCGAAAGGTTGCGGAGGAAGAAGTTAAGATCGAAAATGAGGCCATAGCCGAAGCCTTGGATGATGACAACGCCCAAGAGGCCGCCAACTGCGAGTTCTGTGTGTTTCTTCGTGATGACTGCACCGGATCCGACAAGCATGGTCTGTATATGTGTCACAAATACGGTCAGACGAGGGCACAACATCGCCAACTCACGATGACGTTGATGAGTAGGAAGAAATGGGAGATGCCCCAAGGAAATTTGCGATGTCTGTTGGGAGTTTAGAACTGGTTTCGCATAGTTCCAAGGGAATACGCACCTCTGCAGGTACCAGAGTTGGTCACCCCATTGGGTCAAAATTCTAAGCGCATCCTCGAGGAATGTGACCACAATCAAGAACCGCCCAATGGCTGGTAAATGCGGCTTCAACGGTTGCGTGTATATCTCGACGTAGTCCTCCACTTGCTTAGCAAACGCCCGGAGTTTCTCGAGGGGATCGTCGGGGTTGGCGGCCCTGTAACCAGACGAAGGCCGAGAGTTGCCCATGCCAAGTGGGTCTGGCGAGTAGGCCGGGGGCGCGGTGTATCCCTGAGGGCGGGCAATGGAGATGCGGGAGGTCATGGTGAAAACGAAGGGAGAACAAAGAACGAGGAATGTTCGAGCTGCACGTCTCCGCCAGACGCAAGCGTAGTACGTGGCAGAGCGTGAGAAATTTAGCACCGCTTCTTGCTCGGGCACTGCAATCCTCGCGTTTCATGGTAGGCGTTGGACGAGCACCATCAAAAGTGATCAACGCGGAGTTGTACCCAAAAGTCGACAATCAGCCTGGTTAACATCAGTAGCAAACGCCATGAGGTGGGCTTTTGCTCGCTTTTGTGCTTGGGATGATGCTAGCTCTGATCCGGAGAGCTAGCAATCTTCCGGTGCAGGAGCTGAAGCCTTGGGTGATGTCGCATGAATGATTATCGTCGGCAAATTAACGCTGGGGTGGCTCCAGTTAGGAAGGGCTTGCTTTTCCATCGATATATGCGCCCTCCTGAAACATGCAAACAAGACGTCCGAACCGGATTATGTTGAACCAGGGTCGGCGAGGGTCCGAGTTGTATCCAGTGGCATGTGAGTACACCGCTTCTGACAACGCCGCCTTCAGCAATGAATAATCTCAGGTAGGGTCCTTCGCACTCTCCTGCGAATTCTCAACACAGGGCTAGACGACACCGAGACATCGACATCCGCTCGCTGACGGCTAGCTCCGAGCACCTCGTAGCTCCTCGGTAAATGGAACCACCGCTTCTGTCTAGTGGACCGCAGGAGGCCCGAACGGGAACCACACGCAAACGCCCGCAACGTCACAAACCGGATTGGAAACCGCATGTCCTTACTGGTCGCGATGCGCGCCTGAATCACATCTCTTTAGGAACACTTTCATCTCGTCCGCGGACGTCTCGGAGGCCGACTCACTCACCATTCAACCTGGCACTAGATCTCTTCTCGTGCACTCGCATAAAGTTAAGAATACAACCCGATTCTACATGACCGTGTATTGTCAAGCGGATGAGGCATGTGGAGGTTCGTGTCAGAGCCTCGTTCAGTTCCGGCATTCTGGTCTTCGCCCCCCGCCCTCAGATTCATTGACATGTCTCGGGTAAACATGAAAACACGCGTCACCCATCTTGACACCGTTCAGGAAAGTGACTTAGCTATGAAGGTCTAACCCCTACGGCTCCGTGGTTGATACATATGGCAAGGTATGGAACTCTCGGAGTACGAACCATCTTCTCTCTGCTTAGCTCCATAGGTTATCAATTGAGATTCGGGACCTGACAAGGTTGTCTGGGAGCGAGTTACGGTAAGACTTCGTCACTTGTTCGAAACATACTAGCACTACCTCCGACTTACGACCCTGCACCAGACCCGATGTGCCGTCGGGGTGAAGCTACTCGCATGGCATAATAGGCACCGCACTATCCGACCGACTATGGCTCTTCGTTGTCCGTATGTTAAATGATCATGTGCCGTCACAGGCGCAGTGCCATATTGCGGCACTCGATCACCAACAGCTGGCGGATATCTTCTCGCGGGACCTGACGTCTTTGACGTTACGTCCGTCGAATACCCCTACCCGGCGATAGCGGTGCCAGCGTTACCTTGAAGAACCTCCACTGATGCTGGGAATAGTCGTCGCATAATGGGGGTTTAGTGAGTTTTTACCGCTCGATTTCCCGATCCGCTTCCTCGACGGAGTAAGTTGTTTCTTTTTGGCTCATTTCAGTCCAGCGAGTAAACCTGTCTACGCAGTGGTTGACGTACAGCTCTTGAATGAGGAACCAATCGTCACTGTGTAATATGCTGCATCGCTAGGCGCCTGCGCGGCCTTGACAGGATACTGCAGTTTGTCTGGCGACCGGCTCGCTTTGGCGCACTGCGGTCTGAATACCAGCGATTGTTGTCTAGCGTGAGTGTTACCATCAGTGACTTGCGTGTTTGGCTGAACTCTGTTTCGTGCGCTTCCCAACTGTGTTCACTCAGCTTCTCACCAGCTCAAAAATATTCGAACCTTCTCCCATGATTCTGGAAAGTAGCGTCACGGCAACAAATGACCTTCGCACACAGTTGATGACACCATGTTTGTGACCTAATGGCGGTCTAGCTACGCCAGTCAAGATTCTATCACTTTCCAAGGAGCTAATGAACTGCCGATCCTAGGCTGCGACACCACACGTTTGTCGTTGATGCCATTGGTGCGTAAGATCCCGATCATAAGTTTTCCGTGACACCATGCAGGCAGGTGTTTCACTTTCAAGTCGGCATCTCCAGAACCCTGAAAGGGGTCGACTCGCAAAAGTTGTGGGGTCAATGAACGTATCTCGGACTCCTGAAGGATCAGCGGTTCATCATCCAAACAAGGCAGAGTGCAATCCGCCCGTCTGGGCAGGCGAAACCCCCTTCGCCATCGTTCTCCTCCGACATCGCTCCGTTTCGAGGCCGTCCTTCCACACCGATGAAAAGCCGCAGGAGTGTCCCCAAACATGTGCACGATGATGCAACCGATAGTCGTTGAATCGAAGAACACCGGCAGAAGGTGTACAGCTGACGACAGAAACGGTATACTTCTCGAAATACCACGGCTTCGGCGTCGACAGATACTGTTTTCTATCCTCCCACGGCTGACAGCCTCAATCGATGGTGAGCAACTCATGATAATGACTCCACCGGTCTTTCACCCCTTCTCACACCTTTTTTGTGCCGTGAACGCCGCTCAGGGTCCACGCCTCCTCTCTTCTGTGATATCTTGAACGCATCCAGACCCGCGAGCGGGTACGCCGGATAATCGGCTCGCCTCAAGTAAGGGCCCGTTATCCCGTCCAAGTTTCAGGGGCTGCAGTTTCGGCCCTCCCACAGTTTACGTTCCCCATGTGCACGATAGTGCTCTCTACCCTCACCGTTCATTGGCGCGACCTTGCAGCATGAAATGCTCAATGTAGATGCGTGACGACCTCTGCAATCAATCTCATGCGAGTAGTGACGGCTATTACCATAGGGGTGCGTGAGGGTTACAGATCAGACGATTGCGCCTTTGTCCCATCGTTGACTTGTCAACAGTACTACTTCCGTTGTGCGGAGACACGTTCTATGTCGACCTCGACGCCCAAGAAGTATGTGCGGCCGCTGATTGGTGCAGGAACCCCCTTTCATCGCCAACTGTCTGATGGATACTTCAATTATGCATTATGCCCCGCTCGTCTCCGAAGTGCAGGTAGCACGGAGCTCTAGACCAGGCAGGTCTGCTTCCGTTTAGGTTCTTCTGCGATCCCAAGGTTTATGTATTATGTCAGCGGCAAAATTTGTCCGTTCGGCCCCAAGATTCGGGGAACGTCAGCGGCGATTCAAAAGGGACGGCGGTGTGAACGCGTCTGCCTCATTCGCCTGAAGGCGTCTGGCCCATATCCGACGAGGCCGCTTCCGCCATGGTTTTGGTCCCGATTCGCCAATCGTAATTCTCCAGAAGCTGTCTACCATCCTAGGTGGCGGTCAATGGCGGCGCTGAACGAACTCTGCGTTTAATTTCCGGCGCTTGATTGAGTTCGCCAGGGAATCCGAACGTGTCTCTAAAGCCTAACTTCGCCCATGGGAAGCCCCCGTTTATGGGATACGGCTTTCTCTGCGTCTGCGCCTAAGACTGCGGTTCATCCCACACTCGTGCGCCTAGGCTCCGCGAGCTCAGCTTGAGGGCGACAGGGTCACGCCGGCGACTTAACCCACCTTCACTCTAGTCTGATTTTCACCGGCATGAGATCAGTAGGAGCGTTACTCGTATCGGTGACCTGAGAATCAAGTTCTTGCTGGACGAGTCTGATGATCAACATCATACATCAGACGCCAGATAGATGAAAGATTGGAGTGCAGATGAGGTGTCTTCTCATGCTAGACTTTATCCCCCGAGGGAGTCGCTTTAACCGAGTCCGACTCAATTTAGTTTTTCGCAGGGCATTATGCCCCGTAAGGATCACCGTGAGCGCTGTGTTCAGAGCGTCAGCCGTCAAGTGAGAGGAATCGGAAAGGAGGCGTGGGCCCAACAGCCAACAGCTGTGTGGTACCGATGTGCTTCCCGTGAGATTGGGTTTGGGCATTACAAATGCTTAGCCTCGGCCGAGGCCATTCGGCTAACCCTGTTATGCTCATCACGGCCCGGAAACCTTGCATCCCCGTCTCGGCAACGAACAACACCTTTGAATGGCCGCCGACATCTTCCCGGTATTCCGACGTTGAAGCTGCGCGGCGATGTTGGAATATGGACTGGTCTTGACACAAGAAGACTCAGAAGAGAGTCGGGCTCAAGGCTGGACCATGGGAGAGGGCGGGATTGAGTACGGCATCGTACATACCAGTTGCTGTCAGTGCTCGTCCTCGTCGAGAGCCGCGGATTTAGAAAAGGTCCCGATCGCGGCGATTCCAGGAACGGAGGTAACGGCTGGCATACTCGATTCCTTTCCGGCCTTTTGGAGGAGAAACGGCCATGTCTGCCGACATTTCCCGCTTGGGCAACGGCACAGAGCTGCGAACCACACGTATCAGGTGCTTGTTCTCCCGGAGAACAACATGGCGATCGACCTGAAAGGTATAACGCGAAAGTCGCATCTCCGCCGCCCGCCTGCGCGTATTTCATATACTTCCATCTGGCTCAGATAGACGCTGCGATGGAGGTTTCCGCCGACTCACGAGGCTATTGATTGCTTTCATCAAGAATTCACTCCCAACACCGGCCGCGGGACAGCCTGCGAGCATCCCATCTGAGGGCTGTACGTACTCAACGGGAACCCTTCACGTTTCTTGCCATAAGCAGCGGCATCCAGAGTTCGCCAATGTCGAGCCATATCAAGTCACATTCCCCACAGAATACGAAGCGGAGTGCGCCCACATGCTACAGCCCGGATAGCGAGCGATGACGATAGGAGCGTGACCTTCCGTACTAAAACCCATCTTCCGCCGGTCACTCATTCCGTATTTCAAGAATTTTGCCGAGAAGCTTACGTTTAGGTTTGCTATGGATGGCCGGTTCCAACCTTTTGGTCCCAGAGCGATTAATTATGAAAGGCTAAATCGGCACCGGCTTCTATCTCACCTGTTCCTGGAGGCCAATCCTTTTGTATCCGTCACGGAGACCTATAATAACCCAGGCGGCATTTGCCTCGTCACCGTTTCGAATCCCCCTCCTTCATCCTCACCAGATTTATCCATGCAGCAGCAGCCGACATTGCGCGGGGTGTGGATTCGTTCCACGCGCGATGCCATGCATATTTTCCATGGTGTCGCCCTCGGTCGCTGTCCTATGGTGACGAGGAGGCTCGACGCCGAGGAGAGACGGTGCGTCCCTTCCCCGTATGACCTGTCCTTGCCCTCATACTGATAGCTCGGTCAGCGGCATCGTTGCCGGCAATGTCTACGTGTGGGAGGAACGAGGCGCAAACTCTGAAGCTACTGGCCTCGGCATGGAACGATGGTGAGCGCCTATCATCGTTCTGCTCCACTGCAAGCTCACAATTTCGGACGTTAGGACCGACGGGATGAGCTGGGGCCCCAGCAGGGTCCGTGATGTCAGTGAATCAATTTTTATTACATCTCTTGATCGACTCTGACGATAACGTAGGAGTTCCTCTTCTACCATGAGAAGGATGCCGATACCACCGAGGATACGCAAGACCCGTCGACACGATGGGCGCTCCGTCGTCGACAACCACCGTCGCCGACCTCCTCGCCAAGCAGCTCGAGACCCGTGGCTACGCCAGCTCGCTCGCAGTCGACGCCCGGCTCCCGAGAACAGCTAATCAAACAGACGTACAGCGTCCACGTCTCGCTTCCCCTCGACCGCGCAAAGGGCATCACCAGGAAATGGCATCTCAGTCAGTCCTGCACCGCTCCGAGTCACGCTGCGCTCTTACCCTCTTCGTCTCGCAGCGGCCTACTTCTCTCAGGAGAGCATCGATACACTGAACACGGTCGACTGCATACCCAGGATCGGCAACGTTCCAGTCCCTGAAGGTTGGTTCCGGAGCGCCCGTGCAGGCAATCGCGGCAGGCGAGCAGAGGCGCGTGGAATGGACCCCGTTCCCGGTCCAGACGGATTTGCGCCCATCGCAGGGCCTTCTTCTCATGCTATGCCAGGCAGCTCCATGCCGACGGGATATGCAGGCTACAACGCCCCGGTACCCTATGCCCACGGTGTAGCACCCGGGTATACCCACAACGGGTATGTTGCTATACAGCCCTACCCCGGTGCTCCGGCGGTTGCGCAGTACAGCTCTGGGTCGTATGCGCCGCGCTACCCATACCGGGAACAGGAAATGGAACCACCCAGTCCCCAGTCATCTCCTTCTCTTTCGACGTCCTCCCTATCCTCGGACAACAATGCATCGGCGCGTCTCGGGATTTCGGGCTCTGCGTCTCCCGCGTCATGTCGCCCTAGGTCCGCCGCTCCCACCGGCGCAGTCAACCTCGTCCCATTGCAAGATCTACAGCAGAGCAATGGTCCACGCAGGGACCCAACAGACGAGGAACTCGTTCGTCGCTTCCGCATGATCGGCTGATACGCCGATGGTTTCGCATAACTCCTTGTTGGCACCCCCTATCTGCTCAGCCGGTCAATTTCCAAAAGTAGAAGATTCCGCTAGACGTAATCCCCCGTTATGCTTGCGCCGGGGAGTCACCTCCGTCTCGGTCGCTGCGTTGAACGCCAACGAAGACATGATCGCGCTTTACACGGCGCGACACAGATCCTTCCAGCGGCTTATCCCCGTACGGCCAGGGCGTCGGGATGGACCGGCTCCTCCCGCGCCTCTGAACGCCGAGCACACACCCGCACGGACTTTATTTATCGTTTTCGTTTCTTGGGCGCTGGAAGAAATGAACTATCGTGCTCCGTCACAAACGCAAACCCGTATCGCACCTGTAATACTAACGCACGCGCATTCTGTTTCACCGGCTCATCTTGGAAAGTACCTGCCCTCCATGGCTGTGCATTGCATCCTCCCATTTCCGTTTTCGACATGCTTCCGCCTCCCCGATGTATCGCTAATCTGTTTTGTGTTTTGCTCCCGCAACCAAACATGGCATGGTTTGATTATGCTGCACGGCAACGATCTGAAACACGACGTTGCGCTATTGTTCAAGGTTTGTCGCCGAGACGGCCTGCTCCGCGCGACGATGATCGTGAACAATTGGCGAGGCACGGTGCTTGGCCCTGTTTGGGCCTTCGTGGGAACCAAATCACATGCTTTCTATCGTTTTGGCTCGCATTTTCGGCTCTCTCTGGCGCTCTCCTGAAAGTTAGCGTAGCTTGCAGTCCGGCTATCGCTGCGAAACATAGCTCGGTTGTGCCTACTTCAAGATGCGTGCTGCGATGGAGCGCACATGCTCAGTGTTGCCGTATTGTTCGAAGTCGCGTGCCGCATGCACCGTATGAAACCTGGAGCAGGATTTATTCGACTATCATTGCATGTTGATTGGGTTGCAAACTTGCGGGCATCCAGACCCGGTGAACCCTGTTTTACGTCTCATAGGTAACTGAGGCAACAGGAAATAGTCGATGGCCAGGCCAACTCCCGGCGATTCGTCGGGCAGAGCCAACGATACGACTTGGATCTTGGAACGGGGGGATGTCGGTAGCGAGTCTAGTGACCCAGATGGCGGCGTGACGACATGCACCTGGGGAAAGCGAAGAAGGGAGGCGCGAGGCGCGCTGGGTTGCCTGATACGGATGCAGATGCGGACACTGAGCTTGGCGCGTCTACAGGGAGGGTGATTGGCATTCGATGAGGTAATTCCGCTTCGAGAAGGGGCATCCAAAATACCTGGTTAGTTTAGAGTGATCCGATAAATGGCCGTAAACAGCCTCTCAGCGACCAGCCAGGCAAGAGTCCGTCATGCGCATTGACAGAAAATAAACGGAGTATCGAGGTTGCTACGAGCTTGTCACCGATGCGACGTTCTGTTCGGGCGCGAACGTCGTGTCCAGCCTCGGAGAATCCATGGTTCGGAGATGTCAAGCCAAACTGAAATTTGGGCAAAGTCGAAGATGCACGACGAGTAATAACCCCAATGCAGTTGAAGCCACAGCGCCATTTCCTCCGCCATACTATCGTGCGGGAATCATGGGGGCAGGCGAGACACTCGCCGTTTCTTAGACTCACATGAGATCCACGGGTGATTGGCATCTCCAACTCCATTTCCTCCATCACTTGCGGGTCTCTTGCCATTCGTGGCGACGTAGAGAAGATCCTAAGTAGGATGCTCGAAATATCCATATTACCCGAACATTGGCGAGTGGTGACCTATCCTAGAGAGCGGTCAGACCCTCCTTCTCTCTCGAAATCGTAATGTGCCAGCTGTACCTAGAAGAAGGAAGCGATTTGCATTTTCGTGCGCATAAAATCCTTCCTTTACCCAACGTCCCTGGTCCGAGCGTCGACGAGGTACAGATGTCGCAGTCCATCAGAACTTGAGTGCACCTTCGGATGTGTTGGCTTCACCAGTTGCGGTAGAATCCTCAGGGTCCCAATGGGGCGTGGACTGTCGAACACCGAGCTCTCCCCATGCAGCACGCGCATCCTCGTTCGATGGACGCGGCGAATGATCCAGACGGTCTCCGCCGATCGCGCATACCCGCGCCCGAGTTGTTAATTACCTCGTGCGATCAAATCAACCTGATGATACAGATTAACGGTCACGAACGTTCCCTCCGAGAGCCATGGTGCCACTCAATGGCCTCTCGCGCGGGATCGGCCGTGGGTTGTTGCATCTTCCGAGTCGCATAGAGTGGACGCACGCGGTTCTGTTCTGTTCCTCTTCTGCTCTGTTCCCGTTACAGGAACGATATGGGCGTTCGGGGTTACGCGTGCTCCGACACCCTCAAAGAAGTTCCGTGTTTCGTGTTCTGGAAGGAGTCATCCGAACTAGGGTAACTTACCCATCGACAGACCATAGTGCGTACTCGACGGAGGTCGAGCCCGGTGGTCGCCATGTCAAACAGAGAACGTGTTCATACAAGTTGCATCTAGTGACTCCAGCGTCAACCAGCCGCGCCGACGAATGCGGTCTCAAGCCGGTTTTGACGCACGTGACCCCATCATATTCCTCCCCAGGTTGTCCAAGTCCTGCCCGAGGTGCGTATGTTGGCTTGCATTTATTGTTCGGTTGGTGGAATGAAGGCGCCATCAACAGGCTTGCGGCGCAACTGCGCTGTGCTCTACAATATATCGAGAGTCCGAAATTTTCTAGAACGATCGTCCACTATCACCCCTCATGGACTTGGACGACCTTGATGGCTCTCACCTGCCCCCTTGGGTCCCACGACTGGCATTGACAGTGCGAGAAATCACATCTGTCCTCGCAGTCTTTGTACTCGCGACTGAACATGAGCTATCGGATTTCTCCTTTGATGAAGATGACGAGTACGACGAGCGGCTCATCGCGGATGCTCTATCGAAAGGCCTATCCATCAATGTCAACGGCGCTCCATGGCAGCGAGTCATCATGCGGGTGGACGAGCATGCCGACGAAGCTATCATCATAATCTATGGTCTAATGCCCGGAAGGCAGTACGACATAGAGTTGGCGCTCATTCAGGGAGATGATAACATCAGGGAACAGATCACCACCGAAGCTCGTACGTACTGTAATTGCATGCCAATGGTGGTACTCATGATTGTTAGTGCAGATACTCCGCATGTGGAAAACGAATTGCGCGAAGCGGACGTGCATACTGTCGACTACATTCTACCCGCCCATGACCTCCCGTCACCAGGCAGTTCATCACCCCTTCCTGCACCCCCCGTGACTGTCGAAGAACGTACTTCCCAGCTCCAACAGACGCTTACGGCCCTCGTCAACGAGCGTGATACGCTGACCGGCAACCTAAAATCTGCTCGTCGGGATGCGCAAAAGGCAGACGCGGCCCTCCGCGCCGAGATCGAGGCGCTCAAGCGAGCGTCCGAAAAGCAGGCGGCTGCAGAACATCGTGCTCGCCAGAAGATCCTTGCTTTACAGGAAGCCGTGAAGCAGGCTACTTCTGCCACTCGTGAAACGGACGATCTCGTCAAAGACCTGGAGAAGCAATTACCGGATCTGCGAGCGCAAAAGGAGGAGAAGGAGAAGGAGTATCAAGAGATGAAGCAGACGGCGGACAAGGCACGACAGGAACGGGACAAGTCAGAGAAGTGCCGACGCAAGAAAGCAGATGGGATGAAGAACGAGCTGACGACGCTCGGCAACAAGCTCGACAAATTGCACGGTAAGAGGGAGAAGCTGGAGAACGAGGTCATCAGCAATCTAGAGGAACAGCTGAAGAAGTTGGAGATGGAGGTAGAGCGTACGGAAGCCGAGGACTACAGCTACGCTGTTCCGGGCGGAGACATAGATCATGACCCTCCGACAGACCCTTTGGAGTCGCCTAAGGGCTATCATGGCGCCCCTGTCGGCGGTCATGCCTCATTTTCTCGTCGACACGGACGGTATTCAAGCCATGGGCATGCCTCGGCCGCCTCCTACTTTCCTCGGACTTCCGGCGCAGCTCATCGCCCGGGGCCTATTCAACGTCCAACGACCTCCGCTGTCACTGCGAGCGGATCCTCATCTTCCACACATTCACGCCTTCCAGGTTCAAAGCATGCCGTCGCTGGCGGAGGTACCTTTGTCTCGCGTGCGCAGCAGAGTCATGTCGCCCCGGAACCTAGGGGACGTGGCGCGCCTGAGCAATCACACGGCGGTTCGCCGGGTATTGCGTTATCAGCTTCCATCTCTCGGCCAGGAGCTTCCTCTGCAACATCACTCCCCTCTAGTTCGGGTTTCCCCACGTCGCCTTCGTCGACGCTGTCCAGTCGTGCGGCTCCCTTCGAACCATCGGGGCGGGGGCATGCGAACAGTTCAGGGTCTGGAATGAGAACCGGGGCGAGCACGAGCTCGATCCCCAACTCGGCATCAGATCTGAACCCTGCCAGTGTCCCCTTCGAGCCGAAAACTATCCTTTCGAACCCGAACAGACACCCACCAGGCACTGCGGGAGCAAGGAAGGAGCGAATTTCGAATCAAGCTGCTTCGGCACCATCACCCAGAGCAGCGGCGGAGGAGTCTGCTACCTGACTGTCCATGTCCCTCGAAGGGCACGCCCATCTAGCCCGTCGCCGCATGCTGTCCGAACGCGCTCCCAGAGTCAGCTCGAATATATAGTGCATGCTATATTATACTCTGCACGTATAATGTAAACCAATTGACCGCAAATCCGTATCTGGCGTTATAGCACGCGACTACTGGTAACTTGTGTTGATTAAGTAAGAGGGTGGCGGACGAGACGCGTCGATCACGACTTGGCAAGCTCGCAGCATCAGCTTATTCTAATTCGCGCACGCACGGGCTTATCGCGCTGTTCTATGATTCGCTGGAAACACTGAAGGGCTCAATCTTGGCAACGGTGGTGCGGACCTAGGTGAGATGCTACGCCGCCACGGTACCAACGAAACTGCGTCTATGGGAAATTTCCGACGATGTTCATCCTTAATCAACGCCTCGAAACTTCGAAACAGTCTTTCACTCTCACTCCTCCGCCCTGAGAACCCGCTCTGCTTGAGTGTGGTCTCCATGAAGGGTGTTGCAGCTAGGACTAGACCCTGGAGTTATCGCCGCCTATTCATGCAATATCTCTCGGACGTATCACGAATGCAAACAGGATCGCTATTCCAGTCCCTACCATTCATTCGTGGATCTTCTCCCATTGCTCGTCGTCGACAACGGGGTCGAGTCCCTCGCTGCCTTCAACCTTGTCTTAGGGCTGTGTCCCAACAATAATCATTGACAAAATTCGTCCACAGTAACATCGGCGACGTTTCTCACTCGGCCTGCGGGTTACACTTTATCTAGCAACAATATGTATCTCTTTTCAGTAAACGGCTGCTGTTACTCGGTTCCATCACTGCGCGACGGAAGATCAGTCCATAACGAGACCGTCAAGTTCTTACTGAAGAGTACCGGCTGACTGGCACGTAAAACCTCCCATGTACGCCATCTTGACTTAGAATTCCAAGCACTCTTCGTCATTTGGGAATCGTGGTTAACTTATTACTTTCCTGGGTGCTTATGTACGACGCGATCATGGCCGAGGCGTTGTAGGCTGATAGTGTTGACATGCTCACCGTGAGCCTAGTCCCCGGATCCAGAGCTTGTCTGATGCTTCAATACTGCCGATCTTTCTCTGATCATATCCTGCCATGTACGTGTCTCCTGTCGATGAGAACGTAGAATAGGTCTTAATGTATTCCATCGCCTGTTAGAACCTGCGCTGCTTATTGTTAGACGTCTTAAACGTGCGCTCTAGCCGAGGGCCCCGGGCCGTTAACGGCCCGTAGCATCGACGGGGCTTAAGCCATCTTTCACCACAGAGGGATGCTATGTGAACCAAACTATTGTTGGAAGATATTCTCAAATAGTCACGCTGGCTTCTTATCTTCTCAGCTACGGTTCCCAGCCGAGGCTCTGGACCACGTAAATCATATCGACACAGGACCGGCGGCACACCCTTGGAGCTCTATGTGCATAACACAACACAGAACTGAGCAGTTACCGCGCCATCTCGTGGAATTTGTGCATATAATGAACTTTCACCTTACTTTATGCATTTCGGACACGGTTTTTCACAGACCTCGCAAGTATTAGACGGCGTTCTAATCTTCGCTACTTCCTCTGCTATTAGCTGGCTCGCATTTGCCGTTCAGCAAGCGAGTGGGTCTTGCCTGCCGTGAAGGCTCGACGTTGTCCGCGTTACATCCGGGTAACCACACGGTCTGCTGCCGCACAGATGCCTTTCAAGCGACATATCTCAGACCTGACGCAAGCCAGGCGTATATGCGGTATGTGGAGTCTCGCGAATCCTCATCGATGCTGCGCACTGACCACGGTGTTACCTTCCCCTTCCGTCTGTGCGGGAAGGGAGAGCTCGATAAGCCTTCGGCCGCGCCACTGGCAGCCCGGTGAAATTGTCACCGACGACTGCGGCAGAAGTAAACGGCACTGAGGCATTGCCCATGCTGCTAAGGCGGGCGCAGGTGTTCCGGCCGCTTGATAATGACCATTGCGAACTGGGCCGCAGAGATCAGTGGATAAATGGAATCGATACGGTACGGTACGTACGATTCGGAGGGTGCTACATCCGAATCTCTCATCTTTCCGTATTCGCGCGCTTTCGGTCCCTGGATTGCTTGCGTTCTGTGAAGTATTGATAGTGTCAGATGCTCATGAAATTCGCATCTAGCTGCAGCAGACGGATCCTATCTTTATGCCAATCCACACTACTGCCACGGTCGGCTCATTGACCTCCTCTCTCGCTCCCATGACGTGGGCACTTCCTCTTATTTCACGAGCTTCAACTTACTATCGTCGATAGTAAAAAGTACGAGAGCACGGCGAACTCGACCTAATCGAGGTTCTCATGGCTATAAGTACGCCATGAATGTGGCACTTGTAGACAGTTGTTAACTCCGTTACATAGAGGTCTTGAAAGTCCCTCATCTGGATGTGTTTCTCGAAGCATTGCAGTTCGCCGCGATTGTATTGAAAGTCTTCTCCCTGCAGAGCTCGATTACACCCGATCATGTTACAGCATTAATATTGCTCTCAAAGCACCGAACAGCTCGCTAGGAACATCTTGGGGGGGGGGGGGGTACAGATCGCCTTCTTTCAATGCGCCTTTGCCAGCTCCGACCCAGGGCGTGTGCTCAGTGCCTATCTCCGGCACCGTGAAACGCGTGAATATACTCGCAGTAACGAGCTGAACGCAGGATAGATCGACGGACACATTGCTACATCACACCCAGAGCGTCCGACCAGGAGCTGGCATTCTTCCCATGGGTTACTCGATCCTCGGAACGATTACAGAGAGGACGAAGATTTACAAGAACTTGCTTCCTGAAAGCGCCATATTTGCTACTGGTGTAGCCATGGTTCAGGAATAGTTCTGCTGAGTACTCTGGGGGAGTGCACACGTTGACATGCCGTCGGATGCTTAAGTCGGTGGAGTAATTGTGCGGCCTTGAGCCGTATTCTCGTCTTTGACTGTTGACGAGACCGTTAAAGGGGAGACGGAGAGCCGGCATGCCTGCCGCAGTAGAGCTTGAGTTTGTTGGGCCTTTGACAGCGCTGGAACCATATGTATATTGGGACATACATAGTCTAGTCAGTTGCATTAAACTCCTTCAAGCTGAAATGAAGCTCGCTCCACCGTGGCTCGCGATACCAGCTCTGTCTAAATATATCACAAGCTTCGTGGCATCCGAGTTCAAGCCTCAGAATGGAGTCCCGTGTGGAAACACCATCGGGCCATAGATCTCGTCTCGTTTGGATTTGCCGACGAGCAGTTCGGCTAGAGTTAACGCAAATGGGAAGGCGGTGCCTATATCGGGATCACGTTAATTCCGTGACGACAAAAAGACTGCATGGTGAACTTACCGGGACCTCGGCTGGTTTGTGGAGGGTCGAGGAATGAGATATAATGATCAACACGAATGATACCGGAAAACAACGCACCTAGTAACAAGTTTTCCGGAAAGTGCCACTGGGTCTTCGGAGTACTCAAATTCTGACGAGAACGCAAGTTTGTCAGTAAATTGGCACACTGGACTCATAATTACGAAGGGACCTTTCTCCAATTTGGACCGAACACTCGGATGGGAAGTGATCTGTTGCTTCGGTAGCTTAGCTGAGAGCGCAGCAAGGCTTCCCGCGCATATCATGCCCACAACTTTGCCTTGATCATAGAAACTTTTGATGAGGCTCTGAACGCGGGAGTTACCGCTGATCGTCTCCGCGCCTTTGGCGCCTCCCGGTACGACGATTGCGTCGAAACGCGAGAGCGCATCGCTTGCGATATCATCGTTGAAGAACGCATCGGGTACAATCCTGACGCCTCGCGAGCATGTAGCATGCGGTGTGTCAGTGGTTTCAGGCCCGGCTGCAACGTAGGCAGACGTGCATTGGACGCCAGCGCGCACAAGAGTATCGTAAGTGATGACGCTATAGAAAGATGCGGTGAAAGTTGAGTTCGAGCTCGCGACTGCATCCACAGCAATCATTTGTTGCTCACAATTCCATCTCCTCCGTACCTTCCGCAATCAATATGAGAGCTGCAGTCATCTTGGACCTTGAAGTGGGAGCTGGTGATCCTCTTACAATTGTCGAGTTTCGAGTCCAGTAAGCCTGAAATCAATGACGTGATCGGCTCCTCGGTTCCCGTGACTATATCGTGCCTTGACCACGAACCACGACCACCGCTGAAATATAGGCTTGTCACCACGATACCTTCGGAAATTGTCTCAATGCAAGCATTGTTTCCGGTGACATATAGAAGAGGATGCGGGATGGGGCAACCCTTACCACCGTATGGACGGGCGACCACCAACCAACCTTGAGGGATATCCACTGGAGTTGCGCCTGAGTTAGTGCTCAAGATAACCAAACCCGCACAAGTAAATCTTTGAGCTAGAGCTTCTTGTGACGGTGTCGGAATTCAGCCGTGAGTGCTACGACCGATATAGCCATGTATGCGCTGAAAGCTTTCTCGTTCACCTGAACAAGACTATCACCGAGTTAGCGACGAAACCACGGCCTTGCCTCCGCGAAGGTGTCAATGCTTACCCTATGAGAGGCTCCTTGCATCGTCCAGACGTATTATCGTCATACCCCTCAGGTTGCAATACGCTCCTGGACATCCATTGCGGTGTGCTTGGCCTACTATCCCGTGTCACTTTCTTCGGACAGTACGGTCCTCGGCGGTGCAGTCCACGCACTGTATGTTGTTCAACCTGAACAGGCAGTAGAGATTCAGGGTCGTGCAACCTTCTGGACCCACGCGCTACACGTACGATCGCAATTCGACGAAGTCCCCAATGAGTACCGCCAGAGAGTAACTGTCCTCGCCCAACAACTGGAGAGCAAATCATCAGCAAGGCCGACAGCTTGCCCTCTCTCACCGATTCGTGGATCATTCGTTCACACGCAATCTGGCGAGCATCCATCGTGGAACCACGCTCGGCGCTGCACGATAGACTTATGTTGAAGAAGCGGCCAAAGCCCTCGAAACGTGGAACTGCGGAAACGATCCTTGGCAGATCGTGGACAAACCTGGCGTGGCCCATTTTACGAGCCCTGGGGTTATAGGTGAGTGAACTAGCTGAATTGAAATCACAGAATTTAGCTCACGAGGTCTTCAGCGACTCAGTGGACGATAACGTCCCTGCAATCTAGTGGTGCCCTACCGGTGGTTACGTACACTTGCCGATACATGCAGCTTGCGCTCAAGGCGTGAGGTGTTCAGATTACATCGTCTCTTTTTACATATTCCCGGATATACACTGTATTCTACATCAGCCCAACGGGGGACGTCGACGGGTCCATTATCTCTGGCGCGGTATACAAGCAACTATTCAGCAACTCATCTGGATTCCTTGATCCCGATGAAGGTCCATATGCGCTGGATGATGCGGTGCAACAACTTCGATTGGCACATTCAAATCCAAGCCGTTGGGCATGTTACGTTCGTCCATGTTCTCGACGTTGCGCGTCGCTGTTCAAAGTCGTTCCAGTATGAGTTCATAGCTCGATGCATTGAGCGCGTAGATAGTGTGGCCGTTCGAGAACGCAATTGCACACAAGAGGATGAAACTATGAGACGGTGACAAAGGGATCGTTAGGTCACGGTCAGGCTCTTGAGAATGCATCGAGTTAGAGATGCCCATAGACGACAAAAATATGAAAGGAGTAAACTACCGATATCACCACAATCACCACACACATCATAGAGCCGTCTAGTAGGACCTTCCAAACATGGTCCACCGCTTTGCATCCTTACCGCACGCCGTGCACTTCGTCTCGCCGGGCTTGATCGGGGTCCACTTGGATTGGTCGAAGGGAATGCAGAGTGACTTGGCTCCTGCAGAGGGGGCGCGCTCGTCCACTGGCTCGGCACTGATATATCACCTCAAAATCAGCAAGCAGGTTTTATTTACGACAGCCGCACACTGGTACTCACGCACGTCCGCTCCGCTCTTTGATGTCGTCCTCGCACGCCTCTTCCTCGCACCACGGAATCACCACGACGCACTTATCGTCGAGCGCGGGAACAACATCTTCCCACTTGGTGACCTCCTTGATCCGCGAGTGATATGTATCCCGTGCCCGGCTGAACATATCACTCTGGATTGTCTCGAGGAGCTTCGGGACCGATTCCGTGATGTTGTCGAGCGGCAGAGGGGTCTTGACGCCCGTGTCGCGGCGGACCGAGAGGGTCGAGTTCTTTTTGAGATCCTGAGGACCGATCTCGAGCCGGAGTGGCACACCCTTGTTCAGTTTATCGTCAGAGTCTGTTATTATGATCAGCCAGGATATATGCACACCTTCTGCTCCCACTCGTTGAACTTCCATCCCGGGGTGTACCCTTCTCTGAGGTCCGCCTTCGCCTTGATGCCGACCTGCTTCAGCTTTTTCGCCAAAGCATCGCACGCGTTGTTGATCTCCGCCCTTTGCTCGTCCGTGAACTTCGCTGTGATACCCACCGGTACCACCACCGCCTGTACGCTCGCTACCCGTGGCGGGAGCACCAGACCCTGGTTGTCTCCGTGCACCATCACCATCACGCCGATCGTGCGCGTGCTGAGACCCCACGAATTCTGCCAGACGTACGTCTTGCGCTTACCCTCCGGGTCTGCCGGATCCTCGACGAAGATATTGAACATCTCCGGGCGCGAGAAGTTCTGGCCGAGACAATGCGACGTCGCACCCTGAATGCCGCGTCCAGAGACGGGCACGAAGCCCTCGCAAGTGGTCGTGTACAAACCTCCGGCGAACTTCTCCTTCTCGGACTTGACTCCAGGGATGACGGGCACCGCTAGGAGCTCCTCGTACACGCGCCGGTAGAGATCGAGGATTTCGAGCACCTCTTTGTCGGCCTCGGGCTTGGTGAGGTGAGCGGTGTGACCTTCTTGCCAGAGAAACTCGCGCGTGCGGAGGAAGGGCTCTGATCGTGCGGTCAGGGTTGGGATCTCCGAACGGTAAAGGTGGACGTACGAGGAGACTTGAACTCCCAGCGGACGACGCTGTTCCATTGGTTGAGCTTCAAGGGGAGATCGCGGTGACTCTTAATCCATTTCGCATAGTCTGGTAATCATCAGATCACGATCCACTTTCCTGCCAGTTCTGAGAACACTCACAAGGGTACATTGCGGTCTCGGACGTCGGGCGGATGGCTATAGGTTCTTCCAATTCCGACTGGCCACTGATGATATAAACGAGAGTCACAGTCCAATATATGCCAAAGTAGTGATAGAATGTAACTTACGCTCTTGTCACCCAGGCGACCTCCGGGCTGAAACCCTCGATGTGGTCCTTTTCGCGTTCGAGTACGCGCTGGGAGACAAACATGGGGAAGTACGCGTTCTCCACGTCCATCTCCTTAATCTTCGAGTTGAACCACTCTATATGTATTGACGAATACAATCGGTCAAGATCCATAGACCACTGCATTTCCGCTTGCGGCTGACCTTGGATAATCTCCCAAATGCTGTAAGACCACGGCTTGAGGATGTAGCATCCGGACACGGAGTAGTAATCCAGCATATCGGCTTTGAGTAGGACCTATATGTGCACAATCGGCGATAGATTCTATATCACAACTGTTTGAACGACGTACATTCGTATACCATGCCGGGAAATCAACCTCTTTCTTGACGCCGATGGCCACTTGTACCGCGCCCTCTATCTTCGCGTCCTCCTTCTCCTTTTGCGCTGCAGCGGGCTTGGCTGCAGCCGGAGCAGCCACACCCGTCTCAGCTTTAAGCGCTTCGAAGTCAACGATGTGCAATTTAAGCTCTTCTTTCTCGAGATGCTTCAGGTAGGACGCAATGTCTTGGCCGGATAGGAAGATCGTCTGTGATGAGGACTGGGCGTGGACAGCGAACAAAGATGAGGAGGAGGCGAGGGAGGCATCGAGCACAGTGACAACGCGGGGGAAGGTGTTTTCGTCGAGGGATAGAGGGGAGACTAGTGCATATCATCGGTCAATTTGCACCTCCTCCACTGTAACGAGAATATAGCGCGACATACTGGAGTTTTTGTCGAGGGAGAAGAATTCTTGAAGGAGATCCTCGCTCGCCAAACGCAGCTCTTTCAGACTAAGTTTCTTGCCCAAGGCGCCGGAATTGGTCTCGGTCTCCTCCCTCGCGATGACGACCAGAGGAACCGGGGTAGCGGACTTGGCCGTCTTGGGTTTGAAGATGAGCGTCTTGATCAGCTCAAAAGATTGTGGGGCGTCGGCCGACTTCTGCAAGGCCTCTCTCCACGCAGCCGGGGACGTCGCCTCAACATGCGACACGGATGCGGACGGTTTTATCGAGAGCGCCGAGAGCGATTGGGTGACGGATTCCAAAGATGCCATGGTCGCGACGTGCGTTCTGGCGCTGGTGGTGAAGAATGATCTGCTAGAGCTTGAGATGAAGGAACGCAATGAAGATCTAGCAGTTGTCTGTGTGGCTATCGACTCAATCTGATTGACTCGAGATAATCCGCCCGCGTTGTTGACTCGACATGACCACGAACGAGAGCTGCATATTCCTGCACGGGCTAGACGCGGACGGAGCGCCGTGCGCGCATTCATCCACCAGCAAGAAACCGAGGAACCGAGATGAGAAGGTGGCGTCCGTGAACGACTACGGGTTTGCCGACAGAACCCGTACGGGACAACGCACGCGACAAAATTTACGCTACTATGCGCTGGCAAATCACTACGGGGCGGATATATGCGTTTATGACTGTTGTTGAATGTTCCAAGCTCAAGACGTCCTCATGCACCCATGTGAATGAGCGTAGCCCGGTCGTCAGTGCCGTAGTTGGGATGCTCGCGAAGCTTCTGTACCACGTCGTCCGGCGCATATGGGATCGTCTCCAGGTCCAAAATGTCGTTTCTCATGCCTAACAGCTGCCTATAAACGTGTTTTGCGACAACGGGAGCAACGTCGTCATTCATCCGCCTGCACAATTGTGAATGTATCAGTGCCTCCTATATGTAATGCCGAGGTTCGCAAGCATGGGTGGGATACATACTACACTGTCGCGACTACACCTACGAAGAGGAGGGCCACATCGAGGTGGACGCTATCACCCTTTCCGGTCTCGCAGGCAGGCTTGAACGAAGATCAGAGCTCCTCTGTCCATTAGGATCGTATTACATGCAGATGCCTAGACTATACGTATGGTAATGTAACGTTTTTATGAGGACGGGATGGCAGCGGTGCATCGCGCGCACAAGAGATCCTCAGCAGGTCGCGTGTATGTCCAACAACGGGGACACTTGTGTTTGCTCGAAGGTCGAACCCGAAGAAGTATGGAGTCCGTCTTCGAGTCTGGAAGGAAGTTTGGACCATCTGTCAGACGATGCCGCGTACTCCTTAAGCAGGACTGACCTGTAGGGGGAATCGTACCAGTAACGATCCAAGTTGGTTCAGACACGCCCAGAGACGCTTTATCGGTAACCGTGACATCAGAGACAATGAAGAGCGTTTTCAGATATTCGCCTTGCACGAGGTTGTGAGCAAGGATGTGAAATCGAATGCCTTGAACGCTCACTTTCCCGTCGTAACACGTCAACGAGTTCGCTGATGTTTGAAGAAGGGACGTCAGGGAGGACAACATCTACTTCGGCCTCCAATGAATTGCGTAAGTGCCTATAGGACAGAACACCCATACGTCAGGGCAGCCTATAAGAGGAAACTTTGTACCCTTACTTCTCGCCACGAGCCTTCTCCAGAAGCAGCAAGACTTCGCTCCTGGCTCGCAGGAGCACATTCATGTCCTCCTCCGCCTGTGGGTCGCGCCATTCCACGCTCTGCCAGTATCACCGACTTCATCAGCAGCCTTCCACGAATTTTGCCAACATTGACTTACCAACGGCACCCAAGGCTCCATAAACACTGATTGAAAGCTAGGGTAGGCAGCCTTTCCTACTCGTTCGAGGTTTGCGATGTTCGCGTGGATTTCTTCCGCAAGGTGCGGAAGCACGGGGGCCACAGCCTTGGTCATCGACTTCAAGACCTGCTCTAGCACCGTTGCAACTGCGCGACGAGACTGGCTCTCCGGTTTTTCAGCGTAAAGACAGTCTTTGGTGATGTCAAAGTAGAGCGACGACATGGTGATGTTTGCGAAGTTGCTTAACGCGTTGACGGCTGTGTGTCCAGAGGGAGCCCATACCAGTCAGCAACCAGAGATTCGTAGGTTCAGCAACTGGCCCACCTTTCGGGAAGTTGTACGACGCGTAGCCCTCCATTGCGGCTTGCTCCACCTTGTACAGTTCGTACATCACATAGCGTTCCGCGAGCCCCAGGTCCTTCCTCTCCACACGCTCCCACTCGCCGCCGAACCCATTGTACACGTTCCCAAGGATGAATCGCGCCGTGTTCCTAATCTTTCGGAGCGACTCGGCCGCTTGTGCGAGTACAGTGGGACCAAGCGCCGCGTCGCGCCAGTACTCCACAGTCGCCGCCCAGAGTCTGAGTGCATCGGCACCATAGGCGGGCTCCTTCTTCTTGTCCTACCCATCGTTGGAGGTTAGTAAACCACGCTAGCGTAGGTACAACCCGAAAACGTACCTTGCCGCCGTTTACGACCACCATCGGGCTGACGATGTTTCCCAAGGTTTTGCTCATCTTCTTGCCTTCCTGGTCGAGGACCATCCCGTGCGTTATTAACGTCCCGTACGGCGCCACAGATGTCTCCGTTCCGTGCCACTGGGACACGGCGACCTTGGTCAGCAGCTGGCTCTGGAACCAGCCGCGGTGCTGGTCGCTTCCCTCCACACACACATCCGCCAAGTGTTGTCTACTCTCACCCAGGCCCTCAAGCATGCTCCAAGACGACCCGCTGTCGAACCAGACGTCCATAGTTTCCGTTCCCTTCCTCCACCCCTTCTCTCCCGCTCGAGACAGGGGAACGAAGTCCTCCACCGGACCATCCCACCAATGCTGTATGCCCTTGTTGTCTATCACCGACAGAATGTGTTCGAGGCTCTGCTCCGTGAGGAGAGTCTCGCCAGTTTGGTCATTATAGAGGGCAGGGATAGGCATGCCCCACACCCGCTGACGAGAGATGCACCACTCGGAACGCGTGTTGACGAACGACTCAAGGCGGTTCCGGGCTGAAATCATACGGATACCGACGTAAGCGGAATACATCCGAAACAGCAAGGAATGGACGCACACACGGTGGGATAGAAATCGACATCCTTGAGTGCGGTGACGGCAGCGTCCTTGATGTTATTCAGATTAGCAAACCACTGCTCGGTCGCCCTGCGCCCAGCTTTGTCAGTATCGCTCGAGCGCAGTGAAATGGGACTCTTTCCGCCTACATGATGATGACCGGCTCCTTGGTCTTCCAGTCTATCGGGTATCGATGCTTCAACTTTCCATTCCAAACGATTTTGTCGCCCAAGATGTCGATAACGACCCGCCCGCCGTCGCGTAGAACCTGCAACCCGACAAGCGACCGACCGGCCTCGTGGCCGACGACATCCACGACTTCCGGGCTGAACTTGCCAAGGGCGTCCACGTGGCAGAGCATCCCTGAGTGGCGAGGCAGCAAATTCAGCGAGCGGAAAAGGTGATAGTCTTCCATGCCGTGCGCAGGGGCGCAGTGAACAAAGCCGGTGCCGGTGTTCGGCGAGACGTGCGCCGACGGGTGGATCTTGTAAACGAAGGGCTGGCTGCGGCCGAAGAGAGGCTTGTAGGTGACACCGACAAGGTCTTTGCCTGGGTAATATCCGGTTCGTTAAGGCTGTGCGTGACGCTTAAGGCCCTAGCACGAACCTGGTATGTCCGCGAGTACTACCGTGTGTCCGAGGATGTCATCTTTTTCCAACGCAGAGAGCCTATCCTTGGCGACCAGAAGAAGTTGACCTGTCTTTTTCTGTCGGAGGACAGTATATGTCATTCCCTCGTTGACTGCAATACCCTGCGACATCAATCAGTAGGAATATGGAAATTGAGTGCATGAGGTATTTACCATATTGGCTGTCAATGTCCATGGCGTGGTCGTCCAAACCAGCGCCCCGATGCTGTCCACTTTCTCTCTGGCCATCAACTCTCTGAGCAAAGGTGGAACACTACCGGCGGAAGCGGGTACGGTGAAGGAGACGTATACGCTATGCGAGATGATGTCGTCATACTCGAGCTCAGCCTCGGCGAGGGCAGAACGCGAAGACGGCGAGTAGTAAACCGGTCTGTGAGCGCGGTGAATGAGACCAGCGCCAATCATGCGCTGAAATATGCGCAATTGGCGCAGCATATAGTCGTGGTCTATATCCCATGCGGCGTTGGTAAGCTCACTGAACGCTCCGGGGAGGAAGGAGTGATGCGGCACCTATAGTCCTATACGTCGAACTCGGGTTGTCCCAGTCAGCCATGATCCCAAGCTGTTTGAACTCTTCCCGCTGCTTCTCGACTTCCTTGTGTGCGTACTTGAGCGCTTCGGCACGTACTACGCCCGGCGGAAGTTTAAGGGGGTCTTTCTACGAATGCAGGACAGATTAGTTGACGTATTGAGGTCAAGCTTGATCACGAACACGAAGACGCTTCAAGGCTTTGTTCTCGATGGGAAGACCGTGACAGTCCCAGCCCGGCACATAACTGATTGAGCTGTCAGCGAATTGCTTCGGTTTCCGCGGGCGGAGGACATAGCTCACTGTACACGGTGACCGAGAAGAACGTGATATCGATTTATGATGTCCTTCAGGATTTTATTAAGAGCGTGCCCTAACCCCGACAACAGCCGTCAGTAAACGCGCTTGTATGTCCTGGATATGCCGTACCCATGTGCAAGTCACCATTGGCATACGGAGGACCATCATGCAACACAAACAGAGGCCCTTTCGCGTTTTCCCACTATCATACGCGAACCCAGGTCGTAAGAATGCGGTCGGCAGGAATGAAATGACAAGTTGGTATCAGCATAGTCGTTTTCCGCTGGAGTTTCCGGTCCGACCTGCCAGCGATACAAGTCGTCACATGTCCTCTTCCTCAATGGAACCTCCCGCTTGGACGGTTCGCTCCATAACGGAAATGATGTTTTCGGCAGTAGGAGGGTCTTTGAGTACGCCTTGTCCGGGTTGCTGGTCGAGCTTTCCGCGGTGGCAGCCGCAAGGCGGCGGGTGGACGAGGACAGGTAACGTCTACGGAGACATTGATGGGCCTTTGTCCCCAGAGCATTCATAGGTCAAGTGAGCGTGTTGTCAAAGGACCGAACCAGACGGTGAGCAGACAGCGCTGTAGCGACTGCGAGCGAGCGCGATTGAGCGTAAACCTAACCTCAGTCCCGGGTTTGTCCTGTTCACACCCAACGGTAGCAATGCAAGAGTCTTGCGGTAATCGCCATAATATATCGTACATCCACGCTGTCTGTATGCAACTCACACTGCGGGAATCAGGCTGAATCTGGGCAAAATATATCAGAGATAATTTGCAAAATAATCCAGAAAAACTATGAGCTAAGTTGACCCGAATGATGTCAAACTTACTGCAAAGAGACCGGGAAAGTAGTCATATTTTTGACATATATCGACATCCTTGAGATAATTATGTCATAACTTCATACTAGCTTAGCTGCAAATATGTCAGTAGTAACCATAGTTATTATACAACAGTTTTGTGATATGTTTTTCCCAGATTTAAGGGATTTCCCGCTGTGTCAAGGCAACTGCGCTCACGGAGGTTCACGGCTTCGATGAAATTAGAAGATTTGACGCCACACCGGAGTTGGCCACAGAGTTGGCCGTCTTGGCGGCCAAAAGGGAAATTTCTGTGATTTCACGGACAAGAAGCTCCCACGGTGTGCGTGATCGGATGCCTGAGTCTTGCCTCTACCGCCTAGTCACTGTCAGTCTCCTATCACTGGGTCTGTAACTGCATTTTTAGACCAAAGAATGATGTAAACATATTATAAAACTTTTAAAACTTCTCATGATTTTATACAGAGGAAATCTTGAACCAGATTAATGATTTTCAGCTCATTTTTATATCTAAAAGTTTTAAACAGAAATCTTATAGATAAGGTTTGGCTCATGCACGATCCGGAAACATCACGTGTGATCCAAATAAGGTTAAAACTGAATGCCGTGTCGATGCATTGCAACCTCACCCTGCGTTCTATGACAGGATTGCATTGTAAGTTGATTGTGGACAGTCTAAGGCGGATAATATGGGTATCAGGGACTGCATACTAGAAAATACTGTTGGAGTATCAGAATTCAGTGCGCGTTCAGTGCTCACTATTATCTGATCGCTGTACACGTATATCTAAGGTAGGGCCAGCGCAAACCCTGGTACATCATGTGTCGCATTTGTCGAGAAAATGTCAAGAATTGTTGTATTTGGTGCGCTGCACAGAAGCTGCAACATATCTACTACCGTCACATCATAGCTAGACAATGACTCGATGATATGACGGTCCTACATATTATGAGAGAGCGCTGGGTGAGCGACGATATCCTAATCAAGCTGCCCATTCTCTGGGAATCCCGCTCATCCGAGGGCTGTGATTGGTCGAGAGACCATTGTGGCGCCAACACGTGATGGTGTGATGTACCAGGGTTTGCGCTGGCCCTGTCTTACTCGTGCTCGCATCCGATGTACCTTACGCGCTTGCCTAGCAATTTTACCTTCGCATTGCACACGGGTCAAGCGCGCTCCGCGCCCGACATGCCGCCCGACATTTAACAAATACCATCACGAAATCCTAACTTCTCTATGGAAGTTATGTATCCGAGTTGAATTCATATTTCATGTGTTTAAGATCATTAAACCTGATAATCATGTTATATATAGACCCTCTATGCACCGTTTCCTTCTCTATTACAGCTTCCTATGAGCAATAATCGGTTGGTTCGATGGTATACGGCTGTTGCAGGGCAGAATTGCCTTATTTGGGCTGTGAAATCTATCACGTGATGTCTCCGGATTGTGCACGAGCCAAACCTTAGGTTCAATGTTATACGGCTGTTGCAGGGCAAAATTGCCTTATTTGGGCTGTGAAATCTAGCAAGTGATGTTTCCGGATCGTGCATGAGCCAAACCTTAGGAGGTCCAGCGCGTACCCTGACAGAACCACCGTGGTTGGAGAATCTGCATAAACACATAATGCATAGCAGTCAGGCCAGATTTTTCACGTATTTCCGCCAAATTCAGAGCGGTCGTCTCAAGCGACCCTATGATGATGCTTGTTGCCGCATGACAGCTCAAAAAATAATTCAAAAGAAAATGACAATATATTATGATGCATAAATCTCATAATGCATAGGGTCCGGGGACGAAACCGTGTTATGCATTATGAGGTGTTCGACTGTGGGTATATTTCCGGCGGCGGGACGCGTGATTGGATCCGCGATGGCGGCGCCACATATCAGCTCAAGCTCTTGCTCGCTACACTACTCTCCTCCGGAAGCTTCTACCAATACGTACAGAGCTATGTTGAGCGATTGGAACCTCGACTTGACTCGACGATAACCGAGACACAATTGAAAGCCGTTCAGACTAAGGGCCGAGGTCTAATCGCGAACGACATCGGACCCACGATGTCGCCGGTTCCTTCACATCCCGGTGCCCTGAGGCTAGCTATAACCCTATCGTCCAGCCTCGTTGAACCTGGACCGGCACCCAGTGGCGCATCCGACATGGCCGCTAACGCAGCCATGGTCCACTCCCCGTTGACGCCCCCAGCGGAGGCTGACGGTTTCACGTTCCCGCCCGACAACACGTTCCACATCGAGCGGACAGCCGCTCCCCCATCTATGACTCACCCGCACGACGACGTCGTTAGGAACGAGACGTCCGTGCTGCACTCTACGCTTCGTTTGCTGCACGCCGACGAGCTCGTGCGCCTAGCGAATCTGCACGTGCATCGCGCAGAGGAGCCATACTGGCATCTTTGCATCGCGAACTTGAAACGCTACATCTTGTTCCTGTTCTCAACCTGGGGTGATGTGCTCAAGGGCATCGGCGCCGGCAATCTTGGTGAGCCTCCGGTCATCCAGTAATGTAAATCAGTAAGAGCGCTAACGGAGCGTCTCGAAGGTGTGTTGGATGTTGCGGCGGTGGTGACGATCGCGAGCCTCGCAAGCCTCATCATGCTGGCCCTCCTCCCCATGTGTCTGTTCATCAAGTTTCCGCTCGTCAACTGGGCGTATGAGACTTGGGGCAATATGCGAGGGGAGCACCTCAGCCTCGTTAACGCCCGTATGTTCCCCAGTGCGGTCTACTTCCGGCATACTTGTCGCTGACATTTATGTTGTATTTCGATGCTCAGTCGGACATATGTTCAAAGAGCTCACTCCGGAGCAAGCAGACGCTGCCAAAGCGGCTCTCAACACCCCCCTTGCCGCCCGTCCATCTCACACCGTAGAATTCAACGTTGACATAGCAAAGATGCTGTATGTCATCTCGTTACCCCGTCTTCAGCTATATTTCTAATCCATTCCCTCATCAGGTTGCAGTTGGCCAGTCTGATGTACGAACGCGGCACCTCTCAAACCCTGTCTGCCATCCGCTCGACCGTCTCGCAATCCCGGCACCCCTCCCTCGCCGTGCCCATCAATGGACACCATCGGTCGCGCGCTTCTACCGTCTCGCCCTCCGCCAACCAATCCGAACCCGTCCTTGACTTCGAACCGGGCGAGTTGCTCTCCTCCCTCGTCGGGCCCAATGCGACGCGGACCATCTCCCGCCTCCTCCGGGGTGGTGATACGGGAGGAAAAGATGCGGCGATCGCAGATTGGATCAAGCGATTCGGGATAGAGTACGCGCCTGTGAGCGAGCTAGACGGGGAGAGCTCGGCATACGCGGCGTTGTTCTGGGAGAAGGGCGGGAGGTGGATCGTGGTGGCGTTCAAGGGTAGGTGTTGTTGACTTGGTTGCACGCCAGATGCTGACCGGGGAATCGTAGGCACAAGTCCTGCGGAGTATGATGGTGCGCGTGTGACATGGAGGAACAGACATGGGATAGTCATTGACGCTACCGTAGAGTGGGTATGGGACTTCACCTATCGCTTCCGCTTCGGTGGTCACGTTATCAGAGATTTTGGGAATGGTGAGTTTGCTACTTGCGCTTCTTACGTATGGCTCTCATCTCCTCATCTCTAGTGCATGGTGAGCGGGTTTGGCCCTTGGCCCTTCGGTCGCTGACCTGCTCGCTCAAGAGGGCTTCCTCGATAGATTATTCCCTCGTTCGCGCCACCAGCCGCACAACCATGATCCTCCTGCTCCGCAAGATCGTCGGCCGTACGGTGTGTACTTTCTTCGACTATTCCTCATCTGGTCAATTACGCTCAACATGCACCACAGACACCATTGCAGCCGGCATCAAGCTGGTGGCGGCGCAACTCCGCAACGCGCAAGCGGACCCGGACGCGGAGATCAATATCTACTTCACAGGTGGTCGTCGATATCTCCGTACTTTTCGCCGTGTATCTGACAGAACTGGATGGGTAGGCCATTCTCTCGGGTGCGGTGTCGCCAGTATGGCGTACTCGCGCGCCTTGACGCACGAAGACGACGATTTCGGGCCCGGGATCAGAATCAGGGATGCGTACCTTTTTGGTGAGGAAGACGATTCGACCTTCGAGGTGGGATCGAGAGCGTGAACTCTGATGATCATTGTGCAGCTGCTCCCGTGTCCTGCGATCCGTCGAGTGTGAAAGGTACACTGGCATTTTGCTGTCCCCGCGGGCTGAGCACTGATGCGACCACGCGGCCAGCTTTCGACCAAACCATAAAAAAGAATCCCGACCTGCCGCGTATGCTGTGGAGGGTTACAAACGTTCGTATATCTACAACTATCGAGCGGTAACACCGCGATGTACCGACCAACAATACAGGGGAACGACGCCGTGTGCACGCTCCTACCCGACTTTGGCGACGACCCCCGAGTTGCGTCGCGCTTCCCTCCCAGTACTTCTTCACTCCTCCATCCTTCGCCCGTGCACTGACGATACCCGAACCCACCGCAGACTCCCCGATGAACTTTGCCCATCTTGGCGCCGAACTGCGTATGCGCACCAAGCCGCTCCGAACGCGCATCGACGGCTCGCTCGTCCCCCGCGGCACGGTCGTCAGTGTGCAGTCCGCGCTGCCCGCCAACCTCATCGGTACCGTCACGGACGGGGTCGGGCTAAGCAGGCTGCAGCGCGCGTTGCAGAAGCTGCCGGCGGTGGGCAGGCTGGTTGAGCACGGCACAGGCGAGTACCATTATGCTGCCCTTGCAACGCACATGGTCCGGTGCTGATTTCGAACTTGTCTTGTTTGGGCAGCGTTTTACTGGGACCAGCTGATGAGGATCGGGGTGGGCGAAGCGGAGTGGGCGATGTAAGAAATCTTGCAATGGTTAATGGATGTCACGAAGAGCAAATGTGGACACTGCGACAGCATGCTTATGTCCGGAGGTTGTCCGTCCCCCGTCTCGAATCTGATATGATATCGCGTCCGGACTCCGGAGAGCGTTTCCGCGCGGATCGGAGGAAGCTCCCGGCCCGAGCCGGTCCGCCCTGATCCCCGCGTCGGGCGCGCCCCGCTTCCCCGCGCCTCTCTCCGAGCACTCGGTTCTCTTGTTCCTTGCGACTGCGGGCTATTAGTGCAGTCCCCTGACCTCCAACTGAGACATGGCAGGCCCGCACAAGCGCGGGTATCGGGCGGCAGACGGAGCCGTCGCTTACCCCTGGTCATGGCCGCGCATCACCATCATATCGAACGCGTCCTCAAAAAGGGCCGCCTCGTTGAAGGTTGACGCTGTTGCCTGCACGGCTTCACTTCGACGTCGGCGCAAACTGTATTGCGATGACTGGCTCTTTGTTCTTCGCGAAGTTTGCGACGGCGCTTCTCGTCCTCAGCCTCAACGTCGGCACTCACGCAGCCGAATGCGTCGTTCCGCACAATGAGAATGGGACGGACGACTCTCCGGCGATACTTGAGGCCTTCACCACCTGCGCGGAGGACTCCGTCATCACGTTTCAACAGAAGAACTACAGCGCGTACACGCCTATGAGCTGGGTCAACCTTAGTGCGTCACCCGCGTCTTCTTTGTTCTCGAGCCGTCAAGCCTCACACTGCTATCCATCAGAGAATGTGACGATCAACCTGCAAGGAAATCTGCTACTTCCAAAGAACATCACTGCGGTGCAGATTGCCATCAACGAGACCAACAACCAGCCAAGCGTGCGTCGAAGCTCCCGTTGTATTGCGATTGAGTATTGGAGGACCCATAACATTGGCAGACTTACGCCACGCCGTGGTACTACATTCACGGCGAAGAGGTCACGTTTAAGGGGTCGAACCAGTCCCAATGGGGTGCCTTCCATGGCTTCGGGCAGCAATGGTGGGACATCGAGAACCAAGTAGGCCAATGTCCGCATTCTCGACAGTGTCCTCGAGGCTAAGCTTGGTCATAGACGCTCCGTCCCCAACTAGCGACCTTCAACGTCACCAACGGTACGCTAAGCGGGCTGAAAGTGATCAAGCCCGTTGCGTGGGGATGGAACATTCCTGGTAAAAATGTCCTCGTCGAAAATCATTACGTCGACGCGAAGCCAAACAATGGGACAAGGAACAGCACGATCGTATGTTTATGCTGCGGCGTATTCAGGGTTTGTACTGACCGTGCCTCTGTCACACAGAGCTTCCCGTTCAATACGGATGGGTTCAACCTTTCCGGCCAAAACATCACCATCGACGGTTATTGGGGGGAGAACGGAGACGATTGTGTTTCTGTTGTCTCTGGCGCTCGGGACATCACTGCGCTGAATGGCTACTGTGGCTTCTCCAGCCACGGACTGTCCATTGGCTCTCTAGGCAAGAACGGAGCAAACTCGACCGTTGCAAATGTCCTCTTTAACAACTGGACTATGGATGGCGCGGTATACGGGTCCCGGTTCAAGTATGTCCATGCCCGTCGTCACGATCTCATCTTTCAAGGGACTAACTTTCCATGTGCAGGTCCTGGACAGGCGGAAACGGATGGGCGGAGAACGTAACATGGTCGAACATCCACCTCATCAACGTCTCCACCGCAATATTCATCACCCAGAATTATTTCGACCAGGAAGTCGGCAAGCCGACCGGCGCCGGCGCGAACGCGACCAAGGTCGTCAACTTCCATTACGAGAACTTCACCGGCTCGCTGAACGGCAACTGGACGGACGGCACCTGCGTCTCGACTCCATGCTGGAACTACGTGGATGGGGTCGACGGCTCGCAGTCGATTATCTTGGACCTGTACAATGATACCGGTGCGTCTCCGGCATGCGCAGCTGTCTATACGTCGTTGTCTCTGACGGAGCGCTTTGATCATTCTCAGCGACGAACCTAACCTTCACGAACATCTCCGTTTCGCAACACAATGGAAGCAACCCGAACGTCTTGTGCGACGCAAGCGCACTGGCGCCTGGAGAGCAAAGCACGCTTGGATTCAACTGCACCGATGGACCGTTCAAGGTGACGAGCGTCAACAGCAGCAGTTCGACTGGAGGAAAAAGCGGAAGCAGCGGGGCACTCTCTGTGAGAAATGACGCGGTCCACGTTATTTCAATCATCGTGGCTCCGGTAATGATCGCAATGTTATCGATGTTTTGAGTGATATATGTACATGTAACGGTTTGCCATAACGCGTGTTATACGCTAGTTCAGATCCTACGCTCCACTTGACGCCTGGGGCATCTTCTCTGGCCTCATCTGGGGAGATTGCACCCGGCCTATGCCTCTTCTTGCAAGCTCCTTACTCCAAGCCCTCAGGATGTGCTTCTGCACCTTCCCGCTCGCGGTCTTCGGTAGTTCTTGTATGATGTTGCCGGCCTCGTCTGTGTCTTCTCCGACGACCCAGACCCAGGCGGGCGCGTTCTGAACGAGCATAGTCGGCAGTCGTACATAATTACTGACATACAGCATGGGCGGCTTACCTGCGGATTCATTCCCCTGCTCACATGCATGCGCACCTCATCCCGCGAAATCTGGGTGTGAGAATGCGGATTTCTGACAACCCATGCGCCGACGACCTCGCCGTATACAGGGTCAGGAACCGCAATGGCAGCGCCCTCCAGGATAGCAGGGTGTGAAGTCAAAACGTTCTCGATTTGGACGGGGAAGAGGTTCTACAGTCCATGTGTATGTCAGAACTGTGATATCTATGCTATTAGGCTGGAGACTTACCTCTCCACCTCGGATGATGATATCCTGGTCATGCATCATTAAGGATCAGCGCGACACGTGCAATGCAATCGAGCGGACTATGAACGAACCTTGATCCGACCAACAACTATTCCGCGTGTAAGCTTGGCTTGATATTCGCAGTTCATAAAAACTTACTGCGCAGATAACCCTCCTCATCCATGATACCCTCGTCGCCGGTGTGCATCCAAAGCGTTCCCTCTTCGTCCCTCTTCATCACGCGCCTGGTCTGCTCCTCATCACCCCAATACCTGAGGGCGAAGGTAAGGTATCACCACAAATCGCTAGGAGGATCCGGCTCACTGGGTTTGTAGCAGGTATCCGGCGACCAGTAATTCTCCCGGCTTTCCGATTGGGACGACGTTTCCTTCCAGGTCGACGAGTTTGGCCTTGACATGAGGCTGTATCTAAGCAAGCTCAATCATGAGTATAAACATATGGTGGAAGGCAGCATAGCATGTACCTTGCCGACAGTTTCGACACGCTTCTCGAGAGGGTCCGAAAGTGTGGTTTGGAATGATACAGGGCTATAAGAAAAATGTGGGTAGGTACGAGCGCGGACAACCTAGTTTATGTAGAGGACTCGGAGCGCACCTCGTCTCGGCTAACAGGGAAGAAAAGTCATTCAGTACATGGACAATGAACCAATTGATCAGATATATCCACTCATTCCATATGCAATTGTTAACCCAGTGAGGTTCAGCTCATTGATCATTCTGCGCATCATGCCAATCGGTATACTCGACCCTGCAGCAATGCCCGTCCTGCAAGCAACAATTGGTCAGTAACTGTACCAGATTAAACCATCGACTCTGTGAACCCTTACCGCAGAGAGCTAGTATCAATGGCTTCACCCATATCACGCCTCTTCTCCACTTCGGAGAGCACGCCTAGGAAGTGGGTAGGCACTCCGTGCAACGCGGTGCAGCGTTCATGGATCAAAGCATCGACTATCCGCGGTGGGTCAAAAACCGGGCTTGGGTAGACGATGCAGGATCCGTGCGTCCACGCTGCCAGATTCCCCAGAATAAGGCGTGTTGATCACCAACGTCAACAAGATCCGCATCCGACGGTACATGGTAAGTATCAAGGATTAATCAGGAGACGGGGTCGGAGACTCATCAAAGCAGTGGAACAAGGGAGGTACATTGCCTGAAAGGCTCAGGTCAGGCACTGTTCACGGGAAGAAGAGGCGAGTTCTAAACATACATACGACGTCACCAGGGCCTAACTGCATGCATCGACCGATGGAAAGAGCATTGTTCAGAAGGTTGTGATGTGTGAGCTGTTAGGAGAAGATGAAGATTAGCAGCTGCCTCTTGGCTTATATCTCACATTCTGCATACTTACGCAAACTGCTTTGGGGGAGCCCGTGGTTCCCCTGTAAACCGAGAAGGTCAGTCGAAAAGGGCAAAGCTTGCAGCATGAATCCTCACGAGGTGTATTGCATATTTATCACATCGTGCTCAGCAAGCGAAGACATTCGAGCCTTGACCTCCGCCTCTTCCGATCCATGTGCCCAAACGAGCGTCTCCCGAAAATCGATCATGGATCTCAAACCTTCGGCGTCTTTCGCACCGTGCGATGAGAATGAGTCATCCATAACGATTACATTTCGCAGAGCCGGAAGAGTTTCATCTTGGATTTCCCCTGCTGAAGCTGAAGAAAGCGAAGGCAGCGAGGACAACAGCATTTGTATATAATTGGAGGATCGGATGCGAGGTACGAGGAATAAGTGGGAGACGTCCACGATCCTTAGGGTGTTGATCTATGGGACCACCTATTAGCTACAAGAAGTTCGATCGCAAGTGTTGGGGTCACCAGTTCATGAACACGATAGGCAGGGTTGATCGTCACCAGCACAGCGCCGATTTTTACGCAGGCCCATTGTAGACAGGCGTAGGCGCTTGATAGTGTAGCATGAAGTGCTCTGCCTCTGGAGATGAGGGAGTAAACACACCTGTTATTGCCCATGATGACAGCTACCCTTTCGCCCTTCTTCACTCCCATCGCAATCAGTCCACGGGCAACGGCAGCGACATGATCGTCAAACTCTCCAAATGTCCAGGCCAGACTCTTCTGTGAATCAGAGAAGGTACTTCTTGGTCCACCATAGGGCCGTGCAGGTTCAGAGCGGCACCGCAACGCGGGCCGTTCGGAGTACTTGCTCAGTATGTCATTTTCGTAAAAGTCCGGTAAGGTTCCGTGAGTTAGAGGGGGGTCTAGAGGTCCCTCTACCGCAGACCAGGATAGCGATCTAGTCAAAGTTCTTGTGTAATGCCACCGAAAGTTTTGAGTTGTCCTCGCAAGCTGAATCCAGCGCATGACGAAGTCGGGGAATGAGTTGCGGGGTAAATCACATTGGTAATCAAATTCGATGATGCATTTTCAGCGTGGTCCGCGCGGCCCGCGAAGTCATGGTCTTGTGGGGATGTACATATGAGAGTTCGATCACCATCTCTTCTCAATCGGCGGGCAGGAAGTCTCCCGACCCGCCCTTCGTACTGGTCGACGTGAGTCCAAGAAGCAACACGGTGAGCGCTGCGGTCCATCTAGGAGCCATCCGAAACTGCAGATACCAAGATCAGGCATTTCGACACAAGGAGCGTTGCATGACTAGTCAACGTGGCGGAGCGGCATCGACTAATCGATTGATCAAGGTCGGTATATTGAACGAATGTAAGCCTGGTAGCAAACCGCATTTCAGCCGAGCTGTCATCGTCTGAGAATGACCATCCGTCCGCACCCGTCATCATCGGCTCATACTTACTTAACCTCCGGCGCCAGGTGCGATTCCGTGAGATATAGATAGATTCGGGTACGTAGATCAAGACGGGGCTGCAGAATGAGTTCCTACACATCTACATCGGCGAAGGTCTCAACCAGTATGAGATAAACGTAGATATCGTCGTCTCTATACGGCGTGAATCATCGAATACTTATGAAGAATATTCAGTATTGAACTTGCCCTGGATGTTCGCAGTCTCATCACCAATGGCAAGGAGATTACGAGCCTTTAATCTAGGCAAGATGGCCCCAAGTCGTGTGGAACTGAGGTTCCAACCAGCGATTGTTACGGACTGCAGCGATGGGAAGCGATCGTGGTCGTCTATCTGTGCATCCAAGTCTGACCAATTCATCCGATTCTGAACCGCAGAGCGGACTCCGCTCCAGAACCACAGCGCAATATGCCGGACATGCAAGGAACTGACTGTCCCAACGAAGGTCGTCACTGAGTCAATCCGGGCTCCTCGCACAGCCCTGATAATCACGTTCAGCTCCTTGAGCCGGGGACAACCTGATAAATGCAGTGCGTCGTCGGCTGTTGGCGTTGAGTATTGATTTGTTTACAACGAACAACACAGCAACGTACCCTCCGTTCCTGTTACGTAAATGGTGAGCGTTAGCTCTTCTAGTCCGCGTAAATGTTCAAGCCATCCAGCGACGATAGGTTGTTCTTCTTCGCTCATCCCCCAAATCATGAGACGCCGTAGACTCTCGAAGGATGGAGGACCCGCAAGCCACGAGTACAAGCGGCCCATTTGACCACGAGGTGATCTGAAAATTGTGATGGACTTGAACGCCAGAGACTGAGGGACGGACAGCCATTGGGCACTGGGTGCTGCCGAATCCCACTCTCCATGCAATTGAAGGCGGTCGAGCCTCGGGAATGCGGCGATGACACTATGCAAGCCCAGGAGCGTGCGGAAAAGACAGAAGGGGTGTATCCACAGGCTCGCGACTTCCCTGAAGCATGGGTGCGATAGCACTTCGTGTAATCCATCCAGGTAGGTGTCGTGGGTTCTGCGGTAGCTGATTTGCAGCACTTTTGGTACGAACCCAGGGCCCAAGATTGTGAGACATTGGTTTATCCAGTCATCGACGACTGGCATTCGGGTCGTCTTGTTGATCTCGAATTTGAATGACTTGATGTACGTTACGATGTGTGGCGACCGGTGTACGATTCCCGCCAGAGAATTAAGACGGTCGTCGTTATCGCGAATGGTGCAAGTGTTCCATAATCTACGCTGAGAAGGAATACGTAGGTTGCTGTTTACCAAAGAGCAACTACCGAGGTCACTCTTTCCGTCGATCTCTTTAATTATAAGGTCGAGTAACTCCTGAGGTAGTCGAGCGTGGAGGGCCATTACGGCTTTGGGCTGTATGGCAGAGCAAAAGAGGCGCAAGTATACAGTGTACTGTCCAGCGTATCGGCAACAACTTTGATGGTGGTCGTCAGACTTGAGTCAGAGTGGCCACGTGCTTTCCAAATATAACGAGCTTACGATGCGATATGCGAACGTGAACTTGAACCTTCCTCATCGTGATTGTGTGTAATATGCGCAACATATACGCCCATTGAATTGTTTTACGTATGATTTTACTCTGGATCTGTGCGCGACCGCAACGGAGGGGTAGGAGATTCCCGCCATGACCCTCATTCTTCTTGTGCTGACACAGCTTGCACTAACTATGTATCAACGACCCACTCTTGTTGCTTGCGGTGATAGATTGCATGATACACCGGATCCAACGCATGAGTGTTGATGAAAGAAGCATGCGCGCGAGTATCTCCGAATACTATTTCCTGCCTACACATGCTGAGAATGTATCGAGATTAATGTACGGCTTCTACAAGTTAGACAAGTACGTCAAAGCACAATACATGGAGTCGATCATTCCGGTGATATGGACACACAAACGCGGTTCAAAAATTCAAATGGTATCGACTTGGGTATCGCATAAAAGTAGCATCCTGATATTCAAGGTTTGAAGATCATGCCTACTCGTCATTGGCGCTTTCTACCGGAGCTCGAGGAGGCATAGGGATCTGACCTTGGAGAGTCCCCATAGTAATACGTTCCGGATGATCCATAAGGCTGTTGTGAACGAGGCGACGACATGGAAAGCCGCGACATGTCAGGCATCGCGTACGGGTCGCGACCAGGGTTCGATCCTCCCTGGGCAACGGCCGGGTAGCCTGGTGGATACTGATGACTCGGACACGGCGCAGGCATAGTGCCGTACGCAGTAAGGTACGGCGACGCACCAGTGGGCGCACTGCCCGATTGCCAGTACTGCGCATCGTGGGTGGAGCTGCCGGCGGGCCTTGCATGCACAGAGTATGAGGTGTTGATGCGAGGGTCCAAGTATGGGTTGGATGCGGCAGAATGGGATGGCGCGTAACCGGCCACCGAGCTGTCTATCCGGGAGTTGAAAGCACCGCTGGCGTCATTGGTGTAGCCATACGTGTTGTTGTACGCGTTTGATGGTGCAGATGCTACTAGCCCGCTTCTAGACAAAGAAAGGAGAGACGGTCAGCGGCTGTATCGCAGTCAAGTGAGTGCAGAAGAAGGGTATGTACTCACGGAATGTGTTCGGAAGAGCCAGCACTGCCATACTTGCGTTGGATCTCAGCTGCCGCCTTGAGGTGTTTTTGGGCGCCTAGGTGAGCATCGGTGATGCGGTTATAGTGGTCTGCGCTGGTCTTGTGGCTGGGGTCAAAACCTCCATAGTGATCCTGACCAGCATTCCAACGCAGGGTCGCCTCGGTAAGTCGCAGTTTAGCGATCTCCCTATGTCGTTTAACATGCTCCTCAGGATCTGGCCGATAACCATGGGCTTTGTTCCACTCCTTCCGCTCGCGCTCCTTCTCCGCTGCCTCTCTCTTCGCGGCATGATAGTCTGCGGTGGCCTGATTAGAGGAAGACCTCGAAAACTGGGATGTCGAGGACGAAGACGAAGACGCCGAAGTCGGAGTCCTGGGATAACTTGAAGATGGAGGGACGCTGGGCCAGTTGGGAGGTGAGGCCATCTTGTACGTAGTAGAGAGCTTAAGGGTGCGATACAGATAATCGGACGCGAGTTGCGACTAGAAGGAACGAGCTCGAGGGGATTGTAACGAACAGGCAATAAAACGCGGCCTTTTCTAGGGAAGCAAGCTGTTCATGCGTAGCACCTGGAGTCATTCTCCCCGCATACAAGACATGCTAGTAGAGTAGTCAAAGCGATGCCTTGGCCACGCAGCCAGATACGTAGAAACCACTATGTACAGGGCCGGGAGCGAACGTCCGGAAGCACACTTGACGTCTTCGGACATAGCAGACGGACGAAGCTCACAGAATAAGCTGAGGTTCATCCAAGAACCCACTCGAGTGACCCGGAGAGCACAGCATAGAGATAGCTTCCTGGCTCTCGCGTGAGTCAGGAATAGCCATTAATCAAGTCAAGCTCGGAGTCGAAGGAGACTGCGAGGGGCTGGCGGTTCGGCAGTGAGGCCTGCGAACGGTTGATTAGGCATATTCCATGTGGTAGCAACAGACCCTGAGGCAGTGACAGACCCGGGGCATGCTAGACTGTCTTCCGGTCAGCGATCGTTGTGGTCTCTACCGTCTCCAGCAACCGTTGACGGAGTACACTGTCCCTAGAATCACTCACGTGATGCCGATCCGCGTTTTTTATACATTTCGGGATGAATGCTGTGTAAAGGCAGCAACACGATAGGCTAGGAAGCGTGGGATGGCGCGTTCAACGCGCAATGTCTAAAGGTGTTCATACTGAAAAGGGACGGTGATCCACCCATGCATAGCCTAGCATATGAGGTGCACTGGGCCACAGTAATCACATCTATATATATTGATACCCGAGCGACATTGAATGCGATCTATTGAGACAGCCCGGGTTTGTCGGCATCTGCCTCTTCCTTCTCCGCGTCATGCGCCGTGAGGTCTCCGACGACGCCTTTGCTTCGCACCTTAGCCAATTCATCTGGAACCAAAAAAAGGGTAGACAGCGGGAATGTGGCTTGACACTTCTGGCGAAATTCGTATACCCGCGGCGAGTTCACGCTCTGCACGAACTCCAAGGCATCGTAGTACGTCTGAAAAAGCGTGAGCGCGTGATAGCAGACATATGATGGCACACCGACTTGAACATCCGGTCGTACATCAGGATTGAACAAAGCAAACAAAGTGCTGTCCACCACATCTTGCGGAGATTTCATGGCTCGATATACCCTTGACGCGGCCAGAATAGCAGTTGGAGAGGTCGAGTGCCTTTGCAAGAAGTTCGAGTTGTAGGTCTCCAGCGAGGTACCGTCCGGAATTAGATCAGAGGAACATGACACCACCAAGAGACCCGCTGGAGGAGGCAACGGTTCCTCCAAAGAGGATACTAACCGGTCGGAGTTATTTACGGCCCCAAGCTCAGGTAACCACGGTACCCACATCGCAAACGATAGTCAACTAGGCGCACATGCAGTTCAGCGTGTTCGGGATCTATGGCGCGGGCGTGATTGAGGGCCTTCAAGGCCTGGAGGTATTTTCCTTGAGAAGTCAGGTTCGTCTGGACGACCGAAGGAAAACGGCACCCACTCCGTCTGACGGCGACATCATATACTGTTATCCACACGTCCACGTTCTTTGTATCCGAAACCACCAAGGGATGTAAGAATTTTGCGGCACGCTCTAGGGCATCAGGTGAAGCGAGCAGCTTGCTACCATCTGGGTCCTCGTCCTTGGGCAAAGGAGGCTCTAGGCCTTTATCCTCGTTACCAGACGCCGACGTAGCCTCTGCGATGAATGCTGTTTTTAGAGGTATATGGGTCGATATATGGCGGAAATCTTACGTTTCGCTGCTTCTTTGACCTTTTCAGCGGCTCTTTTGGCTTTTGCTTTCGCTTTTTTCTCCGCAGCACTCAGAGAGCCATCTAATAGAAGTGTCGGCGACACGATCCGGTCTGCACCACATGTCCATACCGATTTCGTTCACCCTTGTCGCTAGAGAAGGATCGTCATGCACGCGAACAGCAATCTAGTGAGAGTTTGGATTTAGAAAATTGCATGTAGATGTAGATGAGAGGGGTGGCAGAACATACCCTGGAAGCACCAAGAGCAGCAGCAATGTAACCGGGATGGGTTCGTAGCTTGTCTGCCCAAGCGATCATGCTATGAGGGAAGAAAGCCAGTGAAGGCATGGCACGTGATAGCGATCGGTGGGGCTTACCTCATGTATATATTGAGGTTGAACTTCCGCATCGAGTAGCCATGAAAGTCGAACTGATCATCGTACATCTCGTCGAACACCTGAGAAGCGAAGCTGTGTTGAGGAGACAGTCCACTTCATTCTGAGGTTGCTCACCTTCTGGACGGCGGCGTACTTCTTCAAGGCCATTCCAAGGTTACCGATGCGCGCGTAAGCATCGCCCGCCTCGTTGAGGTAGAGCAGTGACTGCATGTCTTCAAGGTCCGCGCCGGGACTCGCCGCATCTTTCTGCGTATATTCGTAAGCCCGTCCGCGCGCCCACGAAGAGCACGTAACAGAAGAAGCGTAGCGTCCTCTGTCATGGCCGCGACGTCGAAGTAGGGAGAAAACAAGCTGACCTTCGTGAACAACCCGAAGATATCCATAGCCTCATCGATCGTCCCGGCGCGCAATCGGTATTTTGCACATTTGGTATTGAGGAACCGATCCTGACCATCCAATAACCGGGCGTCGTCGACTGCTCGGGCAGCTCCCCACGGGTCACCTGCGCGCTTGAGAACTCGACCTCTGGCTGTGTAAAGCTCGGGGAGGGTCGGGGTGTGCTCTATCGCAAGGTCGATAAGCTGGACCGCAAGCTGATGGTTTCCGAGGAAAGAATGATGCTGGGCGAGGAAATACAGAGTCCACAGGTAGACAGTAGGATCTTGCTCGGACGAAGAGGGGCCTGCGGGTGGCTGAGCCTGTTCCTGCCGGAAGATCTCCACTATCTCTTCTATGGCCTTCCGTTTCTCTTTGTCACCATACAGCGACTTGAGGTCGGTAAAGAGCGAGGGGACGCCCTTGGTGAGTGCAGAAATGACATAGGAGCGTGCAAGGGCAACAAATTCCGGTCCGCTCGCGACATCAAGAGCTATGCGGCGCGGTGCCGTGGCTTTCGGAAGCTGAGATGACAGATCTTTCAGGAGATCGAGGGCGCGGGCTCGGTCGGCATCAGTGACGGTTGCTACTCCGGGATAATTAGCGCTCAACGCGGTGCAAGCACTCCCTCGCCGGCGCACCTAGGTCAATGTCTTTGGTAGACATATACCCACGGTAATATTCGTGGTACTCCGGATTTTGGTGTATCAACGCCAACCAAGCACTCTCGGCGGCGTCCGTTTGACCTGTCTTCGAGAGAAGCCGAGCTAGCCGCACGTTCTCGCAATCAACAACCGCATAGGGACTGTGTGAGATACTGTACCTACCTCGGTACTCCCGTAGAGCAGTTTTGTCGACTATAACATCATCACTGGCATTGGATTCCAGGAATTGTAGGGCTTTCTCCGATTCCCCCAGCAATTCCAATACCTGCACATGGTAGAGGACGGTCTCCGATGTCTCGACATCATGTGCCGGAATGTTCTATTATTGTTGTCATGTCAGCACGGCGTCCGAGTGCGTGATAGCTGCACGAACCTTCAGGATGGATTCATACTTCGTTAGCACATTCTCGGCTTCCGTGAGGTTCCCACTCAGATGGTAAGCGACCGCCAGAGCAACCCAGTTCCCTCGCACTTGCGGGCGCAGTCGAAGTAGAATATGGCGCGACTCTATGAGACCGTCGTAAAGTCGAAGTTGAGCTTGCAGGCTTGCTGCGTCCCGGAGAATATTCATATTGTCCTGCCGCAGTTTAAACATCGGATGTATGGTGGGATCATGCAATGTCACGTACCTTGTCAAACTTCAACGCCTGGGTGTAAGACTTGAGCGCCTCCTCATACTTTTTCTCGCCCTTCTGGATGAGTCCAAAGACATGCCAGACGATATGAGATGTGATATCAAGACGCATGCCCTTCTTGACGAGTTCAATCCCTTCGTCGCGTTTGCCTTGGTGGGTCATGATGAGACCCTTCATGCAAATTGTTTCTGCAAGCCGGGTGATCTAGTCATGCTTAATGAGATCGTGAAGTGTCCGTACCACCATGCTCGGGATACTTTTTGAGGATCGCGTCGGCTGCCTTAATACCCTTCTTCAGTTGACGCGTTTCATAGAGAGTCAGGAGTTCTTTGAATAGTGTAGCCTCCCGTGAAGCCAGTATCCGGTTTTTGGGAACAGTAAGCGCTTGCGGGGCCATGATGGAGGTGAGGAAAAGTTGCGTTATGCACGATGCAGGTTCACAGGATATTTCATGACAGCCTTCCCAATAGGCTGTCATATTATGTAGTTAATGCAGCCTACACGGATGATGTAGCCTAGTAGATCAGTCATCTCCTTTGACCGTGGGCGCCAAGTCACGTGTGTCCGTGTAAACGCGGTCGCGCGCGTCTTGTTCTCCTCTGCGGCCTCCCGTACCTACTCTCGCGTTTGCAGCTCTATCTCACTTCTACCTCCGATACACGTCTTCGACACAGATTAAGCCGCGAGTCAGGCGCGCAAAATGGTTGCCCAAACGCGAGGGGCTAACCAGTCTAGTCCGCACAAGTTGAAGTTCAGAGACAAGCTCGTCGGAAAAGGGCTTTCGACGGATGCTCTGCTCAAGAAGCTCAAGGGACTTCAGCAGGAGCTCAAGGATATGGATCAGGCTCATGTTGATGTATCCTCGCTACATGTTGTTCGCAAGGAGCTCATCCACAGCACCATCTTCTTGCATCGGGATCAAGGCGTCAAGGCGTACGCCGCGTGTTGTCTTGCCGATATCTTGCGCCTCTACGCGCCGGATGCCCCATATACTCAGAACGAACTCCGGGATATCTTTCAGTTCTTCTTTCAGCAGCTCGAAAAGTATCTGAAGGGTCAGGACTCTCCCTACTACGACCAGTATTTCCACCTCTTAGATTCACTGTCCACCGTCAAGAGCGTTGTACTTGTATGCGACCTCCCCGAAGCTGACGACCTCATCGTGACCGTATTTCGCCATTTCTTCGCGATCGTGCGCCGCGACTTGCCACAAAATCTGAGGATGCATATGGCGGACATACTCGTCGCGCTCACCGACGAATCCACCACCGTCCCGTCTGGCGTCATAGAGATCCTCATGGCACAGTTTACGGATAAAAACGCAGTAAGTAGTCTTATTCGCGCGGGTACCCGGTGATCTGAATTGTTTCTAGCGCTCGGATCAACCAGCCTACCAGATGGCGGTCAACGTATGCAACGCCACTGCAGACAAGCTTCAGCGGCACGTATGCCAGTACTTCACCGATATTATCACCGCTCGTCCAACAGAGGAAGACGAGGAAGCCGATTACACTGAAATCGAGGCCGCGCACGCTCTCGTTAAGCGGCTCAATCGGTCTTGTCCCGCATTACTGCACAACGTCGTGCCCCAATTGGAGGAGGAAATGCGCGTAGCGGACATCAAATTGCGTGTGATGGCGACGCAGGTCCTGGGGGAGATGTTCGCGGAGAAACGGGGCGCGGACTTAATGAGAAAATACCCAACGACTTGGGCAGCGTGGCTTGGACGGCACAAAGACAAGTCTTCGACTGTCCGCCAGGTATTCGTGGAGGCCACGAAAGGGCTGATCCAGAATCTACCGGAATCACGCGAGAGTCTCGAAGGTGCGTGCATCGCCTTGCCTTGACAACTTGCTTGACAACTTCCCGCAGAGGTCCTTGCTTCCAAGTTGTACGACCCAGACGACAAAGTTCGCACCGCCGTATGCAAGATATATGGCCAGCTCGACTACGAGACGGCTCTTCACCATGTTTCTGAGAATCAATTACGCACAGTTGTTGGACGAGGTTTGGATAAAAAGGTACATTTATTCTCACAGTGAAATGATGGCGGCTCGTGCTGATCATAGCTCTCAGCATCCGGTACGCCTTGCTGCCTCCACCACGGCCGGAAAGCTCTGGATATTGGCGTACCCCGAGATGTACGTTTCTCTACCGGATGTGATAATATTAGCGTCTGATTCCAGATAGTGAGAACGGAGATCCAGCAGCCATCCGGCATTTCTCTTGGATTCCTCAAGCCGTCTGCGACATGTTCGCCAACACTGATGCTCGGTACGACGTATCCGTCGCAAAATGATAACTGTGACACTGACCATCCGTGCAATTGCTAGTTCTGCTGCGGAGAATGCATTGTCAGAATACATATTTCCTTTACCCACAGCAAGCGCGAATGAGAAGGGGAAAGATGCTGGCATAGACGAAGGCGTGTGGACAGACAAGTTACTCACAACGATGAGATTCTTGGACGACAAAGGGATCAAATCAATGATCAATTTCACGGGTATCAAGCACTCGTAAGTTTTTCTGGGAGTGGACACGGACTCGAGGCTGAACGGCGTTGTAGGCGACCCACCGTGTACGAGGGATTCCTGCAAGCTTGTATCGAGAATAACGTGCGTTTTCTATATCCTCTCTTACCAAAAAAAATGGCATTAATAATGCTGTAGGGGGGTGTGATCGACGAAGACGAGGAGAAAGTTGTCAAGAAACTCGCGAACATCATAAAACGGATCTCAGGTGACTACTTTACCGAACGTCCTGAATGAGCTCAACAAACTGGGTACAAGGGACGTTTCCGGACACGCAGAAAGCTGCAGACGATCTGCACACATTTGCCAAGTTGAACGAAGGACGATTGTACAAACATCTTAAGGCTTGTATGGACCCTCAGACAGATCTCAAAGGTCTTGTGAAAGCCACAGTACGTCTTTCACCCCCTTCGTTGGCTCGCTCGTGCTGAACCTTCAATTGCAGACCGAATTCATCAAGCGGCTGGAGCAATCGTCTGCAGCAATCGTCCCGACCATGAAAATTGTCCTCCGGCGTGCCAGTCTCCGCGTTATCAACCAGTCTTTGATACCTACTCTCATCAAGCGCGTACAGAAGGGGGATCCATCAGGCGATGGTCATGGCACCAGCCAAGCACAGCTCAACGCAAACAACGCACACGCCTTGTTAACGATCATCTCAAAGTATCTACCAGCTCTGTACAAACCTCACGTGAACGAGCTCGCCAAGGGACTGGCAGAGGATAAGAATCCTCGAATGGTGGAAGTGTGCTTACAGGCGCTCGCGAGCGTGGCCAAAGGCGACCCCAATCTTGCTCCTTCGTACAAGAAGACAGCGGAGCGAGTCCAACGGTACGCTTTGTCCTCCAACAAACGGCATAGCAAGTTCGCTGCCCGTTTGCTGGCCATATCTAAGAATGCCGCGCAATCATGCCAACAAGTCGTTGACGTGAGTGAATTATCAACTCGCTTCCCCTCCAATTATCTCAACTGTTGCTAGAACATCGCGGACTCTCTCCCTGAGGCTGTCGACGAACAGCTTGTTGCATATGTCGCTGTGTTGCAACAGCTCGCGCATATGGCACCAGACGCGTTCGAGCAGAAGAGTGATGTCATCATCGCCCACCTTTTGAAGGAAGTCCTCATGGCTCCGTGCCCGCTTGATGAGGTCCGTGTGAGAAACGAGCAGAAAGACACTGTCTCACATTCGCTTCCTTTAGGACGCCATGGAAGATGACGCGGAGTGGATGGAAGACTCTCAATTGCCTCCACAACTTCAAGCAAAGCTCCTCTCGATGAAGCTTTGCCGAAACCGGTGCCTTGCGCACGCGTCGTCAGACAACGCGTTGGAAATTGCCACTCCAGTGCTCAAAATGTTCATCACCGTCATCTCAAATGGCGGCTCTTTCACGGCCGAAAGCGACGACAAGTCAGTCGAGGGTCACATTGCGCATCAGAGGGTATTTAACTGACGCGTGTGGACAGTCCCAAGGTGAAATCACGTTTACGGCTCCAGGCGGCGATATCGTTGCTCCGTTTATGTACGGTACAGAAGTTCGCCGAGGCTATGTCTCGACATTTCGTCACGCTCGCCGTGATGGTCCAGGTAGCATTTCTCTTGTTTCGCCTTGGAAACTGGCTCTTACAAAAACTCTAGGATCCTTGCTTTCAAGTCCGCATCTCGTTTTTGACGAAGTTAATCATCTTATTGTCTCCGAGGAAACTGCCGCCTTACTTCAATACCATCCCTTTCCTCACTGTTCACGACCCGGACCCCGAGGTGATTCAGTCGGTAAGCATGGTGTCATTGATATCAAAGGTAGACAATGCTCAACTTCTATAGGCTAAAGCGTTCGTGGCGTTTGCGTCACGCACATGGCCACCTTCGATACGCTCAACAGATTTGGAGTTGCTATTTCTTCGCTTTCTACATTTGCTTGCTCATCATCCCGACTTTGGTACCGACCATGAACAATTGCTTGAGATGGCGAAGTGAGTTGGTCTGTTTCGCTATCGGGCAAATCTTACAATATCGTAGATATTTGGACTTCTACATCGAGCTCGTTGCGACGGAGGAGAACATCTCTCTTCTCCATCATCTCGCTATGAGATGTAAGACGGTTAGGGATGCTGAATCCGACAGCGAGGTTGGTCTTGCGCCCAACGATAAACCATCCACGTATTTATGCATGGCAACAGCCTCTGTATATCATGAGCGAGTTGGCACAAGAGTTGCTGAAGGCCAAAGCTCATACGCGGTCGTGGAGCATTCAAACCTATCCAGGCAAAATCAGGCTACCAGGAGATATCTTCAAATCCCTCCCTGATGCGGGGATCAGGAAAAAAGTTTGTCCTCGATATGACGTCCAATGTACATTCTGACTCGGTCTCCCAGATCTGGGAGACTATATATCTCTCAGAACAGACATTGGCGTGGCTAGCGGAGCGGACTAAACCCTCTCAGAAGGCGATCAAGGTGAATCATTTTTTTCGTGACTGGATGGACATATCTCACCTTCATTTATCCAGGAGAGGCCCAAAGCCGAGCGACAACCTGCAGTCAAGCGCAAAGCCGGCGCATCCAAAACCAATGGGCGGTCTAAGTGCGTTGCCGCGGCGGTGTTGCTCGAAACGATTCTCATCCCTTCTGGCAGGCGAGCAAGGAGGAAGAAACGTAACGACGATGACGACGATGAGGAATCGAGGGCTTCCGATACAGAAGGAGACCAGAACAACTCTGATGCAGAGATGGACGAGGAACGATTGCCAAGCTCTAGGGCCGGCTCCGCACCACCCACCAGCGAAGCTGGCGAGGAAGAACCGGAGCAAAGACCCTCTCGAGGAGCTCGAACAAGGGCCAAGGTCTGAAATTCTCCTCATACTAAATGCATCATGTCTAACATACATGTGCACGCAGGCGAAGATCAAGGAGCAGTCCAAACGTTCCCCGAAGAAGCACGCAGACGGGGACTCATCAGAGTGATGAAGCCACAAAGTGATGTTTGATATTTATTCGTCGATCTATGGTATTGTTCAATGTTATCTGCTGCGCTGCCTGCATGACCTCCTTCCTACATGTACGTAATTTGCGGATGGATTATGAACCAAGGAAAACAGATGAAATGGCATAGGGGAGTCAATGATGATGATCTTATGATCCGGCGCGACAAACCGAAAGGAAAATGTGGTATTCAAAGCAATTCTGAATCGCTGCTGTCGACGCTTCCGAGGTTCGAAGAGGACACTGACGAAGTCTCTAACATATCCCAGTGACTCTCTGAGTCAGTGGTAGCAGGACTTTCGGATCGGATTGATCCGCTTCCGACGGACGCAAGGGATCGTCCATCCCCATCTGCGAACGGATCTGCGCCTTGCTGGACAGGTGTTTCCACCGTGCCGAGTTTAGGTTCCGCCTGGAGCGACGTCCCAAGTTCCCCTCGGATATCCTCACTCAGGCCGGGAATGGACGAATGTATCCTCTGCTCCAGCAGAGCGCGCGTGCCTGGCAGCAAGCTGCCCCCCGAACCAGAGCTGGCATCATCAGACGCAGACTCCCAGGTATCATCGGAGTCCGAATCCGTCATCTCGTAGTCCGTGGTAGGCGGGGGGGTAGGGGAGGCAATCAGGCGGCCGGAGCGCCCAGGCATACCAGCGAGCCAGATGCCTCCAAGGATCTTGTCCTCATCATCGCTTTCCTCCCGTCTGGATTTACGCTTCCCTTCGTGGGGCAGGGCCTCGTCTCCATCGGGCTTCCGCTTGTGGTCAGCTCTGGCTACATCGTCAAGCCAGGAGCTGAGACTATCCTGAGGGAAGCTCTTCTGATCGGCGATCCACTCTGTATTCCCCCATGGACCCGGCACAAAGCTGGACCCACGCATGCCAGACGGCGTGGGTATAGTCTCTTTCTCCTTGCCCTTGCCTTTAGCGCTGCGAGGGCTGGCGAGATTCTCGTCGGTCTGGATTTTCAGGTGCTTGACGGTTTCCATGCTAGCGGTGCGCTTCAGGCTCTTCTTCTCGCGAACCTCCTCCCAGCGCACGAGGGCTTCACGCTCACGGACATGGCGATCGAGCATCTCGTCCCACAAGGACTTGCTGTGAGTCGGGCGAACGTTGCGCATCACCCAGTCCGTATCGAGCATGGCGAGGTGCATCGTATCCTTGTAGGCCCCATCGGAAGGGTCGATGGTAGAGCGACGACGAAGTCCTTCGTTGACAAAGCCTCTGGAAAACGGATAGTAATGTCAGTGACCGCCAGCGCCTGGATAGACATTGCCTGAACGTACATCTGGGTGAATAGGCGCCTGACGTGGTCGTTCTTGGAGGGGTCTAGGACAACGGCCTGAACCCGGTGCAATCCCAACGAGTCGAAGCACCAACTGAGGACCTGCTCAAGTGCACGACGGGCATATCCCTTGCCGCGGTGCTGCCGTCCAATGACGATGCCAATGTTAACCTCGCCAGCGGGAACGTTATCCGGAGGTGTCACCGTCACATAGACGTAGCCGACCGTCGTCTGCGTTTCCATCATCATTCGCGTGGTCGCGGAGGGGTCCGGCGACCTCCTGGACTCGGGATCGAAGGTGTCGTCGCCATTGCGTGGATAAGTCGCGCGGCCAAACGCTGAAGCAACGACAGAAGGAGGGTAAGGAAGAGGACGAGTTGTCCACTCGTATTCTTCGAGATTGACGTGGGGTGATCCAGCGGGTTCCATGAAACCTGAGTTGAAGGTAGCGCCACCCTCCCGATGAACTTGTTCACTGGGCCAGCGCGGAGCGTCCCAGCTCTCGTAATATTCATCCAAAGCAGTAGCGCTGGAATGGTCGCCGGAGCCAGGCGGCGTTGCCTGCTCCTTCCACGGATACGTTGAAGGGCCTTGGGTATAGGAAACGTCTTCGAGAGGATCGAGCAGCCCACGCCTCCAGCTTTCGGATGCTTCCGATGTCGCCATCTGCTGCTTGGGCGGCTCGGGCTTGCCGGTTCGTTTCCCCAAGACTTCGGCGAAGTAGAAGCAGTGTTCCGCGAAGCTGGGGAGGATAGGTACGGGGGATTGAGCCGCCTCGACGGAGTGGTTGCGAAGGTCCTCCCAATACTCCTGGACATCTTGATCAAACAGCGTCGCCGGGTCAGCGTCGGGCGCTAGGACGATTTCTAGATCGGTGGGCTGCAGCTCGGAGCCCTTCTCAAAGAAGGCTGGCATGACAGACGCGTGGAATAGCGTTCGATGTTCAGACCAGCCAGTAGCAGTAGGCCTTATAACGAGGAGGTTACGCTGGGGCGAGTCAACGGCTGTGAACTGCGGAACCACGAGTCGGGCCATGTTATATTGGCGAGCGCTCTGCTGTTTGATGAAGCCCGAAGCCGGCTCTTTAGCGCCCCAATACACTCCGGAGCAGCCGCAGCATCACGAGTCCATTCCAGACCGAGAGAGGAAATGGTCGGGTCTTAGTGCAATAATCGAAGTTTCCCATGGTGCTTAGTTGAAGAGACGTGGACGCAACACAATGGAGATGGCGACGGGAGGAGGCAAGACGCAACAACATTCGGCCAACACAGGGCAATAATCTAGAAGCCGCATTACGCGTGTTATTCACACTATCACATCAGATCGTTACAGTACTCAAAGTCACATCCATCGCTGCACACCACTGCACACCACTAGCTTCGGCACCACTCAGAATAGTTCGTTGATCTCGAATGCCAGGAGAGAGCATGTCATTGTGGCATATGCATATGGAACACGGCATGCGGAAGCGAAAGTGGTAGCGACACGGATACGGGATATGCAAGTAAGAGCGTTTACTATAGAAAGGAACGCATTAGTAGCTAGGACAAGCTAAGTCCGAGGATCCTGACGTACGAAAGTGAGGGCGGCACCCTTGGTCTTTTTCTCGCCACCAAGCTCGAAGCTATTGCATCCAGTGAGGCGGGGAACGAAAGCAAGCAGGGCAGGAAGACGTACTGCTTGCAGCGTTTCAGCGACAGCTGCATCTTGTACTTGCACACCGTGCACTCCAATCGCAGCACGACCTTCTTAGTCGTCTTCGCCTAGAGACGAGGTTGGAATCCGATATCCATCTGATCTAAAGCGACGGCGCTTATCGCGTACCTTCTTGTGGAAGACGGGCTTGGTCTGACCACCGTAGCCGGATTGCTTACGGTCGTATCGCCGCTTGCCCTGCGCAGCCAACGAATCCTTGCCCTTCTTGTACTGAGTGACCTTGTGGGGGCTACATCCACGACCCATCGTCAGAACACCTTCAAACCAGTCAATCAACGGGATCGCATACGTGTGCTTCTTGCAGGTCTTGCCCTTGCAGTCTATTCATCCGTTTTGACCGTAGGCTCAGTCCCTACGTCACGCATAATTGGTCATAGAATAGCTCACAGGTGCGGCGTGTCCTACGATCCGAAAGGAGATGATTAGATTCTACTGAGCATATAGACATAGTCACATTCAACGATACTGACTTGGGGATATTGACCATGGTGCCGGCGTCGACGGGCGAAAGACCGAGCTTTGGGAAGGAGGAGAGGATGCGTGAGAAAAGCAAGCAGGTGCTGTACAGCTGGAGAAGGCTGTCTTCGCGCCGCTGATCAATGCGAACTGCCTTACAATTCAGTGTTTTTTCACGATCGAAGCCAAAGAGTCGATACGCCTTCCTTACGTCCGCGACCAACCCTGGATACACGCGAACTTGAGCGAAGGGGAGCGCGCTCTACCATGTGCATGGATCGCTGCGGTCGATAGTGTTCCCTCAACTGTGCAAATTTAATGGTCCAATCGTGCAAGGGATCATGTGGAACGTCCCGATACTTCTGGCGAACTACTTGAATTCAAAGGATGCTTATCAACCTTCGAGTTCTAATGGGGAGATTGCGGATGGAAACAGTCATACATAGCATTGCTTCCTTCGCTCCAACGGTTGATAATTGGCCCATGATATAACCTGATAACAAAGATAACTAAGCTACCGCTGAACCTCGGCGCCGATCAGCGCTCATCGGAGGTGAGCGGGAACCGTACACACTTCTTTGTGGATGATGACTCTTGCGTTACCTTTAGCGTATTAGCACGAATGCATCCACGTACGTCGATCGGATGACCTCGGCAATTCCGTTTCGCCATCTACTTGGCAACATAAAGCGCCTGCCCATGTTCGGTCGAAGTTGTCTCCTTCCCTTCCTGTTGGTATCCGCCTTCCGCAGACGCCCTCGTAGAGAGGTCAGCATTTGATCCCCATTCCTTGGGGACCCGTACCCCGTGATCCAACAGCCATAGGCAGGATGAAACTCCACGACTGGGTGGTAGCCCCGGACCTCGAGTCAATCGAGAGAGCGCACAAAGAGCAACTTCGCGATATGGAGAACGCTATCGTCGCGTGCTGTTGCGCACTGCAGGGGACGCGCGACGATGATTCACGACTCCCAGATTATGCGCTTGAGCTGGCTTTCCAGCTCGCGCGGCGATACACGTATTTCGGTGAGGTCCTGGATCTTGAACAGGCTGCCGATATCTGCCGGTGGGGGCTCCGTCACGACCAACTCTCGATAACTTCACGTGTCGCCCTCCTCGATCGTCTCGGAGAGGCTGTCGGGCACCTCTGGCGGCACGATCGGCAAAGCTCTCATATAGACGATGCACTAGCCGCGCATGTGGAATCATCAGCCCTCCGGCGAGTTCATGACCTCGACGAATCTCATAACGTACATTGCTTGGGAAACGCCACACTCAAATTAGCTTTCTCCAGCCCTCATCCGTCCTCCGGGTTACACGAGGCTCTTGCTCTCTTCAAGCAAGCGGCCCGTATGACCAAGTTGAAAGAGTCTCGCGCAAAATCGTTAATCTTCGCATGCGATACTATCCCCTTAATCTTCGAAATCGCAGGAGACAACCGATTTGCAGAAGGCTTGGAGTTGATCAAGGAAGCAATGGATTTGATTACACAAGACGACCCGCTTTTTGGATTGGCACTCCTCTCACTGGGAAAGACGCTGTGGAAGTCATTTCAGTCTCAAAATAATCACGATTCCGTAGAGGATCTCAAAACGGCTTTGATCGTACTACGGAATGCAAGCAACGTTAGCGCCATCACATCCCCGGCGCTTCACCGACACGCGACCCATATCCTAGGGTGGGCGTTATTAACCAGCTTCGAAGAAACGGGCAACTTGGATCATCTCGACGAGGCGATGAAACTGGCACGCATGGGACTGGCCACTTTCGAAGCTGGGTCGGTCAATAGGACTGTCGCAGTCCGCAAGCTCCAGTTCTGCCTGCGCCGTCGCTACGGAAGATTGGGCCTTCCACACGACCTCGACGAATCAATCGTGCTGGGTCGCATGGCTCTGGATACGTCACCTCCGGGGGACTTCGAAAGACCATCAACTCTCTGTTTTCTCGCATCGAGCCTACTGCAAAGATATGCCCGGTCACACTCTGAGGACGACCTGGGAGAAGCTATGCATCTGTCCGAGGAATCCATAACCCTAGCTCAAGACGTCGACTCTGCCAAGTGTCTACGCACTCTCGGTGAAGCCCGCTTATATCACGCGGTCGATATTTCACAGAACATTGACGAGCTGCACGAGGCGATATCAGTCTTGAGGAAGTCGTTGTCGCTCATTGCCGATGATCAGATCGGCAGGATCGAAACAATTGATACTCTCGCCACTGCCCTCCGTGCACAGGCACAGCGGACGAAAAGTGTTATTGATTTGGAGGAGGCAGTCTCGTGTCGCCGCAGATCCCTCTCCGACATCCCTCCTGTCCGACCAGATTATCCACATATGCAAGCTCTGCTCGCGGACGACCTTTTGGCCTTACATGAACTGGCAAACCGGCCAGGCGACCTCAACCTCTGCATGTCGTTCTTCCGAGATGCCGTCACCAATCCGTACGGTAATCCGCGGGACTCGTTACAATCCGGAAAGCGATGGATAGATGCGGCGACGCGTCACGAGCGGATCAGTGACATCTCCGAGGCCCATCACCACACCATCGGTCTCCTACCTCGATTAGCATACAGCGGGTACGATGCAGCAACACGGCTGCAATTCATGAGGGAGACTCCGGGGTTAGCACTCGGAGCAGCCAACCACGCGCTCCGGTACTCGAACGCAGAAAGGGCGATCGAGTTTCTAGAACAAGGCCGATCCGTCTTGTGGAGTCGGGCGCTTCAACATCGATATCACTTCCGCGATCTTCCACCTACCCTCTCTTCACAGCTCAATGCTATCACCGCCAAGTTGGAACGGCCGATTGGTGTCAAGTTGGCGGGAGGTATGACGGGCGACTGGGAGATGGCCCATCGTCGTCGCTTGATTGATGAGTTTGACTCGGCACTGGTGCAGATAAGGAGAACTCCGGGCTTTGAGAGGTACCTTCTACCGAAGAAGTACAGCGCGTTACGAGCTGCAGCTGCCAAGGGACCAATTGTAATCCTGCTGCCCGGCAAAGACCTATCGCATGCCATCATCATCAGTCCCCGGAACGAATTACAACCTCTCCCTCTGCCAATCACGACTGAGCGCCTGGCCGAACTGGCCGGTACCTTGTCGGGCGAGAATTCCGTCGCAAAACGGCGCAATGCGTCTTCTTCTCTGGACACCGATCGTCTTTCCCTCCTCAAAAAGCAGGTTGCCAAGAAAAAGGTCGACTCGGAGGACGCATACGTTGACATCCTCACAGAGCTATGGCAAAAAGTGGTACATCCTGTGATTAACCGTCTGAGATACGAGGTCAGAGCACATCGATCACGCTACCTTTTTTTCTCGCTAATTTTGGTCCTTTGCCATCCAGGCCTGCGCTCTCGATGAGAGACCTCGGCTTTGGTGGTGTCCCACTGGTCATTTCACCTTCCTTCCTATCCATGCCGCTGGGGTGTACGATGCTAGCTCCATGAGCCAATGCGCATCGGACTACGTCATCTCATCCTACACGCCAACGCTGGAGACGCTCATGAATGCACGAGAAGAATTCCATCGCTTATCCGATCAGCTATCTCCGCGACTGCTGCTTGTTGGCCAGCCCGAGGCCCCTTATTGCCAACCACTGCCGAAGACGGTGGACGAAGTCCAGGCGGTCAAAGACATAATCTCATCCTCGAGGTTGAGTGATTCTGGCAGGTCCTGGCAACAAGTGAGTATTCTTAGTCAAGATGCCACGACGAAGCACGTTCTGGAGGAGCTGCCGGGTGCATCCATCGTGCATCTGGCTTGCCATGGTTTCCAGAACCACGAGGACCCGTTCAGGAGGTCAGTGCGACGCGTCCTTGGCTTGATGTCATCGCTGATAGGGTGTTGTAGCGGATTTGTAATGATTGACGGGGTTCTGACGGCATCTCACCTTATGGACCTCAAGCTGCCCCATGCTTTCTTCGCATTTCTGAGCGCTTGCGAATCTGCGATGGGCGATCAGGTATGACGATATCATTTCATTGACGCGCTGGACCCAAGGCTGATCGAACGATTTCGCAGAATTTGCCAGACGAGACCCTGCACCTCGCAGCGACGATGATGTTTGTTGGCTTCAAGAGCGTCATTGGGACGATGTGGTGCGTATAATGTCCCTCAGGAGCTCGCCAAATATGGAGATACTCATACATCCGCTTCCCATCTAGGTCCATGAACGACTTTGACGGGCCAGAGGTCGCCACAGCCGTGTACCGCGACCTTTTTGGAGAGCGCCAATCGGACGAGCTGGACCCAGAAAAAATCCCAAGGGCTCTCGACGCTGTGACTCGTCGAATGAGACAAGCAGGCTTACATCCCTCACGATGGGCGACCTACATTCACATGGGAATCTAGAGCACGGAGCTAGATGTCAAATATATTGTAATGATAATAAAGTCAGATTCATGTGTGGCTATCGGCTGATACTACGGACGCTCTCAACACTGTGGGCCCATCAGATACTCTGATACTCTCAAAACGGCGCTATGAAACACGCATTGTAGAAGGAACTTCCACCGCACCTCCCAAAGTGGTCCGAGATGATCTCATTCCCGTTCTCCACGCTGCTACTGCAGCAGCACGCCCGGAGCAGCGCGATCACCCCAAGCAAAATCTCTGCCTGCAGCGCCCACCCTCCCGAGCATGTGCCGCCCGTAAAATGTAGCGGGGGGAAGGGATTCTGATAATCGATGGGACCCATACGCCGGGTGCACTGCCGAGTACTTGCGACCGCGTCGTCATCCGGCACGATCAGATACATACGGTGGGTCGAGCTTGCCCAGCGTTTGCGGAGGGAGGCGTGCGCCGGTGCAAGGATTACGAACGATCATCGTTGTCATAAGTATGATATGGATGTACAACATACAGAGACCATGGGCGAGCTTCTGGCCCAAAGGAATCATGTGCGGGTCAGCGATAACACCCTGCGACCGAGAGAAGTGAGTGCACGACCAAAAAAAGTCTTGCCGGCGCACTGCGAGACCGTCAGACAAACGAGGGCGCTCAGACGAGAACGCAGAAGCACACCTTGCTGCACCAGTACAAGGAGGTATAACCGCTCCCATCACACCTCTCATATCGGTCCGATAGAGGCCAGTTTGCGTTTTCCATGCTGCCGCAGTAGCAGCACACCCTGAGCAGCGCATCCTCTTCTAGCAGGAGCTCCGCCTGCAGCGCCCGCCCATATGATGTCCCAGCGTCCGAGCGTGTGCCACCCATCAGTTGGAGCGGCGGGTTCTCCCAAGGTTGAGCGAGCAGCGCGTCAAGCGTGCTTCCGGGCGCCTGCGATTGCGTTGGTTCCACGTCAGGCACAACCCACAGCACCGGCTTTCCGTCGGGGGAAAGCTCGGCGGGTGACGTGGAGTTGAGCGTGGTGAGGTAGCGAACGGCGGGAACGTCGGGACCCGTGGCGGTCACCAGCGCGTACTGGGCCAGGTCGGTGTCCGCTTTGCGCGCGACGGCGAACGGGATGACGATCGTGAAGGTCCCGACGGAGTAAGTCGCGATGCGGTCGCGGATGTAGCCCTCCATGAGTGAGCTTTGTGGATTGATGGGCACAGAGGACTGCTAGATGTGATGTTCTACATCAGCCCGAGCCTTTCCCTGTTATTTCTGTTCTGACGGAGGAGCTCAAGGCTGCTCAAGGTCGCGGGAGGACTCTGTGGCGGCGATCTCCGAGTGGCGCTGCAGCGTTCGACGACGGACACAGCCTCGCGCGAGCGACTTTGGTTCTGCCGCCATGTCCACCAGCTTCCAAGCCTTACCAGCTCGTCCAAGATCTCTAAGGGTGCCTAGACGTTGATGAAGGCATGGCCACAAAGCAGTAAACAGAAACTCGTTGCTACCGAATCCTCGTGCCATAGCCATATCAGGGCAAACTCAAGCGGATATCATCGGATCGCCAGCGGATGAACTGGACGAAACGGAAAGATGCCACGGTGAATGATGCGCCAGACGCCTTCCTGTCATTTTCCTGAAACACTCTGGTCGGTCATCTTGGTGTGCGCCAACAACTGCCGAAGATTATGGGCATCCACATCTGGGCTCCGGAGCGGCGCTTGAGATCGCATATAAACCTCTCAAGGATGGACGCAAACATCACGGATTGCTGGATCGATCCCAAGGGCGTTCACGACTTCCTTCCTTCCTTCTGTTCTTTTTTTTGGGGGGGTCTTGCCATAATCTCGACTTAATTTCCTTCGCTTTCGCTCATCATGGCTCGCCTTAACAACTCCTTCTTGATCTTCCTCCTTGCATGCGTTCTCCTCGTGGACGCGGTACCCCTTGGGCTCAAAAGACCGACCACGAAGAGCTCTCCGGTGAAGGCGCCACCGATCAAGGCGCCGCCAGTCAAGGCTACCCCCATCGTGGCGAAGACCACTGCAAAAGCTGCTACTACAGTGCGTATCCTGTCTTCCGGCCTTCGCTCACATCCCTGATTTGAAGACGGAATAGGCTCTCCCTACACTCGTAAAGACGACTTCGGCAGCTGTGACTAGGATCTCGACAACGGCAGCTGCCGCTAAAACTACCAGCGCAGTTTTCAGCAACAAGTCTGCCACTTCTAGCACGTCGATCGTTACCACATCGGTCGGTCGCACGTCCGCCACATCTGCTATCACAAGATCCAGCGCCGTCTCGAGCTCTTCGGCAGTGTCTGCATCTTCGCTCGCGAGCTCGTCCACCGCGTCTTCCGCCCTCACCTCGGCCTCCGCGACCCCGTCCAACGGAACTGCGGCAGCAGTACGTTTACGGCTTGTTCCGGCTCGTTGACGGTTTTACTGAGAACGGAGTATCTTGTGTCTTAGTGTCCCATCAAGGCCACCAACTCTACGAAAACGGCCAAGAAGACGGCTCGCGACGATCTCTTCCGCCGCGTCGGTACCCCAGAGTTCATCGGCTGGCACGGAACCAACTCTGTACATATCCTACGCACATCGCATGTCCGTGTACGCCGTAGGGTCTGATCCATGCTTGTCGCTATGCAGATCACCGCCGACTTCTGGGTGTCTCAGGGAGGCACGATCAGCAAGCCGCCGGCGCCCAAGGCGGGCATCTTCGACTCGTTCACCTTCGACTTCTTCGGCCAAACGAACAAGCAGGCTGACCTCACCTCCGGTGCCGACCAGGCACTCGGCGTGGGTCTCTACGTCGCCGACCAGCGCGCTTTGTGAGTAGTGACCACAAACGCCTCCGTCGCTCGCAGGGAGATGCTGACCCTGACAATCACGCAGCGCCGAAAGCTTCGCAAACGTGAACGTCCAGGTGAACAAGGCCAAAGACGCGACGTTTGCCGGCACGGCCAAGGTCTGCGCCATCTTCGCCAAAGACTCCGCGAACTGGCGCACGGCGATCACCAAAGCCTTCATTCCGACGAACCTCATCGGCGACTCGGCGGACGCGACGAAGAAGGCCGCGCTCGAGAACAAGCGGCTCGCGCAGATCAAGGGCGCGCTCGCGCTCGCCGGGCGCAGCGTGCAGAACGCCGCGAACGTGGTCAAGTTTGGCGTGCTGTTCCCCGGGGCGACGGGCGTCGCCGGCACCGTCAACCAGCTCGTCCTCCCGAGCGCGATCACGACCTTGTTTTCTGCGACGTGCTTCGATCCTGCGGCTGCCGCCGCGAGCGGCCAGGGAGATCTGGATTATAGTAGTGTAGCGCAGAGGACGGAGTGGTGCATCGTGAGCGAGACGGGAACGGACCCATGCGCGCAGCCAGCGCAGTGCGGGTGAGCAGCTATGTGGCGATGAAGGGGTTATTCATTCGAGCTGTCGTCATTCCGAAGTCCGGGTCAATATACAGGGAATCTATATGTACACATTATAATCATTACCTTACATTCCACCAGCTATACATTCAACTGGTGCGCTCGAGCTTCCAGGTTTGGGATCGTTTGATATATCGATTTCCCATAGACAAGACTGCTCCTGCGCATGCTCGACGACCTCAGCCTACAAAACAACGCGCTTTTCAAGTACGTCCCTGTCCTTGTGGGAGGAATAGCACATCTGAGGCTTGTACGTCTTATCGTATCAGGCAGGTCACGACGAGTGGCAATCCATTGATTTCGATGTCTGGTGAGAACAGGCACAACGAGGATGGCCTAGATGAGGATGCAACACCGTTCTGTTCAATACTGGCTTGCACCAATGACGGCAAGCTTATGACTCTCCACATCAACGAACACCTGGAAGCAGCATGCATCAGCAGCATACGGGGATCAGAGCTGATAAATGAGGCACTTACCTCTGGATTGGTAATGCGGGGCTGTTCATACGTCAGTACGTTTGCCTGCACGTTGGAACAACAATCAAGGCTGGGCAAAACAAGCCAGAAGGATCGGCAGTTCACCTTTGCCAGCGAATCTGTTGTGCTGGCTATTATGCGGGAACGTTCATATCCTCCTCCAGCTCGCGAGTTCAATGTTGACATCAACGTGCAGGAGTAAAGTTTACCGAGAGGAAAGTTGAAGGCGAGATGTCTGCGAATGGCTAGTGAGACCATCGCTAGATTGGTACAAGCATGTCACTCACAGGCCGGTTGACTGAGAATGTGCGCCAACTAAGTTGGAATCTGGATGATGTTGAAGGCAAACTCACCGTGGACAGGTACACCACCAAGTCCATGATTGCCCAAATGGATGTTATGAGACCATTCTGCACGGTCGCTGAATGGCAGACATCAGAACTCGTGCAGCTGCCATGGGTGTTTGCACAGCAAGCAAAACCCACTCCTTATAATCTTATCGACCAGCCTATCGGTAGCTGCGAAACCTGTCTTGTGCCGCCGCAGGTTCCAGGTCAGAGATATAGTTATAGCCGTATCGCCTACACATCTAGTCAGAAACGCAGGCATGGAACTTCCAGGGTGAATTGATAACCACATGCTGCTGCAGAGATGAGCCAGACAATGACTACAGCCTTCCCATGAGAAAATGAGCAAGTAATCACAATCATAGGAGCACCTTCCACTCACCCTGAATCGTTGATATTGTGTGAACTCGGGAATAAATCGAATGGCTATCGCGGTACCAATCCCACCTACTGCATGATGGTTCTCGGTATGTGTATATCAGCGCAAATGGATCAGGACATACGAGCTGAAATGCAGGCTGCAGCTCCGATGCATATGGAAATCCACGCGTAACCCGGCTTTGCTATAATCCTATCCAAAGCGCGTACAGTTGAAGCAAGGATAGGAAGCTTCATATTACGAACTGCGCACCTAATCCTCCACGCGAAGAACAGTTGCGACATAGTACCAACGATGCCCTGCGATGACCCGTCATTTCCCGTGCGAGATATGCCATCATGCTCAAACTTACGACCATTGCTGGATCTACCGAAAACATGCGTATTGAATGCCACTGCATTGACGTTGAAAGTAAGGCACGCACCAGTCGAGAAAACTTGACAATGACATCAGTCAATATGAGACGGTATCGAGGGGTGCAACGCACCCCAATTTCCGTTCTCTAAAGCTGCAAAATCACCTGCAAAGCGCGTGAGCACAGAGAGTATATAGAATAGGGGAAGGGTCGCGTGTACCGAAACGATTGACCAATATGTCGTAAATCCACCATATGTCAAATACACAGTTGACCGTATCTGCAAGAAGTAAGATTGCGACGAATAGCTTGATTCCAAGCTTGTCCCTGTTTCATGTTCAACCGGTTGTAATTGTGAGAATTACAGACATGATATACCTTGTAAATGTCGTGAAGTAAAAAAATGCTTGGCTCAATAGGATTCCGAACAAGGTGACGTTACAGAACGTGCCCGCAAGCGCAGGGCCATGACTATACATATAGATATCAGATGGATACGTTCGATTGCCTGCAAAGTGGCATTTACGCGATGGTCGCCGGAGAGGGCATACCGAGAGCGAGTCAGGGTTGTCGATGTGAGGGTGACAGGGGAATTGCCACAACAACGGGGGTACTGGGCTCTACAAGGGCGATAAAGGTGACCTTTTGCCAAAGAGAACAGCGATGCAATTATACGGTTGGAGAACGTGTGATCCAAGATGACGAAAGAACACTGCTCCGTACACGTACGTCCAAAGAAGCCAGCCAGTATGGTGTCGCTTCACAACAATACGCTTCGGATTGCTGTCGGCATTGATGTATCAGAATGATGGTCCAGAGACAGAGGAGTAAGATTACCGGCGTCCAGTGTGTGTGCTCGAGGGGACCGATGACAGCAACCACTACCAGAGCTTGAGCCCCAAAAGATTATGGCAGTGGGGCTGGGCCTGGCCAAATTCGGATATGCAGGTGAGGAATCTTGAACAATCCCTGCTTCGCCCTCTGCCGTCACGAACCTATCGACTGACTCAGTACGATGTACGTGTGGAGCGCTGTTTGGGTGCCATGCTATCGTAGTGATTGGTACCTTCGTATGCGCAGAGCTGTTGATAATCCAGAGTCCATGGGCCTAGTAAACTTGTAGACGCATATGAACGTTTGAAGACCTTGATTGAAGAGCGGTAGCACAAGAAGCACACGGAGTTCAAAGAGATGCCCCAGCCTGAACAGCCAATAGGGGAAGCCTGTGCAAGTAACGCCGCGCTCTCGATGAGAGAGTCGTACGTAGTCGCATTGTATGTTCATTATACGTCGGATCCAGGATCATGAGGCCTGACGCGGTTACATACAAACTTTCTGCGCTGTTTGCCACAACGACTGCGTGGCGCTCGGCGCGGTGGGAACAATGTGGAAGATACTTGCATGATTCCGAGCAGCCGTCGAGCGGGTGACAACGGATTCTTTGGACAGCAAGCAAGAAGGACGGCGACTTCCCCAATTAGCAACATGGGGAACGGCACAAGCAACGGCAGATGGCCCAGCGCTGTTGCGTGAGTGAAAGGCAGTGAAAGCGCTGTCGAAGCGGATGGCGCGAGGTCCCAGCGGCGGCTCGTGCCTTTCGGCCAACGACTTCTCGATGTCTGTCATTTCCAGTTCTGCAACCATGCGCGAGGCCTCTCCCTTGGTCTATCCAGGGACTCAATTACACCGAGACGCCATTCAAGGTTCGAGGACTGCACTGTGAAGCACTCGACTCGATAAGATGCTGTCACGACCGGGTCTCCGAAACTGACTGGGGCATATAAGCACATCAGAGCCCGCCCCAAAAGTACACACAATTCTGCCGCATACAGCTGCTCTCTGCTTTGGATTGTATATCCCAAGATGGCCAACGACACTTACTCCAATTACGAAGTAATCATCGTCGGAGGTGATCGTCAATACATCCATTCCCCTTGGGGAAGAGTACTAACGCTCCTCTTCTTCCTTGCCTTGCGCAGGTGGAACTGCCGCTGGCGTTATTGCAGGCAGGCTGGCGGCGGCAGATTCCAACCTACGAATCCTCGTTCTCGAAGCCGGCCCGCACACCAGGGACCAGCTGATTCACACTCAACCGGCGCGTTATCTTGCCCACCTCGCGCCGACCAGCACTACCGTCAGATTCTATGTGGGAAAACCCAGTGAACACCTGGGCGGTCGCCAAGTTGTGGTCCCATGTGGCGCCTGCCTCGGTGGGGGATCGAGCGTGAACTTTGCGATGTACACTCGTGCGAGTGCTTCAGATTACGACGATTGGAAGAACATATATGGGAATCACGGGTGGGGATCAAACGACTTGAACCCGCTACTGCGTAAAGTACGCCTTACGAGGAGCTTTTCAATGTTGTTGCTGAGTATCCCCATCATAGACGGAGACTTACCAAGTCGCTGAAGGCATGCCTACTCATGGCTACGATGGTACGTCATCTGTCTTCTTGAATATACGAATATTTGACGTCTCGCATTATGTACTGTCAGGACCCTTAAAAGTATCGTACGGTGGAGCATTCATCACCATCGGACAAGAGTTCCTTGGCGTCGCTTCTGCGTATGACCCTGATCGTCCCATTCTCGAAGACATCAACTCGCTTTCCGCAGGCAACGGTTACGGGGTGAGTCAGTAAAGTAGTGATTTTCTCGAAGTATGCTCATGTATGAATCTATAATGGTCCTGTAGCGATGGCAAAAGTAAATCATCTCCACCACAGTGCTTAAAAACTGCATGCTAACCGTCTTCGACAAGGTGGATAAGCGGCGACAAAGGAACCCGCTCCGATGTCCCTCACCACTTCTTGTACAACCAGTCGCACAACAATAACCTGGTCATCGAAACTGGGTGCCTCGTTCGCCGCGTCCTCTTCGAGTATGTTTATCCATGGTGTGAGATGTCGTCAAGACGTAGAACTCATACCCGGGCAGCGATAAACGTGCGTCAGGAGTTGAATACACATACTCCCCGCGGGTGCGTCCAAACGAAGATTGCAAATCTATCAGGATCGCACGCGCCAGCAAACTCGTCGTTATAGCCGCAGGCGCCTTGGGATCGCCACAGGTCCTCGAACGTTCTGGTGTTGGCCGCAAGGATGTGCTTGATAAAGTTGGCGTCAACCAGATCGTGGACTTGCCTGGAGTAGGGACTGATTACCAAGGTTTGTGTTTGAATATCGACGGCACGTTGAACAAACTATCTTCTTATGCTACATAGACCACCAGGTCATCTTTGCCCCTTATCTGGCCCCGGATACCTGTGATACCTTGGATGGCATTGTTAGGAGTGACGAAACAGAGGTTCAGAGTATGATCTTCCCGCTCACGTCATTCTCGTGCGAACCTCAATATATGATTCAAAACAGGATGGAACACTATATGGGAGAAAGATGGTAAAGGTCTGATGGCGCACAAGCAAGTTCCCTTTTACGCGAACTAGGTTAGTAATATGACGGAACTGTCCTAGTGCTCTGGACGCTGGTGGCAAATTGCGCCCCACCAATGCGGAGCTGCAACAGATCGGCCCGGCGTTTGCAACTCGGTGGCATGAATATTTCGCTACGGAAGACCATCAGGATAAGCCCGCCTACTGGATCGGTGCGGTTGCATTGTGTGTATTCGCACGAGACCGCAATCTTTGTTACGATTCTAACCAGGCCATGCGGCAGACTCGTAGGGGATCCGAGTAGGTCACCATACCGGAAATACTTCTCTGTAGGATACTTTCTGGTAAGTGCTACCCTCGTGACCCACGGATGTCACCATAGCAATTTTGCTGGATAGGAGTACCCCTCATCCAGGGGTTATATCCATATTACATCAAAGGAAAACGTTGATGCTTCGCCAGAATTCGATCCTGGATACTGTAGCAGGTGAATGCTATATTATCCTGCACTAAGAATCAGTCTATTCAAAAACTACGATCAGACCAGATGACCTAGAGCTTCTAAGCTTCTTATACAAGAAATCGCGCGAATTTGCGCGGCGAATGCCGTCATATCGTGGAGAGTATCTCCCAGGCCATCCACAGTTCCCGGAAGGCAGCAAGGCTGCCGTTTCCGAATCTGGAACACCCGTTGCGAACGATTCTCCGGACATCCAATACGACGAAAGGGATGAGGAAGCCATCCAGACATACACTAGGGCCACAGGTCCGTATTTCCGCGTCTACAGTAGCATCATTGATGTACTCACAACCTTCGCCTTCGTAGTGGGGACAGCATGGCACTCGGTTAGACATTCGTTATGGGCGGAGCACAGAACCTGATATCATCATTGATACGTGTCAACAGCTTGGGACATGCGCGATGAAACCTAGAGAAGACGGAGGGGTCGTCGATGCTGATCTCAACGTGTATGGGACGACATGCCTCAAAGTGGCCGGTGCGTGCGCGCGCGGACGTGGCCCGAGGAATCTGATGCCAATTCTCTTGTAGATATGTCGATTGCTCCCGGTAATGTCGGAGCTGTGAGTTACGAACATTCTTTTTGCCGATTTCAGGACTGAATATCCGCTAGAACACGTACTCCACCGCACTTGTCATTGGAGAGAAGGCGGCACTGATCATCGCTGATTATCTTGGGATCAAGAGCATATAAAATTCGCTGGTCAAAAGTATGCTGCTATACTGGAGCTCATCGCATGACGATGGCTTCGTCACCTCAACCTTGGGCAGAGAGTTAAAGAATGAGGACTATGCATATCGCTCATTTCGAACTGTCGATCTGTGTGATGCCCTCATGTTACTTTGACCAAACAATGTCGACTCCGATAGTCGTTTTTCCCTGGCAGGGACTACTTTCGCATATTTTCTAACCTTGTGAAGCTCGGGGCTAGCTCTCCTCTCCTCCTCAAGATCAACTTCACGCGGTGGCTATACGATTACATGGACTCTTGTATCGATCCCTTTTGGCTGCAAGCCGTCAACCCCACTGCAACGTGTTACCATCCGAAGCAGGCATTATTGCATTGAGTCCGTTTATCAACCCGGAGCATTTCAAGTTGGCGCTATCTGCGATAAGTCTCGCGCGCGGGGCCAGTGCATGTTTCCACTGGCGCGTGCGATCATGCATTGGACGCCGCCAGGTGATGAGCTCGTGCAGCTGGAAGCATACCTGATGACGACTCCGTGACGTGCTCGATGTCGGATTAGAAGGCGTGTTCAGATAGCGAACCTGATATCATGTTCTGCTTGCCCTCAATATGCACTGCATGAAAGACGAGCCGCACCCTTCGCGATGAGGGCAATCGAATCGGGTATAACATACAGGTTACAGTGCAGTATACATATATTAAAGCACCAAATCCCACAACAACTCAACAAGAACGATGGTAAACCTTCAACTCATGGAGATGCTGAGCCTGATCCTCTCGCTGAGCGTGATCCCTCCGCCGGGCTCATGCCCCTGTGGGGCATGACGCTCCCTTGCACTTCTTTGTCGAGTCACGGCACGGATCCACCCCCGTCTCGCTCACGATGCACCAATTCGTCCTCTGCGCCGATGTCGTGTATTCATCGAAGTCTGGGGGTTTGCTTGGCACGTCCGCAGGATCAAAGCACGTCGCGGAAAACAACTCCGTGATTGCGCTTGGGATCATCAGCTGGTTGGCCTTGCTCGAAGGCCGACTCGGGTCCAGCACGCCAAACTTGACCACCCGCTGAGCATTTTGCACGCCCCGGTATGCAGCATTGAGCACGCGTACAATATGATCGAGGCGCGCGTCCTCAAATGCCTTCTTCTGCGTGGCCGTGCCGTCGTCGCGGATGAGATTCCGGGGAATGAAGGCCTTGGTAACCGCCGTACGCCAATTGGCAGAGTCCTTAGCAAAGATCTGGCAGACCTTGGGCGTCCCGGCGAAACTGGGGTCTTTGAGCCTGTTGATATTAGTGTTCCCATTTGCAAAACCACGCGCACTACACCATTATGTCAATAAATTCAACATCAAGCCCTGATAAGTGAAGCCACTGACATATCAAGGTCGTCAGTGACGTACAGGCCAGTACCAAGCTCTTCGTCAGCGCCGGATGTGAGGTCGGCCTGCTTTCTGGTTTGACCAAAGAAGTCGAAAGTGAACGAGTCAAAGATCCCGGCATTGGGCGGCGGCGGTTTGCTGATCGTACCCCGGCGTCCGGCCCAAAAGTTGGAGGTAATCTGTAGAATGACAACATATGTTTAGTTGTCATGAGGTGCGCAGTGGAGCGGACTGCTCTACAACGTACAGAGTTAGTTCCATGCCACCCGATAAATTCTGGCCCACTGGAGATCGGAACGGCAGACGAGCTGCCAAGCGAAGGCGCGGAAGATACCACGGAGCTCGACACTACGCCTGAGCTTGTAGTGGCAGACGTCGTGGATGTGCCAACAACCAATGCACTAGTAATCGACGCACTGAAGATGGAGGGAGCAGACTTGATGCTGAGCGCGACAGGAGTGGGTGTAGTCGTCGATATCCTTGCCACAGATGTGAGGGTCGCCTTCACTGATGGTACGACCTATTGCCATCTTCGTATCGGTATGAACGGCCAGATGATACATCACGCACGACGTTGACAGCTTTGCTGCTTGTTTTCGCGACCACGGGAAGTGCTTTGACTGGTGACGCATTGACCAGCGGTGCCTTGAACCGGGAGGTATTCGTGATGGGCCCGTCGAGCACAAGTGGTACGGCATCCACCAGAAGTATACAAGCAAGGAAGAGAATTAAGTACGACATGGTGAGGCGCGCCATAATGAAAATACGTGAAGAAGGTCAGAACGAGGCGCTTATGAAAACAACCGAAGAAGAAGGGTGAAATGAGCGAGAAATTCCTTGGATCGGGCCAGCAATCCGTGAGGTTGCTCTTCATGCTCGAGGGATTTATATATGTTGTCGTGAGCTAGAAAACATTTGGGGCTTCCAGGAAGTGTTGGTGAAGACCAAGATACCCGAACGAGAGTTTCCAGAGTTGGCAAGCACATCTTGGCCAGCGCAAGTGCTGGCAAAGGCTGGTCATGACACTGGAAGAGCCGGAGCACTCAGAGGCATGATCCAGATCACGACGCAAGGCTCTGCAGATGGAACCTGACGAAGCAGGTGCTGTCAGACACGACCTGGATGTACTATAGTCGCGGAGTTATACGTCGAACACAAGCACCGTGTCGAGAAGTAACAAGACGACCTGAGACTTGAGCTTGACTTTGCGGTGCAATTGGCGCTAGAGCGCGCGTGCGATGAGCTAATATTATTTGGCCTGCTTGTCCACAGTCACGACCGGCTAATGCCGGACACCCCGTCAATGCGGTCCGCGCTTATTTACATCGAATTTCCAGCTGTCGTCTGCGTTAGTAGTCTGATGATCAGAATTGTGCAGGGAATATGCAGTGCATCGATACCCGAGGCAGCTTCTTCGGAGCGTCGCCACAGCATCCATGCTAGGAGGTATGCTCAAGGAGGGCGCGTTGATCCCAGTGCTACGCAGCTTGAGGGCATGTGTACTGTACTACGGGCCAGATTTAGATCAATCCGTGCAATGGTAGTGGCTACGGCGCTTCAAAGGGGTACGCAAATGTTCGTCCTGAGTGTCGTTCACGCGACTGACTGTCTGATGATCTAGGACGTACTCGTAGTGGTCGTGCGACTGCTTCAGGTTTCAAGCCGGAAACTTATCTAGCACCGGTGCGCCAGCATGCGAACGATTACTACTCTACTTTACCCTGACGACCAGACAACTGTAGGTCAATAGCCATGCGGATGGAGTACCACAGCCAGAGGCCCGACACCCGGAATCCAAGTTCAGGCTATGATCTCGGCAGTTTCCCAGCTTTACTTCGCCTAGCCGGTGGCATCTTTCGACAGCCTGCTCGAAGAGTACAAAGCGAAGACTCAAGATGACACAGGCTCGCACTCTGTCCTGCTCCCCATCTATAGAGCCGCCCATGGTCCGTTGCATCGGTGATCGGATTGAGGCCTACTATCATGGGGAGGGGAACCTCATCAATCCTGTACTCACAGGTTTTCCCTTCGCCCTCGCGCGCAAATCGCATATCGACCCGTTCCAGTACGTGCTGGTGTCTACCTGGGGCCCGAGCGCCTTTGAAGTCTGCTACGTCACTACCCTTAACTCCACTTCACCCGCCGAGCTCTCTCCCCATGGGAAGCCACTGTTGTGGGTTGTTCCGGACATCGAGATGACGCCGTCGCGAGTACCTGGCGGTACGCTTGACGCGCTGCTCGCTATCAATTACAAACGCCCCCCGCTGCGTTTGACAGGCGGTATGCGGTTGGACGCGCGTGCGCCGGGAGGGCGGGCACTGCAGGCGGAGGTATTGCTCGAGGAGGACGCCCTGCTTCGAGTATGCTGCTACTGTGGCTGCGTGGAGCGGGCAAATCATAGCACCCAGTTCGAGAGGTGCGGTGGGCGCGGCTACAACTCACTGTACTGGTGCCTTGAGGTATGTTTTGCTCGCCGTTATCGGAGCGACGGGCGGTCTGACGAGCTTGCAGTGCTCGAGAAG